TATGATGCGAGTATGGAAGAGAATGCACCATGAAAGATCGGTGGAAAATCATCCCATAGACTCTTGCAGGGTCACAGAGATCCCGACTTTCCAGATGGTGGGGCGGGTATTGAGGGGAGAATATCTACAGTAGGTTTCCTAATTAAGAAGTTCGGTCTGTACTGCACCGGAGATGTATCCGACACGGGGACAACATGAATTGGGGATTTTCCAGTAGCAGTACTACTGTACTTGGTCGATACTTTACAAGTGGTTCGTAAAGAACATATATCAGTTTCAAACTTATCCAGATCAGCTAATCAAAAAAGCCAATTCTCCAGGTTCCCCTCAAACAGACCGAGCAAAACGTGCCGAAAGGTAAGGTCAAAGACCGACGTAACCGGGACCTCGGGAGCCATCCAAAGGAAGTCTTAAGCGCAGGGCAGCAACGTCACGGTGAAGTTTGTCAGCCAGAATGCTCCAGCCGGGGTCCAGCCATGTCACTCGGCCATTACAGTCGTGACTTGGCTACGGAGTCGCAGCCGGTCGCTAGACCATTCGGAGGACAGACGCCCGGCTAGCAGAAAAATCACGGTGGCCGAGGCGGTGGAGAGATGATGTGATCGGGGAAGAGTCAGATGACTTGATCGAAACGATAAGCGTGATAAGGATAAGAACTGGATTTATCACCATGTGACTTGAGTCAACCGGAACATCCATTTTTCCAGATCCTTCCCATCCGGACTAGGGTCTCCATCACGGGACCTCGCTTACCCTGTCGCTAAGGTCCCGATTGGGATTAGGGCGAAAGCGGCCACCACACCTCCCAATTTGATTGTGCGCTCGACTCTATCAGCGACGACATCCACGACAACCGGCAACGACTTCTGATCTCTTGCGGGTCATTCCTTCGACTTGTTATTCTTGCCCGCTGCTCAGAGAAAAGCCGTCACAATGCCTTCGGAACAGGGACACCGACGTGAGTGCCTCACCCGGAGAGAAATCAACGCCCGTTATCGATCGCCGTGTCATGTCGAGGTTTGGAGATGAGGGAATCGCGACGGGAATCGAGACACGGCGCATCGGGGCACACATCAACTGCGAATTTTATTTGAACATGTCATGCTAACAGATATTGTTTCGTTCTAGTCTACGTCAAGTAAGTTATCACTACCCGCCGTCGTCGCGTTTGCACACAATCCAATCTACATATCGAAAATGGGGTCTCGGTCGATTTATTCAACAAAAAAGTATCACACGATACATGGGAGGAATCAACACTCGGATCATCACAAATGCATCACTGTCGACAGGAACCAGCATTCTAATACGGATTTATCTACAGGGGTCGCCACTTGAGCTACCAGCGTGGAAAGCGTAACACCAACCCCAACACCAGTCTGGTCCAGATTGAGGGCGTTGAGGACTCCAAGGCTGCCAGCTTCTACCTCGGCAAGAAGGTCGCTTTCGTTTACCGGGCCAAGCGTGAGGTCCGCGGCTCCAACATTCGGGTGATCTGGGGCAAGGTCACCCGTCCCCACGGTACGCATCGACTCTGATGAGAGCGGCAGCAGCAACTGTCTCTCTACATCGAAATCCTGTCTCGGGCAGCATGGCTTCAATGCTATAACTCGCCTTTGCAAATTCAGCCACTAATATTTTGTTCTGTTCAGGCAACTCCGGTGTTGTGCGCGCCAAGTTCCGCAACAACCTCCCCCCAAGTCCTTCGGTGCCACCGTCCGCATCATGCTCTACCCCTCCAACATCTAAACGGCTTCTCTATGTTGTATCTAGTGGGCGAATTCCCCCGATCCTTTCTGCGCGCAGACGGAACTTCGGTGTCAGGCAAAATGGAATTTTAAAAAAGTCGAGACGGAACGAAGCCGGATGTTTGATGGCAAGGTGATGGGAGTTGGCGGTTTGATAACGTTTTATTCGTGGGAGAAGGCAGGGCCACTTATCACAGCCCTACGAATCAAAAAAAATTTAACAACGTTCACTGTCTGGGATGAAAGAGCGCGGTGGGGGATCGGGGGAATCGGGTGTTTATTGACTGCGTTGTGTTCTGCAATTTGGGGGAATTGTGGTATTATTCCACATAATTCCTCAGTTGCAGGGCATGATATCGGTCTGGCTCCCTTTTCTCTCCTCCCTTCTTTGCGTCTCTTCTCGTTTATCTTCTTGTGTTCTGTGTTTTTCTTGGTCCGATACTATGGCCTTCGGCGTCATCTTACTCATCTCTCAATTCCCCCCTTCCATTTATCCCATCGCGTATATCTGACGCTCTGACCACACCAAATCTCTCATACCACCATTCTTCCCATCAACGCCCGTCTCCAGGTCCCAATCGAGTTCGAGGTTTCCTTTCTGCGTGCGCCGGGGCCCGTTCTGTCCGCTCTTTGTTTTTCCTATGTGATAGACGAATTGCATTATTTTGCTCTGGCTACTCCACCACAGCACAGCATGTTTGGATGAACAACCTATGAGAAGAAAACTATCAACGATCCGACCTGACCCAATGCGACTCGAATACCCCCAAGTGCGCCAGCGAATATCTGGCTAGTATGCCTTTGTCCAGATCCAATCATGTGGATTACTAGTAGTTTGCCCGTGCGCCAATGCCTCGTAGTTGTGATATATTTGTTTTTATTTCTATTCTGATATTGAGTCCTTTGTGGAGAGTACCTGCCGAGATCTAGATGGTCCCCACTTCCATCAATTTGTGGCATCGAGGACAGCCCTGGGCGGGTGGCGCAAATTGGAAGGGTCCATTCAGCCCAGCACATAGAGGCCAGGGAATTGGGTGTATGCATTATGAATCTACATATTTACTTATGCTCGGGATTTGGTATCATTGTGCATTGATCATTATTCCTGTTGCTATACATTTAACGACAATCCGGGCTGCGCTCATTTCTACGAAGTTCGACCACGGTGGACTAACTATGTTGGTAAACTTCCGTACAAGCAGCGGTTCATTTCTAGGGCCTGTGTTTACCTATTCCACTTTTCCCATCGGTCGGGTCTTCCCAGTGGTGGTGTCTATCTACCTCCAGAGAAAGAGTAGAGTCATGAATCTGATTGTGACTGAAATAAGCTCACCACGTATCAAAAGGAGTGTCCTCGGCGTGAAGCATATACCTGTATGTCTTGTCTTGTGCCTGGAGATAATTCTACATTATCGAAAGCAGGTATTTGGGCTCAGATAGTAGAAATGGTAATATTAAATCCTCAGACCAATGCATCATTAGCCAATAAACTGTGATGTTGAGGGAAATAGGCACCCTCAAATCTGTCATCGAAGTGTCGTTGTTGGTTGGGCAGATCAGTGATATATCTTGGCTCCCTCAAATGCCGATCCCACCCCGTGGCTACGTTTAGACCAATTGAACCACCACAATCAGACTTTTGATAGAATTAAATTATGCATCATACCTGAATATACTCTGCTAATGTACCCTAGTAATCAATAATGCACCCTTTGTTTTGCGACAGCACATGCCTCACAAACCAGCCAATTGGAAGACACCGGATGCCCATCACGCGCGGGAGAATTTCAAGAAATCAATCCCGCCAGGAAAGACGGAAGACTTAGGAAGAAGAGAAGTTTCAGTCAGACTCTCTTTTCTTGCCTTTTGGAACGGAATCCGGGAAGGAGGCGTTGACTAGTACTTCGAGGGGGAGTGTGAATGGCTCTGGTAGTGGTACCCCCGGGTCTGATCGCTGGAATTGGGGTGGTGGGATGTCTCAGATTAGAGGGGGAAACAATGGGTGGTGATGCGTCGACTGGTTATGCTCTGTGATATATATGTCTTTAGGTATGATGTGGAAAAGGGTTCCTATTGAGAATAGAAATAATTAAATAGGGTGCTCTGCATTAATGTACTAACTATTGGTTCTGGTCGGCCTAAGTCCCTGACGGGAGTTCGTTTCAGCAGGCGCATACATAATCCATCAGTTCATAACCACATTGTCATGTTGGCTATTAATACTTTTCCGCTTAGATGGGGTGGGGAACTATGTCCACTATGTTACTGTGCCTACCACTAATGCACTTTAGACTGTTCACTGTTCACACATGAGTCAATTGTTCATTGCCCTAGACTGGGAACTTGGGAAGAACACCACCAATCGCGTCCACGCAAGCCCACGGGCTGTGTACCACGGCTCATTTGGTTGTTCCAGGCACTGGGCTGGATGGGAACTCGTGAACTAATTGTGTGATATGTAATAGAGAGGAAGAACAGAAAAGAGGAAGCATAGAAAAGAGAAGAGGTGAATAACGAGGACCATTTTACTAGACTATAGTTCATCCCACTGACCAAGTCAAACCATCTCGATATCTCTAGATACCATTTATGTCTGTACAATTCCTGCCCCACGACGCCACCACACATTGCCGCGGATCTCACAGGGCCTGCGTTTCTGCCTGTCCCAGGCATTGCGTGGCTTGTGTCGTCAACCAGAAAATTATTCTCGGCCTAAACATTTCGCATATGGGCCGGCATGGGATGGGATTCTTCTTTTAAAACCGATCGCCCTGGCACATCCCATCTCTAACGACTTTTCTCCACCGATCGATTCTCTGACCCTCTTTTATCTACGGAGTACTGCCGCATACACTAACAGTAGTCCATCTCACCACCACCACCCACCGACTTTCTCACCTCCCAGCCTCTCGCCCTTTGCTTCTTCGTGGTCCAACTCATCGTCTCTCTCTCTTGGACATTCTCTCGATCTATCACACAAATTTTCACTCCACCACCACGCTCGGGCAGCTTTCACTGTCTCAGTCTTCATTGAATCTAACCTCCGCCGGGTTACCTCCACGCTGTGATCGCCTTGGCAGTTCCCACCCTCTACAATCGCTCCACAACGGCCGCCAAAGCACGAAGCTCTGGGCAGATCACAACCGTTTCAGAACCCGCCCCAGCTACCGAGTGTCCCAGCGTCCCAGCTGCCTTGGATCGAAGACGCTAAAGCAAAAAAAAACTGGATCCATCCTGCTTTTTTTTAATAAGATGGCAGGCCCCCAACAATCGTCCACTTCTCCTCGCCGGAATCGTGGATTCAGCGTCAAATCCGAGAATTCCCATAAAACCAACACTTCCGGCCATAAATCCCATCTCTCCGAGTCCTCTCAGGAGAAGGCCCGACGCAGTTTACATACCAAGGCAGATCCCACGGTCGCAATGAATGAATTGCAGCCCAGTACGTTCGCAATGCGCCCCTCTCGAGATCAACTCTCTCTTGTCCCCACGTGGGCCCGCACCTCGCGGTCGCGTTATTATTCAATCTTGACTGACACTTCTCATAGTGGCGGTTGCCCTGGAGAAGTCCAATATGGGCTCTCTGCGTGCAATGGAGCATAAGGATCAATATGGCAATCCTATCAGTGCGTACTCTTCTTTCTCCTGACACATTCCTGGGCCGTTAGATCGACCGTAATGGATCAAAACTAACCCTCCTTGCGTCCAAACAGCCGATCCCGACTGGTCAAACCCCACCCGCCCACGTTTCGAGCGCCCGCTGGATACTATCCGCTCTTTCGAAGCAGCCATCTACGGCACATACACCAGTACGCGCCCGGTCTCGTACGCCCGCACAGGTTCGTTCGCCTCAAGCCCTCCGCGCAGGGATTGCAATTCTGATCAATTACCCCCAGATGATGCGGCCTCGCAAATGGGCGACTACAGTCGTCGGACAAGTTACTATGGAGGTACGAATGATTGAATCCACTCTCCTTTGACAATGGAGCTTCATACCCGAATTGCCCACTAACGAGCGCATACAGGCCAACAACATAATGGCTACTCAACCCGCGGATACGACCAGAACGGTTACGGACATAATGCCCAATCCCGCCCAGACAGTATGATCGATGCCTACGGCGGTTCCAGCCAGGCCCCCGATAACTACTATCCCTACAACCAAAGCGGCAACGGCAAAGGCAACGGCAATGGCAACGGTCGGCGACCGCGCCATAACCCGCGCATGCCCTCGGACCAGGGCGGTTATGCCAACGGCAATGGCGGACAATATGCCAACCAGCAGTCCTACGACAATGTCACCTCCGGCTCGGGCTCAGGCTACACCGATTCATACGGCCAATCCACAGACCCGAGCAGTCTGAATAGTTCCATGGATCAATTGCAGCAGCAGGCTCTGCAGCAACAGCGACTCGACGAACGCGCCCATGCCGAGTATGGTTACGGCGGGAACCCGAATATAAATGGTTATGGAAAGAATCTCCCCTCTGCGCCTGCGGCCGTCGCAGATCCTGGATGGAATGGCGCGGCACCTGCTAATGGCCATCTGAGGAAGACTCCGACGGCGAATGGCAAGGTGCAGGCGCAGGCACAGGCTAATGGGGAGAAGAGGAAGAGTTGGTTTAAGAAGCGGTTTAGTAAGGGTTAGACAGGGATAGAACATTGGTTGTTCTGTTCTCTTCTGCTCTGCTCTGCTAGCTGGTTTTTCTTAATCTCTTGCTCCGACTCTACTCCCTCGAGATCTTTCGCTTCGAGGAAAGATGTACCACTATTCATCCATTCCGTTCATCGATTCATCTATTCCCGGACTGGGCCTGGCGTTTACGTGGTATTTTCCGTTCCTGTTGGTCTTTTCTGTCCTCATTCTATGATCAAGATTCTGTACTATCGGGGGTTTCCCATGTGTGCATGGATGTAGCACACCACGATTTGGGATTTGCGGCTACATTCTTCAACGTTCTATCATGTGGTCTTTTTCTTCCTATTTGCTTTCTGCTTGTTGGATTGTCGTGCTATTTTTGCTTTCGAGTTCCTGCTTTACGAGGTCATGATACATGGGATTTATTATGGGATATGGGATATGGGGGTTTCAAGTTTCTAGCACGTTTTTGATATATTTCTCGAGGTCTCATCTGGAACCGTTACTTATTGACCTTTTTATGCACATTTCTTAACTCTTTTTTCTGCGCTGCAGGACTACGGTCTGAATATACTTGGCGCTGTCCTTGCAAGAGTGATTCCATCTCTTTTTTCCTTTAGTTAGGAGGTTCTAGTTCTATAAGATACGATATTAGCTACAACCCAGGCCTGGCAGCGGAGAATGGAGGCGTATTCCAGTCAGTATATATTATTAAAATCAAACCTCTTCCACCACCACCCTCTAAGAGAGCTCTCACGACTATTACTCAATCAACGCAAAGCAAAATGGGAATCAGAATTGCAAAACCAACCAACCACTTCCTCTCCTCCGTCCAATCCTCGAACAAATCTTATCTCCCCTAGTATAAAAGGAGACTAGACCCGATCGACAGTTCTTCCAAGCACAAGCAGAGATGGTGCATCTCTACTTCCGCCCCATAAGCTTATGCTTCAATTTATCCGCAAGACCCTCATGCGCAAGGCCCTTCTTCTTTTCCTTGTCCTTGCGAGTCGCATCGTCAAGGTGGACGTTACCCTGGCCGCCGCGCTGCACGAATCGAATCTCGTCAGCCATATTCACGCCCAAAGCCACAGCTTATCCATCGGGATATTTATATTCCCAGAACGAACGTCCGGAGCAGGGGTAGGGTTATACTTACACCAACATGGTAATTCTCATCCGAGGAGTTGCGCACTGCCAGCTCCGGGATCATTTCGGCGTCGTGGGGCACTTTGGAGGTTGGGCGGACGCGGGGGGGATCCGATGTTGCCGAGGCCGCCGCGCTGTAGGAAAGAGAAGGGGTTAGTTATGCCGTGTGTGACTCATGAATTTACTATAATGTGAAGTGGAGGGAGTGGAAGGATTGCTAGGTGGAGGGATGGGTGTGGGACATGGAGGATGATGGGATAAGAATACACTCAATGACTTACACCAGCGGAGTATGCGCCATCACCCTGGTCACCGTATACGCCCTCGCGAACGATCTCGCCGTCAACGTATCTATATTATACTCTTTGTTAGTTATCATTATCCTCATAGCCCAGGATGTCAGGCCCAGTGTTGGTGGATATGTGCGTACTGCGTAGAATCATGGCCGATGTTGCCCTGGCCTGGTAATAGAAAGGGGTGTTAGTTAGATTTGCGCCTGTAGAATGGGAGTTTCCTCCTTCTCTTTGTCTTGCTAGTTCTTACCTCCGCGGCCGTGGGAGACCATTGGTTGCTCTTGTTCACCCATACTGAACGTTGAAAGATCGAGTAGAGTAGGTACGGTATGTTCTGGATGTGCGGGGAGGGAGTGTGTAAGCTTGAGCTTGGAGGAGGGGGTATGGTAGTTGACAGGGAAATGCACGAGGTGAGGGGCGGTGTATGTATGCTTTCTTTTTTCTTATCACACTTGAAGAGCCGGGATTGATTTGGGGGCTTGGGGTTTGTATTAAATGGTGGATATGGACTGGACAGGGCTGGGAATGGGTATGTCACAGGAGGGACCAGCCGGGGCACGGGTGGGACTTGCGATAACAGACGCAGGTACGCGATCGGATCTTCTAAGCTTACCGGATCGATGATTCGTGTGTATTGTACGGAGAATTTGAAGCGGGTAGATATGTAGAAGAGTAGAGTAGTTTTGAGTTATCGGAGGTTAGGAAATGCTGGTTGAAGTAGAATATCGATGGGCAGACAGGATAGAATACGAGAATGAGTCGGGAGGAAACAAGGAGGGAAGTTGATTAAACCGGGGCTCTTGATCTCGCCATCTGCGGCCTGAGGCTACAAAGCAGAATACAGTGAATGGGGAATGGACCTATGGAATAGAGTGTTCACGGCAGGCTTGTCTATCTGGTAGTCGAGAATGTTTTGGGCTGGAACGGGTGATCGGCTGCGATTGGTGACGTCGAGACTGATAAGATAAGACCCCGCGATTGGTGGGTGCGGTGACTAAATCGAGTGACTGATAACGCGAATGCTTGGCAGTGACTATAGAAGAGAGTAAGAAAAGTGTAATAATTGAAGATAATTGAAGATGAGATCAAATTAGATGATACATGCTACACGGGAGAGAAGGAAAAATTCACATGTCGAAAAGCACGTGCTAGTTAGTATCACTGTCCTCTACCTCTAGACCAGATTAGCCACGCAAAGGGGAAAAAAAGGTTAATAATGGCAAGAGGTCATAGAGGGAGGTTGTCACGAGAATGGCCCTTAACTAGGCCTAATTCTTCTTGGCCTCGCTAGAGCCGCCACCGGTAGTTGGCAGTCCCATGAAGATCTTGAAGGAGTCGTAGCTGAGAAATAGTTAGCACTGAATACCGAGAGAGAAGGGGAATTGATCCATACATCATCCACTGGAGTCCAGTCTGCAAGAATCGGTTAGCGTCAATTCACCTCAAAACTTCCCGAGAGAGTCACTCACCAAGGTACCAATCATCACGATACGGACGGGCAATCCATTCCACAGACCCCGGAATCCAATATCACCATAGATCCGGCTCATCGCAGCACCGAAGGCCTCACCAGCTTGACGGTTCGCATTCAACTTGCTGACCATCACATCGGCCGGATGCGAGACCACAGCACAGAGAATACCAGCCAAGTAACCACCAGTAAACGCGACAGCCGTCTGCGCACCCTTGTTGTAGTCCGATTTCTGGCCGGGCAGCTTCTTGTAGATCATCTCGACGATCGTCTCAAACGAGGCAAACTTCATCATCGTGTAGGGAATCTGGCGACCCCAAAGTGGGTACAGACCCTTGTACAGACTGGGTGGAGACTGTTAACATCCTTCTGCAAAGGAACAACCTTGTTTTGACAACCAATGTTTCTGTGGGGGGAACTTACCCGGATACACCCTCCTTGGCGACGACCGAGGAAATACCACTGAAAGTACCCCGGAGATCAGGAGGAATAGTGGTTTGCATGCGCACCTTGACGGACTCGAATGGGCAGAGGGCGACGTCGGCAATAAATTCGGCGGAGGCACTGGCGACTAGATACAAGGAGGTCTTCCATTCGGCAGCACGCTCTTGTCCAACGAGATCGCTGTAGAATTTCTTGAAATACTCGTACCCGCCATATTTGAAAGCTCCTTGGGCCTGGTATCGGGGTTTGTCAGTGAATCTTCAAGAAATGTCGTTGGGTGGTCGATCTTACGCTATAACCAAAGAAAGTCGGACTCCAACCGGTGAACACGCCGCGGAAACCCTCGGCAGCACGGATTGTGCGGAAGGCTTGCATGTTGCTCTTGTAGAGCTTAGAGTCGACCTGGCGACGGCATTTGATGAGATCAAGAGGGGTCACTGCCGTATGAGTGAGGCCCTAGAGTAGTCCGTATCAGTAATCCTGTTCCTGGCTGTCAATGGTATATCCTTTATAGTCAATACTAACACAGGCGAGCAAACCACCAACAGTGCAGGCAGCATAGTACTTGGGAGTCCAAAGCTCAATTTTGCCCGCTTTCTCCTGTGCCTTGTGGCTGGCAACATTGTACTCCCGAGCGGCTTCTTGGGCAATCGAGTCGGCCGTCTTCTTCACGTCATCGATAGTGCTCCAAGCGGGAAAGGGTTCGCGTCTCTTGGAGACCGACTGGAGGGATTCATCAGAGAGTGACGACTGTTGCTTGCCCAGCATACCGAGAGGATGCTGAGCTGCAAAAGTCGAGATGATCGAGTTCGGCAGCATGTTGATCTGTCTCTCATCCAAGGATGTACATTGTTAATGCGGGTCCTCAAAAGTGGAGACAACGATCGGAGATGTACATCGAACGTTGTTGGGGGAAGGGCATAGGCAACGAACCGATCAAGTGTCACAACACAAAGAAGAGTCGTGGATTCTAGGATGGGAGGTGAAGCAGAACAAATAAGAACGAGACTTTGCCCAAACAAGGCTGGGAATCACTCGACTCACAAGGCTGAGACGATCAAACTGACCCCCAAGAATGACGTATCGGGCCGGCGGGTCTTGGCGTGCGAAAAAGAGGAAAAGCGCCGAATTTCCTCAAAAAGAACTGTCATGCAACATCGAACATCCCCCCACACCTTCCAACACCCTTGTCACTACATTCCTACATACACAATGGCTTCCTACCAAACGGGCAGCGAGGCTTATACTCGCCAAAATCAAACATCAGCCCCCGCGGCTCCGCAAGCTGCCTGGGCCGACAAGTACCGCGGGGTTAGTCCCTCCCCCTCCTTAAAGGTCTAGAGCTGGTCGGAGTACTCATGTCACGAATTACAGGCTACGGTCGAAGACCTTGATCCGCCTCTCGCCCTGTCGGTCTCCCCCAATGACCCCGTCTCCGCCGCCCTGATGGCCGCCTACGAGCGCGACTACACACACCTCACCGTGATCGACGCAGCCAAGCGATCCCTCCTCGGCTACCTGAGCATTCCCCGGTTAAAGGAGTCCCTACAGAACGGCTCCGTCAAGGACACCGATTCAGTCGCCACGGCCATGCAACGCTTCAACCGCAAGCGCGGCATCTACCAGGTGATCACCATGGAGACACCATTGGAGGAGCTCGAGCAGTTCTTCGAGAGCGAGACGGGTCCCAACGGCGAGAAGCGTGAGAAGCAGCAATTCGCCGTTGTAACCGACGTGACGCGCAAGTTTGTGCTCGGCGTCGCGACCAAGGCCGACCTGGAGGAGTTTGTTAAGCGCCGACCGGCGTGAGCCGGAGGGACATAGAATTTATCTTTGACTTGTGGTCAAGCCTGCAATGTGGGAGCAAAGCATATCGGCGTCCTCCGCTGGAGGAATTTGGGCATTGGGAATATTTTTTATTTTTTATTTTCTTTCTTCCCGGAGTGCATATGGGCCCTTTCAACATGGACTTGGCATCTTTAACATCTGTCGGAATGGAAGGGGGGTTCTCGAGGTACATGTGTGAGGTCAAATAGCCTGAGCTGGAGCCAGGCATGGAATGTGTCTTATGATATCCAACAGCAATACAAAATTTGCTTGCAGCTGAAACCTCTGCATGGCGGAAACAATGGTCTTGAATTCACTCAACCCTGAATAAGCCCGATCAATTGAGTAACATTACCTGCAACGCCGTAAACCCAGAATACACATAGAGCGGAAGATCATATCGCGCTCCTCGAGACTTGATTGCACTACTGTGCTTTCTTAGATTTGGCCTTGTCGGCCTCCTTTTTGTCACCCTGGTCTTCTAGCCACGCGACGTAGATGTACGCGAATAGAACCACGTTTGCGGTAACGGCAGCGGCAATACCGGCAAAGGTTGAGTTTCCTAGTACATAAATCAGTCTCGATGAACACTTTGAGTATGCGAATGGAAAGTCGTTTCCAAACTGACCTCTGAAGATCGTGTTGACAGTCACGAAATAAATGCCGATGGGGCCAAACACCATGGCGGCTGTGAAGGCAAGTAGCTTGTAAATCACATCTCTGATAGTTTCGTAGAGTTAGTATATGAATTGAGCTCTAGATTGGGATGGTGCTGAGGGAATCCACGTACGCTGGGACAGCTGGTGTGATGTCAGAGTCGCTTTCTGGGGCAGGCTTCGCGGCGACATCGGCATAGCTCTGCCCGTGGGGGCGGCGGGCGGACATGATGTTGAATTCGTGGTATTAGAATTGAAGGCTTTTCTAATAAATTCAAAATCGACCAGTGTCGTGTTGGTTGAAAGCTCAAGCTTGCGGCCGGAGGTTATCAAGGTTGATTAAGTTAAGCTACCTTATATTGCGGAGACAAAACTAAGCGTCCCCGGTCACATGGTGCACAGTGCAAACATCGCATGACAATCATGGCACAGGTCAATTAAAAAACCAATTGATCAATGGAGATCACTTGAATCAATTTCTCTACAGAATCCCACCACACTAAATCAAATCCGACACGATTGAGTCAAGTAATGAAACTCAATGCAATAATCAATCTAAACCACGTGACCCTCGCGCGTCGGGATCGCGTCTCCGCCGGCAGAAAAAACGTTCCTGACGAAAGTAGTAAAAAGTGATTGAGAACGCGGTTGACCAGATCAGACTGGAGGCGGGCCTCAACTGCCCGGGGAACAAGCGCTGCCTACACAACCATGGACGACTCGGTGCCTGATACTCCAATTAGGGGAAGGAAACCTGCTCCAGGCACCCCCGACGAAGATGGTGACTACGAAACGATTGCCACCTTACCGGCGCATACAATCACCCCGTCCCAGCGATTGACCCAGGCAACACAACTAGTCGACATGCCTTATTCACGTCCGAATAACACCATTGTTCAGGTGGCTGCATCCTCACCCATGGCCCCTGCTGCCTCCCCACCAGCCCACCGTGCCTCCCGCGGAGGGCTTTTAAGCTCCCTCATGGCTCCCTCTGGCACTTCCTTCCGTCCTCCTGTAACCACTGTCCGCCCTACGAAACGAACTCCAAACTTCGATATGGATGACGGTCCTACTTACCGAGGCGGGTCCTCGGACGATGATGAGAACCGTATCGACATCAAGCCTGCCATGTTTGAGAAAACTGCTCGAAGCCCTGAAAAAGTTGCCGAGTCGCCTGTACGTGCTGAGAATGGCTCTTTCGATCGCTTCAAGGAGATCACTTCCTCTGCCATGTACGATCCAACTGCGACTGGTTTCAAGCGCTCTGCCGATCAGATGAGCTCGGCCGATGCTCCTCGGGGTGTTGCCAAGAAACTCCGCCAGGGTGCTCCTTCCCGCGCCCAACCTGTGAATGCTCAGATCTCGACCGTGCTGGACATAACCGATTTCCGAGTCCGAGTCAAAGTGGAGCGCATCCTCAAAGTTATGCCAACAAAGTCAGTATCAGAGTGTGTGGATGCTCTCATGTCGGCCAATGGAAACTACGATATGGCCTTGGATCTACTCGCCAATGAACCCATCCGTGCAAATGGGAACGGTGCCCGCAATTCCGCCATTGAAATCGAGTCCTCGGATGACGAGCTGAGTGCCGAGCCTGTCCAAAACATCGGACAGATGGCCAAGCAGAAGATCAAGGCCCGCGGCACTATTCAAGACAAATGGGCTGCTTTAAATCTGCCTAGCACCTCTCAGAATGAAGACGAGGTGAAGCCCCGCGGTCGTCTTATGCGAGGCCCACGAAATCGCGATTCCGCGGCCCTCTCTGATGCGATCATGATTGATTCGGACGACGACTTGCCCCCGAAGAAGAAGCCGGGGCGTCTCCTGAAAGGCTCTCGCCGCGCTCCCTCTCTCACCCCGGAAGCGGTGCTGTCGGACTCGGATGATTCCGATGTCCTTGATGAGGATGCCTCCGCTGGCGACCTGGAGTTGAAAGTGTTGCGATTCTTCAACACTTGCAAGCCCCACGATCTCGCCGACATCGCCGCGGTTCCTGAGGAGACCGCTGAGCTCATCACCTCTCAGCGCCCCTTCACCAGCCTGAGCCAGGTGCGAGAGGTGAGTGCCCCGGTCGATGAGAATGCCAAGCCCAAGGGCAAGGGCAAGGGGCGCAAGGCTCCTAAGCCGGTCGGCGACAAGATCGTCGACAAGTGCCTGGACATGTGGACCGGGTACCTGGCGATCGATGCCCTCGTCGCCGAATGTGAGGCGCTCGGCAAGCCCGTGGCCGAGGAGATGAAGAAGTGGGGAGTGAACGTCTTCGGCAAGCGCGGGGATGACGAGCTCGACATCACGAATCTGGGTGGCTCCCACGATTCGGGGATCGCAACACCTTCTTCCAGCCATCAGTCGCCTGCCGGAGATGACTCGGATGATGAGATTAGAGCTGTTGTCAAATCTCGCAAGTCTCAGTCGAATGGTCAGTCTGGCTTCATCTCACAGCCAGCCATCATGGCCGATAATTTGGTCATGAAGGACTACCAGATCGTCGGTCTGAACTGGCTGGCGCTGCTGTTTGAGAAGAAGATGAGCTGCATCCTTGCAGATGAGATGGGGCTTGGCAAGACCTGTCAGGTCATTTCGTTCCTCTCGCATCTTTACGAAAAAGGAATCAAGGGCCCTCATCTCGTTGTCGTCCCTTCCTCCACCATCGAGAACTGGCTTCGCGAGTTCAAGAACTTCTCTCCGAAGCTCTCGGTCACGCCTTACTACGCGAATCAGAATGAGCGGGCATTCATTCGCGAGAAGCTCGAAAAGGAGCGTGACTCGATCAATGTCGTGGTCACCACCTATACGATCGCAAAGGCGAAGGTGGATGCGAAGTTCCTGCGCGATATGAATTTCTGTGTCTGCGTCTACGACGAAGGGCATATGTTGAAAAATTCACAGTCCCTTATGTACGACAAACTCATTCGCATCAATGCCCGGTTCCGACTACTCCTCACGGGTACCCCGCTGCAGAACAATCTGCAAGAGCTGGCGTCTTTGCTTGGCTTCATCCTGCCTGGGGTCTTCAAAGATCACAAGGAGGATCTGCAGGCCGTCTTTGCCAACAAGGCAAAGACATCTGACGAATCGCACTCAACTCTCCTGTCGGCACAGCGTATCGAGCGTGCCAAATCCATGTTGAAGCCTTTTGTCTTGCGTCGGAAGAAGCACCAAGTCATCGACCTGCCGCAAAAACACTCCTATGTTGAGTACTGCGAGATGAAGCCTTCCCAGCGAGAGATCTACGACCATGAAAAGGACCAAGTCCGCCAGCTTCTTGAGGACCGCGCTGCCGGCAAGAAGACTGGCTCAAAATCCGCCAACATCCTCATGAAGCTCCGCCAAGCCGCCATTCACCCCCTCCTCGCCCGGCGTCACTACACTGATGCCATTCTCAAGAAGATGGCTAAGAGCTGTCTGAAAGAAGAGAAATGGGCCATGTCCGACCCGGCCATCATTGAGGAGGAGTTGCAGGCTTACAACGACTTTGAGTGCCATCACATGTGTATTGACAACCCTAACTCACTTGGTAAATACAAGCTCAAGAACGAGGAATGGATGGACTCGGGCAAAGTCGAAAAGCTCCGCGAACTGCTGACCCGCTTCATCGCCAATGGTGACCGCACCTTGATCTTCTCGCAGTTCACGATGGTCATGGACATCCTCGAGAATGTCCTCGAGACCCTGCGCATTGAGTTCGTGCGACTGGACGGCCGTACCAACGTCGAAGACCGCCAGTCTATTCTGGACGCGTTCCATGAGCGTGTGGAAATCCCCGTCTTCCTTCTCTCGACCAAGGCCGGTGGTGCAGGTATCAATTTGGCCTGCGCAAATAAGGTCGTCATCTTCGACTCTTCCTTCAACCCTCAAGAGGATGTCCAGGCCGAGAACCGCGCCCACCGCGTCGGTCAAACTCGCGACGTCGAGGTCTTCCGCTTTGTCACCCGGGAGACTATCGAGGAGCAGATTTACGCCCTCGGTCAGACGAAGCTAGCATTGGACCAGGCCGTTGCGGGCGACGATGATGCTGCCTCCAAGCAAAATGAGGAGGCTGGCATGAAGGCTGTGGAGAACATGGTTCTTGCCGATATAGAGAAGGAGGAGAACGCCGAGGAGAAGAAATAAGGCAGTGCTTAAAGGGTTTTGGTGAATGATTGAGTGGGTTGAGCTTTCTGGTGTTTGGGAGAAAATTTTGCATTTTCATCGGGTGCGTTCTGGTTTGTACATGTCGCTGATGTTTCTTTTTGCGACGGTTCGGTTCGGAGGTGCATAAACGCATATCAGCATGTTAGAGTAGACCAAATACAAATTAATTTTTGAAGATGACTCGATTTTGTCATGAGCTAATAGAGCTTCTTTGGGTACTCTATAGTAAATGAATAGATGTTCCAGAAGAGCGGAGGGTGGACATTGTAAACCCATGTATATCATCTATGTATTTTGTGGGGAATCTATAAACAAGAAAAAAGAACCTCGGGAATCACATCCCAAATGCAGACAGACCTCGACGGAGTCCAGTAACCAGGCTATGCAGAAAGACAAAAAGAAACAAAGTGGGGATATTAAGGAGAGTGAAAATAAGTCTATACTGCAACGGCGGACTGCTGAGGGATCTCTGCAGCGGGGACTGACGGATCAACATCAACGGTAGTCGAGGCTGTAGTTGTAGGGGCCTGCTCGGATGTGGATGCAGGCTTAGCTGGCTGTGGGATAGACGAGGTGCGGATGGGACCACCAACATTATGCTTTGCGGAAGAGTTTGACTTTGGTGGTCTTGTGTTACCTCCACCAGCGGCACGGGCAGACTCGTTATTCTCCTTGGCGTTTTGCACGGCCTTGGAGGAAACGGGTTGTTCTGCTTCTGCTTTTACGTCACCTGACTCCTGTTTATGGGTGAGGTCGAGGATCTCATCGAGTTGAAGGGCCTGGGGCACTAGGTCATCGAATTCCAGACGCCGGCAGACATCGGTGTATGTCTTTGACAGCTTTGCGTCCTTAAATTCCTTGGATTTGCCGGGGATCAACATGTTGAGGAGGTACTTTGTATTTCCGTAGCGGTTCTCGCTTTCAATGCAGAATTTGAGATATTGGTAGACCACGTCTTTCCAGGGCGCGAGACCGCCGTCTGCTTCAGTGCGGAAACAGGATGAATTGGCTTCTGCTGAAACGGCGATCATGGCGCCGTCCACGCCGAACTCGTTCATGAGTTGCAAGGCGTTGTCGCGGGAGGTCACGTCGCCGTTCATCACGCATGCTACGCCGGCCTTGTGGCAGATCTCTGCGATCATGCGGAGCTGGTGACGGATGGCACGCTCCCGGGGACGCATAGGAGTTGTGCGGCAGTGGACGGTTAGACCTGTGATACCGGTTCGGACGAGGCGGGAAACGAGGGCTTCGGTGAGTTCGGGAGTCTCCAGGATGCGGATTTTCACGGAGATACCGATCTGATAAGGTTCACCGACTTCACGGACGAGTGTCTCCAGAATGGAAACTAGTTTATCGGGTGTGCGTAGCAGCGCAGCGCCCATGCCGCCGCTGGTACTGAACGGCTTCGGACAGCCAGAGTTGACATCAATACCCCAAACATCCCCCGCGACAACCTTTGCCGCCTGCACGGCGAGATCGGGGTTCGCAGTACCGAGTTGGAAAATGAGTTTCCCCTTCTCGCGAACAGGGTCGAGTCGGTAGATGACCGATTCTTTGGCGGCTTTTTCGACACGGCCGCCGTTGGAGGGGACGCGGGTGAATTCGATAGTTCCGTTGCGCGGGTTCACGCGGCGCACGGCACCGATGAGCGAGCGATCGATGGTCTCGGGACCCCAGACTAGGTCGGCGCCGTAGTGTAGGGCGAGTAGGCGTGAGGGGAGTTCGCCTGATCGGACCATTGGGGCGAGGACGACTTTGCCGCGGTAGTCGACGCCTTTGGGTGGGATGGGGACGCGCGGCACTGCGGCCGCGGCGGTGGTGGAGACGGACTCGGCGAGGGTAGACATTGCGGAGCGTAGGAATCTGATCATAGCATGTTGGGATGGGGAGGAGGGAGGAGAGAGATTCGCGTTTTTATTTCTTGGATGGTCGATGTCGCAGTTTTCTGGGGTGAACATCGGCCAAGTCCGCAGGGTCACGTGAAGATAGGAGGGGCGATAATCTTACGAAAAAAAGTTTATGCCTCGATGCCTTGTTCATGCTCCGGCTAGTGCCAGACTCTGCCTTGATTTGAGACGGAAGGAACAAGAAGTAGTAGACAATCAACTGTGGTTTCCTAGCCCTAATACGTATTCTTGTGAGGCCAATTCACAACACTAAGTCTGTCAGAAGATTTATGTCTCTACAATTTGCTATTGATCCTATATGTTAAGTTTGACTATGAAGTATAGACATGCTAGTTAGTTTTGTAAGGCCTTAGGCATCAACTCTTCACCGCAAATCATGGTTGAGACACGCTTGCTACTAGTAATTGTAGCCCGAGATCAGGTTAGCACTTGCAGGGAGCGAGAAAGTATGGAGATGACAGTATGGAGTACATGCAGAGTACATACTTCGCTGGAGGCCCAAGTCACACAGTACATATACGTACTTAGGGGGAGGGGCACGAGACCTCAGGCATAAACCAAATAATCATAGCAATAAGCATACTGGGATTCAATAATTGCAAGATATATGAGGCCTCTAATTCAGCCTCCAACTGTATAGCGGTCAATACTCTAATAATATAATTGCTCGGGCGGAATGCCAATTTTCGGAGAGTCAGACTGGCATTCGCAATGCCGGACCTCGGAGAGAGACCCGCCGAAAAAGACCCGCGACCAGAATAACTAATCCTGTTGTTCAATAAGTCACAAAGAAGTTTGTTCTTTTCCCAGGGGCAGACAGCGAATCCGGGTTTCCCCTGGAACCACCAGTTTTTGACCTACCAAGGATACACACTCCGTCCCCCGTCAATTGGGCCAAGCAGTTGGCAAGGACGAAAAAAAAGAAAGAACCAAACACCTCCCCAACACAGGGTTAATCACCTCATCGAAGTTTCAAGCCAATGGCTCTGGGCCATTATCCCTTGGCCCGACTGGGATTTTCGGTTTCTTGTGCCTCCACCGCCTCCCGAGTCGCCCAGCGCACATCAGCAACGCTGGCGCCCCCCACTTGGATCACTCGGACAGCCCCTCCCTCTGCTGCGTCCTCCTTTTCTCCCCCCACTACGTCTTCTTCCTCTTCTCTCTCCCGAGCTGCTCTCCTCACCAGGCATTTCTGTTCCTCTGCACCCAAAATGTCGTATACCGTTCGCAAGATCGCTCAGCCTTACACGCTCGAGCACCGTGTTTACATTGAGAAGGATGGCGTTCCTGTCTCTCCTTTCCACGATATTCCTCTCTACGCCAACGATGAGCAGACTATCCTGAACATGGTCGTCGAGATCCCCCGCTGGACCAACGCTAAGCAGGAGGTACGATCATTCCCATCGCCATTCTTTCCATGCCAATTGCACAGCATACCACCCCACCACGCCAATTGTCTACGATTGCTAATTGCGAATTCCACATTCAGATCTCCAAGGACGAGTTCCTGAACCCCATCAAGCAGGACACCAAGAAGGGCAAGCTCCGTTTCGTCCGCAACTGCTTCCCCCACAAGGGTTACCTCTGGAACTACGGTGCCTTCCCCCGCGTAAGTGGAAACAACTCATTGCAGCATACTGCAACAATACAGTACCCCGCCATCCACGAGGACTCCGCCATTGACTCAATTGATTAGACCTGGGAGGACCCCAACTCTATCCACCCCGAGACCAAGGCCAAGGGTGACAACGACCCTCTCGATGTTTGCGAGATTGGTGAGCTTGTTGGCTACCCCGGCCAGGTTAAGCAAGTCAAGGTTCTGGGTGTCATGGCTCTGATCGACGAGGAGGAGACTGACTGGAAGATCATTGTCATTGATGTCAACGACCCTCTGGCCTCCAAGCTCCACGACATTGAGGATGTTGAGCGTCACCTGCCCGGTCTCATGCGTGCCACCAACGAGTGGTTCCGCATCTACAAGATCCCCGACGGAAAGCCCGAGAACCAGTTCGCCTTCTCCGGCGAGTGCAAGAACAAGAAGTACGCTGAGGAGGTTATCAAGGAGTGCTCCGAGGCCTGGGAGAAGCTCATCTCTGGCAAGAGCAACGCTGGCGATATCAGCCTGTACGTTTTCTGTCCCGCTTTCCCAATATCGATTTTATTCTTCACGGGAGATTTGCTAATTGCTTTTTCTACAGTGCCAACACCCAGCTCGACGTGAACCGCGCCGACGCCGCTCAGGTCGCTGCCCTCCCCCGTCACGAGAACCTTGCCCCAGCCCCCATTGATGGCAGCATCGACAAGTGGTTCTTCATCTCCGGCGCTGCCGTGTAAATTGTCTTGCCTCTTGCTTGTTTAAAATACCAGAACAAAAATGTTTGAGTGCTTGCTATCACCTAGATGGTGGAGTATAAGATTCTATTGAGATTTCCAGCCAACCTTCCACTGTAATGTGTACTGCTAAAAACGACTTGCCTGCATCTACCCGAGATAGTATACGTTCGGACCGAATGAGACACAGAGAAGACATTTGGTAAATCGGGCCTTCATGAGACTGGTATATCAACTCCTAGGGTAGCCGAAAGAGTACTCTCAGAGAGCTGGACGACAACACACTCTCTCAACCCCTCTCACTACCATGCAATTGAGTAATCCAACGCGCCAAAAGAACAACCAAATATCAGGACAAAAATATAATACAAAATCACAAGCAAACAATGCGCAGCACAATCAAGTAACTCCCCAAAGGGCACCTGACATACCATCCTCCCCCATCCATCCATCCATTTATCCAATTCATCCATTCAACCCTTGAGACTAGCCTCCCTCTCCAGCGCCCGTCCAACCCTCGAAATCTCCTCAACAACATCCCCAATCTTCATCCCACGCTTCCCAACCTCAAGGGTAACCTCCTTCCCACCCTTAAAGCCCACCGTCATGACGGGCTGCTGTGTCGAGGTGCGCGGCAGCTGCGTCACTTTGATGTCGATGTGGGTGGGGCTGGCGGGTGAGGATGTGGCTGGTGTGCGCAGCAGAGAGAGGAGGAGCCGGCAGGGTCGGGAGGAGTGCGTGAAGGGGTTGAAGGTCGCGCGGAAGGTGGTGATTGTGTGGATTGGGATGGACATTTTTGTGGTTGTTGGAGGGAGTTGAGGGTTGTGGGGTGAGGTATATGAGGTTTGTATGTGAGGGTTTGACTGTGAGAGGAGTTAGTGACTGGGATATATGGGGAATAGAGGGTGTTGGGGTTGCGGTGGTTGCGTACCTAAGTGAATTCGCGATGGTTGTGTCTCCCCGAAGTTTTTTGCGGTGGAGTGGGTTGGTGAGTTTCAGCGGCTGGTGGTCGGTGGGATTCTCAAGAAATATATTTCACGGCGGAATCCGGTTGTAACGAGCTGATCCTGGCTTTTGATAGCTCAATCACGGAGGTAAATTGGTCAATTGTCCGTTCGAACAAATGTTTCCGCCGAGTTGCGGTTGCGGGCTGCGAGAGAGATGTCCGATGTTTGCCGAAAATGCAAACATGTCGGCATGGAGAGCAGTGACGCCCACGCCAGCTGGTCAACTTGTACTTAAACAAGTACTCAGTTCGACAATACAGCCCCTAGCTGAAACTGGTCCAAGATTCCAGCAGTGATTAGACTGGATCATATCTAGCAGACCTGACGTTTCCTTCGGCAAAATACCCACTAATCCGCCATTACATGCACAACACCCGTTAATTGTCCCAGTTTACAACCCACCATGTCCACCGCGGCCGCTCTCCAGGCCCGCTTGAAGGAGCTATCCACCACACTCGGCCAGATTCAACCTCTAGTGAACCGACTGCGCAATTTCACCTCTTCTATCGGACAAGGCGACGAGGCGCGCGTGGAGCTTGGAGCCGAAATACACTCGCAGTTGAAAGACGCCGAGGGTGAATTGGAGCTATTGCGCGGGGACATTGAGGCGCTAGATACCGGTTCAGAGGGGAGGAGGAAATCAGCTGTGAATGGTGCGGAGAAGGAGGCTGAGAAGGAGCGTGTTGTTGCGATGGCGGGGCGGTTGTGGGATGATTTGAAGAGGTATGTTTTTGAATCGCGGAGATGAATGTGGTTGGATTTGAGGGTTTCGTTGTGCTAATATCTTGGATAGGACTCGGGGAGATTTCCGGAATGCTCAGTTACAAGCTAAGCGGAATGCTGAGCTTGCGAAGCGCAAGGAGCGCGAGTTATTGCTCTCGAGGTCGCAGGCTTCGTCTGAGAAGAGAGGTCCATCGGAGAAGTTCACGCAGGAGGATCTGGTGTTGAATGCTTCGAATGATGTGACAGCTGCTTTGCGCCGGACACACCACTTGATGCAGGCTGAGCTGTCTCGTAGTCAGTTTGCTCAAGAGACACTTGGTAAGTGGCATTCTACATGTTCTTTAATACCGTGTACGGACTTTCTAACCTTGTATGATCAGAACAATCAACGGCCGCAATCTCCTCCTTATCTGAGTCCTACAGCAGCCTCGACACACTCCTCGCCAACTCTCGCAGCCTCGCTAATTCTCTTCTCCGCTCCCAAAAATCAGATACATGGTACCTCGAAACGGCGTTTTATATTCTCATTGGAACTATTTCATGGCTTATCTTCCGCCGTGTCCTCTACGGTCCCATGTGGTGGCTAATTTGGCTTCCGGTCAAATTTGCCATGCGATTCGCCTTCGCTGCTTTCAGCGCTGTTGGAACCTCAAAGGGGTCAAATGAGCTTGCATCTAGCTCAATTGCTAGCGATATATCCGCGACTATTCAACAGGCTGCTACTGCTGTGATGGGGGGAACTGTACCAAGTGGTGATGCTGCGTGGGATCATGAGAAGCCTGCAGAATATGAGCAAGATCGTATCATTGATAAGATTGGGCGCATGGTCGAGGATGGAAAGTGGGATGGAACTAATATCGATGATATCTCGCCGGAAGAGATGGAAAGGCAGGATGAGGTACCGCGCAACCCGAAGAAGCGGATGTATGAGGAGGAAGTTGTGCGGGATGAGCTTTAGAGTCACGCATGTTGGTGAAATGATAGTCCACGTCATTAATGAAGCATTTCAGCGTGTATATCACAAACTTAGAAAATCAAACACCTAACAAAGCTCGCCACTTTTAATCCTCCCGTTTTGACGAGTAAAGTAGACACCGTGCTAAGGAAGTATAATTGAGTCTTCTGATTGGCCCACAGCTAAGTGCTGCGCGTGTCACGTGGAGACGCGTCTCTTCAATCGCGGGCGTCTGGTCTGTCACCTGGATCCCGACTACTCAACTGAACAACTCTCAAAGCCTCAATTCTCCCTGCCGTACCCGCCTCGAGGGTGATTTCACTATGGCATCCACTTTCTTCAATAACAAGGCCCGTGCTGCAGCAGTTGCTGCTTCAAGCAGCTCCAAGACCAAAGCAAGCGACAGCAAGGAAGATACCACCCGTCTACAGCCATGGGTTGAAAAATAGTAAGTTCACCTGAAACTATCCATTGACAAGAACCTCATCTAACTTGAATCAGTCGTCCTAAAACCCTTGATGATGTCGCCGCTCAAGACCACACAACCAAGGTCCTCCAGCGCACCTTGCAAGCTTCTAACGTATGCACCCCGGAACCTGTCTTAGACAGTCGCGATTCAATTCTAATACCACACCCAAACAGCTCCCTCACATGCTCTTCTACGGACCCCCCGGAACAGGCAAAACATCCACCATCCTCGCCCTCGCCAAATCCCTCTTCGGCCCCGCCCTCTACCGCTCCCGCATCCTTGAACTAAACGCCTCCGACGAGCGAGGCATCGGCATCGTCCGCGAAAAAGTGAAAAACTTTGCCCGCTCACAACTATCCCAACCAACAGGCCTAGATGCAGCCTACCGCGCCCAATACCCCTGCCCCCCCTTCAAAATCATCATCCTCGACGAGGCAGACAGTATGACCCAGGACGCGCAGGCCGCGCTCCGCCGTACGATGGAGCAGTACTCCCGCATCACGCGTTTCTGTCTGGTGTGTAACTATGTTACGCGCATTATTGAGCCGTTGGCCAGTCGATGCAGTAAATTCCGCTTTAAGAGTCTCGATAATGCTGCGGCGGGTGAGCGGGTTGCGGAGATTGCGCGCGCGGAGGGTCTGAAGCTTGATGATGGTGTTGTGGATACATTGATTCGGTGTGGTGAGGGTGATTTGCGTCGGGCTATTACTTATCTGCAGAGTGCGGCGAGGTTGGTGGGTGCTGCGCGTGCTGGAGGGAAGGATGCGGATGATGATGCTGAGATGACCGATGCGGGGAGTTCCGCGGAGGGAACTATTACTGTCCGGACTATTGAAGAGATTGCGGGTGTTATTCCCGAGGGAATTTTGGATAATTTGGTACAGGCTATGCAGCCGAAGGCGTCGGGTTCGGCGTATGAGGCTGTTTCTAAGGTGGTGACGGATCTTGTTGCGGATGGGTGGAGTGCCACGCAACTTGTTAGCCAGGTTTGTGCTTCTCATCTGCTGTGGTTTTTGGATCAGGTGCTAACATCTGACAGTTGTATCGACGGGTTGTCTTTAACGAGGCTATCCCCGATATCCAGAAGAATAAGATCGTCATGGTCTTCTCGGAGCTGGATAGGCGGCTGGTTGATGGTGCCGATGAGCACTTGTCTGTGCTGGATTTGGCGCTGCGCATTGCCAATATTCTGCGCGGGTGATCGATCAATCCGGGAAATGGATATAAAAAAACAATTTTTCGGTTGAAGCATATGGTCTTCTTCGTGGTTTATCTCTGTCTCTCCTGATATTTATTCAGAGACGACATAGGTTCACTACGAAGCTGACTGGATGCATAGATGGCGTTCGGCTGGATCTGACACATTGAGGCGTTATGTATTGCACTTATCATGAGAATGAGGATGATTATGATACCCTGATTTTCTCCGTCTATTTTCTAGTAAATTTGTCATTGTAAATTTGTAATGTTCTCGCAATTGCTCGAGATCATGCAAGGCAAATACTGGGCGGGATATGCCTGATTCTATTGTTACTAAATGACTTGCGACTCTAGGCATGACTTTCCGAGTAAAGTATTAGTCGATGGGAAAGCGAAAAGATTTAGATCTTTTCGGCCGAATCAACCGCTATCCCCAAGTTCATGCCATTATACGATGTCTTTCTCCAGAAGCTAGTAGTTTGATCTCCTCGGGAGTCGGAGCAAAGGAGTAACACAGCTCAGCCGACATTAAAGGTTGTCTGCTTAGCCGAGCTTCGGGCTTGGCTTCTATAGTAACCTATGTATTACGATGGCTAGCCGACAAAGATGGTTTGCAGCTCCGTCGGAATATTCTCAAAATCAAGCCACAGGTGAATCATCTCCTGCGGAGTTCTTTGATATAACCTATTTGGAAAGTTATCTGATTGGATAAGATGACTTGTGCTAGATAGAACGGGCTTTGTAGTTTAAGACATACTATGCGTGATCCCTAAATTTGCAACTCCGTCGGAACATTATCGTCTAGTCCGCGGAGTTTTGTGATATAACCTATTTGAAAGTTCCTTGATTGGACAAGATGACATCGCGCTAGAGCTATTAAAGGGGAAGCGATCGGAATAAAGACCACTAGGTCAGCGCCACCCCCGCATTTAGATGGAGACCCCGGATTCTTGGCTGGGCAACAAGATAATGGGGCGGTTCATAACCGAACCTAGACCTTGATTCAGGGCCAGCACATATATGCTGTAATCAGGTATCTTTGTAGCTAGCAGTATGTGAGCTGAGCGTTGTGTTTGAAACTAGGGACAGCTGATGAAAGATTGAGTGCGAAGTCCGCATGATAACTAGTATACACTGACATACGACAGAAGAGTAGACATCAATCGAGGATCGCAGTGACGCTCGGAATATGCTGGGGATTAAAGATACCCCAATACTCCAACGGATCAATAACACCCCAAGTACTCCATGGGTATCTGAACACGGAGTGCGAGACAGATTCCCGCTTTGACTTCAATGTGACGCGACCTCGCTAACCACCTGCCGTGCAGGGAGCAGGCACAATGCCACTTTTGGGCTTGGCTTCAAGAAAAGAATACGGGGAACTAGCTATAACGTTTCTAGGTGAGAACTTAATTTTAGCTCCTGCCCCATCTGAATAGCTTTTAGGACTATGTCCAACATCGATCTTGCCGGTCGATAGCTAGCGTCTGAGATATCGTGTTTCCGCTCTGACACCCATCACAATGTAGATCAACATGGTACTCCTAAATAGCTCTGTCTACTTTGGTCTTTTTACTTCCTGAACGAATAACTCTTTAAATGCTCTAGGCGTAATAGTGTCTTCTAGATATGATGGCGCACTCCAAGACCCAAAGGCTGAGAGCTTAGCCCCCAGATCCTAGAAAAGCACGTCCCTCCTGAGCGGGGAAGAAGGCTTATTTGGGACAAGTTTATCTCGAAGAAAACGAGAACATAGGATTCCAGAGCCTCGGATCCGATCAAGTGCCCCGCGAAAATGTAGTGATCATTGCGCTGAGTTTCGGCAATGAGATGGACATAGCACCGCACCTCGGCAGCTAGGGAGCAAGCTATATAGTTGCCAGACTGCGTAGCTTTGTTTCGTTCAGATATCCCAGCGATCACTGCAGAAGCTCTTTCATTATGAGAAACCATATGGAAGCCGGGTGGTTCTACTCCCCCAGACAAATTTCTCGCTACTTTGCTACGCGAGTGTCAAGTCTCAAACCTCCCCGAGTATGTTCTCTGATGGAATGCTTGCCCAGTCAAGTGATATTTATAATAACATCGGGCTTCAGAACAAATTAAGAAATCCCTACGAGATCCTTCGGGAGCTGACTACTCATCAATGGCTCATGTTCGCTGCGGGATTCATGGGCTGGACTTGGGACGCTTTTGATTTCTTTACGGTGTCGATGTGTATCACTGAAATCGCGGCTGACTTTGGTGTCTCTTATTCTGATGTGTCATGGGTAAGTACAAGTAATACGAAACTATGATGATCAATGTACTGATAATCGTTCGTTGCTAGGGTATGACCGTGACCCTCATGCTACGATCTGTTGGCGCAATCATCTTCGGTATACTTTCGGATCGGTATGGACGCAAGTGGCCCATGATCATCAACCTTGGCTTGTTTATAATTCTCGAGTTGGGCTCCGGATTTTGCCAAACTCTGCCTCAGTTTCTGGGTGCCCGTTCCTTGTATGGAATTGCAATGGGAGGTAAGCAAGCATCACTCAACCAGGCACCAGTGTGCATCATCGATATTCACTGTTGTATTATATAGGCCTCTTTGGTCCAGCAGCGGCCACTGCCCTCGAAGATCTCCCGTACGAAGCACGCGGCTTGCTCTCCGGACTGTTCGAAATGGGCTATGCAATGGGGTACCTTCTCGCAGCAGCTTTCTATCGCGCTCTTGTCCCAACTACCTCACACGGCTGGCGAAGTCTGTTCTGGTTCGGTGCAGGACCCCCCGTCCTAATCATCATCTTCCGATGGTGCTTACCCGAGACAAACCATTTCCAGGTCATGAAAGCTGAGCGAGAAGCGCGAGCAAATGCACTTGGTGATGGCAATGACCATGCTAAAGCAGCAGGATTACGAATTTTCCTTCGTGATGCTGGTCGTGCGCTTCGGGAGAATTGGGTTCTGTTCGTTTACTTGGTTGTCCTGATGGCGGGATATAACTCCTGTTCGCATGGTAGTCAAGACTTTTACCCGACCTACCTCAAAGACCAGGTTGGAATGAACGCCACCGATACTACTATCATTACAGTTGTTGGCCAGGTAGGCGCATTGTTTGGTGGTTGTACAGTTGGATACATCAGCACGTTCTTTGGACGGCGTCTAACTATGTTGGTGGTATGTGTCATTGGTGGTGCATTGATCCCAGCCTATACAATGGTTCGATCAATGTCGCTAGTGGCTAGCGTGTTTTTTGAGCAGTTCTGTGTTGGTGGCGTTTGGGGTCCGATGCCAATCCACTTGCTCGAGTTATCGCCGATCGCACTTCGTACCGTGATGGTGGGATTGACTTATCAACTTGGCAACCTTGGATCTTCTGCCTCTGCTACGATTCAGTCCATTATTGGAGAGCGGTTCCCTCTACCACCAGGGGCACATGGGAAGAAGAGATTCGATTATGGAATGGTCATTGCTATCTTCATGGGTGCTGTCTGGGCCTTTATGTTGTTCTTCCTGTTTTGGGGACCTGAAATGTCACAGGAAGAAAGGGACGAGGAAGCAGAGGACTCGATGCGTTTGGAGCGACTCAGGGCGGAGGGTGTTAGCTTAGCCGAGATTGGACAGCAACGATTCTTGGGCAAGGGTGTTGATGATGCTGTGGTGGATCGGAGTACTGAGCACCATGATACCGAGAAGGCTGAGACGGCACGTGTTGAGTAACTGCTGTGATTCAAATTGGTCGCTTTAGGTGAAGCTCTTTGATACTGATATGAGATGAGAAATTTGAAGATTATCCGTGATCTAGAGTACACTCCAATTCACCAGTAACGACAAATCTCCTTGTAGATCGACTCAGGATCTTCCAACGGTACCAAGTGCTTAATTCCCTCCACAATGGTCAGCGATACCTCAACTCCACTTTGGCGTAGGAAATGAACAACTTCTGCCTCAACCCTCTCTTTTGTCTCGACAACATCAAGCTCTCCCAAAAGCACACTAGCTCGCAGACCACGCAGAGAACCTAGAGCTTTCCGGGCAGCCGGCGAGATATCCTCCTGCATACCATATGAAGGCCAGGCGCTCTTCGCGAACCGATTACCCACGAGGCTGTCGCGGACCACCAGATCAATATCAGACTCCGAGAGCTTCTCAGGATTTGCGAGAACATTTCTCACCGTCCAGCGGACACTGTCCTCAGTTTCGTATGCAAGCATTTGTTGAGCTTTCATGTCAGGGGGTAGATTCAGGGCAGTTGGAGGTGCTGGTCCGACAAGAACAAGTCCTCGAAGTAACTCCTGGAAATCCTTAGACGATAACCCAATCGTTGCAAGTGCAACCTTTGCGCCCATTGAGTGGCCCACGAGAAGGAGACCATGGTCGAGAAGGTCTTGTTTATTTTTGTCTTCGCTAAGACGCTTCAGGATAGTGGCGACATCGCTAGCAGTTTCGGTGATGGAATAGGCTTGTTTATTACCATCTTCTGGCCCGGTCGATTGACCCCAGCCTCGTAGGTCGATTGCGATCGTTGGATAAAGCGCACTCAGCGAAATCGAAGATTCCAAGTCTGTGAGTTTGTGCCATGTTTGCGAGCTGCCACCCCAGTAGTGCAAAAATACCAGTAGCGGCTTGGATCCTTTCTTAGCAGGACGGGTTATGCGTGCATGTATCGCTGAATTAGGCGATGCTTGGAAGGAACAGGACTCCATGGTTGTAGTGGATAAATCTGGGCGTATATAGTTGGGAAACTTTCGTGCCGGGGATGTCTGACTTTGGATTGCAAGAAGTGTAGGACATTGATGTATTGTTAAAAGATGTTGCTGGGACAAGATGTTTATAATCGCAGTCCTCGCTGTGTGCCGCCAAATTTATCTGAAGGTCAATGGTCACTGATGATGTGGAATCTTATTGGGAAGCCCCAATCTGGAATCATGATTCCACATACATACATACAGTAGCGCAGTAAGGCTGTTGTCCGCCGATATGATTGGTTGGGCGTTTGTCTCAGTGCTACCTAATTATTCCTTCTCTCCCGCCGCCTTTCTTTCTCCAATAACGACAATCCCGTAATTAATACCATGACATCGAATTGCGCCCCATAGTTGACATTGATTTGGAATTTGCCGCACTTCTCCCAACTCTTGACTCCATTATTAACATATACTGCAACCAACTCTTCTGTTTGCTCATCGATAAGCTTGAAATTCTTCGTGCTCAGCATAGCTGGCATATCGTCTCCGATCGGGGTATGATTTGTTCGTTTCCACACAAAGGCTTTTCGGATGCCTTCATTATTATTCAGCGTCATTTCCATTCGATAGTGGTTCGTTAATTTATATCGTTTCAGGTCCTCCCAGATGATATTCGGATTGTTTGGATCGCCGAATCCTATTTTGCTGTGCCGCGAGAAGTTGATGAATTTGCAGACAGCGGTGATAGGGGCCTGGTCTGTTTCACCCGCGTGGTATGTCAGGTCGGGCTTGCCGATGGTGAATGACGAGGATCGCACGTAGGCCAGAGGGGCTTTATCGGCTGTGAGAATAGCGAAGTCGTTCTTGCGCCGTCTGTTGTATACATGGAAAAGACGTGAAGTGGACGTAGGCAATGGGAGATCTTCATCGCTGGATATAGAAGTATTGGCTAGTTCGCGAGCCATGATGTTGAACGAGGTATCGAATGGTGCCCTCGATGCTGTTGAATAATTTCGACCGATGAAGGAATGAAAGACACTTTTTAAAGTATTGTTGTCTGCTAGGAAGGACTTATTGTGTAGCTAATTTAATGAGTACAGTAGATGTTCTAGTGGCTAGGAGATACGAGTATTTCCTAAATTGGAGATAAAACAACGAAGATCATATTATTTTGTGCGTGAATTTTTGAACCTTGTAGCTCGTGATTCTGTCATGGCTGACTGCGCCCTGCGGACTTCGTGTAGGGTGGGTCGGATCCAATAGTGGCGGAGCACACCTCCATGTGGCATGTAGTATCACAGCACTGGACAGGTATCCTGACATCGCCGCTACTAGATGTTTAAGGTCTAGTCATCAATCGCCAGGAATGGCGCAGCTCCTAATGGTAAGAATTCGGCTGGGTACTTAGTAGTATGTATAAACGATTGCCCAGATAGTCTTAAGTTAAAACACACTGATCCACAGGAGAAGATTAGCACTAAGCAGGAGAAGTTTGATCTTCCACTGAATATTTAAGCTCAAGTTACTTTAAGTTCTACGTTCAGCTAACATCTACTTTAACGATATCAATGATACTCAATATCAAACAGACAATATACCCAATTTAGCAAGGCATCAACGTTTCTAGACTCGGTCTATGAAAAGAACCCCATTCAAAGCCTAAGATATCGAGAGCAGAGAGCTAGCTGCTAGGGCTAGTTTCAAGCTCAGTTCTCTCTACAATGTTGCTTTTAGTGACAACAATTGAATTTTTTTTTTTTTTTTTTTTTTTTCAAAAAATCCTACCTCGTGTCCGAACAAAAGTTTGGCACATGCCCTCAATCGTCTCTCGTCAGGTCAACCACATCCATATCTGCTGCCTTTCTTTTTGTACCCGTGGGAGCACGAAGCCATGAGTAACCTTTAGGGCGACCAAAAAACGCCCGTATCTGTTTGCATACAAGACTCCGACGGTCAGTGATAAGCTTGGATTAACCTTGCGGGTCTATACAGACGGATTGTATAAATGCAGGCAGGTCAAGAGCCCAGTGGTTTCGATTTGATGTGTCCAGGGTTCAAGACGGTGTCTCCGTCATGAACCGCTGGAGCTTCCATAGAGCTAGGATGGTCTCCACCCCCAAATGATTATCCGGCCTGAAGAACAGGGCAGCATTACGGAAATGCGGCGCCTCCGCATCCCGTAGCTTGGCCAAGTCTGATTCAGACAAAAGTGTCGTCAAGTCAAATACAGGGACTTGACTCTGAGTGGATGGATTGAACACAGTCTCTGGCCATGATCCACCGTTACCAGACGGCGCAAGCAGAAGGACTGCCCCAGATGCCATCCGATCGAAAGATCCGAGGCGCTCTAGAGCATCTGCAAGCGCGGTAGTAGAAGATTCCTGGATATCAAGGACACTCCACACTCCACCAGGAATATCCATGCGCGCGTACCTCCATCGAGCCTTTTCCAGCTTCTTGACCACATCAGTACGCCTCTGCAGTAAGACATGGTCTGCCATGTCCGGTCTCCAAAGTATACTCTTCTCCACGCGGGAGGTGATCGGGCCCAATGGGTGCTTCCATCGGAACGGCAGGAGTCTCGAAATGGCTGGTCTCTTCCCAGCGTTCTTAGACAATGGCCTCGCAAGTCCCTTCAGGAGATGCAGCGAATTGAGCATTCGAAGAAGAAGCTGCTGCCCCGGTTTCTCGTTGCGAATCGCTTTCGCCGTCAGTGGCGTGTCGGCAGATATCGTCGCTGGATCAAGGTATGGGGCCTTCTCCGGGACCAAAGAGCCGGTTTCTTTCCGCGCTTGCAATGAGTCCTTGATCAGATCCACGGGAAGCAAATAGCTATTTTCTGTGTCTGGTTTTCGGACAAGCCCCCATTCCCCGAGTAGGTCGCGTGGTATACGGGCTCCTGTCACGGAACACATCCGCACTGGTGACGCGAGTGCTACCGCCCATGGATTCTTTTTTAGTTCGAATGTGTCATCGGGTGTTGGAAGTCTCTTGCGATCTTTTATAGGGCCGGGTCGGGGAGATGTGACAAGAGGTGATTGCGGTAGGCGCTTGGATGGAGGAAGAGTGGTACCTGAGGGAGCTTCATCGGCGCGAATCTGCGAGCCCGAAAGGTAGCGGCGGGATGGTGGCGCGGGAGAGGGGCCGAGTAATTGGCGAAATACCTGAAGACGCCATGTCGCATACGAAAACTGTCGTCTTGTGCACTCCATTGTTTGGATAGATGCACGCGGTGGAAGTAGATTAAAGGAAAACGTCGCGCGATTATCTTAGCGCCGATAACAGATTCCGCTTATCCTTATCAGTCACCGTCTCCGCTCCGCCTTCACGGCTGCGAGGACTGTTTCGTCCTTCCACGACCTCCTACAAAAGCACTCTCGTGGGAAGTGCCGCACACGCTGAACTACAATTGAAAATGAGGCCCACATTAAGCCTTCAGCGACTAGGACGGTCAGTCCCTCGCTGTTCCATTTCGCGTGTCCAGTCCGCGCTTGGCTCGAGGCCCTTTTCGAGCTCAATACCTTCGTTTGATCGCATGCCCCCGCGGGGATGGACACCCACGCCCTTTGTGACGGAGACAGTGGTATGTTTTCGAACCAAGCTGCGGAATTTTCATAATTAGCTGTTATACTGACCTCTTCTCTAGGGAGGTGGCTGGCACACCTGTACGTTGCGCAACTGATCTCAAGTATGGACCAGCCCAGCTAACTAGCATCTCATCTGCTCAATTCAGATGATATATTTTCAAGGCTTCTCAAGGTATGTATCTCAGCCGGACAAATAACTTTGTGAGCTTGTACTCACAGGTTCAACAGGAGCGCATCATCTGTCTCAATGGCGAAGTCGACGAGACCATGTCCGCCTCAATCGTCGCCCAACTCCTCTTCCTCGAAGCCGACAACCCCCAGAAACCCATCCACCTATACATCAATTCCCCCGGTGGCTCAGTAACAGCAGGTACGCCCCCAAATAAGCACCAGACCAAACCCGTCCTCCACCACGGTTACTAACAACTCTCCCTTCAAACCACCACCAGGCCTCGCAATCTACGACACAATGACCTACATCGCCTCCCCGGTCAGCACAATCTGCGTCGGCCAAGCCGCCTCAATGGGCTCCCTCCTACTCTGCGGCGGCCAACCCGGAAAACGATACTGTCTCCCACACAGCTCGATCATGATCCACCAGCCCTCGGGCGGTTACTTCGGGCAAGCGACCGATATCGCGATCCATGCGAAGGAGATTCTGCGTGTGCGCGCACAACTCAACCAGATATATCAGCGCCATTTGACGGGTAAGAAGCAGTTGTCGCTGGATGAGATTGAGAAGTTGATGGAGCGGGATTACTTTATGGGGGCTGCGGAGGCGTTGGAGTTGGGAATTGTGGACGAGATTTTGGATCGGAGGGTTCTGAGTCAGGAGAAGGGGGTGAAGGGGAAGGAAGCCGCCGGCTGTGTAAGGGTTGTGTTGTGTGAAGGTGTTGGGAGATAGGGATTGGGAGGTTGATGGCTATAAGGATATGGTTTATGCTTCTCACTGTCGTTGGGGGATATATGGGAAGCATTTCCATGTTTGAGTTGCTCGATCTGTATTATTATCATGACCATTGCTACTTTTTATATGCAGACTCATCTTCTCTACTGCTCGGAGATAGAACTTTAGACAATATACGCTTCTCTACGATGATACAGCATAAGAAAATGTCCGGAGTCAATATAGTCAATTTTGAGATTTGCAAGGTTATGACCGGTTTCCAGGTCAAACAATCACTCCCCCCTTCCGATGGCCTAGTTGGTATTCACCATAAATTGGTGAACCATAGGTGTGCCCTGGAGGAGTGGGCAAACAAAGGAAGAGAAAAATACTGGGCCAGCGTTGACGCTTTAAGCTCCACGGACGGCCGGGCACACCGCTAGGCGGGGGGATTTCTTCTTTTTTTGCGATTTCTTTATAGCAATATTGTTTTTCTGATAGAGTTATTTCAGACAGAAGCAGTCTTTTTCTATCCTGGGTTCTGTGAAATTTGGCGTGTGGGTAGTTGGAAATGGCGCAAACATGACGGCCAGATGGGTGCCTCCATTAAGAATCTCTATGGGCTTGATATGTCTTACTTCGGCGATCAGCACCAAGGAATAGTAGTGGAGTCCATCAATTGTGAATTATAGAAGATAGAATACATTTCTCATAAGAACCAAGACTACCATGCATACTCGAGATGTCATTGATCTATACGTACGATGCGGCCATCAGCTCCAACCTGCAGCCCCAGGCGCTCCCGGAGGAAAGTCGCAGCTTGCGGAGAAGGTGCGTAGCGCCCATCCCCTCGTCGAACCGGCGTAGTCGAATGTCGCCATTGATCACGTATCGTGGTGAAAAAGCCCATATCCATAATAACAGCTTGACCAGTCGCGTACGAGTCCAACGGGTGACCACCCCGCGGGATTGGCCCCGTACCACCCTCGCCGGGGTCCGCCAGCAGCGTTGTCCGTTCATCGTATACATCATCATCAATTTCAGGGACGGGCGACGTATTTGCGGTGTTCTCCTCGGGTCGAGAATCATTAAAATCACCCGCGTCCTCGCTACTTCGTGCCCCACGTTCCTCTGCATCATGATCTTGTGTTCCCGATTGCGTGGTATTCGTTTCTGCGTTTGCGTTCGTCGCTGTACCCCCGTTTCTTGCCAAGGAGGCCAGCCCCTTGGAACCCACCGTCTTAACGCGCTCAATGATCAATGCCAGCATAATGATGTCGACTAGCAGGATGAGGGTATCGAATGCTAGTAGTCGGAACACGGGGACGGGTTTCTGTCCTATGAAGTCGATGAATATTCCGCCATGTAGATATCCACGTTCAGATTCACTGGTCTCGGGGCGGATGAAGAAGGCATGGAAGATCATGCAGACTAGGTTGCTGCCAAGGATGGCGCCGATGAAGGGCTGGTTGCGCGTAGGATCGAAAGGTGGCGCTTTAGGTGTGAAGAATATTAGTTGGACGACGGCTCGAATGATGAATAGAATGATAGAACAGCTATCGTGAGTGGAAAGGTGTTAGCTTCGTAATTTCTCCAGGACGAGGGTGGTGTTTCCAGGAGCGTAAGGCGGAAGGGTATGATCTCCCCACGTTTCAATACCCCATAACATCATATTCCAAGCCCAAGAAAAGCCAAACTCACTCCATATAATACAGCGCTGATAACTCGCAATATATCAAGATGTCAAGATCGCGAAGTAATCGATCGATGAACGCGACCTTTGCAGCAGACTGGAGCTTCTTCACGCGGCTGTTATTCTGATTACGGATGCCGCCATTGCTTGCCAGTGCTGGTGATCCGGGCTCCACATCTTCGAGGGAAATGCCAGAGACGTCGGCGATGTGCTCTGCATCCCTAAAGGCATCGACGTCTGTCATAGAGGGTCATGGGGGCATGGACGAGGTTCGGCGATCGAGTGTCCAGGCGGTTCCGGGGGAATCGTCTGATAAGAGAAGCTGTGGAGTTGGGGGGTGGGCAGGCGGGCTTTGGGTCGGGCCGGGCACGTGCCGATAGTGGCTGACAAGCTACTGTACAACTATGGAATGATGTATAGGTTGAAGGATTTGTTAACTTGCTTTATGAAAATTTGTATGTTGTCATAGTACACGAGCACAATATTCATCTTCATTCAACTCTTACTGTTGTACTTGTACAAAAGTTTAATCCACAAAGATGGTCTTCGACAGCTCCGAGTAGTGCTGGAAGAACCCAGTGAACAGGCGGATCGCATAGGCGACATCATAAGTACCACCGGTTTCACGGATACTGTGCATGCTCAACTGCGGGTTACCCAAATCCAAGGTACGAGCACCAAGGGCAGCAGACAGCATAGGGCCAATGGTGCTACCACAGCTAGAGTCGTTGCGAACAACGAAGAGCTGCAGAGGAATGGGCTCGCCCTTCTCGGCCGCCGCCTTACGGGCAACCTCTTGGAGCAGAACGATACCCGGAGAGTTGGTAGCATAGCGAGCGTTAGCGTTAATCTTGATGACAGGGCCCTTGTTCATCTCGGGCTTGTGGTCTGACTCGTACTTGGCGGCGTAGTTAGGGTTGACGGAGTGGGCCATGTCGGCAGAGACCAGGAATGAGGTGGAGAGTGTCTGCTCATAGGCAGTGGCCAGGTCGACATCCGAGGAAGAGGAGGAAGGGAGCACCGACAAGCGGCGGATGATGGCGGGCAGAGCATTGGAGTCTGCACCCTGGGCGGTACGGCTACCAATCTCCTCGTGGTCGAACAGAGCAATAAGACGGATGGAGGACTCCTTGTCCAGGGCGGACTCGTCAGCGACAGAGTCAATGAGACTGACGGTGGCGCAGTAAGAACTGTTCAGGTTATCCAGGCGGGGGGAGAAGATAAACTCTTCAAGCATGCCACCAAGGCAGGACTTTTGAGTGTCGAACAGGATCAGTTCAAAGTCCAGAATGTCCTCGGGCTTGACGCCAGCCTCGGAAGCAACGAGCTCGACGAAGTAGGAGTGATGGCGCTCAGTCACGGCCTTAAGAGGAGAGAAGTCATCCACCTTCTCGGTGTCGTTGGCAGCATCACCGCTAGGCTTGGATTCGCCAGTGCGGTTGAGCTCAGCAGCCACCAGGCCGGCGATGGGGAACAATTGCGTCTCCTTGTTGAAGGCAAAGGTTTCCTGGCGGTCCAGGTGAATGGCCAGAGTAGGAATACGAAGGACTGTTACAGATTAGCAAAGCTCGACTATGTACTTTATGAGCTGGAGGGACATACTTGGACGGTCAACCTTAACCAGCTTCTGCACGATCGATCCATCGCTGGCACGGGTCATGACACGGCCAGCCACACCGAGGTCACGGTCAAACCCTTAGGCAATTAGTAGTTGATCAAAGGAAAACGAGGTCAATGGATCATACAGGTGTGCCAGATGCCTCCACCATAGGTCTCAACGCCGACCTGAATGAAGCCCTCGCCGCTCTTCTTGCTCACAGGCTTAACCCGCAGAACAGGAGAGTCGGTGTGAGCACCGATCATAGAGATGGAGTTACCGGGCTAGGCTAGTGGTCAGCAAGAGAGCACATCCTAGGACTATGATAGATTAACTACAGACCTGCCATTGCTTTCCAATCGCAAAAGCAATCAGGGTGGTGGTGTTGCGAGTCAAGAAGTACTTGCCACCAGGCTTGCAGGTCTTAGCCCAGGAATCTTTCTCCTATAGGAACATTAGATCGGCCAAACACTCCGTGAAGAAAGGTGGGTCTCTAGAGCATACCTTGATCTCCTCAAAGTCAGCTTTAGCCAAAAGATCCTTGGCAGACTGAACAGCATGGAAGGCTAGACCCTAGTCAGTAACAGGCTTCCGGTGGGTTTCGGGCTTCGGGAAGAACCATACGAGTGGGGGAGGCGTTGACAAAGGACAGGAAGTCCTTGGCAGGCTGCTTAGAGGCCATGGTGTTAGGGTAAGAGGAATAGTAAGCTCGATGAAAGAAAGCGTGGCGCAGAGAAGACAATGAGAAGGCAGACTTGGAAGGTACAGCAGGCATAGTCAACCCCGACAGTGGAGAGGTCAAAGTGGCAGGGTTTTCGGGTGGCGGAGACTTTATCAGTTGCCGACGCAGCGATTGCAACGCAAATCCGACTAGTCTAGATGGTAGCCGTAGTGACCGTCTGCTACTGTACGCGGGCGAATGTGGTGCTATTTCTACTTATGCTGATAACCAGCGCTTGCCTAATTATGAATTTCATACACAGCAATGGTGTACCTATTGATTGACCGAAATTCCAGACCTTAAAGGCTGAAACTGTTCCATGGATTAGTCTATTAGGGCTATTATTGGACTATGAGAATTGATCATATTCTCGGAACGTGTGGGCTGGATTGATTGGCAAGGATAAAGCGTTCTAAAGCGTTGCTATGGTCTCCAATAGGGGTGCTTCCATCATGACCCAATGGCCCAAGCGCTTCGCGTCCGAGGCGCGTGTGTAGCGCGACAAGTCGCGTCAGGATCTTTCTTCTCCCCACTGCAAGTGCCGTGTCAGAGTGGAATCTCTTTATTTATCTCATAGAAAGGATTCACGCGTCAGATCCAAAATGTAAACAACTCTGAGACTCAAGCAGAAGGCAAAGGTGGCACCCATCATAACAAAGAACATCCACGAAAACTTCGACCCACAACATACAATGAATGGTCCCCGACCGAACTCAAATAAAACGACCGGGCAAATCAAGAATAAGGGTAATTCCAGCGGAGCAATAGGTGGAGCAGTTCATTCAGAAAGACGGATCATTCCTTTAACCACTTCAGACGAATTGGCGAACTTGTGTCCCCAGTTACGTAGTTGCTGTTTTCTTTGTAGACTATCGCCCGAATAGGCTTAGCGTTCCCGACGCGTGACTTGCGAGAGGGATGCTCAACAGAGACATCGACCACCCTCCCTTGTAGACATTCCAGTCCATTCCCCCCCCATCGGGCTCTTTGAATGCAATTCTCTTTGTTTCGTTGAACCGCGGTGGTGTCTCGTCCAGGCTGTCAAAGTGCTGGGTCGTCCCTTCCGCCACTGTGTCCAAGCGCCCGATCAGTCACCGAATCTCCTCATCTCATCACAAAGCCACCCACCGCCTTCAAATATCACCCTCAACTCCTCCCACCTTCGCTCTCCCCAGGGCTCTTTGCATCGCTTCATCGAAATCGAACTCCTATCGCATGCAAAACTTGGTGGACGCTCCGGTTATCGCGGAATCTGCTTCTGCAGCCTGAGGACCTGTCGCCAACATGGGCGATCGCTCTCAGGACACAGAGGCGGGTGTGAGTGGTGGTGGAAGAGTGACCAGAGGGACTGCTCGCGCACAGGCAGCTGCAAATATGGTCTCGCCTCCGGCTTCCACGACACCACCGAGCATGCCTCCCAAGAAGACCATCTACTATTCGGATAATCTGGGAAATCGTGAGCAGGGATCAGAGCCTGTTGATGCAACGGCGCTTGATAAGGCGTTGAAAGACATCGAAGAGGCAGGCCGCCAGCGTGAGAGAACGCCTGGGATGAGTCCTTGTCGAAAGAGACAGCGGGTCTATGGTGACCGGTAAGTTTCATTCAAACCCCAATGCGGGAGCTGCCCGGGGAACTTGACGATGCGGGTCTCGATGGACGTGTGACTGACTGAGCTTCAAGATTCATTCCAAACCGTGAGGGACAGGATTTGCAAGCGACTTACAGCCTGCTTGGCGAAGAAGGATGCCCATCGACTCCTTCCAAATCCAAGCGGCGTGCTCCGCAGACAGAGCTGCATTTCCAGAAGAGTTCGTTTATACCCTGTGCAAACGCCGTGAGGAGAACCTAGCTGACCTTTCCAACAGTTGAAGAAGCCAATCGTACATTCTCCCGAGTATTGCGCAGTGAGCTCTTTGGTAACACCGTTCCTCAACCTGATATCCCCTCCCTTCCATCGGATCCGTTGCTGGGCTTCAGCAATGGTATCAACGACAAGACTCGATCGCAAACACCTCCTGTGCCCAGTATGGGCAATACCTTATCCGGCATCACCCCTTCGACTCCACACAAGAACCTCTTCAACTACGGCCCGACCCGGCCAGGATCTGGCCATCCCACTCCGTCCAAGACCCCGCGAAGCGCTCATGCACCCAATCTGAACGTCCGCTCTGAACTCTACAGTACCTCTCCCATTCGATATGAAAGCCAGCGCATTCTTGGAACCCCGCGAAAGCAGCCCCGATACATCAACAAGGTTCCTTTCAAGGTCCTCGATGCACCTGATCTGCAGGACGACTTCTATCTGAACCTAGTTGACTGGGGCAGCAGCAATGTGCTGGGTGTCGGGCTGGCTAACTCCGTCTACATGTGGAACTCCCAGTCTAGCCGAGTTACTAAGCTCTGCGAGCTCAAGGATGATACTGTCACCAGTGTGAGCTGGATTCAACGTGGGACCCATCTTGCAATCGGTACGGGCAAGGGTCTGGTACAGATCTGGGATGCAGAGCATTGTCGACGACTCCGGACAATGGTGGGACACACCAACCGTGTTGGTGCTTTGGCCTGGAATGACCATATCCTGACATCCGGCTCCCGTGACCGCCTCATCTATCATCGGGATGTTCGCTCCCCTGATCAGTACCTTCGGCGGTTATCTGGCCACAAGCAAGAGGTTTGTGGTTTGAAGTGGAATACGGAGGACGGGCAGCTTGCGTCTGGTGGTAACGACAACAAACTCATGGTCTGGGATAAGTTAAATGAAACTCCCCTGTACCGCTTCTCCGACCACTCTGCCGCTGTCAAGGCCATCGCCTGGTCTCCTCACCAACACCATCTGCTTGCTTCGGGCGGCGGTACCGCGGACCGCACGATTAAATTCTGGAACACATCCACGGGCTCCTTGATCAAGGAGGTGGACACGGGCAGCCAAGTCTGCAACCTGTCGTGGTCTAAGAACTCTGATGAGATAATCAGCACCCACGGCTTCAGCCAGAATCAGATTGTCATCTGGAAGTACCCGCGTATGGAGCAGGTTGTTTCCTTGACCGGCCACACATTCCGTGTTCTGTACCTGGCTATGAGCCCGGACGGTCAGACTGTTGTGACCGGTGCTGGTGACGAGACCCTCCGTTTCTGGAAAATTTACGACAAGCGAGCTAATCGTGACTCGCGCCGAGTGGGGAGCAAGCTGAGCGAATGGGGCACCATCCGCTAATTGTGCTGCAATGTCAGTTTGGGTTTCCAGGGCCCTTCACATCTCATTTTTTTTACTGCATCTGATATGGAGTTTTGGTCTTCGGTCTGGGCTACTTGGGATGGGACAATTTCTGCATGGTCATGATATCAAGGGATCTCGGCGAAGACATTTTTTTTGCATTTCCATGGGCATCATCATCATCCAGCCATCCATCCATCTATCGCATCTCTCTACCCGTTTCATCGGGTCTCACCTTTCCTCTGATTGTTGAGGCTTCATGCAGTCCTTTTCATCCGATTGGGGCGTTGTCTCTTCAGCTCCCTGTTGTTTTCTCCCATGTGATTCGATTTCGTTTATTTTTTTTTTTTTTCTTTGCTCTGTTCCGGGTTCTCGGTCTCTCTGCAAGAGACTTTTCTTCATCTGGCGCGGGCTCATCCAATTTCATCAGGTCTAGCGGTGGCGCTCATGGTGTTTCGATCCAGTGGCTGGGGCGCCGGCTACAATCACGGCGTAAGGACAAAGTGTGGGCGGTTCTTTTCTATTGCAAATTGCCCATTTTCATGACGACGATATGACTTTTGCTTCTTCTTCTGCCCCCAATTTGTTCATTCCTCTTCCCTTCGACGATGTGGCAATTCTGGGTTTCTGATCTTTTTTTTCTAAATACTTGTAGTTGCATGATCATCTAGTTGGCGCAGGAGGTTTTTTGGTCTTGCTCCGAATGAGAATGCAGAGTGATGTTTGAGTTGATTTTTTCTCGTTTTGTGTAAACATGACCTAGTAGACTTCGTCGTAATCACTTAGTCTCCCTCGGCGTTCGATCCTCTTCAATGAGGTCTAAAGCGTAGTCACTGACACCTACGAACCCCCGCAATACCAACAAGGATCAGCAAGGGCCCTGCGTTATGGTCCTAGGTATTCTGATTGACTCTTGCAATAGAAGCTCGCCAAACTACCAGAGAAGTTGAGCCGTGCCACATTAGATGCCGCAGCTACCCTAAACGCAGCGAGTCTCTCTGTTCAGCAAATGGAGCGTCTTACAGGCTTATTAGCTTCCTTTCAAGAGTTGTCCGGTCGGGGAGAAGAAGGTTACTGCCTCTATCTTACTAAAACTTAGGTTAGAGAACCGATTCAGCGTCATCTGAAGGTCTTGGGAAGAAAATTGCATCACTTAGCAGCCGCCTATATTCAAATCTGACACATCGCAAATTAGTACACTTCCTTCGTAAGTCATCAATCATGCATATACAGGAAGGCCGGTGGGTGTGCCGTCCCCTGGATGCTTTTTCTCAAGCAGGAATAGGTAGAATGGCAGTATAGGCTATGGTAGTCTGGGCTATAGTTGCCTTGGCTATAATAACCTGAGCTATAGCAGTGCCGCCACATCGCCTTGAGACATCCATACGTAACTAGCCGATGGAAAATATCGTGCACAGTCCAAGGACCATCAGATTCATGGGTTCGTTCTTATGTATCCCTAGTTATCCGACAACTACCATCCGCCGGCTGATGCAATAAAGGTGTGCTCATGCATGGAGTACGACGTCAAGTTGGCAATGGCATACTCGATCGGAGGAGACGATAGACTCTGAAAAAATGCAGACTTTTCTCTTTTGCAGGCAAGAGGGTCAAACCCCTGACTGGGAGGGTAGCCTGGTAGGCACTGTTTTGCCAGATTGACAACAATCTGACTGCCTGGAAAGATATGCAAGTAGCGGTGTGATATGCTCACCCAGGCGAAAATAGGGTGCAGGGCTTTGGCGAGACGTGTCTGAAATACACCTTGGAAGAATGACAAGGTATTCTTTACGACATCAAGTAGTTAAAGGGGTGCACTGTCTCTCAGTGGCAATATTTACTTTTCCGCTTATTATTCAACAGTGAGAAGGCGCACTATCTAAGGTTAATTCTGAACGCTTCAGCTTATTTGCTCGTGCTGTAGTTTGAAGGCTGTTGATTAAAAGCCATTCGTTCTGTTTTCATCACTACATTATGCGCCATCAACTGTGATCAAATAACAGTTTCAAATCAACACTTGTTTTCCAATGGTCACACCCGCGAGTTATTTTGGCAAATTAACCACATCACCATTATTGGCGGAATTTGCAGGAATGAACTGTGATTGTTGAACACACGACGATCAATTCAGTCTGGCAAATACATGAACAGTATCAGGAATCTATGGCCAGGTACATAGAGTGGTGACATTTCGTACAGTACAGAGATGCTGTAGCTTTAGGGCTTCTCAAGATTTTGATGGAATTCACCGAGTCCGACCGGTGAAAGATTTTTCAAAATGATCTCATTTAAGCTACGGGGTGAAAAGAAAAGAGTATCAATCTAGGATACAGTGACACATACTAGAATCCCGTTACTTGTTGATATCCGTATAAGTTGCGGTATTTAGTCCAATACCTTCTCAGGGTCCTAATGACTTTATTTCAAGCAGTAGAACCCATACAGCAATCATATTGCGCTAAATTACCCCCGATGTGTCACGCCCGTCAAAAAGCACGGGAGCTATAGTCGGCCGTTAGTTAACTAGTAAACTTAGATTGTTCTCGTTTATAATAAGGTATTGTCAACATGTGGGTGTGTCAATATGTTCGATACCCCGCACTAAACGTGTGCATAAGCCGTGCACACATCAGACCAATCAGATTGATATCTGATAGACCGTTATATTATCTTCCATGGTGGATATCAACTATCACATGAGATGGAAAAAGCAACGAGTTTCCTAACACTCTCGTGTGTCCCCATATTATTTCGGATTTTCATCAGTCTTTTCTTGTGACATTCTGCTATATACCCAAACTTATGAATACTGCCTGTTTCCCTAGCTAAATCAAACAAGTTTGACACCATTTCTGCTCACGCATAGAGCTCAAGGCAAATCTGATTTAACTGTGTTGACCTTCCATTGTTTAACCTGTTCGCTGCTGACCCCCCTCTATCGTATTTTCGTCATTCTTCCATAATTGTGGTATTCGATCGACTGTGTGCGAACGCTTCGTGCACCCCCCAGGATTTATGCCCACAGCGTAAATCCGACAACTACCTTCCCCTTAAAGTATATTATATATTACCTAGGATTCTATATTAATTTAATCTTTACAGAACCAGTATGTATAGAGTTAGTTTATAGTTGATATACTGATAGAACTAATTACTCTGTATACTAGAGGACCTATTAGATACTCAAGAGTGACTTAAAAGCGCTGTAGTAATTACGTATAATAATAGAAGCAAGGGGACAGAGGAGACTAATAATAGAAGGCAGCTATAAGCAATTACTCGTAATCCACTTTAATAGCTAGCCTATCCCAGCGCAGAGGTCTGATTTCGTTTCATTAATTGCTCTTGCTAGAAATTCGGATTTTATTCTCATCATCCACCATACACCCCAGGGCAAAAATCACTTATCTTGTCCCAGGACAAACTCATTTCAGCACCATCACCCATCATGCTCCAAAGATCCCATAACGCGTGCGACCAACACTTCATCCATCCCGGAAACTCGTCTTCGTCACCCTCGTCGATAATCGGCCACGCTTCCAAAACCTTCACGTACCGTACGGTCTTATCTCGAACGTACTGTGTTTCCTGATCTAGAGCCTCCGCCGATGTACCTAGTAGCGTCTGGAGGCATTCCTCATCAATGACGATACACATTCGATATTTGTTGAATTTATCACGCTGGCCCTGTGCATCTACCCACTCCTCAAAGCGAGCGCGAATCGAATCGATGGATACCCCATCGAGCTGCGTCGGATCTTCAATAACAGTAAGGCTATGTTGGGCCCATATTCCCGCATAAGTCGCGGGATCTCCCCCAGTACTTGCAAATTCTGCTGCTTCTGCAAAGAATGATTTTCTGATGCAGGCTTTGAGATACTGAATAACGGTGGAGAAGTGTGCGGTCGATTCCGGGGAGTAGGTAGTACGATAAATAACATATCCCCAGCTCGGGTAGACTCTTAAGTTTATGAAACAGCTCCCATGTGGTATCAGGTGGGCGAGCCATATTGTGAGAGATGAGTGCGAAGCATGAAACTGCCTCAACGATAGGAAGCGTTAGAGTCAAGAAGTTGAATGAGAGAGAGTAAGCCAGTACGTTGCGTGCTCTTTCAATCGGGAGGAAATTTCGGAAGATCTTAGGGGGGAGAGAAGGTGTCAAGGCCAAGAAATTGGAAAGGATAGTTAAGAGGTTTACCAAACAAGACAAACATGGCGATGGTACGGCCATAGTGCTCTTGCGACAGCCGTGCAGATTGGAGATGTCTCAAAGATTCAACTTCTACTAGCGAAAGGTGCAAAGACGGATGAGCTAGTCGCTATCGAATTCGAACACGATACTACAACTACAACAATATTGGGGCTTGGCGTGCAAACTCAAAAGTTTGAAGTTATACAGTCATTACTAGGTCACGGTGTTGACGTCAACCCTGACTTCAATGGCTTTCCATTTATCTCGCCCCTCACATTGGCGGTTGAAAGGTCAAGGACTGATATCGTCATGTCCTTGCTGCAGAAGGGAATAGATGTGAAGGCTATTGATGAGGGATTAGTCGAGACCCTACTTGAACGAGCAGCCCGCAAGAAAAACCTTTCTCTTTGTGAAGCTTTGCTGGCTCACGGAGCCAAGCTTAATGACGAAATGTCAGTTCTGCAAAGGAGTCTTCGGCACTTCTTGTTGCTTAATGGGTGGTTCGACGGAAATTGTTGAGCTCTTCATTGCCGCACATGCGCGTCTCAATGATCATTACACGAAGCCCCCGGGTTCAATTCTTGGCGTAGCCATCGAAATGGGAGATATGGCATCAATTCACATTCTGTTAACGGCCGGTGCTAGACTGATTGGGGCGAAAATCCGGAAGATAGGAAATCTTGAAATTGCACAGTCTCTACTCTACAGGGAAATGGAGTTCTGCGAAATCTGTTACATGTTTCTGGGAGCAAGATTTTGGTCGCCGCTATTACCAATGGCAAACTCGAGTAAGCCCAGTATCTGCTTGATCATGATGCCGATCATGGAGACCAGCGCGGGCGAGTAAACAATTTCTATGAGGAGGAAAGTCCATTAGAGGCTGCGATCTAGCAAAAGTATCTACAGTTCGCGGAAGTTCTCTTGAACCGGGGCGCAAAGGTCACGGATGGTGCTCTAGCAGGAGCTTCTGGATCATCATACTTGGATGACGAATTTTAGCGACGCCTCCTGGCTGGCTTTCATGGAAGCGCTCCAAGTGCTATAGGGGCCGCAATCCTTTTTGAACACCCGCTGGAGCTGTTCCGAGAGGCAAATACAGAGCCCAAAGGTACACCGAAACTCGACTCCTCTTATTTTCAGCTGGAGGACTTGGATTTTGAGATTCCACCTCCGGAGTCGGTCCTTGAGCTTGGGATCTTAATGGGAAACAAAGAGGATTTGCTTTCTCTGTTTGAGTGGATTCCCTGGACTGCAACTCTTGTTGGACGCGCTCTGACGCTCGCCATCCTTCTTGGAGAGCAACAGCTGTTGGATGTTCTGATGAAATTCGGCCCTGATGTTACACAAGAGATCACAATTTACTACCATGATTCTGAGATGGATACTGGAATCAGAGGTATCTATACCCCGCTTCAAGCTGCAGTCAAGCACCAGTTCGTCCAAGTTGCGACTGAGTTAGCAAAGAGCGCGGATGTCGCGACTGCTTTGCAGATTGCATCCCTTCGTGGATATATTGGCATTGTACAACTGCTTGATCTAGGTGCGGACGTCAATGAAGGTCCTGCGAAGCGTAATGGGCGAACAGCCTTGCAAGGTGCGGCAGAGTACGGTCGCATTGACATGCTGCACATGCTTCTGGATAAAGGGCCGTTGGTTGTTGGAGATGCTAAGCGCTCTTATCACAAAGCTGTAGACCTCGCAGAGCGGAACGGGCATATGGCTGCTGCGAAAATTCTCAGGCATTTTAGGCGCACCGTCGAGCCGAGCTTATCTTAGGCCTTGAGATAGGGATTGATATTGGAAGGTAGATTGAAAATTCCAGCGAGTCTGCTTGTCGAAGTCTTCTTTTCGTTGACAAGTGCTTTTCTAGTTCACACAATATTTTCTGTGTACATTTGATGATAATCATAAATGAAAACAGCGTTAGGGTTTTAAAAATACAAACACGAAGCCATTCCGCTGTCTTTGTTATTGTCAAAATTGAGTATTCGTTGTGTCTAGGCGGATGCCTTGGCGCGGAGGCATATATATCAGATCTTGTCTGGACCTACAACGTACAAGGTGATCGAAGCACTACCTAGCTACCTCCACCAGCGAGCAGACGTAGGGATTAACAGAATCGCCGTAATACGTCTCATGGAAAAAAGTAAGCTCCGTTCTAAAATTACAATCACTCGGCACTGGCATGAGTGTTTATCGAGCCAATCAAGGCGGTATCGGATTATCTATGCTACACTAAATACAGAGAGGCCTTGAATTCCACCAACAGAGTGTGGAGATAACATGAGTGGACAAAGGGAAACTTGAAAGAAAAACAGGAGCTCCAAGACATTGGGGGAGATTTATAACAAGAAATGACAATTTTAAAGCACTAGCCTGGCAGGCTCGACCTGCAGGAGAGTCTTGATGCGCTCAAGGAATGTCTTGGCACGGAGCTCCTCACCCACGGGGACCGTCAAGCTGAACACATTCTGGGCAGCACCAGCATCCACAGCAGAGACTGGAGAAGCAACAGTCTTCTTGCCGGGCTTGGCGCTCAGGAAGTCGATGATATCCTCGACCACAGGCTCGGGCTGGCGGGCCTCGGAAGCCTCGAAAGCGTTCAGCTCGGGAATGTAGTCGCCGCGGGATGTGTTGACAGGCTCGGCACCGAGGAGCTCATCGAACAACTCATCCGAAGAGGGCTGCTCGCCCTTCGAACGAGGGAGGGCGTCATTCGCAAGGTCCGTGGCAATGGCCAAGAAGCGGGACAGAGGAACCGTCACGCCCAAGCTCTCCTGAATCTTCTTCTGTGCGGACAGGACGGCAGATAAGGAGATGGAAATGGCGATTGAGGACATGGGCGGCGTCTGAGCGTTAACCTCTTTCTTCTCCTCCGCGGCCGGCGCGGCAGGCTTCGGGGCCGGTGCCGCGATCTTAATGTTGCTCAGGTCCAGGTGCATGAGCTTAGCCAGCGTCGAGGCCTGGTTGGCCGGATATTCAGCAGCGATCTTGCCAAGGTAGGCAAGCACGTCACCCTTCAAAAGACGGCCCTTGGGGCCGGAGGCAGGGATCTTGGAAACTTCCGACTCGGGGATGTTCTTCTCGTGCAGGAGCTGGATGACGGAGGGGTAGAGGGGGTAGGCGGGGTTCTGAGTTTGAGGAGCGGAGGAGGATTGAAGGCCTGGTAGACATTGGAAGTCAGCATTGTGTTCGTATGAAGTTGTTCAGGCCGCTGGTTCTTGAGGAATTGGCTCCGATAATGCCGGCCTTGCTTTCTTATAACCATTTATTTCGTTAAATGTCACCGGAAAAACTCACGTCGAGAGGCACGGAGCACCTTGGGCTGCCGGCGGGCGAACATCGCCGGTACCTGGCTAACAGGAAGTCGAACTGCCATTTTGTATGAATGTATGTGGTTGCGCCGGAGGAGAAGATGTAGATGTTGGGGCTGGCGGAGGTATTCAAGCGATGTCCGCAAATCTCCGAAAGAGCTGAATTCTCGGCAGAATCAAACACGAGTGACGAAGAGCCCACCACCGCGTCAAGCCGCGCTGATTCCGGAAGTATAGATAATCGAGTTGCGCGTGAATTGAGCGAACTGAAGAGAGAATGCTGGTTGGCGTTGAGGGCGTTGGGAGCTTTCACCGGCGGCCGGGACGGGAACATTTTTCTGCCGCAGCGGCTGTTTTCGATCTGGCGGCGCTTTCCGAGGAGAACAACTGTCGAGGCGCCGGAGATTTGGTAAGTTATTCTTCTCTGCTGAGCCATTGGTGCTCTCTGATCGCTTCAATTGAATCGCTTTTACTCGATTCATCATTCCAATATGGGGTCACCTTCCAGATCGCCTTGCTAACCCTGGGTGTGGACAGAGCTTGCGCAATAACCATGTCCGCCAGACCATCTACACTCCGAATAATTTGGCATCGCTGCCCTGGTGCCTGTACTGGGACCCCAGTACGCTCCAGCTTCCAGACATACACCTCCTCCTCAACATGGCGGTCCTTTGCTTCGAGACCTCCCCGATCTTCGCCTGTTCCTAAACCTCAAAGACGCTCCGCACCCTCAAGTTCTCAATACGCCGACTTGCCCAAGAATCTGCAACCAAAGGCAGGAGGACTTGGAAGGTTATTCAGCAGAGTCGCTCACGAAGGAGATGTCACACTATTCCAAGCACACTCGCAGCGCAGCTATTACTTCAGTGCCTACGGTCTGTCGGCATTCTGCTTCGCCTATGCGGTCTACAACTCCAACGCCGTTTTCCGAGACCCCGTCACCGTCCTGCCTATGTGGCAACAAGCGCTCTTTGGCGGTATCTGTGTATCGATGAGTGTAATGGGTACTCTCTTCCTTGTTAGGACTGGTAACATGATCCGAAGCATCAAGGCGGTCCACTCTCAAGGCCAACCCCGTGTCCGCTTCCAGGTTCGGGGGCTGGTGCCATTCAGGAAGTATGAGTTTGAGGTTGCGCCATCCCAGGTTCATATCTCTAAGAAGCTCGTAGTATCGCCAGAGTCTGTGGCGCGCTTCGAGAATGATAGCAGGAAGCTCATTGGAGGGTCAAACGAGCCGAAACCGAGCTTCTTCAAAGCCCCCGTCGCGAGATTGAGCCATGGAGTCTGGAGGATCTTCTTGTCCGTGCGACAGATTTTCACCAGCGAGGACTTTATCCTCATCAAGATTGATGGTCGTAAAGGTACTTTCCGCATGGACTCGAATGGCGCTGTCGATCGGGACTTCCTCCTCCTGGGCAACCCAGTGAGGATGAGAGGCAAGAATGCTTGAGTTTACTCCGGCATTGGACTTGAATCCTAGGCCTTACGAGGTTCGTTTGTGCTGCCGATATCTATCATGTCTACCCACTATTGTCTGTACAACACTACTTTGTAACATCAATCAGAAAGCGATTTCCTTCTGATAAGCAACAATACCATACCTCTAAATAATAGTGAGGTAGCATGACCATGTATTTCAAATATATTCATTTACACATCAAAGTGCCTTACTAGACTCACTAGCCTTGATATCTCGGCCTGGCATTATTTGTTGAAACCTAGCACTCTAGTCTCGCGACTAATGTCCTGTCTATATTCACTAGGGTCTCCCCATTTTTAACCACTATTTCCATCCTTCCCTCCTCCTGCATCCCTGGCGGAGCTGCTGGGATTGCCGTCAAATGCGAATAGTTGAGCCTCTTTGTCCTAGCATCTCACGCACTCAAAAAATTCCCACTTGCGCCCTTTTGTGGCTCAAGCAAAGGTTTTACCCGTGTAAATTTATCAATCGACAAATTCCTACCACAGCCTTTTCGCCCAACTCGAGGCCCCGCTGATACTCAAGCCCTGATGGTGCCGTGCGTCTCTCATCCTCTGCGCACAGCTTGAATGCCTGTCGCTCGGTCCAGACGATGCTTCTCAAGACCTCCCGATCTGCAGGTGGCAGGAGCGTGGACCTCAAGACAGCTCCATGTAAGGTCGAAAATGCCGATGCCAGCCCTAGTAGCAAGGCCCGGTTCTTATTCGGACGCATTGAGAGGTGCAGGAGAGCCACGGAAAGCTCACATGGCCACCACTCGAGCACCTCCTTGAGAGACGTGGGCTGTTGCAGTCCGGCCTGTTCGACCATGTGCAGACCCATCTCGATGAGTCCCACCGTGGATGTCTTGCTGGCTTCGTCCATGCCAGCTACGCCCGCGCCAACGGATGCGAATCCATTGTATGTTCTGAGCACGCGGACCATGGCCGATATTGTTGGGTTCGCCGTCTTTGAGGGTACTGCCATGAAGGCTTCCAGGACACATTGGTGAGTGAACCAAAGTGGAAGAAGTTGAGGTAGAATCGTGCTAGCGTCAGACCGGGGCGTTATCAAATCGTAGTTTGCTGCGTGGATGAAGTCGAGACTTTCGAAGCCTTCCGGGGTGAACACAGGGTAGTGTATACGTATGTCCTTGCTCGCGGGTGGAAGTGGAGGAAGGTCGTCGAGGAGCTCGAGATATGCTTGGGGGCTATGGTTACTCAGATTGTCAATCCAGCGCCGGACAAGTTCGACTTCGGCAGCAGTGAATGACCCGAACATCCTGCCCCCCAAGCCAGCTCGTGTGTTAAGCGGCTGTTCGCACTATCCCCTGCACGCACCCATGGTTTCAACCGAGCCAGAGCTGCAAGAAACCTCTTTTGACTCTCGATCGAGGCGAAGTTCTTAGGAACCAGCCACTGACTCAGTGTCTGGCCATCGATTTTGATTAGGCTGGGGCAATGAATATTTCCCGCTGTCAGCGCTTTGGCTTTGAAGACTTCGGCAAGCTCTTGGTTCCACTCATTGCCAGAGGTTGTGGAGGTTCCGAATTCAGGACAAGAAAGCGCACTCGATAGGCAATAGCCAGCTTGAACTCGCCTCCAGGCTCTTTCAGCCGCCTCAGCCCCCTCTGTCGATTCAATGTGCCTGAGGAACTTTGCGACACTGTTGACAGCCATGGCAGTATGTCCTGAATGGGAATTATCGATGCTGATGTGAAGGAAAAAGTAGTAGCCACTCATCCCCACCTCCTCCAGCTCCTTGGCAGCCTTCATGGTTTCGAGTGTAAGCAACTCGAAGTGCATGTTGAATCCGAGGATTTCAGGAAGGTAATCGTGAGGGAAGAGAGACATGAGGAGTTGTGAAACGGCAGCTTTCCACACCAAGGTATTGACCATACCATGCCGTGGGTCGATGAAGTCTGCCGAGTCTGGTGGAGGAAGACAGACTCCTGCCTCCTGAACAAGCCGGCTATACAAATGAACATGGTGCATTTCCAGACTCCCATCACCATACTCCTCGATCATGACCTGCCACGCATCTTTGGTAACATGGCGTTCGGCATAAGGCGTGCTGACCCGGTGTATATGACCAACCCAAGCTCCATCGACGAGCTTGAGTGGTGCCCTTTGCTTGATCCAGTCATAGGATTCTTCGCGAGTTTGGAATAGCTCTCGCATTCCACCACCCCCTCTTCTAGTAATGTATTGTTCCCACTGTGTGGCGACCTGCTCATCCTGGTTCTTAATAAAAGCCTGTAGCGAGCGTAGGCTATAGCTGCCCAGAGATAGAATAGAATCAGGTCTTTGACGTTCCCAGGATAGCCCCTCGGCCAATAACGAAAGCAACATGTCCTGTGCCAGTGGGAGAAAATCTGGATGATCCTCCAAGTTATGCAATTTGTGATACATTCTCATGTATGCTAGACGCTCCTCATCGGCTGGATTCCTGGGTGTCGTTGGCACTGGTGAAAGTCTTTAGCGATCATGGTTACCCTTAGGTAGCTTGGGGTCAAAATATTAAGACACATACGAGCAGTCTTCACATCCCTCGGTAAACATGCTGAATTGGAAGATTTTCTCCGATTTGCGTAGCTAAGGAACGAAAGAACCGCAGCACAGAGGCCCAAGGCTACAAGAACGACGTACGGATACATTCTTGCCGTCCAAGTAACTTGACAGAGGGAAGTCAAGTTGAGATATTCGGACCGGAAAAGTGAATGATCACCGAGATTGATAGTGGGTAGGCTGCATAGGAGAAAAAAAAGCAGTAGTCAATCTTGCAAAAGTAGAAAAGTGGCCAGCAGCACAATTGGCCAAGGCCAGGGATTCTGCCTAGAAAACTTTTAGCCACCACTTTAAGAATCAAAAAGACCACCTCGGAATTTAATTACTTGCGGTCTACCTTCCTACTGGGTGATCTAATTTCTTATTTGCATAGACTAATGTCACAGGGAAAGACCTAGGGATTGCACCCTCCCAATTGCGGCAGATATAGACTTTTGGCCCCAATGGGTTTTATCCCGTGCTACCCTGACTCTTGGATTTTGTTTCCCGGGCTGCGCTAAGATTTCCCGGCGTTGACTTTGGCTGATATCCTCAGGATGCATGTATCGAGCTACGGCAATCCCCGGCCTCCCCGTTCGGTGGGGATCTTTCCCTCATGGGCCGCGCGGCGTGGGTGAGACTACGATTATTATTTGCTTGTATAGAATGTTGATAAGATAATTGTTCTTCAAGATCCATGAGAGGAGTGATAGGTCTATTTTGAATGAAATGCACAATTGTAGTTGAGTCCTTCAAGGGCATCAACGCTAGGTAAAGACAGCCAGAACCAAAAATCAGAATCTTTTATTGAATCGCAAAGAACATAAAGGCACCTCCCAATCAGCTTCGTATCTATTATCCATTTTGCCGTTACAACTTTGCCCGGATCTCGAATCCCTCGCTCGAACTCATTTCCGTGGCCTCTGAAAGAAGCAGGGGCACAATCTCCTCTACCTCCTCTAGCATCATAGGAGACGGTGGGAGATCTAGCAAAGCTTCCTCAACCAACGCGGCGACATCTCCAGCACAGCCAAAGGAGAGAGACCATCCAGCACCACCTTGGCCGTAGCTGTGGACAATGCGGCTGGGAGTGGAGGCATTTTTCTGAGCACGCAACTCCCGCTCAACGCGAACATTGCGCTGGCGGAAAGGCCGTAGCCCTTGTGCAAGTGGATAGTCCGGGTCGAGTCGGGCCTTTTTGAGATCCGGGAGGAAAGCCTCGCAACGTGCTCTCATTCGCTTTAGGATGGGCGAGTCCAGGGTCAGGTTCAGCTGATCTTCGTGAGATTCAGCAATGCCTCCAATGAGCAAGATGTTGTCATTGCGAGGGACGAGGAAGACAATCTCGCTCGAATCATGGACAGCATCAGCTGTGATGGTCAAAGCTGCGTCGAGTTTAGGGAAGTCGCTACCATCGTTCACAACTCTGATGAGACCACCACGGATGGGATAGCATGATTTGTCCCCAGCCAACTCGGTGCCAGCCAGACCCGTGCAGTTGATGATCACGTCGGCGCCAAACTCTGCTAGTAGGCTTTCTTCCTGGTCTAACAAGTCTCCGACAATCGTACGGGTAACGAGCTTTGCGCCCTTTGCAACAACGAGATCCTTGAGGAAATTCATAGAGACATCTGTGTCGATGATTGGGGCGAGATGCTCATATGCGTCGACAGCACCATAGATGGGGTTGACACGCCGCTCATCCATGATGGCTGGGTCCCGTCTGAAGCCACGGACACCGCTTGAAATGATTTCCAGCATCTTGGACATTTGTGCGGGATCCTCCTCAATAGGAACAGGGAAGAAGAAGTCTGCACACTTCATGCGGACTCCAGCGAGCTCAGAAAGAGTCCTCGAGGCCGCAATGGCATCCCAGATATGGTACGCCACCATGCACCATCGCTTGGAGTTTTGAAGAGAGATAGCGTCCGTGTGTTGGCCACAGACAGCTGGAGGGAACTCCCACAAAGCGCCAGCGATCTGCGAGGTGAGACGTTGAGAGGTTCCGTAGGAAGCCCATTCCTTGGCCAGGATCGTGACATGGTAACCTTTGTCTAGAAGAGTCCAGGCTGTAACCAAGCCCGTCACACCTCCGCCGATGATGAGAGCACTCGGTGAAAGGTCGGTTGGTTCACGTAGTGGTGTAGGAAAAGGAGTTAAATCCCTCCAGAAGACAAGGTTCTCCTGCTTCGGCATTTTGATATAATGATGGTGCCCAACACAAGAGTTGACCTCGAGCCGTGAGCGTGAATATATTCCCGGATTATAAGAAAAAAGATATTTGCTTTCTCAGCACCTTTCTTTCTCCGGGCTGGACTGGCCTTAAGCTGCTTTTAAATCACCACCTGTCGTTCTCACCATCCTTCATCAGACTTCGTTTCGACGGGCCATGACTTCCCCATCGACAATTCTGCACTCTATAGACACAAATCGTTGACTTCGGGCAATATCCCATCCTGGTTAGCTCCATCTTTTGGCCCGCTTGAATTACTACAAGAGCTGCGGAGCCTCGTGTCCGGACGCTTGGCTCGGCTTTCTCGTCGGGCCTAATTAGTCGCCATATTTGGCTTCGTCGAGTCTCTATTCACATGTTGATGAGGCAATTTCTTGTGTCAGATTAGGCGGCATTCCTATCCATGTCTATATTCCACATGAATAAGCCGCGTACTAGCGCGTACACAGTAAAATACCGACGAAATATAGCTATTTACTGCCTTTTTGTAAGGTTACATGCTGGCGGGCCGTGGCTGCGGGCTGACTACGGTTTAGCCTGTTAGGCATCCAGGAACGATCGGAAAGTGGGGCATGAGGCTAACCATAAACCCGACAAGTGAGCTTGATTCGTTGTCAATTGCGAGCTTACGGAAAATCATTCTCTCCTAGAGCTGTCCCCGATACGGAATAGGAGCTGCGCCATGGGTGCTGATCAGTCACCTCGGTTAATTCAGTCATCTCAGCGGCAACAGGGTATGATTTCTCATCTCTACTAAACTCATCTTCCTCTTCCTGACCTCCGCCACCCAGAACATCGTTATTTGTTTCATTTTTTATGGTCATGGGGGCTTCATCAGCAGAGCAGAGTTCTTGTCAGAGTACAGAGAAGAGTCAACAAGATGCCAGCGAAGACAATAATGCCAGCGCCAGCGTGATCGCTGTGTCGCCGTTTCCACCGCCCCCCGATGGTGGCGGCCTGGCGTGGACTCAAGTCTTCATGGGCCACTTGGTGCTGATCAATGGCTGGGGCTACCTTAGCTCATTTGGCCTCTTTCAGTCTTACTATACGTCCACCTTCTCGGAGACACCCTCGGCCATCAGTTGGATTGGCTCTATTCAGATCTTCCTGGTGTACCTCATCGGGACATTCTCTGGGAGGGCACTCGATGCTGGCAAATACCACTTCACCGTCCGGCTCGGATGCTTCCTGCAAGTACTGGGCATCTTCATGTCGTCGATCTCGACCCAGTACTGGCAGCTATTCTTGGCGCAGGGAGTTTGTAAAGGAATTGGAGATGGTCTTGTTTTTTGCCCTACAGTTTCTCTGGTCGCAACCTATTTCTCAAAGAAGCGATCTTTGGCTATGGCCTGCACGGCATCAGGGGGTGCAACAGGAGGTATTATCTTTCCATTGATTGCCCGACAATGCCTTGGGCCTCTGGGCTTTGGATGGACGGTCAGGATCATGGGGTTCGTCGTCCTGTTCAACTCGATCCTGATCACCATTCTGGCCCGTGTTCGGCTTCCTCCTCGAAAGACTGGCCCCATCTTTGAATGGGCTGCTTTCCGAGAGCCCTCGTATAGTCTGTTCTGCGTAGGCATGTTCTTCAACCTATGGGCTGTCTATTTTGCATATTTCTATGTAAGTACCACTACCAACCGTGGCACGGTCCTCTAAATGACCCAGCAATGCTAACATCTAATCAGATCAGCTCATTTGCCAAGTCGGTCATCCATATTGACTCAGCCACATCACTCACGCTCCTCTTAACTATGAACGCCATTGGTATCCCCGGCCGACTTGCTTGTGGTCTCACTGCAGATCGTCTACTTGGCCCAGTCAACACACTCATTCCTGTCGCATTCTGTGCAGGCATTCTATTCTACAGCTGGGCAGCCATTACCACTGAGACTGGCTTGTATGTATTCTGCGTCATTTACGGCTTCTTTGGTGCTGGTATTCAAAGCCTATTCCCCGCAGCATGCGCCAGCTTAACTAGCGATCTGACAAAGATGGGCACGCGGACCGGCATGTGTTTCTCCATGGTGTCTGTGGCGTGCTTGACCGGTGCTCCAATTGCAGGCGCTTTGATCCAGAGGCACAATGGAGGATACTTGTTTGCTCAAGTCTTTGGAGGGTCAGCGCTGATAGGCGGCAGCTTGACACTCGTGGCCGCCAGGGTTTCCAAGAATGGCTGGTCTTTCAGCACAAAAATGTAATGCCTGCCGAATTCAAAGCGGGACACAGATAGAAAGGACGTGCATTGGCTGATTCCGATTCAACCATACGATTCACACAGTCATAGAACGGGCCTCCAAGCTTCCCTGCCGAAGCTAGCAGGACGCCTAAACGCCGCGTGTTTACAATATCGCCCGCGTGATTAATAATAGAAAAGACACATCTGCATTAGCTGCGAACAGAGCCTTTACAGATTACACTGCCGCAGATCGGTCATCATTTGACAATACATTGTTTCTAATAGCTGAAGCCAAAGATAGTATAATTAATTCAATTCTTTTTCTCCCTGAGTAAGCCCTTCTCTTTTCGCTATTCCGGTGACGCCAAGTTCTTTCATCGGAGAATTTCAGCTGCATATGATGAGGCGTTACCTCCGTAAAGTGCGGTGTAGGATCTGCAGCAAGAATTCAAAATGAGCAGTGAAAACTGTGTATGACTACAGCCTCGGTACTGCGTACAAACTTGTCATGCAGCTGAACAGTGAGACAGCATTCTTCAACCATGAGCTAAATTAGCCAAGGACCCGCCTCCAAGGCCACCATGAGAACCCAGGAGACTCCGCAATAAATTGCGATATACGCTAGCAAACCTTGTCATGAAGAAAACGTGGATCTCACGCAGCCCCATACACTAGACGCTAGCCTCGCTGAAGATTATTATGTGTTAGTATTACGCCATCAACAGAGATCTCTCGCATGGTTAATTGGTTCATGTTGGTCCGGTGTAGATTTTTCAGTAAGCGGGCTATAACACCCTGCAAAGAGAAAGGCCAGGTCGACGATTCTAGGCATCCAGATGTAGAAAATGGTTACATCCTGACCTTCAAGATTTCCCTTGTGGATGAACTACAGTGGGGTTCCATAAGTTTGAAACCCCGACCACTTTCCAAGAACATCTTAGCAGTGGCTAGTTGAACTATCGACCAAAGAAATGGTACATGTGCCATCGAAAATCTTCCAAATCAGGGTACTTTAAGCGTGTCTACTTCTTCCGTTTCTCTAGTTTCTAATGCCAAGTATAGAACATGAAACGTAGATTTTCAGAACCGTTGGTGGCCTTTTTGCGGACAAGGCTCCGGAGGCAAAGAGGTTACTTCTCAGCCGTCTCAGAAATCCGCTGCATTTGTTCTGTTCGTTTGCTGATTGCCTGGATAGATGAGCCATTTCTAGTTGAGTCTTACGTGGCCTATATTCTCCGTAGACCTAGATTTTATTCAGCAGCTAAGTAAGCTACTAAAGAGGCTAAATGGCGTATATGGCACTATTCAGCCGTATATGCAGTCATCATGGGGCTCTGCCAAACTAAGTTGGTCGCAGCGCCTCACAATAAGCTATCATTTGATGGACTTTTCCGCGGATTCGAGCTGTGGGCACCTACCCCTGTTCATGAACGTAATATAACCAACGCTCGGTATAACGTAGTATCCGACCCACAGAAAAGGTATGGAAACGAAGGATCTATTGTTCACACTCACAGGACTCCACTAGGGACTCTAATGCCTAAGGGTGCTTAGAGTCCGTTGATAGTCTTGAAGCTTCATGCCATTGTTTTAAGGAAGAGGATTTTCCTATTGCAGACTACAATTTAGATCAAAGTTACGAGAAAATCCCCTCACTATCTCAAAATATGGTCACCACGGAGGAGAAGTGGAATTTCATTACTCGTCGGCAATCCTTCCTCGAAGATGCCGACGCGGAATCTCTCAAACAGCTGCTGGAAGTAAAGCCCAAGCTGAAGTTAGCCTGGGAGACTACCCCAACTGGAAAGCGTATGTCCCCTTTGAACTGACGGAGAATTGTATGCTGGTACTGACTATTGTTCAATAGCCCATGTGGGATACTTTGTGCCAATTGCCAAGCTGCTTGACTTTGTGAGAGCTGGGCTCGATGTCTGTCTACCACACACATATTCATGACCCTTGACGAACCTTTGACTGACGATTGTCTAGGTCACTGTGTACTATCTTGATGTTTACGGTTTCCTTGTCAACTATATCCATTCCATGGAAACCGTGGCCTATCGACAACGGTATTACCACTTCCTGGTCACTGCCATCCTGAAGGCCCTCGGCGTATCGCCATCTCAAGTGAACTTCGTGGCTGAGTCCAGCATTGCCTACGAAAAGAACTTCGTGGTCGATGTCCAGAAACTCTGCGCTATCATGAAGCAACAGGACGCGCGGGATACTTCGGCCGAAGTCTCAGAGACGGAGCAGATTAGTCCTTTACTCTGCTCCATCCACCAGTCACTCTCGGAGCCGTACCTGGATCTGGATATCCAGTATGGTGGCGAGGATCAGGTTCGTACAATACCATCTCTTTTCTTCTGACGGTATTACCAACTAACAGTTCCGCGGATAAGACGGGTCTCTTTGAGCACGCTAAGAAGTTCATCCCCATGCTGGGGTATCGTCGCCGGGAGCATCTGATGAATGTCATGGTTGCGGGCCTCGATGGGCTGAAAATGTCCTCTTCCAAGCCTGCGGAAACAAAAATTGAGTTTCTCGACGATCCGGACACCGTTCGTGACAAGATCTCTCGGGCCGCTTGCCCGGAGCGACAAGTTACTGGAAACGGTGTCTTGGGGCTGCTTCGAGACGTTTTGATTCCTATTAGTGAGCAGCGCGTGGAAAGATTGCAAGGGAAAGTGGGCCTTAACGTGGATGAAAATTCCATTTCCCAGCTGGACCAGCGTCCTTTTTGCAGTGCTGGGTCCCCTAGCGGTACGGTTTTTACAACCTACGCTGACAACGGAGAGGAGCAGAACTTTGCATCGTATGAGGCTGTTGAAGTCGCATACCTAGCAGGCCAGGTTGCGCCAGTTGCTTTGAAGAGAGCGGTGGTAGAGTCGTTCAATGCTCTCTTGGCTCCTATTCGCGCCGCGTATGCGGAAAATGAAGAATGGCAAGAGGTGGATAGATTGGCGTACCCTGATGGAAACTAAGTATATTTGCAATCTTTGAAAAAGACTCTCTAGTAACTAGCTCACTATTTACCCTTATCAATGGCATCCCGAGCATAAGACTCGTTCTCTGAATTATGATCCTGTCGCCACTGAGCGACATACTCCGGGACCTGAGCCACTTTGTTGGTAGCGCTGGGAACAGGTGCTCCCACGGCATTCCAGACGGGCAGGGTTCCTGTCCACACTTTCGCCGTAACCTCGTCATTCTGAAGGTCTTTCCGGTCATCAGATGGCCCACCAACATTAATCTTGGCGCTAGCAGTGACGACGTGAACCTTCAGCACAGATGTGCTCAGATTCTCGGCGCGGGTGGGAGGAACGCGGGAATTGTCCCAGCACCCCGGAACCAAGCCATCGGTAATAAGACGCAGAGCATAGTCCTTTTCGGCTTCATCCGTGACGATACTGGCATCGCCGTGCAGCACTGCACTACGGTAATTGCAGCTGTTGTTGAAGGGCGTCAGCGACAGCTTGATTCCGTCCAGCAGCGTTGCGGCGATGCACACGGGGATGCCATCCGGGCCGTGATTGCCAGCAATGCGCATGACCCGCGAGGCACTGTGGCCGTGGAGGTATACGTCGAGGGCACCGTCGGAAGGGCCCTCAAAGGAGCCCATGTATCCAATCATGGGCAGGATGGTAGGGTAGATGTCATCCTGCTGAGCGGCTGGTAGAAAGGACACGTGGAGGATAGGTGAGGCATTCACAATTTGGTGGACGGTCTCGAAGTCATACTTGGCCCGCTCGCGATGGCGGCGGACAGTGTTGCGTGCGTGCAGGGGATAGGATCCTTCCATGGTGCAGATGAATAAAAATACTCGGTGACAGTCTTGGGAAAGCTGATGTTTCGGGTGGCAACGGGGAATGAACGAGGAGGAATGAGGTTTAGCCTCAGCTTGTCGTGGTAAAAGGTGGGAATTTTATACGTGGGGAAATTGTTGACCGCGTTGGTTCTGTTGTCGGGAATGAGCGATGGTCAATTGGCTTACACCCGACCTATTCTCGTGCCTGCGGAGACATACTCTACTGATGACCCGGGCGAGAGAGTCGCTTGTGTGCTGAAACCAACTAATCGGCCGAGTTGCCTGCAGTCGTCGAGTCCGTGACCGAAAGAGTGTTGTTTCTCATGTTGGTCCCCAAGCGATTGTTCATTGTTGAAACCCGCATCTACAAACCCCACCAAAGTGGGGAGGCGGGTTAAACCTTGAGAGAGTCGAGTGGGTCAGGCCGTTGTATCTGTCCTGGAGCAAGTCAACCGAGGCGATCACCAACGAGGGGCGAAGAGTCAGCAAGATTTCGGTAGGCTCCCAATGGCCGAGAGAGGAGAGCCTCGTGCAGGGAATACTGAGGCTGAGTGGATCCACTTCGACCATGCGGGATGGTGCTGTGAAGTTGATCTGGAAATTTGGATTATGGTGTGATTTGAAGTGGATCTGCGGGCGGGTAAAACTGTAAAAGGGGGCGGTGGTGGACTTGTGGTGGAGGTTATAGCCGCATAAGCATATCTGGCAGCCAACCCAATCATCACCGAGACTCGGATGGGCCCGCCAGTTGCCAGCGGAGCGCGGCGACGGAGAGCGCCGGCGCTAATGAAAGTGGCCCCAGCGCCGCTCGTAGATCGTAACAAAAATAAAATAAAAAACAGATTCAAAACTAAGTGATTGAACTAGTGCAGTCAGAGTTGCATTCGGGACAGCCCAAAGTTCTTGGCCACGGGATCGATCAAACCTGCGATCTAGATTTTCTTCAGGCTGTACGGAGTAATTACGGGGGAAATAAAAAATACCCAGCTGGAGAAATGTGCCACTGATTCCAGTCCGGAGTCCCCATCCACGATGCCTGATGAGTCTAAGGCCGCTTGAAATCGCGTGACTCAGTGAGCCCGACCGCTCCATAGTCTATCATTCTCTCGTCCTTGCCCTCTACCCTTGAAAGCTCAAGTTGAAGGCATGAATTTGGAGGCTTTCAGCCATGGCGGACACCACGAGGAACACTGCTACACAACCTCAATCTCCCAATGGTAGTAGAGACGGTGCCAACCCCGCCATGGAGCCGTCGGTCGCTGAGAAATCACTTGCCAATGGCGCTGAGATGTCCGGCTTGGACCCCGAGCCACAGACGGGATCAGCCCAAGACTCGGACGCAGACCAGAAGCTTCATCTCCCGCTGGTTCTCACCTTGGCGGGAGCCGCCTTTCTCAATGCAAGTTTCTAGAGTCGTGGACACAGAAAAAAAGCCCGAATGCACTTTTCTGACAAGATTCCCAGACCCTCGCCGTCCAGTCCACCGTGATCATCCTGCCCAGCATCGGCCGTGACCTCGATATCCCAGCCGAGCGCCAGCAATGGATTATTTCGGCCTACTATCTCACATTTGGTTGCTTTTTGCTGCTTTGGGGTAGGTTGGCAGACATCTTTGGACGTCGCTCAGTCTTCCTCCTCGGATCAGCATGGCTCACTATCGTGACTATCGTGATCCCGTTCGCGCCTAATGAGATAGTGATCGACCTATTTAGAGGCCTACAAGGCTTGGGAGCAGCGGCCAACGTTCCAACTGCGATTGGAATCCTCGGTGCAACCTTCAAGCCGGGTAAGTACAAGAACTATGCATTTGCAATTTATTCCGGCGGGTCATCCTGTGGATCAGTGCTGGGCAATATCTTCAGCGGTGTCATTGCGCAATATGCCAGCTGGAAATGGATATTCTGGGTGTCTGCAGTGCTCTGCGGGATGGTCACAGTGGCCGGTTATATCTTGATCCCGCCATCTAAGGCTGAGACCTCCTCTCTGAGAAGTCTGGTGATGAATGTGGATTGGGTCGGCGGAACGCTGGTAACGGGAGCGATACTACTCCTGAATTTCGCTCTCACAGAGGGCAACGTTGTGGGATGGAAGGTGTTCTGGGTGCCGCTGCTGCTCGTGCTTTCCGTGGTCTTGTTGGCCGCGTTTGCCGGGTGGATATGGTATCTCGAAAACAAGACCGAGAAGCCTCCTCTCTTACGGTTTTCTATATTCCACAACGGCCGTTTCAATGCCGCCCAGGTCATCATGGCTGCTTTTTTCGCGGCATTCAATAACTACCTCGTCTATGCGACGTACTTGTAAGTATTATGCCCTCCTTGAGAGAACCGGAATGAGGTAAAAGCTAACAGGCCCATCTATCCTAGCTACCAGGATTATCTCGGATACGGGCCCCTGGAAACGGCGATCCGGTTCATACCGACAGGCATCATGGGTTTCGTGGGAAACATCATTGCCGCGAAACTTCTTTCCCGGGTCCCGGGGTCATACCTCTTAATTTTCAGCTGCAGCTGCGTAGCAATTTCCTGCCTCCTCATGGCCGCCCCTATCCCTCCATCAACGAGCTACTGGGCATACAGTTTCCCGGCCATGGTATTGTCCACATTAGGAGCTGACATTCTCCATCCTACACTCAATCTGTTCACAGTGCAGTGCTTACCACTAGAAGACCAGGCCCTGGGCGCGGCGGTCATTACGGCTGGGTTGCAGGTGGGTAGGGCGATTGGGATCACGATTGCAACCGTTGTACAAATATCGGTGCAACGGAGGGCTACGAGCCGTGGAGGTGAATTACCGGCCTTACTTGACGGACTTCGTGCCAGTCAGTGGTTCAATTTTGCGCTTGCCATTGCTGCATGCTCTGTAGTCCTGCTTTTCTTTAGGGGCAAGGAAAAGATAGGTGCGATTCACCGGTAGTACCTAGCTATGGGCATGAGTTGGCACTCAGTGTTCGGATTGGAAGAGGGATTGAAAAAAATGATGATAAAATTATAGAATACAGTAAATGTTTCAGCCGGACTTCAAACAAGCATTGCCAAGAATTGGGTGGTTCGCACCAGTCAGCGGCGGGATTCTCCGTATTTCCCAAACTTCTGGCCCCCATCTTAAGGTTGTGGTGATCCCGGCCCACCAAATCCTCCTCCCCGCCTCAGCGCTAATTTCATCAAATTCTGTAAAATGTAACGATTCCAAAGTTCGTGCTCCACTATCCACACAGGCTACAGCACATGAAGATGCCGTTGTTGACAGGGGCTTACCTGCTCCGCGGGCAACACCCCGGTTGGAATAATCTTCCGCCATTAGGCATAACTACATATCTCGGCCGCCTAAAATATCAAACAGTATTATCTCCGATCTCCGATTACATGACTACTCCTATTAGCAGATCTCGTCGATGGCGTGATCTGTGTTATAACAATTAGTAATGCAATAGGGCTTTCTGACTTACGGGGGTAATAGCCCTCTCGTCGCACAATTGTGCCAGGTGCATGCTTAGAGGGCCGCGGAGCTTGGCTGAGGATCCGTACCTGGAAGGCTGGAAGCGAGCCCCGCCAGTCCCGCCAGTCCCGCCAGCCCCGGAACTCCGACCCCTGCTCCGGAGTTAGCGAAAAGAAAACTTTCTCTGGCTCTAATTCAGCCGATGGGCCTGGCTGCATTAGCGTAAATCCGGCGTTAGACGTTTTTTCTTTGTCGGTATATCGGGCCTAAGTACGGAGTATTTATTATTGTATTACTAAACCAAGAATCTCGACATGGTGATCTAGACTATTACCATGTAACTGTAATACCAGCCTTCAGATTATGATTTCCAGCTACACCATTAGCCTGTTTAGGCTAGAGTATATGTATGTAAGATCTTGCATCAATAAGCCTGAAGAAGTATTGACAATCGATTCACATAATAGTTATCTAAGATCTATGTCGACAGCGATGTACCTCATGAGCAATTGGTGGGAACAACCATCCATCCCTAATGCTCGTGGTTACCATGGATGTCCTCGACAATTCTCCTTTTGAACCCCTGTCACCAAACCGGTGCTTCAGATTGGTTAATAACTCCGTAACGCCCTAGCTCCATCCAGCCTTGGCAGCATGCGAAGGACGAAGGAAATACGAAAGGTAATATCTCTTTTCAGCCCCATCCACGGGCTGTGTCACCCGGTGCAGGGGTGAGTGGAATTGTCCCTGCGACAATCGCTGCAGAGAATCGGCCACGGTGACGAGAGCGCAGCCGGGGGCGGAACAGGTGCAAAGTCCCATCTGTCTTCCTCGGGGAGGTACACATGCAATCCCACCCGCTCGTAGAACAATAGGGTAAATGTCCCGCTGTCGGTGTGCTTGTTCTCGACGACGTCTGCGGCTTTGGCAAGCGACGGCTCGCAGATGAGTTTGAGGCCGGTTTCGCTGCTGTCGGTTGTCCGGTGGTGCGTCTCGAAGCGTTTGTCGCCCTCGAGGCTGAGAGAATCGGAGAGTGAGGAGAGTAGAGATATGGTTGCCGCGTGGCAGAGCTCGTTGAATTGGCGGACGAGGTCCCTCTCTTCGTCCAGAATGGGTGGAAGGCTCAAATCACCCCGCAAGAGCTCGTCATCGGCGAACTGGGGGAAGATTGTTAGCAAGTTTGCCATAAGAAATGGGGGGGATTGATTACCTCGAATGTCTCATCGCAATCACTGCTCTTGTAGCTTGAATAGGGTTAGCAAACGCAATGCCAATAAAGAATTCAGAATAGGCATTTCCTACCCTCGATCACTGGAGGGTGGTATATCCTCGCGAACGTCCTTCAATTTTACTTCACTAGGACGTTGGAAATAACGATCCGACAAATCATACAATCGCGACACAGTGTCGAGGATAGTTGCATCGGTATTCTTGAAGTCCAAGAGCAACCCTCCAGGACGTGTGGCAGCTTCCTTGAGCTTCTGTCTCTCATGGGAGTCACCAGCCACAATCCGGGCCAAGTCAATTGTCTCCAAGTGCAGCATCTTAGAGGTGATTTATAGAACTGAAGGAATGGTTGAAAATCAGTTATCAAAATCAAGACAAAATGTGTGGGATAGAAGCGAGTTTAAATAGTTGAGGTTGATCCTTGGGCTAAATTGGGACCATTACTCTACATGGAACTGTGGGCCTAGGCGCATCCTGCTCTGGCGTGCAGCCACTCATCAGCGTTCTGTTAGTGTGAGATGAGATGAAACCCTCATATTTGATTGCGACGACAGTCTTTACCCTGCGTTGAGTAAATGAATATCTTCAATATTTCGTAATCCCAAGTCTGAGCCACTGGTCAAGTAAAGGGAATTGCAGAAAATAGTTATTCTCTTCACCATCCCGTCTATCAACTGGAGCGTACTTTCTCGTATCGAAGATAAAATATACGCTGTAGACAGGCATCAAATAGACCCTGAAGGTATTGAGGGGTCCAGGCGAGATAGCCTGACTAACGAGTTGGAGGACCACGGATGAATACTCTCACTTTGATTTCATTTCACCCCGACCTAGGACCGTGTAATGCCGGAGTCGATTGATTCGCGCGCCGACTGAGAAATATTTTATATATACAATAATCCACATACCGGTGATTCCCGGGGAAGGTAAGCAAGTTGCAAAGAAACGCTTACGATCAAATTGACCAAACCTTGGAGTACGTAAGATCTGGGTTTCAGGGTTTCTTCTAAAAACACCAAAGGGCATAGTATAGTCCATCCACCAAGAAATCTACAGTCACTGCGGTAGCGTCGAAGGCAACAGAGAACTGAACAGGATTGACGCCAATATGGCTCGTCACACTCGCGATAACAAGGTATCGTGAAAACTTCCTCCAAGAACTGCCTTAAATGTAACGAGGGGGAAACCTACAAGCTCCACGCCGATATATAACTGGTATGCGTAACGATACAATCTTTTGAAATAAAGTTTGGGATGCCGACAACCAACTAAGTATCGGAATGTAGAAGACATCTCTTGAAGTTGCTCTCGGTGAGGGCATTGTATATAGCGACGTTAAGCAATTGAAAAATTCAGATAATATAGATGGATACTGTGGATGGGAGGCGCGTTGAGCTTTGTCATGTATGGGCAGATCGGAACTATCATACAAGTTGCCGGGTACGATGCTGTCAATGAAATGATACTTTTTAGGCAGAGTGTGAGGAGGAAGGTGAGTGCGGTATACCCGGCAGGTCAAGTCTGAATCTAGGAACCAGAGAAACGGACCAACAAGACATACTTCAATCACTCTGGTTCGAAATATTTTTCTAATTGCCTGACGATTTTGCGTGGCATCACGGATTTCTCACTGGCATCACGATATTCCGTTGGATCACGATTGCTTCTTTAATCCCGATTTTTCGTGGCTTCCGACTGAATTATTCTTCTTGATAGCACAGATATTTGCAACTGGTGAGTGCTGAGATGATTTTGAGAAATTGTCGGGGTTTCAAACTTCGCACGGAACCCCATTGTATAAACAAGAATATGCAGAGGTATCGAAAGGATGAGATGATAATCTATGACAAACAGTGAGAGTGAACTCCTGAGGGTTAGATATTTGAGCTTATAGGTATAGATTGTAGGTACTTTCCAATCTGAGAATATTGTGAAGTAAAAAGTAAATCATACCCTAATGCTGGCTTGTAGAACCGAAATTGGCCAGAATGAAGAGGGAAAGGTGAGTTCCCTGGGAGGCATGGCCGGGTACAGTTCCGGTTGTCTATGGCCTTCGAATTGATCGATGATAAGGTTACTCCATTAGCTGACTTAGGTGAGGCTGCTCTGCTCTCAACGAGGCAGGCGATATAACTGGGACGAGAACCAGGTCTCACTATAGTCCGGGCCTAACAATCACCTGGAAGATTGGTCGGAAAAGAGCCAGTATTTGAATATACTGTGGGCAACTATTTCCCAGCCTTTCATCAAGGTATGCTGTATGCTATTGTTGGCTTCGAGGAAAGAGCCTCCTCGTTCTCATATTTCATCATGTACGGATGGCTGGAAGGCAATCACTTGTCCGCTAGTGTGGACGGGGGTGTATCCCAGCAGAGTATTACTTCACTCCTTGGTTAACGAGCATTCAGAGTTTGTTTGAGCCGTTTTCTTCCATTCTGTGATCTCGAGGTTCATTAGTAGAGATGTTCACCTCTGGACCACTAGCTATCGAGCCTTGGTTCATATGTCCCTCGTTCCCCCTGATATTGATTGTATTGAAGATCCCTTTGATACGCCTTTGGATATAAAGGTTGAAGAGCTGGGTTTGCTCATTTTATCCTGGAACGCATTAGTTCTCTGAGAGCTAAGAACGAATGGACGTTCCATAAAAAGCTTGGGCCAGGAACCTGTTACAAATATCACGTGCCTAACCCCGGCGCGTCGAGGAATCGCGTCTCCAAATCGCGCCCCTCCCACCATCGCGAGTCCAGGCCTTTCAATTACAGAGCTCGACACCACTCACCCAGCAGTGATTTGCCTGGCTCTTTGCGAGTGTATTGCTTCCCTAGGAAGCTGACTCGTTCCAAAATGGGTAAACTTATTCGGCTCGAACTTTTCAGTATGCACCCCACCGCGAACGAATGCGCCGCTCACACCAACTGACTTTTGCTCCTCCAGACTTCAAGTCCTACAAGGGTCATCATACCCTGCTGTTTGGAGATGCGTACTTCACGTCCATCATCGGACCCAACGGTTCTGGAAAGTCAAATTCGTATGTGGTTTTTTGACCCCTCAGTGTTCATCCTCTGTCAAAACCAGGCGCATCAGGGCTAACCTGCACCAGCATGGACGCCATCTCCTTTGTTCTAGGAATCAAGTCGTCTCATCTGCGCTCTACCAATCTGCGCGATCTGGTCTACCGTGGCCGCGTCCTACGCACGTCGAAAGTCGATGGCGAACCCACTACAAACGGAGATGACGGCGAGCCTGAGGAGGATCCGGATGCGATGGACGAGTCGCAGGATACAGGCAGCGCAAATGACCCCAAGACTGCCTGGGTAATGGCCGTCTACGAGGATGATGCTGGTGAGGAGCAGCAATGGCGCCGATCGATCACCAGCCAAGGTGTCAGCGAATACCGCATCAACAACCGAATCGTGACTGCTCAACAATACAACGAAGCGCTGGAAGAAGAAAACATCCTTATCCGGGCGCGCAACTTCCTTGTGTTCCAGGGCGATGTTGAGGCCATCGCGTCGCAGTCTCCCAGGGACCTCACTCGTCTGATCGAGCAGATCTCTGGCAGTCTAGAGTACAAGGCTGAGTACGAGAAGTTGAAAGCGGAGGCGGAAGAAGCTGCGGAACAGCAGACTGTCCAGCTCAACCGTCGTCGAGGTATAAACTCCGAGGTTAAGCAGTATCAGGAGCAGAAGAGGGAGGCAGAAAACTACGCCAAGAAGGCCGAAGAGCGTGACCAGGCCATCATAACTCACATCCTCTGGAAGCTGTTCCATTTCCAACGTCTCATCGATGAATCCAGTGCCGACATCCAGAAATATCAGGATGAGCTCAAGGAATACCGCCGTGGCGTCGAAAAGTACGAACACAACGTCGAGGAAGCCAAGAAAGACCATGCTCGCGTTGGCAGGGACGTCGGAAAGGCCGAGAAGAACATTGTCAAGAAAGAGAAGGATATCGAAGACCTCAACAACTCCCTGGTACCGATTGACGAGAAGATCGACATTACACAGAAGAAGGTGGAGCGTTACTCCTCGAAAATCTCGGAGATCGGCAAAGAGCGGACGGCACAGTCGAATAATGGCAAGCAGCTCGAGAAAGACCTCAAGCTCGTTGAAAAGGCCCAGGCTCAATGGGAAGCCGAATGGAAGAAGACCATGAGCAAGCAGGGAGGACAGATGAGCGAAGCCGACCAGCAGGAATATCACAAGTTGAGGGAAGAGGTTAGCAAGCGCTCATCTGCAGACCAACTCAATCTCGACAATCTTCGCCGGCAACGAAAGACCGAGGCAGAGGCCGTGAACAGTCTCAAGGGCAAGTTCGAAAGCACCGAATGGCAATTGAAGAATCTTGAATCAGAAGCCTCGACCATGAACGAGCGCAAGTCAACTCTCAACGATACCATCAAGACCACGTCGAAGGAGATCGACCGCAAGAAGAAAGATCTGAATGCTTTGACGTCGGAGCGCCTGAAAATTTCTCAGATGCGCACCGAGCTCGAAGAGAAACTTCAGGTTGTGTTGAAGAAGCTGCTTGAAGCCGACGATGGCAAAAAGCAGAATGAGCGGGAAATCCGGGCCAAGGAGCTTGTCTCAACCTTGAAGCGTATCTTCCCTGGCGTTAAGGGTCGTGTCAGCGACCTTTGCCGACCGAAGCAGAGGAAGTATGCCGATGCAGTCAGCACCGTTCTAGGCCGCCACTTTGACGCCATCGTCGTGGACAACGAAAAGACTGCTAAGGAGTGCATTCAGCATCTGCGTGACCAGCGTGCCGGCCAAGCCACTTTCATACCTTTGGAGACGATTCAAGTCAAGGCGTTTAACTCGAACCTCAAGGGTATGCACCGGGGTATGCGGCCTGCTATCGAGACCATCGATTACGATGATTCGGTTGCACGAGCTATCAGCTATGCCTGCGGTAACTCTATTGTCTGTGATGATCTCGCAACGGCCAAATACCTGTGCTACGAGCGGAATGTCGATGCCAAGGCAGTGACCCTGGATGGCACCGTGATTCACAAGGGCGGTCTCATGACCGGTGGACGAGGCCCTCAGCAGAATTCTTCCAAGCGCTGGGAGGACTCTGAAGTGGAGAATCTCTACAAGCTCAAAGACAAACTGATGGCTGACCTTGCGAACCTTCCGAAGAGTCACCGACGAGGCTCCGAGGAAGAGACTCTCCAAGGCGAGCTAGTTGGCCTCGAACAGCGGCTGAACTATGCCAAGGAGGAGTTGAAGGCTCTCGAGAGAAATATTCAGAGCAAGCGCAGCGAGCTCGACTTTGTGAAACGTCAGCACGAAGACCTGCGACCCAAGTACACTGAGCGGAAGGAAAATCTCGACGAGTTGGATGAGACTGTTGAGAATACACAAGCCACCGTCAGCACGGTCGAAGACGAGATCTATCGCAAGTTCTGCAAGCGTTTGGGATACGATAATATCCGTGAATACGAAGCCCAGCAGGGCTCCTTGCAAGAGGAGGCCTCTCAAAAGAAGCTCGAGTTCACAACGCAGAAGAGCCGCATCGAAAACCAGCTGAGCTTTGAAAAGCAGCGAATTCAAGCTACAGATGACCGGATCAGTGGCCTCAAGGCTCAGTATGAGCGTGATATGAGCCTGATCGAGGAGCTCAAGAGCGAGCAAGAGGAGATTCGCAACAACCTGGATGAGTCAAATGCTGAGCTCGAGCTGTTGCGCGAGAATCTCGAGCAGCAGAAGGAGATCTATGCGCAGTCGGCAGAGAATCTGGCTGAGCAGCGGAGGGAGCTTCAGAAGCGCAGCAAGCACGTTGAGGGGGCTCTCAAGAACATCAATGCGCTTGAAGCCGAAATCCAGCGAAACTCATCAAGCCGATATGCTCTTCTGCGACGTTGCAAGCTCGAGGACATTGACATTCCACTTACCGACTCGTCAAATAGCCTTGATAAGCTTCCTATCGATGACCTGGTGCAGGCCGCCGACCCGGATGCTATGGATGTAGATGAGGCGGACGAAATGGACGAGACTCCTGTTGTGCAAGACTACGGAATTGAAGTTGATTTCGATTCTCTGGGCGAATCGCTCAAAGAGGTATGTTGATAGTTTGGAAAGGTTCAAAATTTTTCGTTTACTAACGCTTTCTTGTATAGGGTACGGATGAAAAGCTGGAGGACGAGCTGCTTGAGAAGGTTCGCACTCTCAATAGCGAACTAGACAAGATGGCCCCGAACACAAGAGCCATGGAACGCCTAGAGAGTGTCGAGAACAAGCTTCGGAGCACCGAGAAGGACTTCGAGGATGCACGCAAGTATGCTCGAAAGGCCAAGGATGATTTCGAGGCTGTCATGAAGAGGCGATCCGATCTCTTCAACAAGGCCTTCACGCACATCTCAGAGCAGATTGGCCCTATTTACCGCGAGCTGACCAAGAGTCAAAACTACCCCCTTGGTGGACAAGCATATTTGGATATCGAGGATTCCGACGAGCCGTATCTCGATGGCATCAAGTATCACGCCATGCCACCACTCAAGCGTTTCCGAGATATGGAGCACTTGTCAGGTGGAGAGAAGACAATGGCTGCACTTGCTCTACTGTTTGCCATTCACTCCTACCAACCTTCTCCATTCTTCGTGCTGGACGAGGTTGACGCTGCACTCGACAACACCAACGTGGCTCGCATTGCCAGCTACATTCACGACCACGCTGCCCCCGGCATGCAGTTCATTGTCATCAGTTTGAAGACTGGACTGTTCCAAAACAGTGAAGCCCTGGTTGGTATCTACCGAGACCAGGTGGAGAACAGCAGCAAGTCTTTGACCCTTGATGTGAGTATTTCATCCCACCTTGTAAAATCTCTTCCGTTCTTTCGCATCCATTTGACTAACATCTTTTCCCACAGCTCCGCAAGTATACCTAAGCCTTCTGGAGAGGGTCGAAATGGATTTCATGACACTTTCTTTCTTTTTCTTCGCTTGTGTAGATTATTTCCAGTCTAGCTGACTTGTTTGAGTTTTCTTCCCCTTGCTGTCTATTAGGCGAAGTGACGGTGACAGCTGGAGCGGCAGCTTCTATTGCCGAGCCAACGTCGTATCTATCCAACATTGTTAATTGATACCATGGTTTTTCAGTGCAATTGATTAGTTGACATTATTCGGGCGTACCTGATCGTGGTCTATGTATCCCATGCGGATTTACCTGGATCCGTAGATAAGTAAACGCTCTGGTCTTTCCGTTTCTCTTCACATATGCATTCTAGACATTGTATGTAAGACTATAGTGGGATGCCGATCATAAAACACCCCGTTTCGCCGCCGACTGAGGAGCATCTGAGGTCAATAGCCGATGTCTGTCGAAAAGTGCAACGATCGCTTCTCCGCAACCCCAGATGTAACCCCCGCATCGTCATGCCGACGACCCCGGCACTAAAGACCCTGTTCGGCCAAATTTTGCTCCAATGATCAGCTTGACAGACGGCATCTTCCGCTCCTATCTGGCCTTCCAGTCGGCGAGGGCGGTTTTTGAAGGTTTGCACAATACCAAGCTCATTAGCCTACCCATGTGGCGTCGGCTATAACCGTGGAAAATAAATATACCCTGCCGCTGCCATTCAACAAGGAGGCTTAGTGTTTGTGACACTACCCACTATTCAATTCACTTGAGCATTACACCTGATAGCTCTACGAAAATTCATACCATGTTTGTTTTGTTGCTTTTCAGCGCAGCTGTGGTGGCGGCTGCGCCGTCCAGCTCTGCAATTAGTGTGAGCAAGAGGGTGCCGAAGGATGCAGCCTCAGGAGTCCTGGCTCCGTTTGTCTCGTTTTCGATCGAGTTTTCTTCTTTTCCTGACTTTGCAGGTATCTTCGTGAGATCAATCCCATGTCAGATCATTGAAATTGACTCTGAGCAGGAAACAAATCCAAGCCAAATAAATTTTCCAATCAACTGCTGGACAACCTGGCAGACCTACAAGGCGTGAAGCCTTACATTCGAGTGGGCGGAAATACCCAGTAAGTAGAATGCGTTGGGTATTGACTTGGAAACATCCATAATTTTGCTCACCATAGACAAGGGATTTCGCATTATATGACCCCAATCTTAAGACCCAGATTAATGGCACTATAGTCCCGTCCGTCTCCAATGACTATCCATATATTATCTCCATCGGCCCGTCCTACTTCGAGGCGTACAACACTTGGCCAGGTGTGAAGTTCAGCCATGGATTCAATCTCGGAAAGAATGCGACTGCGGCCATGGAGACTCTGATTTCAACTGTTCCACTAGCATGCAAAGCACTCAGCAATGACAACTTTGCCCACTGGGAGTTGGGCAATGAGCCGGATTTATTTGCCCGCCAAGTTCGCCCGGCAAATTGGACAGATGGTGACTACGTCGATGAATGGCTGTCCAAGACGCGCATTATTCAGCGCCAATTGTCCAAGGCCTGCCCCGAAATGTTGACCCAAGGCGAGTACAATTATATTGCTCCTTCATTTGCGGGTACCGCGAACCGTCTGGATCCTGTCAAAACTTGGGAAGCTGGCCTTAACAACGACCATGACGTTGGGATGAACTCCATGCATAAGTAAGTTTAAATAGGAAGCAGTTATTAACATCTGCTAGCTCTAACAATGATTAGCTACATGGGCGGCGCAGACTCTCCAGGTGTCACACTCGCTCATACTCTCATGAATCATACCGCGGTCATCAGAAGCGTTGCGAACCACGTTGCTGTGATGAACAACTTGGAGGAAAATAACTTGGCCAAAGGAATCCCCTATATCCTGGGCGAAATGAACTCCCTCTATCACCAAGGAAAGCCAGGTCTATCGAACTCATTTGGTGCCGCGCTTTGGGGCGTCGACTTCAACCTGTACTGTGCCTCTCAGAACATTCGTCGCACCCATATGCATCAGGGAACAGACTATCGATATGCATCTTGGCAACCAATTGAAACCAACAAAACATCAATGGGTACTAAAGCACCGTACTACGGCAATGCGATGGTGGCGGCTATGCTGCATGGCGGTAAAGACGGGCACGAGTCAGACGTTCAGGTGGTCAACCTCCCAATGACCCAGGAAACAGAAGCTGCCTACGCGGCATATATCAATGGCAAGCTGGCCCGTCTCGCGGTGATCAATATGCAAGAGTACAACTACACGGGTACAGATGCCGCCTCGGCCTCCCGACCATCCGCTACTTACCAGTTTCATTTGTCCGGGATTTCGAGCAAATCCCTATCGGTGCAGCGGCTGATGGCGAATGGGACTGATGCTATCACGGGTATCACCTGGGATGGCTGGTCATATAACTACGAATTGAAGGGTGGTAGCCCCGTTCGGATGGCGAATGTCACTATTGGCCAGATTGTGCAGGTGGATTCCAAGGGGTTGGTGGAACTGGAGTTGCCGTTTTCGAGTGCTGCTATTTTAAACTTCTAGTTTGAGTCTTATTAGCCTATAGATAAGGAGGGCAGATTGTGGCTTGTTAGTGAACAGCGAGATATCCATTTCTTGGGGTGTGATCAGGGGATCCTCTTTGTACAAAGCTTAGCAGGAGGGTAGCGAGTCATTCCGACTGTATGGTCAAATAATGAATGCAGTATTGGAAGTACAGAAGGGCCAAATGTACTGTAGGTTTCGGGGAACCCGTGGAGAGGAGGGTGATCGGCCCCTACCATGCGGGATCTACTACTTGTTCTGGTATCAATTTTGAATGATCGACTTTTGTTGAACAAAACACGAGCCTTGGCAATAGGAGGCTTCTCAAAAGCCTGATTATTCAACATGTATAGAACGAACTGGAACCCTCCAAAAACCGAAATGAATTGGTGCCCACTGCCACTCCGCTCCGCACTTCATTCCAAATCCCGACCACTGCGCCCCCGCTTCCTCGCTGGAAACCTACAGAGTCTGGAAATCACAGCATCACTACTTTGGAAAAAGGTATGCGCCCGATAATGATACCTACCATGATACCAAATATTGCGAGAATGAAAATGACTGAAATTGAACAATCGCGTTCAGCCTTAAGCCTACATAGTGCCATTTATCGATGCTGTAGGGTATCATTGCGGCTGATAGCCAGTGCTCCGTAGTTTTGAATATGTTTTGATGGCTTCATGAAGCCATCTGAGCCAACTACGCCAGTGGAGATGCCGATCCGATTCAAATGCAAGCCAAGATATGCATTTCCTGGTCTCTGGTCGCAGGATTTGTCGCCCTGCAATCCTCTTACAATGGGAAGTAAGCCTGCAGCACGGATGGAACCAAGGCGCCCTATACCGTACTTTTTGGGGAGTAAGAGTGCCACCCTTACCATGCTGGCGGGATTTGTGACACCGGCCAAGTGCGGAAGCTGGCATGGATGTGCAAAGCTCTCAAGGCACCAGCATGGGCGTTTAGGCCCGAGGGGGTTTTCAGATAGGGTGGTGCATCGGCCTTCGGATGTGGGTTTGCACAGGCGAAGCCAGTCGACTTTATGTGTCGCCTGCCCCGCTGCCACGCAAGGGACGCAGGCCCCCGCGCTCGGGACGCCACCTCCACTGGAAAGTTTTAGTAAATGCACTTCAGCTGAGTTAGCATTGCTTGGAATACAGCCATGAGTCAAGACGGCGTTGACAAGAACTAGGAAGTTGAGACATTGAGAAAGAGGAATACTTGGGTCGGGTTGCAGTCTTTTGACTTTCTGCCAAGATCTGGCTATGTTGTGGATGATGAGCAGAGATGGAGATGCTAGTCTGTAGCGATGTCTCCGCTTTCAGTTTCCTCTCAGAATGTTTATTGTGTTTGCTTGCTATGCTGGTCTAAAGCATCTCGAACCGTACTAAATAAAGCGGGGATAGTGGCACTAATAACCCCCCTCTAGCTCACAGACCGCGGTAGAGTCGACCAATCACCATATATATGGCTGAATTCTCCACCAGTGCATGGCGCCAGTCCGATTGGCAATAGTCAATCTACGTCAAGGGAAGAAGCAACGAGCTATCTTGGGAATATTATACGCAAATTCATAGTCAGGAAAAAGATATCCGTAGCGTCGAATAGACTTTCAGTCGTACCGATGCGACTTTTACAGGCACCATGGGCCGATAAATATGCAAATGACAGGGCTGATCCCAATTAGCTACTCCCCATGATTCCGGAACTTGCGACGATCAGGTCTTCATCTGTGATCCGCAGGCCCCTGTCTACTTGAGGCAGGCTTGATCGTCGATCCGGGACAAGGGAACCGTTCCTAATGGATGGGATGAGGACGATAGTCCCCGTATTTTGCTCAATAAATTAATCAAACAGCCGAGAACGTTGAGTTTGAGTTGACCTTCGACTTTTGTTCGGCCTGGTCTTGATATGCAATGTTTGTCGGTCGAAGAAAGGTCGCACGCGCTTCTTGGAGGATTGTTGGGCTGTGGGCAAGTCCGTAGGTATTTGTCAACAGTTAAAAGCAATGATGGAAAAAGAAAGAAAAAAAAGGGAAACAGAGCAGAAGAGCCATTATCATTCTAAGACCAGGAAGGGAAAGCTGCTTTCAAACTCGACCTCAAACCTCCACCTCCAAAGCCCTAAAGTCAAAACAATACCAGAACAGTGTGTACGGAGTACCCGTCTTGACGTCTACCCAGCGGCCCGAGTCCGACGTTCCATGGATTTGAATAAGCTCAAGATTCGATGGTTGTTTCAATGACCTTAACCGAAGAACCACGGATCATCATAACTATTGGTTACACAATTTCCTAGGCCGTTTGGCTTTTGGACCCTTCTGGACCTGGACGGGCCTGAAAAGCGGAGAAAGGGGCCATTCTGTTTCGCCGTCCTCTCCGATTAAATGTGCGCACAGACAATCGTATTGACCTGTATGAAAACCTACACAGCAAAGGGCAAGCTCAGAGAGCCGTATGATTGGGGCAACTGGATGGGCTTTGAAGGCGCTCACGACTGCGATTGATCATGCACGTACCCACCAAACCTGGAAGTCAATGCCCGCTCGGGCTCTAGACGCTTTGTACGCTGCTGGAAAAAGAGGCAATTTCATGTATACCGCATACTCTAGCTGGAACCACATAGATGCCGAGTAATTTTCAATTCGATCGGAGAATGTCTTCCCAGGTTGTGCAGTCAGAAGCGCCCTGATCCACTGCCTTGTTACAAGTGGGTGGATGAGATCGATTCTCAACGATCGGCGATCGTACGGCATGATTCGAGGTGGGATAGTTTTCCCCCAATACTTATTGGATGATCTCTCGATTTTGTACATTTAGATGATTGAGTTAAAAGGGTATACCCCCTGACAAGCTATCGCCATCTTTGCGGTTGACATTTCCACTGCGTTTGTTTGCTTTTGCGAATGTCTGGAGAAATATTGTAGATCATCGAATCCTGCCGCTTACCCTCTTGGTAGTTAGGTACTTCCAAGCTCTTAGTGAGTACCACAGCGTACGTGTACTGCCGCTACCAACCCTTCAGGGTTAATGCTCGTCAGGAAGCCGCTGTGGCTAGTGGCTTGTCCAAGCGCAAGATCGCCTGCCCCATCCCCAGTTAGGACGATCTCGGATCCCTTGAGGCTTCGAACCACGGATACCGGGCTGTAGACGCGACGAATGAGCAGCATAGAGTGACTCTACGCTAGCCCTACCTTCACGGCTGTCATTGCGCTTTATCATAATCCGCAAATGACTGACATCTCGAGAAACAACAACAACTAAAGGGCTAGAAAGGGGAAGATGTGCACTGGCGATCCGATCGCAAGCTCCAGGCCTATTGAACAAATGTACAACCGTGCAAAGGTACAAAGATCGTAAAACGCAAACCCGGAGAAGCCGCCTTATTGCCACCAGCTCAGCCCCACCCATACTTCCCTTCGTCCTTGCATCAACTAGCGAGAAGGTGGCCGATTCGCATAGTCTGGAAAACACCGTCATGCGGAGGAGGTCTGCCAATCTTCGGGCTAGACGAAGGTCACGGTACTTTGGTAGATGTTGAAACTAGATTCGGCAGGATCCTCCCTAGTGCCTTTCCTTCGTCTCCTCCAGTATAACTACGCTGCAACCCATCCTGTCCCCTGCAAATGGTGGCGGAAATTATATCCATCGGCGTCTTGCAGTCTCTTCCGGGGTCTCCCTCCGGCCAGATTATTCTACTGCTTTCGAAAAGAAAAATCATATACCCCTGAAGCGCCCCGCGTCTTCGATTAGTCTCAAGCGTCCCCAAAGCTACCCCGACCGTGAAGTGTATCAACATCAATACTGTTTCGACTCGACACGGACGACATCAAAGTTTTATACGGGACTGCAAGAATATATGCTATGGACATGAATCGACCACATCTAGGCATTGGCGATGGTCTTGAACGAAGGCATTCGGACACATCTGTGCTTCAAACAACCCAGATGGTATTTAAGAGACCCGTACGTCTAAGACATAAAAGGTGGTAGTAGGTACTAATCCATAGAATGCGTGAGATAGGCTCCAACAATGGAATTCCCACCACACCCGCACTATGCCATGATATATCTCGATCATAATGGGGAACTTCGAGTGAAAGCATCTGCCTCAATTGCCGGCTGTGGTGGCGCCATCTTCACCCCAGAGGTGACGGACAACTTTGTGAAATTGGCGGCTCCAAGCCCCATGGCCAACATGCAATTCCACCCGAGTAAGCCGGTTATCTTAGATGAAATTTCGACTGGGCGCCCCTTAACTGAGCTTATATAGGTCCCAACCACATGGCGGAACGGTCACCGTTCTGCGTTCAGCCAGGCCCTGGCCTTGTACATGCCGGACAGACGAGGCCTGCCGAGCTGATACCATGTCAGTTCCTTGATCAAAATAAGAGACGACGACGCGACTCGAGGAGAGCGAGCACATCCCAGTATAGACCCAAATCCACGTCCCCATCGCCTAATCCTCGATCAGGACATACGGTGCTCCGCGTTGGGGACCGGGACCTTCTACGACGATACTATGAAAAGGCATTCGAAGACTTCCAGCAATTGAATTGCAGAGCTATTGCCAAATCCTACATCAAGCTCGTGGAACCAAGGAAACAGGTTCACTTTCCGTACAATGGACGTAAAGTCATTGCCGGTGTATCGCAGCGTGTGGATCCGGAGCAGACCAAGCCAGCCTGGTGGCCTGTAGGTGTTTTGCACCGAGAGCCAGATCATCTTCTCAAGCGAGGTAAACACAAAACAGAACTTTACAAAATTTCTTTCGAACAATAGCTCACTCCTTACAGACCGCTTGAAGCTTCTTGTGCATATACTCTGTGAGCTCAAGGACAGCCACGGCGTCACTGCTGATAAATTACGCGAAGCTGGACAGGACGTTCGCCGTCAGATTACTCCTGGGCATCGGCTTCAAGTACTCGATGAAATTTACTTCGTGCGAGAGATGGAAGAGAGATATCTTGATGGCGATCTAGGTATGCAGATCAATTTCCTCGGCGTTCACCAGAGGCCATTTAACTCACTGGAAGTAGATGCAAATGCCCGCCTTCAGGTTATCCACACTCATCTTCCAGAGGCTATTTGCCAGGAAGATGAGTTGTCCCCGAGCATCTACGTCGCGCCTATTACAGCCCTAGATGACGAAACAGATGGCCAAGATGCGCAAGCCTTTCGAGCTGAACCCAGCCTTCAATTGGATGACGGTGCTCAATTGGGACATTCAATGCCGTTATCCCCGACAGCAAGCGACTCAAGTGGTCCCCAAAGCCCAACCTTTGGAGCATATCCTGCCGCCATGGGTCCAGGCGTGATTGCTCAGGAGTCTCCAACCACGATCAAACATATGCCCACGGAGCCAACTTATCTACCGGGGTACTATGGCCAGCAGTTCATGCCCACTGAAAAGACTGCTCCTGGGGGCTACTGGCCTGGTGTCACGAATGTCCCCCAGGTTTCCCCTTTTGGATACTAAAATAAATCAGGGGGTTTTGATATTTTCTCTTCATTTTGGGTAAAGGGAGGAATTTTGGAGATGCAACGATTCACGAATACGACTGAGAGCATTTTTTTTTGGGAAGGCTGTTTGGAAACATTTTCTGGGTTGCAATTTGTCGTTTTTGTTATGTTTTATCTCAAGTTGTACTACAATGAATAATTATCGAGATGAAAGGTCAGATTGACAGTACAATAATGGAGCTCTTGATAGATGGAGTAGAGCTGTATAATTGCAAAGAGCTCAAGTTTCTTGGAGAACAGTTTCGTCATCTTTCCCAAGCCGCTTTTCAATCATCTGTGGGTCCCAACAGGCTTCACCGCTAAAATATGAAGCATGGACCTTTGAATATCACGGATGAGATGCAGACTAATCACAAAAGAATGGCATAAGGAGATCCGTCTAGCGTCCAAATTAAGCGAAGCTCTTCCGCGGTTCCTTCCCAATCAATTCCGGAACATCAGAAGGATTGCCCTCAATGAATTGAGATCGCCATGCCGCCTCCGAGACATGATTGTAAGTTTGCCGGAATGGATTAAATGGCGCTGCAAAGACAGCATCAATTTCTTCGAGCCCTCGGCCCTAAGAGGTAAGATCCACATTAGCCTGATATTCGCGGGTGGGAAACGTGACTCAATTACCTTGGTCTCTGGAAGAAAGAAAAATGTAAAGATTAGAGCCAACAATGAAAGGCTACCGAACACCCAGCCAACCTTAAAATGGATGCCGTTTATCATATATGGAATAGCAAAGTTTGTCACAAAGGCCCAAATAACATTCCAAGAAGTGCCAATGGCTTGTGTTTTCTCACGAACAGCAGCGTTTGGAATCTCCGCCCCGAGGAGGTAGGGAACAGGGCCACCACCCATCTAGATATCAGTCAGAACGGTTCCACGGTAAGATATGATTTTGGCTTTGTAGAACTCACGTTGTAGAAGACACCAAAAAGCATGAAGGCTGCGACGACGGTGTTCTTCTCCGTTGGATAATTGTGGGATTTCTCGCCTAGCCCGGCCAGCATGTACATCCAGAAAGTCTGAAAGAAGAACGAGACCATGAGACTGAAACGACGACTATCAAATACATTAGTCTGATCAAGACTCCGAGACTGATGTCGGGTTTCTGGGGTCACTCACCCGAGTTTGTCAACCATGTACATGCATGGCAAAACAGCAAGGAAGCCGAGGCAAGCGGCAATGATGGGATAGGTGAAGGCTTGCTCCGCATATCCGTTTGTTTGATAAAATACCACGGAGTATGTGGAGACAAAAGCTTGACCAGTCGTCTGATGTCATCAATTAGCCTTATGCCCATTCAGGAAAAATGGTACGCTGACCTGTTGAAAGAAGTAGTACACGGTGACAAGCACGGTCCTGCGAAGATTGCCGCCACTGAAGAGATCGGACCACGGAGCCTTGTGTACGTTCTCCTGCAGAGCCTCGCGGATTGATTGAATCTCCAGTTCACAGTTTCCATTTGTAGCATCCGATTTGGGTCTCAGCTGACGTAAAGAGGCCAGGGCTTCCTCGTGACGGTCTTTGGACAGATGCCACCGAGGAGATGTGGGAATGAAGAATGTGACGATGATAATCACTTCACACATCGATTAGTAAATGGACCAATTTTGAAGGAGACAACTTTACTCACAAACTGGGAATACAAATTGGATACCCGTAATAGTCTTCCAACCAAGAGAGGCCGTTGTTGTAGAAAAGGCCTTGTTGACGACCGAGGCAATAATTGAACCTGCCGCGAGAAATAATTGCAAAGAGACGACGACAAGCCCTCTAAAAGATGCTGGGACAATCTCAGACTGGTAAGTACTATTTATGCTTGTTAGTCTAGCTGTGCTCCAGGAATTCCAAACCTTGGAAATCGCACGTCACATTGACTTCTACTAAACCAACCGAGATATAGACGACTATCCGGCCAACAACAAACTGCGCAAGACGTCCTGTTCCCACCCCAGTCCCAGCGGAGGTTATCTCGACTAATCGATAGGAGTAAGTAATGCCGGAATCGTGGTTGATCAAACGCAAACTCACTAATTATGCCAATCACAGAAATTGTCGATAGGCCGAAGAATACTGTACGGTGGCCATACTTCTCAATTGCTGGGCCAGCAAAGAAACATCCAGCAAACTTGCCAATAAATGCTAACGATGAGAGAAGGGATGTATGGAGGGAGTCGATGGCGTATCTTCCAGTTTTGTGACTATAAGTGCCAAATTGATTGACAAATCCCTGAAGCGAGATGAGGACCTATTCATATAATAGGTTGGCAGAATCTCATACTCACAGGATTTGCGAGTATTCCACCAAAGCTGCTTGTGTCATAACCAAAAAGAACATCTCCGACAAGAAGGCAGAAACAAGAGAATAGAAGCATTGGTGTCACCATGGACCTCGCAGAACGGGTGCTATCATCCATGATGGACATCTATTGCGAAGGTCTCAAAAATCGGGATATTGGTATAGAAAGCGCTTGAGAGCAAGATTATCTTGCGAATAAAAATTCTTTTGTCTTGCATGCTATACTCCTTATTTGCCCTCGTCAAGCTTTTATACGAAGAAGAGCGTTGCACGAGGCCTCCCCTCAAGGTTCATGGAGATAGAGCCAAGAAGGCCCATAGCGCTTCTTCACATCCGGGGTACACCATCGATGCACCAAAGCACGAGAGCAAAAGCCACTCAAATTAGAAGTAATGCTAGTCTGGACCATGGGAAAGTCCCTCGCTCGGAGTAGAATTGTTCGAGGGCTCGAAGGATTTCCGAGCGAGACCCACATTCTCCCATGTTGGGATCCACCTCGCTCGGAACCCGCCAGCCTTCGAGGATTGCGACAGCTCGCTAAGGACAGGAAAAGAATCACACGTGGAATGCCGGGAATGCTTTGTGCCGTGAGAATGATGATTTGTGAATCTAAGCCCCCCCCTCTTGGCGAGGTCTTTCGTCTAGTGCGGGGCATTGCGTATGACTGTGGCACAAAATGTCAGTATTAAATAGCCTGGATGTCCGGTCACCCAATTGAAAATTGTTAAAACCTTGCGGCATTGATAGCTTAGAAGATATCCGTAGTTACCAGTCAACTTTATCTCATCATGGGTAGCGCTCCTGAGCATGAGTCCAAGAGGCCCAATTTTCTCTTCATCCTCGCAGATGACCTGGCATGTCTTCTTCCAGACCCGGTACTCGAACGACGCTAACATGTTCTGGTGATAGGGATTCTCCGACATTGGGTGTTATGGAAGTGAGATCCAGACGCCCAACATTGACCGACTGGCCTCTGAGGGCTTGCGGATGCTGAATCACCATGCTGCCGCTGCTTGTTCGCCAACGCGCGCGATGCTCATGAGTGGAACCGACGCGCACCTCGGTGGATTGGGCACCCTCATTGAATACAAGCAGAGTAAATATGGTGCGCAGCGGTTTGGTGGAAAGGCTGGGTACGAGGGGTATCTGAACAATGATGTGGCTACCTTGCCTGAAATCCTTAGTGATAACGGGTACTTTACAGCCATGTCTGGCAAGGTAAGAGATGCCCTGCTTATGTATGATGGTGGGATGTTTGCTAAGAGAATATCGGTAACTGATCTACGTTGATAGTGGCATCTGGGACTACGTGCCAGTCAGGGACCCTCTCAACGGGGGTTTGACAAGGCTCTTGCAATGCTTCCAGGCTGTTGCAATCACTACGGCTGGGAGCCCGTGCAGGAGCGATTTCCCATGGGAGGATCCCCACTTCACACAGAAAATGGTACCAAGGTGGATATGTGAGTGATCGCTTTATGGTAGTACGAAAAGATCAAGGCTAATTTCCTGTCAAGATCTGCCAACACAACTGGAGATTCGGAAGGCTTCTACTCGACCGATTACTATACCGACCGCTTGATTCAGTATTTCGAAGATCGGTCCGAGACTGTAAAGGAAAAGCCTTTCTTTGCGTTCTTGCCATACACTGCTCCACACTGGCCCTTGCAGTGCCCCAAGGAGCAGCGTGATAAGTAAGACCCGTGGAGCACGAGACAATTGGACTCAAAACTGACTCAAATTACAGATACAAGGGAATCTACGATGACGGCCCCTATGCCCTGCGCGAACGTCGTCTGAAGAAACTCGTTGAGATGGGGATTATCGATGAATCAGTCGTTCCCCACCGGGTTGAGACAAAGACTGTCAGCTCCGGAGAGTGGGCAGAACTTACACCTGAGGAGCAGAAACTGTCTAGCCGTGCTATGGAAACATATGCAGGCATGGTGGATTCCGTTGATATCAATGTTGGTAAAGTGATTGAATATTTGAAGAAAACTGGGGAGTATGACAACACCTTTGTCGTTTTCATGAGTGATAACGGAGCAGAGGGAGCTGCGTAAGTGACATTCCATTTTGTGTGATTTTCTCAACGTTGACTAACTGATGGATATAGGCTTGAAGCAATGCGTAAGTGATCAGAAACAGCTGAAAGCTGAATGAAACTGTACTCACCGTTTTGCAGCCGTCATGGGAGATCGAATTACAGAGGCGATTCACAAGTACTATGACAACTCGCTTGATAACATCGGCGCCTTCAATTCTTTTACTTGGTAAGAATCTTCCCACTTGAACTAGGAACACTCCTAACGTCAAAATACCAGGCTCGGACCGCTCTGGGCGCAGGCATCAACAGCACCATCTCGACTATTCAAATGCTTCCCATCCGAAGGAGGCATCCTGGTTCCATGCATCGTCAAGCCACCTGTGAACACTTTCCAATCTTCCTTCACGCCCGGTTCATATGTTCGATCGTTCACAACTGTAATGGACTTTTTGCCGACCTTCCTCGAACTAGCGGGAGTTCCCCAACCGCCCGCCGTAGAGAAAACACAAGTCATCGGCTCTGGCGGAAAAATCACTGCAACTCGAAAGATGACCACCTTCCGAGGCAAAGACGTCCATGCACCGCGAGGAAAGTCGTGGATTCCATTCTTCTCCAAGGGCCAAAAGGTTGAGCCCAATGAGACATGGCACATTCACTCATCCACGGAGCCCATTGGATGGGAACTTTTTGCCCAAGGCGCCCTTCGTAAAGGTGACTGGAAGATTGTACATATCGCCAAGGCCCGAGGCGGCGCTGGCGAAGGTGATGATGGTTGGGAGTTGTTCAATGTTGCCAATGATCCAGGAGAGACAACGGACTTGGCACAGGCTGAGCCGGGAAAGTTGGCTGAACTACTCCAGCATTGGGAGGAGTATGTCGTCGAGTGTGGCCTTGTCTGGGGAGAGGGCGCGATGGCTCCTGGATTGGGGAAGGACGAGGCACCACAATTTTGGCAGGATGAGACAGAGCTGCAAAAGGTGTGGATGGGTGCTCAAGCAGGGTCGTGTCCGGTTATCTGTGAATAATTTCCTGTAACTGGATGTATCAGTTTTAGATAGACCAAAGAAAATTGCTTGCTATGTTTGCATGAACCCGGTAGCACAGCCCATCAACTGCCACTAAATGACCATAGAAATAAGGACCACCGAGTCAATGATGATTTACAGGCAACGAGATGGCCATCTCGAGGAATCTTAAGAGGAATTTTCCGCTTTGGGCCAGCCGAAGTAATGCCGTTTGAGTGGGGCCCCCGCACTATTGCGCCAGACCGCGGCTCAATGACCACATAACCTCTCCCTCTCCACCTCTTAGGTTCTCTCAAGCCCGTCAAACGATATGCATGCAAAATTCTATCATCCTGGTAGCTCAGGAATATATGGAATATGTACGGTTCAGACGCAAGTCAGCCTGATATAAGGCCCCATCTGCAGAGTGACGCGTCGCCACGGTCAAAAGCCGTGATCCACCGCACCCAAACTGGTTGTCGTACCTGCAGATCAAGAAAGGTGAGAGCCTTGTCTTACCCGGCGATATTTCAAGACTAACCATGAGAGCTCCTCAGGTAAAATGTGATGAGAAGAAGCCGACCTGTTCCCGCTGTTACAAAGCCAAGAGAGAATGCCGTTGGCAAGGCCCGGATCAAAAGCGAGCAAGGCTATCTCGACGCCCTAATTCTACAGCATGTTCTATTTGTCGAGAGAAAAAGGTATTTGCTCAGAATTTGTCCTTCATTAAGCCCAATTTGACCCGATTAACAGCTCAAATGTTCCGGAGATGCACACAATGCCTGCGAAACATGCAAAAGCATGGGTGTCGAGTGTGTACGGTCCCTATCACGCAAAGCCGGCATACAGGAAGACGTACTTCCTTCACCAGCCAGTCAGTCCAGCTTCAAAACCTCGCCATTTCACCAGGTTTCCGGAGATGGGACACCAGGATTGTTGTTATCGACCGAACATGATGGCCTGGAAGCAACGCCACTAGGTCATCTTCCAACAGGAGAAGAACTGGGAAAACTAATTGAACTTTACTTCGAATCCGTGCATCGTACGTATACCACGTGTTTGCATTTCGTGATATGTAGACTGACTATAAAAGATTTTGGTTTCTTTGCTTTCATTCATCAACTCCATTTCAATCGCCTTCTCGCCGAAGGAAAAGCCCCGCGCGAGTTGACTCTTATGATGATTGCCAGTGCCTCTCGGTAACTGAATCTGCCCTGTGATTTAAAATGAGGGACTAATTTTCCTTGAAGATTTGTAGGAGACCCATCTTCAGAAAACCTAGCGAGGGCTGATGCTTGGGCTGATGCCGCCCTTGAGGCTCTCCTCCCTCGTATCTATCAGGGGTTCGGAGCGGTACAGCTTATGGTGGGTCCTCGATCTTTGATGGGTGGCACCACGCTAAAGCAACTAGACCGTTCTATTAGCTCAACACTATGAGCTCAATCGAGGGAATTTTACCTCTGCTTGGCTTTTAGCGGCGAACTGTACGCGGTAAGCAAGTAGCTCTGGTCTATTCTCGCCGGCGCATAAGAGTAACAGATTTTAGAATGATGCAAATGATGTCCCTACACACCTTCGACCGAACTTATCCCGCCAAATTTCCCTCTCATCTACAGCTTTCACCCCTTCTATCTCGGGAAGCCCTTCGTCGTCTCGCATGGAGCACATTCTTCTTCGATTCCATGATTGATGGAGGTCGATATGGCTTCCACTCCGTTGATGAAAACTCATACCGTCTGCAACTACCTTGTGATCAAGCCAGCTTTCTGGGGAATGAGAACGTGGTGACAGAATCATTATTTTCAGAGTCCGATACTACTACTCGAGCTACCACTGGAAATGCCCGGCACGCGCCGCTGGACATGTGGGCATATGTTCTACGAATCGCAGCTGCTAGACGTCGCGCACTACACTTTGCCTTTCGGGCTTCTCATCGTGAAGGAACAATTGAAGAGATGGTCGCCGAGCTTGCTACAATCGAATCAGATATCGAATCGGTTGTTTCTGACCTACCGAAGCGGTTTCACTTCAATGCTGACACTATGTTTATTCACCGTGACCGGCTGATGACTTTCCTTCTTTTACATGTCCTGCGACACAATTTATTCATTATTCTTGGCCGAGCAGCACTGTTGGTTTACCAGCGCGACTCTAGCAAGGCAGATCTTGTGGTACACGTGCGACGAAAAAGGATATCGCATGCTTTGCCGATTGCGAGTATCCTCGCCGAGGGATTGAAGGTGGGGATTGTTTTGGATCCGCATCTAGGCGTTCAGGCCTACGTTACCCTAGAAAGTGAGGGAATAGATTTTGCAGTGATGTGAGTATAAGCTAACACGGTTACAATAGTCCTTCTTTTCGAACCGCGGCGGTTGGCTGAGATCGATCCCTATGTCGACCCTAAAGCTCCAGAGTTGATGGCAGCGATCCCAAACCTGCTGACTGTGATCCGGAATCTTGCACGTCGGTCGGAGGGGATAAAGCAGCTGGTAAGCGATTCTGCTTCTCTGGTGGGTCTGATACTAATCTCGTCAAGCATATCGAGGCTGTCCATCGACTGTTACGGTTCGACTGTGCCCAATTTTTAAATCAAGGCGATATTGAAGCGTTCCACAGGTTTGTCACTTATTCTATGACCGGCCTACAGTATACCTGATGTACTTGCAGTGAATACCGATTAGTCGGACAGGATCCAGCCGAGTTTGACTTTCGTGATTTCAGATGGGCCAAAGTTGAGCGAATCCGCCGAGGTGCTCGATCAGCTGCTATCGGCGGGGGTGATGAAGTGCTACTCGAGTATCGGGTAGACGGAGATACGTCTGCTCATACCGTTGTACCCTCGCCACGTCTAGATGCTATTAATGTTAACAGCGGATTGGGCTGGCCTCCTACCGTGCACTCTGCCCCATCGGCCGCTTCCCACGAGTTGGGTCTACCCGAGGGACATGGCTTGGATGCTGGTGGTTTAGATTCGACGAGGTCAGGGTATGGGCTTATGGATGAGCCATCACTTGACTGGCCGTGGTTGTTGGAAGAGTCAGGGCCATCTGTGTATCAGACAGGGGATCCTGAGACCTTCTGGAGTCAGCTTGAGCGAATATGAATACAGCAGTGTGTGAGAACTCCGATAATGTTCAGGACTATCTGCAGTATGAAGCATTCTGGGAAGGCGTCCGGTAGCTGTCATATCCTGATCTAGATGAATTCATGTGGCAGCCTCAACTGTGCATATGGCGACACTCGGTCATTTCCCCGGTCATCTGATCGGGCCAGACCGAGCTGACGGGGATTTTTGTTACTACTGAAGTATGCTCAAGTAGTATACCTCGGGTACTTCGTTCTGATGGATTTGGTTGTTTGATCCCCACCCTTGCCACAAAGATCAGAATCTTCTCATCGTAGTGGGGCTATTTTATCGGTCTGTGCGATGTAAATAAGACCCTGAAGATGTTTTTTTGACCAGACAAAGCGTCGTGTATATCGACCAGTGTTAAGCCCAGCTATACTCTTGCCGATATATCGTATCGCGGCTATTCGACAAATACCAGAGTCAGCCTCGGCCCTCTGATTTGTATGATCGAAGTCTCAATTTTGGCTTGAATCTGATTTCAAAACAAATGATTGACTCAGCCCATGAGTCAAGAGGCAACTCTGCACGAGTGAAGGTCAAAGCCTCTAATCGGGAATTGTGTCGTTGGTTGGATGAGAAAACCCCAGCATGTGGCTCGGACGGGATCACCTGATTGGCTCTGATTTGGTCCAATGGCCGGTCACCGCCGGGGCGTGTGTTATGACGGAGCTCCCTGGTTGCTTCATCAACCTGCTAACCTTCCAGTCTTCTCCAAATATCCAACCTGGACTTGGCCTTAGTTTTCCCCAACTGGCCCCTCATCTTGACGCCGTTTTCGTGTGAGATTCCACCTTCGTTGCATACACTTTGTTTGGCTCGCCAACCACAACGCGCTTGCGACACCCGCGTGATACTGTCCGTGGTCCTGACAGTCCGATAAGGTAGGGTACAGTTCTTTTGCCCTGCCCCTCATGGCAGATCATCGAAGATGCGCACAGATAAGAAGCCCGGTGGCTGCTCTGTCGCCTGTCTTCTGGTTGCGCAAAAATTTTTGTTGTCACGATGGGCATGCTAACGTTCGGTCGCTTCCTCAGCCGACCCTATCCCCATTATCGGGACGGTCCAACCCTCTTCTCCTTCCAACAACAGTTCCTCATGGAGGAATCCAGCGCGCGAGAGCGCCGCACGTCCGTCTCCACCATGGGCGCGGATTCGCTGGCTACTACACCGTCTATCGAGGAGATGGTCGACAACCCTTTCCTTGATGACTTCGAACACGATGACTATTACTCGCCGCCCGCCTCCCCTGGCAAGCTTTCGCGCAACCCGTCCTTTTCCAATAGCAGCTCCTACCAGGAGGACTGGGAGACTTTCCCGCCTTTGGACAAGCTCACCATCTTCGATCTCCTCGACAATATCCAGCTGTCACAACGGTTCGAGAAATGGCAAAATGCGCTCAACATGCAGCGGGAGAGGGTGCGCAAACAACGCGAGAAGCTGCGGTCTACAGGGATGAACGCGAAGGAGCGTGTGGTGGGCGAGTTCAAGCGTCGAGTGCCGACCGCCGATGAGCAGCTGGAAAAGTACCGCCGACGCATGAAAGATGGCGTCGAGCGCCTGGGTAAACAGTGGAACAAGACGGCCACTGTGACCCTGCGCGAGAAGCTCTCTTTCATCGCTGGTGTGCTCAACATCTTCATCAGTGGCTATCTCATCGGTGCCTGCCCACAGCTCTTCTACTACTGGTTCACCGCGCAACTCGCTTACTTCATGCCTATCCGCTACTTTACCTACCATGCCAAGGGATACCACTACTTCTTGGCCGATCTCTGCTACTTTGTCAACTTTCTCTGCATGCTCTCGATTTGGGTGTTCCCCGGTTCTAAGCGGTTGTTTATCAGTACTTACTGCTTGACCTTTGGAAATAACGCGGCGGCCATCGCCATGTGGCGTAATTCTCTGGTCTTCCACAGTATGGACAAGGTGGTCAGGTACGTTCACCCCAATACATACACAAGATATTCGAGCAAAAGGGCTTTCGGCTGACTTATTTCGTTCCACCAGCCTGTTTATCCACATCATGCCCCCAGTTACGCTACACTGCATCGTCCATTTGACCCCGGTCGAGATGCTCAAGGAACGGTTCCCAGCTGTCTATGCCATCAAGTTCAGCCAGCCTGGTGATCCAGAGCACTACTCTCTGTTTGCGATGATCATCTGGGCCACCGTGCCGTATCTGTTCTGGCAGCTGATGTATCACTTCATGATCACCGTTCGCCGCGCCGACAAGATTGCTGCCGGGCGCCCGACCAGCTTTACCTGGCTTCGCAAGTCGTACGCCAAGGCCTGGATTGGCAAATTTGTCCTCAGCCTTCCGAATGCGCTGCAAGCACCAGCTTTCATGTTGATTCAGTACACTTTTGCCTTGTCCACCATGATTCCCTGCCCCATCTGGTTCTGGTCACGATGGGCGAGCGGTATCTACATGTCCGCCCTATTCATCTGGAGTATCCACAACGGGGCGACCTACTATATCGATGTCTTTGGCAAGCGCTTCCAGAAGGAGCTGGAGCAGTTGAAGAAGGATGTTGTGCGATGGCAGAGTTCCCCCGACTTGGCTACTAGCCCGCTCACTCTCCCTGATAGTTACACTCCAGTCAGTGGTGCTCTCGGTGCACCTGCTCCCTTGGAAAAGCGAGGCAGCATCGATCGGATTCCACTCCTGGATCCCACTTCAGCATCGGTGACTACCACTACTGCCCATGAGGCTCCTGGAGCCGCCGATTCCACCGTTCGTCAGCGATCCTAGCCGTTAGGCTATTTCTTTCCTTGATATCACATGATACCCCTGGCGCACACTTTTATTGTTCCCCGGATATAATCTTCACGTTTAGCATGCACAGTTCTGATGCCTGACATCGGTCTCTAACCCTGCGTCTTTTGGATTTCTGAGTTTTGCGTGTTTTTTCAAATGCTCGGACAGGTTTATACATATTGTCATTTGATGGGTGGCGAGCCAACTGCATATTCGATCGTTATGAGATTGCCACGAGCCCAATGATATGAACATCGAAATAATTCTTACACGTACAATACTTGTTTCACCTCGTAGATCTCCTCATTTATCTGACGTTCTACCTGAGCGGGTCCGAGGCGGCAACTCCGTTCGGGACCGACAGGATTTCCCTTGGCGGGATCGGCAGCCATCGCCCGCGCTACTTGAGTCACCCAATTAACTCCGACTTCAAAAGCCCGAAGCCGGATTGTATCACGTGATGCAAACGTGATGATCTCGGGCGTCACAGACATCTTTCCGGCTCCCAATTGTCAGCCTTTGATTTATCCATCACCATTCATATTCGAGTCTGCCGTGAATCATCGTGATATTGTCAAAGTATCCCCTGTTCGTTGTTGTTGCTGCGCTATTCCGCAGTCGCCTGCTCGATTCCTCGGGCTCGTCCCTATTCCTTCCTCCCAACATTTCCGCAAATGTCCGCCACAATGAGATCAGCCCGCCTGGTGCGCCAGACCAGCGCATTGCGACCGGCGCTGACCGGTAAGTTCGTTCTGAGGATTATGATTTATGTCTCTTCAATTTATCTAATTCTCTTTTTTTCTTGAATAGCTCGCTCTCGCGCTAGCGCATTGGGCCCGGCTTCCCTCGCTGCGGCCAACAGCCTGCTTTACAATGGCCGAGGCATCCCAGCGCAGGTGTCCGCTCTCGCCATCCTCCTCCCCCAGCGCGGATATGCCACCGAGCATAACACTTCCACTTCGTCTCCCCAGTCATACCCGCCGCCTGGCTTCAATGCTGAACAAGCCAAGAAGCCGATTCCCCAGGAACAAGCTCAGACCGTCAAGCCTGTTGCCTCATCGCAGTCGGAGGTTTCCAAGGTCCCTGCTCGCGATGTGCCTACCAAGGCTGTCATAGTCGAGAATGCTAAGAACTTGGCTGAGGAGAAGAAGGAGACTAAGAAGTTGACCATTGGTCAGAAGATTAAGAAGGAGGTTCAGCACTACTGGGATGGCACGAAGCTGCTTGCCACAGAGGTCAAGATTAGTTCGCGGTTGGCACTGAAGATGGCGGGTGGTTATGAGCTCAGCCGGAGAGAGCACCGCCAGGTATGTGGTCATTGTCTAAACTGACACCTCGATCCCATGGCAATTGCTAACTCGTTTTTTCGTATAGCTCCAACGTACCGTCAAGGATCTTGGTCGCCTGGTTCCATTCTCGATGTTCGTCATTGTCCCCTTTGCCGAACTCCTGCTGCCAGTCGCCCTGAAGCTCTTCCCCAATATGCTTCCCAGCACCTACGAGGGCCAGAAGGGCCGCGAGACCAAGGCTCTTAAGCTGAGCTCGACCCGCAAGGAGGTTTCTGCTTTCCTCCGTAACACACTTCGTGAGACCGGTCTGCCTTTGACCGCAGCTACCGTCAAGAACGAGGAGTTTGCAGACTTCTTCCGCAAGATTCGTACTACGGGCGAGTCTCCTTCCACCGAGGGCGTTATCAAGGTCTGCAAGATCTTCAAGGATGACCTGACCCTCGACAACTTGTCGCGCCCGCAGCTCGTCGCTATTTGCCGCTATATGAACTTGAATTCCTTCGGTACCGATGCCATGCTCCGCTACAACATCCGTCACCGTATGCGCCAGATCAAGCGTGACGACCGTGCCATTTCCTACGAGGGAGTGACCTCGCTGTCCGTGCCTGAGTTGCAGATGGCCTCTGCTAGCCGTGGTATTCGTACTCACGGTGTCTCTCCTGCCCGTCTGCGTGAGGACCTGTCCATGTGGTTGGACCTGCGCCTCAAGCAGGGTGTTCCTTCTACCCTGCTGGTCCTGAGCAACGCCTACATGTATACTCAGGGTGGCAAGGAGTCCGAGATGGCCTCCCAGATTGATGCCCTCAAGTCGGTCCTCTCCAGCATCCCCGAGGAACTGTTCCACGAGATCGAGCTCGAGGTGCACAACGCCGAGGGTGCTGCTACCAACAAGCAGCGTCTGGAGGTTATCAAGGAGCAGGAGGAGCTGATTGAGGAGGAGAATGAGCAAAACAGCGAGAATGAGGGCAAGGGTCTTGTTGCTCCTAAGGACATCGAAGATATCGATGAGAAGGAGGAGCACAACAAGCTTGAAGCCGCTGCTCAAGGTACCGAGAAGCAGTCCTCCGAAGCGACCGAGGCGATGGCCGAGGGCGCCAAGGTTGCAGAGACTCCTGTCGCCCAGGCAGAGAAGAAGCCGGGCCAGAGCTCGTAAGTTATGAATAGTTTTGCTTTGATGGGGTAGGTTGGGTTGGTTCTGTTACTATAGATCTTTGTCTTACTATGTTTTTGCTTTTTGTTTTATTCTGGCTGCTGGCGACTCTTCGGTTCTCATCTGTGTTATCTCACCGCTATGTCGATAGACTTTCATTCCCCCTTTTACACATCTCCCCCATTCTTTCATCTGTTCATCCCGTCATCCTGTTGGCTTGCGCCTGATCAGCCATCTTTTGCTGATGTTGGAACACGCTCTTTCGCTTTGCTTTACTTTCCTTTCCCCGATTGTCACGTCTCATATCTCATGTTTGGAGAGCTATACCGCCATCCCAGGCCTTTGGTGTCGGCTACCACTTGTCTTTCCACATGGGCAAGACTGAAATTGAAAATATCCCGTTGATGGTCAGTGGACAAGAGAGAGACATTCCGCCCCCGTGACGTGGGTTGTTGTGGTTGGAGGCGAAAAGCGCCATTCCATTCCTGTATTGATAGAAACTATAGCAAATCACATGATGCATTCTGGATATGTCTCACACTGTAGAATTATAGAATTATAGAATTGTCGGTTTGGAGTATTCCCATACAAATTGGAATTGGAGTCCCGATTAGGCAAGAACATTGGTTATGACCGGATTCCAGGTCAAACAACCACTCCCCCTTTCCCCCCTCCGATGGCCTAGTTGGTATCCACCATAAATTGGTGAACCATAGGTGTGCCCTAGAGGAAAGGCAAACAAAAGAAGAAAAGAGTACTGGGCCAGTGTTGACGCTTCGAGCCCCACGGACGGTCGGGCACACCCCTAGGCGTGGGGGTGAGGGGTTCATTTTTTTGGCATTCTTTTTAGTGATAATATTTTGTATTGGAAATCTATCTTGGATATTCATATTTTATTATTCTAATTCTCTAACAGTCTTTCTGAGGGTATTAGGAAGGTGTAAAGGCTATATCAGGCGGCACTGGAAACTGGCGATGTTCTTCGGTGCCCGGATATAGCGACGTAGCAACGGTGGCGAAGTATATAGGGAAAGACAAGGTTGGCGGTCGATTCATGGAAGTGGAGAATTTATCAATTTCAGACCAGTAGAACTGTCTATTTGTAGTATTCCCACTAGAAATTCAGAGAAAGCAAACTAATCTCCAGCTATAGAGTACACACCTAGCATATCGGACCATCGGTCTATTCCAGCGATCTCCATCATCTCGGCAGCCCATTAGTCACCGGACCTCGGCTACCACGCTTACTCCAGCGACAACCCTGGATCGTTCCCCGCGACCAGTTAACTAATCAGCCCTGGGAATCTGGGGCTCATAGACCAGGGTACGACCGCACGATCCATTTACACTTTTTTACTACATCTACATCGTCATCCCGAGTGCGCGGGATGAGACGACGACATCTCCAGCTGCTTGAAACTATCCGCCGCAGCAGCACACAAGACTTCAAGTTCAGACATACTAGTCCCAGCTTTCCCCGCAGCTTTAGCAAGTCACCGCAACTTCTTGGGCGAACGCCGACGCCAACGAGCTTGACAGCTATGGCGCCCCTCAATCCCGCTTCGCAGGTACGTGTAACGATTTTCTGTGTCTAGCCGATTTATCGTATGCATGGATAAGTTGGGAGTTTGTGAGGGGATTCGGCTTGATTTGCTTCTTCGTTTTCTTCGTTGGTGCTGTTCATGTTCGCTGGAGACATGACTCTACTGCTAGGAGGTGGAATGAGATATTTGTCGTATATCGTGTTCTCGTCATTTGCCTATGATATGGCTACCGCAGTGTTGAAGATTTGAGTTTCACCTTGAAGTCTCACACACACTTCGCCTGGGATTAAGGGTCTCACCACTTTTCAAGCGTTCCTTGGAATTGAATCCTCGCTGTGGATGTCCATCCATCCCCAACCATCACTCAGCGAAGAAAAACAAATGGCTGAGACCCAACCCGGTGTCGCGTGCCTGGAAGAGAGACCAGCAAGACCCGAAAAACAAGCAAAGCAAACAAAACGCTCAGCAAATAACACACCAAATGAATTGAACTCTAAAACTGACTCTGAAATATAGGAAGCCATCGATCGACTCCGCAGATATACACCCCCGCCAACGGCATATGGTCAAGTGCCCTTGTCCAGGCGGGCGGCGGTGTTGATTCTGCTTTATGCCGATCTCCAGGGTGACCTGAGAGTTGTGATTACGATTCGGGCCAAGACATTGAGTTCGTGTACGTACCTGTCCTTCCCCTTATCCTGGGTCCTGCAGTACCCTAGAGAGTACATGGCTAGCATCCCAGTCCCGGTCCTTGGCCTTGGTCTTGCATGGTCTTGGCCTAGCGTGGGCTGCGGAGTGGTTGTCTATGGATAGCCCTATTTTCAAAAATGGGAGCTTGCAGTAACCGATGCTGCACGACATTGCATACGCAGAGAGCTAATCCTGTTTGTTTTTGACCGTGTCTAGATGCAGGAGAAGCTGCTTTACCTGGAGGTACGTTTGTTTGCATAGTTCGAAGGCTTGCCTAAAAAAGGAACGAGAGCGATATCCTCCCCCGGAATTGAGATCAACACGGCTATACCCGAAGTTAGAAAGAGGTGGAAATCCAAAAGAAAAAGAAAAAAAACCTCGTTTCTCCAGATTACTTGAGGTAAAAAAAGAAATAAGAAAAAAGGGGGAGAAACATGCCAGAGATAACTGTGCAACCTCACTATCCCCCCATCATTCTACGTGGCTTCGATCTATGTCCCCACCAACGTTTTTACCAACGAAACTCACTAACTTGACTCCCACCAGGCAAAGCAGACACCCTATCAGAAACAGCCTTCCAAACCGCCCGCCGCGAAGCTTGCGAAGAGATCGGCCTCCCGGATATCAACCAGCCACTGCCGCCACCCTTCTCGGTCGAGCATCTCTGTGAGTTACCGGCCAACCTAGCCAAAACAGAGCTGGTGGTGCGGCCGTGCGTTGCGCTGCTGCACTCGTTTGACCCTGTTACGGGGGCCAATGCGGATCCCGAGACGGAATTGATTCCTCGACTGGATGCGCGTGAGGTGGCGGCTGTGTTTACGGCGAGGTTTGATGATTTTTTGAGATTGGTTAATTGTGAGGGGAGGGGGAGGGAGATTGGTATAGGGGTTCTTGGAGTTTGTGGCATCAAAGTCAATGGCGGAGTAAGTCAAATATTCTCTTCTCTTTTCTCTCTATCTTTTTGTTCGGTTATCTTGACTCCGTTGTGAGTTGTATACTCTACTGTATGGAGTATCTCCTCCCTACATAGTCCTGGCGGACTATTTCCCTTTTCGGGTACATTCCGTTGCCTGACGAAGCCCCCATTCCTCATCTTCGGGGCTGCCGCGGCGTGGTTTGCCATGGCGTCTGTTCTGCTTTCTGCAGTCCAGCCAGCCCGGCCCCTTCATACTCCACTTTCCACCGTTCTTCCTACGAACGGGTTCGATCAGAGATACACACCACATGGCTCGGCGCGACAAGCGTGGAAAGGGGTGGGCCGGCTGTCAAGCCCAGACCCACCCCGTTTCATAATTGCTTTCTAGGGATAGCAAAAAGAGCCAAGGGAACGATACCTAGTTGGGAGTATGGTTCGCTTCTTTCTATTATGATTTAATAATAGATTTCTGCGAGTGCGAGTATACAGGACTGCAGTTCGCAGTGTCGCACCAACCATGCTCCCGGTGGAGATCGAGATCGTCAGGAGGCAAAGACACACCACCTTGTTTCCCTTGCCCCTTTCTTTATTTTTTGATTCTTGATTCACCTTGCTTTTTTCTTTCATCGTTCCAGAGATGAGATCCCTACCCCAGCAAAAGAGGGAAAGAAAAAGAAAATCAAAAGTCAAGAAAGATATTTAGCCAAAAAAAGAAACAAAAACAAAGCTAATCAAACGGGAATAGTGCACCAATTCTTCGTCCACAGCACCAACCACGCCATCAAACCCCACAGCCCGAACAACAAAGCCCAAAACGCCGCCGTCGACAAACTCACCCACCAAGAAGAAACGGGTCAAGTCCAGCACTACCGGGTCTTTGGAATGACGGCGCGGATTATCGTGGACGCGGCGCGGGTCGCGTTCGCGCGGGAACCGGAATTCGAGCATAATAGCCATTTTGGAGATGAAGAGATGATTAATAACTTACGCCGGTTGGGCCGGTTGAGTCAGGTTCGGAGGCCCGGGGATGAATTGACCAGGGAGATGATGGAGAGGGCGGCCAAATTGAGTTAGATTATAGAAGAGTGGAGAGTGGAGGTTTGGGGATAGTACAGCCCTGTAGAGGTCTAGATGGAAGCGGGGACGGATGATGGATGTACAGAGTACATAGTATGAGTATGCATTTATGGTATATTTTCTGTGTATATTGTTCCTAGTGAGAGTACTAAGAATAAGATAGCCAGCTAAGCCACTGGTGAGGCTGCCAGTAGTCCAATACCCAGTTCAGCCCTGAGTCTTGACAAGCAGAAGAAAATGCAGACTAGCTTACTATAACTATACTCGGTTAGACTGAATAGCTGAGAACCATCAACCATGTGTTTGGCAAAAAAAAAGAATTATCATCATTTAATATTAATCAAACCCATCATCATCTATCATTCCCATCGGGTATATCTGACAGGAACCGGATTGTCCACTCTCTCGTTCGGGTCTAGTGGCCCGTTAATCAGCCCCCAGCGATGTCCCAGTAACCAATCGATCCACTCGAGTCGATGAAGGAGCCCCCGTTAGGCTGTTAGCTTCCCTCCCCTCTCTCCCGTTAGTGAACTACTGTATGTGCTGGCTGTCCTAGGCCCACCCTCAGGCCCCAGTGGATCCTAACTGGTGCAAGGGTTTCGGAGGGACTAGTGACGATCCGGCGTCCTGCATGGAGTTGGTGTCCTTGCGTGGCGTCATCAGGTTCGGGTTTTTCAGGTTCAGGTTCAGGTTCAGGTTAGGGACAGGGATTGTTGTTTTTGTTTTTTTGTGGCATTGGGCTGGTTGGAAATTGTAGTGAAAAGGGGGTAATTACATAGCTTGGGGACAGTACATAGTTGAGTTAGTATGACCTGGGGTATATATGGAGTAGTACTTCTACTATCCATGGAATCTCCGGATATACACTTTTTCCAAACATAAGCAGACTAAACTATTACTAGTGTTAGTTATTCAAGTCGTCTGACTCCTCACGAACCTCCACATCCCTTGCAGGTTTCCCGTCCGTGCACAAACTCACTCGGTTCTTCCTCCATGACGGGGACGCCGATCGCTTGCTAGGACTCGAAGTGGAGTTGAGGCTTGCCCAGCTTATTCCTAAGGGCATACTTTCCAGATAACTCATAACTCGTTGACTCGTTGACTCGTTCATTTTCGGTCCTGGCTATCTTCTCCAGAGTTAATCTCCTCCGTCATTCTTCTTCCCCTCGCGTGGTTTCTTGCCAGGCACACGAGATTTGCATCTGTTTTGCAGCTGCAGGAAGCCCCCGAGAAAGCATAAATCCTGCTATACTGATGCGGTTAACATGCTGATCTGGTCAAAGAGACTCACATATTCCTTATATTAGTATACTTTCTTTTCCCCTTCCCCTCTCTGGCTTTCTCTCCTCTTTTCTTTGTTCCAACTGTTCCAATTCCTTGGGCCTCGAGTCCTGCCGACGGTCGTTTTCTTTGTCGACCCTTGTGGATGACGAGTTTCTCTATTCTCCATTTCTACTCTTGACTCTTCACACTTCAACTCGCCTTCCTGCATCCTTCTCCCTCTTCTCTTGCCCTTCTTCCTCTCCGAGTTCCCTAATCGACACAATTTTGAGTCTCTGCGATAATCCGCCGACTGCCACAACCCTTCGATCTCCATTACAATGCTCTCCCCCAACTATCCCTACGCTCGTTCCCCGCCTCCAGTACGACCGTCCCGGTCGCTGGAAGGCCTCGAGCGAGTCATTCCTCCATCAACACCTACTTCACCCTACCCGCCCACCATGACCATGGGCTACTCCTCTACCACTCTCTACAAATCTCCGTACTCACCCACCCGCTCCGACCTCTTCCTCAATAAGCCACTCCCCGCAAAACCCCTCCCGGACGCCCCGCCCGAGTACTCCGCCATGTGGAGTGACTCGAGCGACGACGATGACAGCGACAACGAAAGCGAAATCAGCGTCGACAGCACAGTCGCCGGTCCCAGTGAACCCCGTAACTCAACAGAGAGTTATCCCATCTTTGTTTCGGGCTCCGATGATTATGGCGATTTGGTCGATCACTCGGCCCCCGCAGATCCAAGTTCGCATCCCGATGGCGTTAGTTTGGGTCTGATCCGCTCTTCATCTCCACCGACCATCGCCGAGGAAAGTCGTTCGCGCACGGACTCGGTCCAGTCCCTGGTCGAGTCGGTGTGTAAAAGCGAAGTGGAGGAGGAGGAAAGTGAAACCGACTCGGCCAATAATTCCACGACGTCTAGATCGGATGCACAGTATGGCCGATTATCGCAGTGGTCGCAGAACCGCAGTGGCACGAATCACTATTTTCGAGAGAAGAAGTGGGATTTCTTCCCCGAGTTGGCGACCCCGTCGGCTCAGGCTGGACAGTCTGGTGTCGGTGGTGGGCGGACGAGTCCGGCTTTGCGGAGTGTGAAATCACGCAAGAAGGATGGTCGTTTGAATGGTTCCAAGTCGTGTCGGTGGCATTCTCTTGATAGGGCTGGTCTGGGATTGGCATATGGCGTGCGTCATTCAATTAAGACCTATGTCCACCGTACGCTATCGCGCGACTCGACAGAAGCCAAAGCCAAGGAGGCTCTGCGCCCGTCCACGGCCCCAGTCGATGTCCTCGAAGGGCACGCCTTCTACCGTCCCGATGATATCAAGGTGATGCCTCATTCCGATGTCAACATTCAACTCCGCACACTCTCCATCTCGACCGCCTCTACAGCCAGCGAAATCCCCCCAAGCCCGGCTAGCCCACGCTCTTACCAACGCCATAAGCAACTCGCCGTGCCAATGTCGAACTATCAAAAGTACGGGCCTGCAATCTGGGAATCTCCCAAGAAGTCCAAGAAGAAGACTTCGCAGAAGCAGTTGTACACAGGTACACAATCTACTCCTACTTCCCCGACTGCGCCTCAATTCTCCATCGCAAACCCCACGCCACCACTCTCTCCACCATTGAAGCTGCAATTGCAGAATGGATCGCGAGAGGCCGTGCGTGTCATCCAGGGCGGCAAAAGCCAGGTCCTTTTCGCGCTGGACGGGGCGAAGAAGAGGATGGCCGAGTCGAAAGACGAGCGACGCCGGGAACAATTGAAAGCCCAGATTAAATTGATTGGGCCTGTGAATCCGCATACGTATAGACAAGCCGATCCTTGGGTGTGATTTTTTTTCCCATCTTCCATTCTTTGTTCTGTTTCTCTTGCGTTCTATGCGTTGTAATACTCGTGGGCTTTGGAACGCCCTTCTATGATCTCTACGACCCTCTCATTTGGACTTTTGTTTCCTTGGTCTTGGACCTTGACTGCACAACTGTGGCCTTTTTTTTTTTTTTTTCCTCTTGAGATTGACTTCAGCATTGCGATATTCTGGATTGGATGGATTGGACTTGACATGGATTGGACATTTGTGATGCATCTTGCTATCGGTGTTTTTTTAAGCTATCTGGACCATTGGAATTGGTCTGCAGCTTGGATTGGACTGGATTTTACACCCACGGCATACTTTCCTTATATTTCGTTTTTCTTTCAATCTCCTCATTCCGCTCTGGAAACTGCTGCTTTGGTATACTCAGCAAGAACTATCTCATTCTCTTCCCACTTCAAGTAATACAGTACTACTCGCATTTCGAGTAACCCGATCTCCATCTTGTAAAGAGGGCAAATTATCTCGACTAGCCATCCATGTCTAACTTCCTCGGGCATGCACTAAACAGACTTTTCGACATGCATCCATGCCGTCCGTATTACATGCTTGTGTCCTCGCTCAAACCCCACGGTTCGTCAATCGCGTTTCACAATTCCAAGTCCAACCGCATACATCAATCGAACCTCCGATCCAATCGCGGAACAAACACCATCCGTCCTTCTCTGTTGAAAGTGCTCAGATTGGCCAGACAAATAACTGCTTGTAATACGTTTCTCCAAATCCGTCCAATAAAGCAGTCCTCCTCGACATAACCAAGCACAAATAGTTGTTATAGTAATACTACCATGAAAATAGCGGTGTCTTTTTCCTTCCCACGTTGTCCCCCTCTTTTACGGTGTGCAGTCGCCTTTTAAAGCAACATCCAACGCAAATGCAAGCAGATAAATTTTATTTGAATACTCAATCCCCCGAATGGAACAGTTGTCCCCCGTCACCGACATTTGACCTTCCACCTTGCAGTTTACACATGAACCCCCACTGTCCAGGCCTTCTTATCTCGCAGCCACGCTATTGCTTTCGTGCATATCGTGCCGACGACCCGGCCTTGCCGCTGGCCTATTATTGCGGGTCTTCTTTAGACAGACGAAAATCGATAAAAGAATTATATTTCAATATAGGCACTGAGTTAGCGATAATGTCTGAGTTTGCTCCTAAAATACCGACCCAACCAATCACCACAACCACAACCACCAGCAACCAAACTCCCACATTCACCCTAACAAGTCAAACTCCAAGTAAACCCCTCTCGATTCCAATCCCAATCCCAATACCTCCAGAACCATTCCTAATAGACCTTTTCTGCAATTGGATCGAAGACCCATCCGCAATTCTAATTCGAGAATGGGGCGTGGATGGAACGGTGAGTGGAGAGTGGAGTATTGCCCAGTTTCTGCGGGATGTACTTGATGTTAGTCGGCAGATTGTTTTGGAATTGAGTGTTGAAGAGCGAATGAGGTTGAGAAGTGTGGATGGGGGTAATGGAGGGAATATCTTTGTTGCGGTTGTGGTCTTGGCGGTTTATACGGTTGGGGGTGTCGTTGTGCCGTTGTGTAGGTATTTTCTGGTTTATGTTTGTGATAGGCATAGGATGAGATTGATGATCTTGTTAATTAGAATGAGAGGGAGACTGATGTTAATCTGTTCTATACCAGCACCCCGAGTCCACCCCGACGAAGCAAAATACTTCCTCGAAACATGCAACGCGTCCCTCATCTGCGCAGTTCCAGGCACCATATCCCTCGTCCAGAGTATATCCCAAAACCTCAACATCCCCATGTTCGCCTACACCCCAGAAACCAAAAAGATAAACAGCCCCAACCCTAGCATGAATATCCGCTTCTACATCGCCGACTCTCCACCCCCTCAACCCCCGACAAAAGGCTTCGTCCTCCTATACACATCCGGCACAACCGGTCCCCCAAAAGGCGTCTTCCACGACCGCAGCACCACAACAGGCGGCCTTCTAACCCGTTTCCCAAAACCATCGCAGCTATCCAGCGGAAATGTCTATTTACATCATATGCCCGTTCACTGAGCTGCGCTGGTGGGTTTATGACGTTTCTATCAGGGATATTATCGAAAGCCTGTGTTGAGTTTTGTACTGAGGTTTTTAGTTCAGTGTGGTTTTTGGAAAGAATTCGACCACGACCAGCAAATCGGGGATTGAGATTGCCGGACGTGACGTCTTTGCATTTACCCCCGCCGTTGTTGAATGAAGTCGCCGCTGAACTGGAAATTTTGAAAAATAAGGATACCGATGAATATGCGACTGTATTGAACGGGATTAGAGGGTTGAAGGTCCTGGCTTCGGGTGGATCGTACAACAATATTCCGCATTCTACCTCTGCGGTGGATATACGCAGAGGTAGAATGCGGAATATTGTTGTATTAGCCTGCTTAAATACTATGCCTCGGGGTTCTATCACACCAAGAGCTTTAAGCCACATATTTAAGAAACGAGGTACGCATTTCTATTAGTGAAGAGTCTTGATATTTCAATGAATATGGTTATATCACAAACTAAAAAACATGAAAAACTCGCTGATGCTATGCTAAGAACGCTGAAATAGATAGAACACTTTTCTTCCTCAATGCTGCCACATAATCCTATGCCCAGGTTAAACCCCTTTGAACTTCCCATGATGTGCCCTCACAGCAGGTGACCAGGGAAAGTGACCCAGTGGAACATTGAAAAAGCCATTGCTCTTGTCGAAAATACCAGCAAATGCGTTATACCACGCTGCAAACGCCGCCAACAAGCCAAAGTATCCTCCAACCCTCTGAATAGTAACAGCAGCATGGCCTTGGTCACATTGCATGTTCGCAATGCCAAGCAGGAGATAGTTCATGTCAAGGAAGAAGAAGAGAAGGAACATCGCCAAGCTGGACTTCAGCGTACAGAGGAGCATCATTGTGGTGAAGATGAACCATGCCTATGAATGGGTAGACTACGTGTTAATTTGAAGACTACGATATGGTATACATTACGGTGGGTGATTGGACTTACCAATAGGAAAAGACCCATCAAGATCTCTTTCTGGCAGACTGTTTCGGATGCAGCGATGATTTTAGTCCCTTCCAAGTCTGAGATGACTCCGAAGGTAATCCAGTAGGCGCCGTATGAGCAGAAGGAGGTGGCGCTAAAGGTGTTTCCAAGAGCCATTTCCCTATAACAATTAGTATTTGTATCGCTCAAAGTGACCGAATTGAATTAACGAATTATTCTGACATACCACATGCCAGCAAGTAACTGGACAGTTCCACCATAGATCAAAGCAGACCCCACATTCTCGGCGGCAGTAGTCAAATCGAGGTGTACATTCATGATATTCGACATGAACGAGGTGAGTGCAAATGCACAAAGACCCAAGGGAGCTGGATTGGCGAACTTGCGCACTTCGGGAATTGTGTGAATCTCTTCGGGTTTCGGAATCGGTGGTCGTCCCACCGGGGTGCCGGGTGAAACGAGGGCATATTCATGTCCAGACTGGGAGCCAACTGGTGTAGGACTTTGCGAGTCTACTGTTGGCTGGCTACAGATCTTGGCCTCGGCCTGAGCCTGCTTGATCTCCATTTTCTCAATGAATTGATCCATTGTTGTTTTGCTGCCTGGCTCTTGATAAGAGCTGTCGGAAGTTGTATCGAGGACGGTTGTCAGATGGAATGAGCCTGCCACGAAGGCCAGGCCGCCTGTAAAAAGGAAATGGGTGTAGCTGTTGCCACTTCTTGCAGTATAGGGGTATCCTGGGTAAATATCTCTCTCTGCGCATTCAACCTATACATAGCCCTGGTCATATGCCAGAAAAAACTAGGAAACAGGTTTGCCACCTTACCGCACAGAGGCTGGAGTACATAAGAGGAACACGGCGAGGCCCGATATATCGTCATGTGCACATCCAAGCTAGGAAATTTGACCAGTCAGTGAGCTTCTTTCCCGCTAGTGACTCATGGAAATTGAACAATTGGATCCTTTCAGGGGACCCGGGAATCAGGATTGGGCTCGGAAAACTAGATCACGGGTAGGGCCGCAATGAAGGAGAACTCTATCGCGTCAATTGAAAGGGCTATTGGTCATGGCGAGGGGCTAGAACTATATAGAAGGTCTTCTTCAAGTACGATACATGAGTAGCATCTACAGTTTTCGAATCTTGCTTTTTTTTCTCGATGCACGTCATGTGCTATCGGTTGATTTGTCGGATTTTGGTTTATTTACTCACATGGGGGCATCCATTCCATGAGCTTTTCCCCAGACGGGGTAGTAAAGTGGAAATTCACAAAAAGCCACACGTGAATGGAGAATGGATGGAGTGCGCCGAACCGGCGGTTCCATCGCCGAGATCCCTTCTCTAACGTAATGACATGAACTCCTATATTCTCCGGTCCCCACATCATAAGAAACACTAAACGGCCATTTCTCCAAGCTTTTCAAGAAAGAGTCCGCCTCGGCCGAGTCATGTCGTGCCATTTAACTGACTACATTTGTCTCTAAATTTCCAGAATATAGCTTCAATCCTATTGATATATCATGAGGCAGTTACGGGAATGAAAGATGCAGTAGTTTAGTTTCCCGGAGGCCGCCGTTCCCCGCAAAAACGAGCGTTGACCCACAACCAACTACCCGTTAGGGATATTCGACCCTAACGCGCGAATTTTTGCACGCTAGAGTAGTGCAGGCTATTTACAGGAGGTAATCAAGGCACTACTACTTTCTTCAAGCGAACGCTTTTTGGTTCTGAAGGTTGACCATTATTCAGCCCAGAGTATGGATTGAATCGAGTCTAGTCGTGATTGAAAAGCGGTTAACCTCGGCATTTAGTAGGGCAGTCCATTAGACCAGGGACAGGAGCCAAAGAGGGTATGAGCATGATATGGAATAGGCAAATTGTATTTCAAGTATCCACATCCTTGTTCAAAGAACTAGGGGCTCGAATCAAACATGTAAGAGTCTAGACCAGTCGAAATGTGCATTTGCCCCATAGGCGAGGTGGCTGGTTAGAGGAAGCATCTGCATGGTTGAGAAAATCTAATGATCTTTCATCTTCTCTCAACAAGATGCCTGTGAAAGCTTTCCTAATGAACAAAATATTGGTCCTTCAACTGATACTCATCTGTCACACCAAGCTTGACAGCCACTCTGTTGTTTAACATTGAAGCCTACCGTAGAATGGGCAATCACGATATGCCTCTTTAAAAGTCTCATCCTCCCCAGCACAAATCTTGTAAACGAGCTTAGCATGTTCCTTAGCTTGGGCAGCAAGATCAGGCACCACCACGTTATATGCATAGACGAGGGCCATCTAGCCTAGAGCAAGGTCTGCGGTCATCATTCCCCACTCTCGGATTTGAATGGATGGCCCTGAAGACTTCGGAAGTTCAAAGTCATAGCCTAGGCTCTGCAAACCGTTCATCGTCGATTTAAAGACCTTCATTGGCTGACCTTGGGTAGCATACAGCTGGGCACGGGCCAAGTGAAAGTCTGCCAGGGTCAATCGGGGGGTACCAGGGAAGCTGGGTGGATGTATGTTTGCGCTAGCTCCCGCAGATCAGATTCGCTCGTGGAGATAATTTGGTGTCAGAAAACCTTCCTGGGTGATCCAAATTTTCTCTTGCAGTTGCCTTCGTTTGGCCAACATCTCGCCGGATGTAAGCTTGTGGTCCAGGCATATGTTGTACCGACACTCAAATCCCCAATTTTGATACAAGGAGGCCCGTTCATCGGGTTATTCTGTGAATTGCCTATATGAAATCGTGATTTTTGTGTTTGGGTCCAGATCCTTGGAGGCACGGATGATGATCATATCGCCAATGAAGCTTCGCCAAGCATTGCTGACACAGGAGTGATTGAATAAGGCTGCCATAGGCTATAGGTCTAATGAGTACACCACTCCTGCGTCGTCCACGGGATTAGGTTGATTTGCAGGTAGCGAATGTGTCGAGGCAAAGGAGTTAATAGCCACGAGCTGCTGCACAACTGATCTAACACAGAAGGCCCATTAAAACATATGAGGGCAAATGCCAGATAATTCGGGTTAAATGCCACTCACAGGTTAACGAGAATACCTGTCATCGGGAAGGTTTTTGATTATGGGACTTCCTGTCTTGCAGTCAAGGTGATCGATTTGAGTTTCTAGGAATGGGTCTTTGCGAAGTTTTTGAACAATCATCGAAACAAGATCAGCCTCGCCTCGGATATCTTCAGCGCCACTACAGAGGTACGCAAAGGCCTTTTTGCAAGTAGATCACCAGCTTTGACAGAGACTGTTGTGAATAACCCGTGTCATGGACTGTCAGTCATTCTGATGGATATCGGGCCCATAAACGTAGCATGATCAAGATCCGGGACTTGGAAAGCTTCAGCTTTCATTCTCGCAAACGGATATTGCCCATTCTAAATCTCCTTTACTCTATCCAGGACCCGGCTGCAAAGGGTCTCGGCCTCTATATTCTTCGGGTATTTCTGACAGCACTCTAAGATAGTGCTCCAACATTCTTGGTACCGCCGAAGGTGATACGCCGCTAGCGATTTCTGTAAGAGGGCCTCTTCAAGGATTTCTTGAGCATCAGGCAGAGGATTTAAGTCTGACAAGGCTTCATCAAAGCGGCCATGTTTGAGGAGTGCCTTAGAACGATGTACTCGGACAATGTCCCACTTTTGCGGTGCTAGAGAGTCGTCGAGTGCCTTGGAATCACTGTAATTATCATGAGTCGCCCTATCTTGGATATGATAGATGATCAACTGTGCTTACCATTCTTTAGCAAGACTGCACCGGGCCTTCTGGAGGTGAGAATCTTCGGTCGTTTTCAATGAGGCCCCACGGGACGGCTCCATGATTTCTGGTAAATATGTGGTGTCATTCAACGAGGGAATTTTAAGGTCAAGCAGAGAAATTTTGGCTTGGGAAACGAGCACTAGTACCCCAGAAATGGGACCAGCAAATGCCGTATTTCGCGTATGCCAATTTCTGTCGCATAGACATACATCGTGGCAGGCAAAGGAGGGGGGGGGGGGGGGGGGGTAATGCTCAATAATTATTGAGCATGGACCGACATCTTCTTCAACATGATGGGAAAGTCCCCCAATAGCGGAAATCTCCTCTCAGCCCTATATTGTACATAAAGAACCTCATTCTTTGTCCAATCTGGCGCCTTTTGCGTGAAATATGGGATTTAGATATAGCTTTAGCCGGATTCGGATCATTTGTTGGGGTTCAACATTGTCGGTCAACAAGTGGAATTCCCCAGGTCTTAATTAGGAGTCGGTGGCACTCGGCACTCCTTGATCGATATTTGATGATCGACCTTGGACTTTAGGATCATCAGCACATCTCATCAAACTGCCCAATTGCCGACCAGCGACTGGCTGATAAGTTGGCCCATTGTCATTCGTTCGCGGTTCCTCCGGTTTGACCCACAATGGCCCAGAGAGCCACTTTGAGAAGGGCTGATTCTGCGGCAAGTCTCCCGATGCAAGATACCAGATAGCGAGATAGAAAACGCGATATCGTGAATTTACTAGGGAGCTATCTTGGTTTCACGATACGTACGCAAACAGTGACATAGGACACACAATGGAGATAGCCACATATTTCCCTCCACGATATTCGAGATCATGACCGAACCATATAGTTTGTGGCTGCCAATTGATTGGACCTGAGCGGGGCGATTCTGCGGGGAAAGTCCGAGTCTGGGGGGTTTATGTTGTCTCTCAACTTCTTCCTTCAACCATCTTTCTACCACTACCATCACAGGACATAGCGACGGTGCAATAGCACAGACCAAACCTTCACCATGTCTGTCTCGACAGCCTCCAGAAGAGAACCGCCCTATCGGCCATTCCAATGTGTCATCTGCCAGGCACGGTTTAGTCGAGGCGAGAACCTCAAACGCCACGCCGCTGTACATAACCGGTCTCAAGACCAAGGGTCGTTGGCCTGTCCGCTATGCCCAGTGACATTCTCTCGGGCGGATCTGAGGAGCCGCCATATGAAGAGGAAGCACCCAGAGCAAGAAGGTCGACGACAACCTCCAAAGCGGGTACGGCGTCCGACCGCCACTCAAGATATCGAGAGATGGACTGAGCGAGCCGATGAAGCTGGCTCCTTGTCCCCTGCAGAGAGCGAGATGGATGGGCTATACCATTCACAAACAGGAGACCAAGCAACCATCCACTCGCCCGGTGACCCGCATGCCATTGACAGAATTGTGCAGTGTGCCAGTAACTTGGAGCGAAATCTACTTCTAGAAACCTCTCTGTTCGGCAACTCCCAACAATTCCATGGCTCTTGCCTCCAATCGACCTCAACAACACAAACCGAATCTCAGGAACCCTCTTTCGCCAACCTCGATATCCCGCCCGATATTTCGCATGCGCTCTTAATTACTGGCCTGACACCGCCCCAAGAAGAAACTTCCCTATCTCCCTTCCAAGTCACACGAGGCTGCGACCTTTTCTTTACGCACATTTCGCCTTTCTTCCCGTTTGTACACCAATCTACATTTGATATCGCTCAGACAGCGCCTGAGTTGATCCTCGGCATGCTTTCGCTTGGCTATCAATATGGTGAAGATCCAGACATGGGTGACAAAGAAGGATCGGGCGCGGGCTTGTCTATGCGCTGCTTTCATCAAGCTCGAATCATGATTGCTTCGGAAGAAGCCAACACGGGAGACCATTCCCATAACTTGTCCACTGTTCAGTCTTACTTGCTTCTCCAAATATGCGCCATGATGTATCTTTGTGGTACTGATTCAGCATATGGGCTCAAAATGCATTCCAACATGATTTCACTCGCCCGGGCCAGCGGCATAATGCAGCCAAGACCGACCGAGCCTTCCACAGCTACAGATTTGGATTCGTTATGGCGAGAATTTGTCAGAGCCGAGTCACACAAGCGAACGGTCTTTGCTGTCCATCAGATCGACGCACTCTGGTACCAATTTCTGTCAATTCCTCGCTTAATCTCACACCTGGAGATTAAGCATGACTTACCGTGTCCCGAAGGTCATTGGTCAGCATCTTCTTCTGCCGAATGGGCCCATCGCCGTCTCGTGGCCAACAGCCCTGGCACTCCAGTACAGTACGCGGACGCAGTTCGACGCTTTCTGACCCCTGATTCAGATCTGAGCACTCTTTCTGATTTTGATCCATACGGAGCGATCAATGTTGCGCAATTTTTGATTTCCAGCGCCCGTGAAATATCAGGTTGGTCTACTATGACGGGCATGCTAAGTATGGAAAGATTTGGATGCTTGAAGAACTCGCTCATCATTCTCCTACCCTTTATATATCCCGAGAACTCAGCATCGACACATGCAGTGATGTGTATGGCTACATGGCAGACAGCTATGCTCGAACTACAGATGTGGTCGCCTTCACATACTGGTGGTATTGTCGGAGGAACCATGGACGCCATGTTGAGTCAATCGACTGCTCTGGCCCCTACGTACGAGTTCTTGTGCGATGTCGACACTGCCAAAGCTATTGAGCCACATGTTCAATGGTTCCTGCAGTATCTGGATGAAACCCTAATCGCGGACACCGAAGCCCCCTGGATCACATTATATGCGTACAAAGCATTCTTGATTGCCTGGCAGCTTGTCCGTGGCGGTGTGGCAGGTGCGATGCAAATTGTTGGTGTAGCCGATGGAGATTCCGCTGGAGCTGTGTTGTGGGCGAGAAAAATATTCGAGCGCAGACGGCGGTGGAGAGTCGGCCGGTTGATTCTTTCATGTTTGGATGATCTTGAAGGTCATGTTGGCAACTGAGCTTCTGACACTACATCTACTGTATTAGTATAAACTTCACATTTTCATATGACAATCTCTTGTCAACCTTGATATCGGTAAACAATCCATCGTGATCTCAATAATGTTCCTCTACCTGCAACAATGGAACCTTTCGTCCCGAAAAGCTACGCTCAGGCACCACCGTAGCCGTACTTTCGAAGCAATTGAGTCCAGTTGCCGAAAATAGCCGATAGGGCTCAAGTCAGCCCCTCGGGACTCTGATGATGTGACCTAATTGGTTGACTGGTGGGTGGGTTGTGGTTCGAGTCTCGCCCCACCCATTAGAGGGAGGAGCACCACCGGAGGACTCGCCACCCACTGACCATCCATACCTATTACTCAAACATTGTCACAGTTTCCAAGTCTTACCCAGAGTTGTGCTAAGGATTATCTTAAATTCTTCAATCAGTCTCGTCCTACCTGATTATGCCCGTAAAGGCCTATTTCCCAATCCACGAACAGTCTAGAAAAATGCTGTGATATCAAATTGGACTTCTAGAAAAGCGTACAAAACAAACCAGTAAAGAGAGCTTCATATATCCATGTCTTCATTGTCTTCACACCTAGCCTCAACCGAAGCCCCTGCAAGGAATTCTAGACAGGAAGAACAACCTTGACGCCCATATACTCTCGCTGGTGCATGATCTTGCCATCGACGATGGTTTGGTGTGCACCAACACGGTTATTCACAGTATCTGTAGGATCTGTGCATGTAGCAATCTGAATCTCTCGCCATTGTTTATTGGTTGGGACAAGGCGTCCTTCGTCGGTGAGCCGCTTAAACTCCTTGTAGACACCCTGTTCTTCGACGCAACCCTCCCGTTGGATGAGTGGTGATTCTAGTTAAGATGTTAGAAAAGTGCTTGCCCTCGCCTTTTGCGCTTAATTTACTCACCGATGGCCGGTGCCATTCGCAAATCACCAACAGAGCTGTTGAAAAGTACGAGGGACAGACGCTCCTCGTTCAACTGGTCGACTGGCGGCTTGAAGACTCGATGACGAGTAGCCTTGAAGTGACCACCCGAGACAATCTCTAAAGTATCGCCAATGTTGATCACCAGTGCGCCAGGCTTGTATGGTACGTAATACCACTGCTCATCACGGCCCCAAATTTGCAAGCAAGAAATGGGAACAGAGAATAGAAGTGTAGTCAGCCCAAAGTCTGTGTGGCCGTGCATTCGGAGACCCTTGGATGCCTCTTGGGTCTCCTTCTTCACCGGCCGGAACAGAGCGTGACGGAAATAGCCTTCGCCAGTGGGGCTGCCGTGTGACTGAACGTTGTCCCAAAGGTAATCGTCTGGTAGCTCGAGAACGCGAGAAAATAGAGTGAGTAGTCGCCGGTTCACGGATTTGGTGAGGTAGTTGGCAAATGCTTCGATCTCGTCCATGAAGGGGTGTAGACAGGTAGGAACGCGGTTTTTGGTGTCTTGCCAGTCGGCTGTATACCAGTTGAACTGTTCGATGCCATCGGCAGGTCCACGTTGGCGCTAAATTTTGGAGAAGGTCATATTTTAGTCTGGGTTCAGACAAAGATTTGTTTGCATATTGGTGTCTCACCTTGAAGCCATATGGATGCTTGTATCCCGACCATTTACCACTGTCAGGCTCAAATAGGAGGCGCTGTTTGTCCTCATCACTGATGTTGTTGTATAAATATTGAGCAAGGGAGAACTGGCGGTGGAGCTTTAAAACCACAAGGATATCAGTGTTCTGAATAACATTCGTTGTGGATTTTGACTGTTCTCCTCTCTTACCTGCTCTAGCGAAACGCCATAATTTTCCAAGAACAGGAAACCATCATCCCTGATAGCAGTCTTGACTTGTTGAATAAGGTGATTGACAACTGCAGGGTCTTCCGAGTCCAGCAAGGAAAGGTCAATAGACTTCAGTTGAGCAAAGTTGTGCTTCTCTTGTGTGACCGGGGGAGGAACCCATTGCGGGACAACGGGCTTGCCAGCGAGGTCTGCTGAGGGTGGATTGAAGGGGGTGGCAGGTGCCATATTGAATTGTATTCAGATTGATGTTTGAGTTTGTGTTGATGTAGAGACCAGTGCTCGATTGGCGCAGGGTGTTATATAGTTCCGATCGAAGCGTGAGCTTTCAAGTATTACAGGAGACTGATAAGCGGGTGCACACGCGTGGGAGATAGTCGTGTCGCATTCAATTTGATCATGCCATTTGCCACGGACAATGAAGAGGAGCGCCGTGAACATTCCCCTTCAGAATTGTTAGTTTGCGGCTAATTTCCCCGTATTTCGGAATGCTCCTCTGATGCAAGCTTGGTGCTCCGGGCCCCAGTTCTGTGGTTCTGATAACCACTGTCAGCTCCTCCCTATTTCCAAAATGCTCCTCTCGCCAATCCCAATTATCATTATCAAATGTGTCAACTCCCAGTTCTCCCGACAGAAGAGTGTATCTAATCTACAGTATACTTTATACTTCGGGGAGGAGCTCCGCCCAAGTGGGGCTGACTAGATAACACTAGTTCGGCATTGGGTGATCTAAGTGATGGTAGGTTGTACATGCGACCGCAGTATTCAGAGCTCCTCTATTTCAAGGCGATGGTCTTCAATTGGGCTCACGGGTGGGGTGATGTTATCTAAGAGAAAATCCGAGTTGGGGGAGGGGCATAGCGACGATTTAAATCGCGATATCCGGGAAGGAATTTGGTACAACATTTACATACCTTCAATCGCACTTTGTGTTTTATCATATTTTCCAGAAATTCACTTCTCCTGCTCAAAATGTCGCGCCAACTTATCTCGAGCGAGAAGTTCCCTCCCAAGCCTCACAACTGTTAGTTCATCCAGCAAACTCAGGTCCTTGACATTGAACTAATCTAAGAACGTTTGTGCATTGCAGCCCCTGCCACCAAGATCCCGGGTCTTGTCTTCTGCGCAGGTCAAACAGCCACAGGAGATATCAAGCAAGCTACGGTGGGTCTAGAACCTGTATAGTGCAATGAACTAGCTGCTAATCCAATCATTGCTGTAAATAGAGAACTGTCCTCCAGAACCTGAAGGAGGTTCTCGAGCTGTCTGGCTCCTCTCTCGAACAGGTCGTCAAGTACAATGTCTACCTTGCCGACATGAAGGACTTCGCTGCTATGAACGAGGTCTACATTGATTTCTTGCCTAAGCCTATGCCTTCGCGTTCTTGCCTTCAGGCTGTTCCTCCCGGTGAGGGAACTGTGATTGAGATCGAGTGCATTGCTCAGGTTTAAGAGATGAAATGTTATGAAACAATAGAACAGAACCACAAAATGTGAAAATAAATTATTTTATAAAAAGTTTATCCCTTTAACATGGCTATTTGTGGTCAAAGTAGCCATTTGTAAACAAAGCATGAGATTGAAAATCTAGTCGGCTTGGGCGTCATAGACTTGAGCAGTCAACTAACTACGCCTCATCAATAGATACTATCGGTACTGAGGCCTGCCCTGAAGGAGCTCGAACAATATGAGTTCATATTATCATAAGCTTTTGCAAGTTTAGAATTTTGGAGTCATAGGTTCAGCCTCGCTTGCTCTAAATGCCTCCCTATACCGGGCAATCACAAATTCTCACCCCAACATCCTCACAGCTTGACTTCCTATGAATACCCATTGGATACAATCGGTACCGTAAGAAGACAATTGAATGGATTTGGTACAATTTCACTTCAATTTTCTTTAATCAAGCTTTATGAAAAGGAAACGCAAATACCGTCTAAGTACCTAAATCTCTGAAGGAAAATCGTTTCAACTCGTGGCGCTGCTCAGTTCTCATGAGCGAGCAACTTCAAGCTCCGCAATGTACCAATTTTGAATCGCCTTGGTATCTCCAGTCATCGAGACCATATCATATCTTTTCCGTCCCTCTTTGCTTGCTGCTCCATCGTTCGTCATACGACCACACCACTTGCCATGCTTCTTTGCAGCCGCGATGATCTTATCAATGGCAGCAACGAATTCCGGCTCATCCCCACGAGCGGGAGTGTAACCCAGAAGAGATTGAGCAAGGTCATTAGGTCCAATGAATAGGAGGTCAACACCAGGAACGGCGGCAATTTCATCCACGTTGTCGACACCAGCTTTCGTCTCGATCTGAAGCATAGTGATGATGGTCTCGTTGGCACTCTTCATATATTCAGGAGTCGTCAAACCATGTCCAATGGCGGGGAACGCTGAGCCTTGACCACGGACACCCTGAGGTGGGAACTTGGAAGATGCGACGACCTGTCGTGCTTCTTCGGCGTTGTTGATCTGGGGAACCATGATGCCGTGGGCTCCGGTATCCAGAGCGCGCTTCAAAATATCATGAGCGGGGCCTCGGATTCGGATAACGGGTGAAACACCGAGGGAGGCAATGGCAGCCACCGAGTTATGCATAGCATCATCGCCGATATGGCCATGTTCCGCGTCGACCACGATGCCGTCGAGGCCAGTCAATGAGACGATCTGGGCCATTCTGACGGAGGGAATAGCCATGAATGTCAACACCGGGAATTCCCCAGCCTTGAGCTTGTTGAGAAGCCTCAGTCGGGGGTTCTCGATTGTGGTTGTTTGAGGAGTGGGATAGCTCATCGTCTTGGTCATTTTGGCGTTGTTCTGGAAAGGTGAAAATTATTGGAGATGTATGGATATTCCGCTGAGAAAAGAAATCTTGAGATGAAGTTTGATGGATTGACGAGCCAGTCCAAAAAACACTGGCTACTTATCATCTTGAAATTCGCTGGCTAATCTATTGCACTTGATCTGCTTGCTGCTGTTCGGAGGAGTTCCTCATACAACATTTGGGCTCCCTCATCCTTCCTCGATAGAAAGGCTCCGTCTCGGCCTCGTATGGGAGGAGCCCCGCTCCGATCCGGAGGAGCTCACTCAATTCTCCTCCCGCCAAACTCTCGGCTCTCGGACCTCCACTCCGCTGTTAGCTCCTCCCTACTCGAAAATCCCATGCATCCGACTCCCCATGTACCCCGGATTTCTATCAAACTGACGGTCATCTGGGGAAATTGATCTCAATTGGTCCGATAATGCTTGTTTATGCGCTCCTCCCTCCGCTTATCTCTAAGTTTCATGATGGGTCCACTTTGCATCGACGAATCAATGAGTCACGATCCTTTGTAAAGGAGCATTGATCATTAGTCGGCTGATACCTGAGATACCGGGGTCATCAGCAAGACAGGTTGGAGAGATAGAGCTCCGGCTCTTATTATACAGGTCTTCCTTCGGGGGCGCCCTTTCTGAGGGTCCTGGTCGACAGTCAGATTGTGAAGACGCGATCATCTCTACTTATTATCAATTTCTATTACAATGGAGGTTAAGAAAGACCCTTCGTACTGTGTTGATGATGACAATGTATCATCTGCAGAGGGACAACTTGATGTTGCCAGCGCTGCATATCGTCGAATGCCAGAATTTCTTCGGGGACTAGGCGAGGATGAGATTGCCCAGCTCCAGAAGAAGCTTGTTCGCAAAATCGATCTCCTCGTTCTTCCTACAATCGGTATTCTCTATATTCTCAACTACATCGACCGACAAAATCTCGCCTCTGCAAAGCTCCAGGGAATCACCGATGACCTGAACATGACAACCAAACAGTTTGCTACGGCCGTTAGCATTCTGTTCGTGGGCTACCTGCCATTCCAGATCCCCAGCAACCTGCTCATCACGAAGATCTCTCGCCCTGGAATGTACATTTGTGCTGCTGTAGCAATCTGGGGTTGTATCTCTGCTGCGACGGCTGCTGTCCAGAGCTACGGGCAACTTCTCGCGGTCCGAGCCATTCTTGGAGCAGCTGAAGCTGTCTTCTTCCCCGGTGCTATCTATTACCTGTCCGCCTGGTACACGAAGGTGGAACTTGGAAAGCGCATTGCTGGGCTATATATTGCACAGCAGGTGGGCAATGCCTTCGGCGGTCTCTTCGCTGCTGCTATCTTGCAGCTCGACGGTGTCCACGGTATCCGCGGTTGGCGATGGCTTTTTATCATTGAAGGTAGCGCCACTGTTGGAATCGGTGTCGTTTGTGCTTGTATTATGCCAGAGTTCCCACATAACAGTCGCATTCTCTCTGCAGAACAGCGTGCTCTTGCTGTATGGCGTATTGAATCCGAAGCCGGAGCAGCGGAGGGCACTGAGAACGAAAGTGTGCTTCGGGGCTTTGCCAAAGCCTTGTCCGACCCGAAGCTGATTCTCCTAATTCTCTGCAACATGCTCTCCCAAGTCCAGGGCTCTATCGCCAATTATTTCCCTACCTTGGTTGCCTCTTTGAACTTCTCCCACACCATCAGCTTGCTCTTGACCGCACCGCCATACGTCCTCGCTGGTGCCGTATACTATGTGATCATGTTCTATTCTGATCGTAAGAACACCGTCTACCCGATCATTCTGGTGTGTATCTTGATATCAGTGGTGATGTACATTATCCTGATGACTACACTGAACGTGGGCGCCCGCTATTTCTCGATGGTCATTCTGCCTTTCGCCTCAGTGGGGCCTCAGCTCCTCCTTTACAAGACCATCAATCTTCATCTTGCGCGCCCGATCTCCAAACGTGCGGCTGCCTCTGCCCTGGTTAATGCTATTGGAGGTACGTCGAACATCTGGGCCTCGTATCTGTACTACTCGTCGCCACACTTCTATGCGGCATTTGGAGCTCTGATGGCCGCTGCGCTTTTGCTGGGTGTGGCCATCAACGCTTATCGCTGGTTGGTTTTGCGCGAGAACAAGCGTCTGGACTCTGGTGATCCTGATGAGATTGCAAAGGCTATCAAGGGTGGTGTTACTGAAGAGATGGTGCAATTGGGCTGGCGCTATGAAATGTACTAAGAGTGTTTGGAATCGTGTGGTCTAGAAGAATGCTCCACTGGGTTTTTTCGTGTATAGTGGTTTGTTCCCTGTTTGTGAACATTTTGCAGAGCGAGTATTGAAGATGGAATTCCCGTTGCTTCAGATAATTTATCTGCGATTAAGGTCTACATATAAACGGTTACCCACCTACTTGATTTCCTCTGCCAGATCTTGGCTTTCCATTTTCGTTTTAGTGCGCAGACCCTCGCCGCTTTTGCTCACTGAGTAGACCTGAGGACGCCTCTGAGCGTCCTGATTTGATCAGTGACCAACCATTCAATATTACAATTTAAACTATATGTTCCTAGGAATCCTCCATCGACTAGCTCCATAATCTCCTAAAAAGGTCTAAGGGAGTACTAGTCCTAAGGCAATTACGTGACCTGAAATTGCTGGAAAATCCATGAAGGATCAATTTGATATACTTCTTCTTCATCCGTTACTGAGTTTAGGATCATTGGAGACCCCAACTCCGGTCATGGCGATCATGACTAACGCATTAGACGAAGTTGAAGGAGATGAGATACGCATTGTTCTCCACTTATTGCATCAGCTACGAATCTCAAAGGCTGTGCATTTACGAATCCTTTTAACGAGTAGGCCCGAATGGCCAATTCTTCCAGAATTCTCTGGGATCACAAGCCATGAGCATAAAGATCTGATTTTGCATGAGAATCCTAAACCAGTCATGCAGCATAATATAGCCTCGTTCTTGGAGTCCCGACTGTCAAAATTTCGAAAAGAGCGCTCTCTGCCTATCGATTAGCCTAGAAACAAAGAATATACAGCTAGTCAACTTGTACACGTCTCAGGTAGTATCTATGAGAATAGTCTATATTAATGCTATCTGCGAGCTGATGAAAGGCGAGATCAGAATGAATTGGTTATGAGAGCTAAAACTATGGGGACTCTGTACACTTGGACCTTACCTATTTCCTAAACGACTTCCTCAGGTAGATTGAAAAATGGCTAACGACTTTTAGCTCTCTCAATTAACCATATTTCCTATTTTACTATAATTCCTATTTGACGGTAATACCATTCGACAGTGATTCTTAGTGACTATAAACGCAAAATTGGTAGGAATTAGGGAATATTAGTGCAGATTTAATCCAATAATCACTAAAAGATGGAAAGGGAGAAGCGAAAGGATGATTAAAGGTGTAGAGGGGCAAAACAAAGTGTGTGATTAGGCATAAGACAACCGGGGGACCTGGGTGGCCCAGTTCAGAACGATAAAAGACCGTGGCAATCCACACTGTTCATATCTTGTTGCAGTTCCTAGCCGCCATTTCAATTCCTGCAACTTTATCCATATCGTAACTCATGCCGTGACAGCTGTAACTAGGCCGTACTTACCCTTCTGACTAATTTCTTTAAGATTTTTCATTATAGCACCCATCAGTCACTGGTTCGTGAAATTTGTACATATACTTGGAACCTACGGTTAGAGTAATTCCTTAACACAATGACTGTTGCCTGATACAACCTTAAATCATAGCCGATGGTGGAGGCTATTATTTGGGTGTCAAAAGGAAGCTTTGACTCATTGAATTGTGTGTTTGAAGGATGAAACATTCCAGTAACCCCTGGGCTACTAGGAGTTTGGGTAAACCGGGCGCTTGCACGCGCTGGTAAGCCTGGTCACCAGGTTGGCAACAATCGGCCATATCGCTTCATGAAACGTCTTCCAAAGTGCCTAGACCTAGGTCCAGTGAAACGGAAAACAAAGGAATCGAAGCGTATCCAGGTAGAAAATACAGGTCTATTACCCCACTAGTACCATCTTCTTGCGAATCTGTTAAACCATGTCCCCGCGCGGCTAGTATACAACTTCGACGAGTGTGGTTTTCGCCCTGGCATGGGTAAATCAAGTAAGGTGATTGGGTCAAAATCAAAAACTTGCCCTGATATTGCTGACTATCTGTCATACAAAAAGCAATATGAAACAGTTCTCGAGCAAAACACACGATGGCAGAGTATCACGGCGGGGTTTCGTACAGGTCATCAGCGCCAACTAAGGCTGATTCATCAACACTGGACGAGAGCCAACATAATGATCGAGAGGGCGGGGTATTGGAATATATATGTAGTCACAAAGAAAAAGAGATTTATGTGTCTCGGTGTGAGTAGAGACGGCGCCCGAGTGATTGCGCTCGGGCTCATAACCTATTGTAAATTAAAAGGAAGCTTGATTATTCTAATCTCTGATAAGGTGCAAGGCCCTATGTATACAACATGAAGTCAGAGTTGATTGGAAATGAACGTGGTCTTCGTATAATAGATGGGCAGGAATCATTTCCGATGTTGCGGCTGCGTTCCTGAGCAACAACAGCCTCAAATCACAACACATACGACCAAGAGCATGCTTCCTCCATGCTATCCATCTGCAACTGATATGACGTCCAAGGTTCTGTCCAGTCTAAGCCTTACCATACCAGGCCTTGGTCAAGAAGTCTTCAGTGTCCGTAAACTTGTAGTCGGGTAGCAGACGGTTCCATTCATCCGAAACCTGATATGCCTTGTCGTGGATGGCTAGCAGAATGCCTGCGGTAAAACTCCTCGACAACACTTCAACCTGCTCGGGTGGAATTGATGGGTGATTAATCTTGGGCACCCACGAAGTTTTCCATTCCCCGGTTTCAAAGGCTTGCGCTGTCACTTTCTGGATATCAAAAGGTGGATCACCTAATAAGAAAAGCCAAAAATAAATCAGCCGATATTCACCACATATCCGGGAAAGACTTACCCCGGACTTTCTCGCCGAGGGCGATGATTTCCTTGACTGACAGCTCGGAGCCTCTGATGCCTCCAACAACAGGCCATTCACCCTCAAATTCAATGGCTCTAGCAACAACATTGGCTAGGTCCTGCGACGTTGTGAGACTAATACGGTCATTCTCACTGTCCTCCAGCAAAATGGCTCGGCGGTGATAAAAGTCCCACGGAAGACCCACTTGCTGGACGTTATCGGACGACTTAAAAGGAGCGGTGAAGTAGTTTGTGAAAGTGCCTGGTTGAAAGAGGGTGTATTCAAGAACCTGGTAGTTCAATATCGTATCAATTTCCGAAAGTATGAAGAGTTTGGCGGAGCTTACTTTTTTGTCCTTGTTCAACTCTTTGAGATACCGGCGTGTTTCTCCCTTGTAAGCATACCAGTCCAGATGCTCTAGACCAGCTCTGCGGAATATTAATGACCGAATCAATCTGAGGGCTAGGATAACCTACGAGGCCCACTCGCTCGGCGCAAACCGCTTCACGCCAGCTTGAACCGCAGCGTCGATGAGATTCTTCTGGACTGGAGCTGCTGGCTCATCGCCAACGAAGGAAAGCAAAGTGTGAGTTCCCTGCAGAATTTGTGCTAACTGCTCCTTATCCTTGTAGTCTGTTTTAGCCCATGTTATGCCTCCACTCGTCTCTCCCGCTGGGGCGTCCTGTGTAGATAGGTTAATTACAAATATCAAGCGACAACGACAGCCAGGATAATGTAAAAACCTTTCGAGATAGAATTAAAATCTCGTGCTTCTTGGTAACAACAAGGACGTCGATGATCTCCTGTCCAACGTCTGTCCAGGCATCAGTCAGTGATGCAGCAGAGTAGAGTGTCCTTAATCTAGTAGAACATACTGCCAGACCCACCAGCAATCGCAATCTTGACCATCTTATTTGTGTAAAGAGTTTTTATATTTCAATCGAATGGAATATCTGCTTGGATAGAAGAGTTTGTTCCTTCGGATGCGAGGCGCACTTTATAGCTACTGCCACGAAGGCTTCGGCCGAACTCACGAAAATTAACAATGAGAATGAGAACGATCCCACCGACGTGGTGACATTACGCCAAAGGCCTACCAATCGTCGTGATTATCATGTAATCGCTGATTAATGCCAACTTGAGCTCGTCATCCCGAAGATTATTGTAAGGTCGCACTTCTGGTGAAACCTCCTCCTCGAAACAACGGGTGGAATCCCTTCCTCAGCCTCTGGTTCCCCTGATGAGGTCACCCATTCTATCTCATCATTCCGTAATTTAAATCATCGCAGTCAATAAATGCCATTTTCTGACTATTAGTAAAGTCTTGGGGGAATTAAACATTTGTCAACTCTATTATAGTAAGGAAACAACTGCTAACGGCGTGGTACTTCAGTGGATATTTTGTTAGCGAATGTTGAGGTATCTACTCCATAGAGTGCATCGATACCATACTTGATTCTATTTTAGCGATAGGGTTTCTGCGTGTTTCTGCATTTATGAACCCAGAAATATGATTTCCCATGGCGCTTCACTTGGCAATGTGAAACGTAGCTGTTCGACCGCCGAGCTCGGATAAAAGTATTCTGACGTCAGCAACCACCCCGTCCTGTCACCGAGCCGCTCGGTGGTACGGCCTCCTTCACTTCCAGCATCATTGCTGGACGAAATTTGCTGGGCACAGAGAGAATTATATACGCTAACCTTTACGACAAAGCGAGGGCGCAGTTGGTTGTGGGAAATGTGCGAAGCGAGTCCCCAGAGAGACGGGATCGAGGCCAAACGAAGAAAGGTCCGTAAAGGCACTCAAAGCTGCTGGGAATGCAAGCGGCGTAAGGTTCGGTGCATTTTCGGTTCGCCCGCGAGTATCATCTGCGATAATTGCAAGCGACGCCGCACTTCTTGCATCAGCCAGGAGTATCCTGATCAGCAAGTGCCATCTGCAACCAGTGATCCGATTGAAGCGAGGCTCGGCCGGGTGGAGGCCCTTGTTAAGCAACTGGCCCATAACGCAGGCATCTTTCCGTCCTTGCAATCCCCCGGATCACCTGCAAGGGAACTCCCTGAGACTCAGCAAGTGTCGCCGGCACCGGAACATGGGGAGGAACCCCGGGAGAAGGCCGTCTCTACGATCAGCAACACAGTGGTGCGCTTCCCCACATCTTAAGCCGTTGTTCAAAGGTATCTCTGACTTTCTAGAAGCACACTCCCGGTCCTGAACCCTCAAATTGCTTGGGGTCCTCTTTTATACCGCGTTCTCCAGTCACCGAGCTTCCTCGCGCTCCAGACAGACGAGCTATAGGCAAGCACGAGGATGTGATCCGCGGGCTTATCGGGGCGTGGCCCAGCCAGACCGAACTTGACCTCCTTTGCAGTCTCCCCGTTGGCTCCTCGATGTATTTGCATTGTGGAGTGTGCGCACATTATCTCAATTTCGAAGGTCAAACCCCTCCATCGCCGCACGAGGTTTTGCAATTGCCCCCACCGGGGTCCCATCCAGTGCTGGTCGCGCGTAAGCTTCTGATGCTCGGTACCTTCCTGCAAGGAGTTCTTCCGTCCTCGATCCAAGGCTTAGAGAACCAGGGCATTTCCTACCGCTATACCATGTCCCGTGTTGTGGACAGTGCTGTCAGACTCGTGACCACCAATGATGAGCTCACCGGCTCCGTGGAGGGCCTTGAGTGCATTATGCTTGAAGCAATGTATCACAACTACGCTGGAAACCTTCACAAGTCGTGGATGGCGATACACAGGGCGTGCGCCGTAGCCCAGATGATGGCAATACATCGCGGTCTCAACTCACCGTCCTTGAAGATCCTCGACCCCGAAACTCGAGCCGCGTTCGATTCGGACTACCTGTGCTTTCGTCTGGTCCAAATGGATTGCTATCTCTCGATGATGCTGGGGTTGCCGCAGAGCTTGCTTGAAACCGGCTTTGCAACTCCACAGGCATTGGAGAAATGCCATCCCGCTGAGCGTATGCAGCGCACCCACTGCCTCGTTGCTGGGCGCATTCTACAGCGCAAGGTTGCCGACGTAAACAGCCTGACCGAACTTCACCAACACGAAAAACTGCTTCAAAAGGCTGCGGACGAGATGCCACCCCAGTGGTGGCTAATTCCAGACTTGAAGCCTATCAATAGCAACAGAGTAGACATTCTAGATGATACGATGCGTCTCAATGACCAACTCACTCAATACCACCTGCTGATTAGACTCCATCTGCCCTATATGCTGCGATCACCATCAGACCGCCGGTACGATCACAGCAAGATTACCGCTGTGAATGCCAGCCGCGAGATTCTTTCGCGCTACGTAGCCTCCCGCACGTCCAACCCCGGCCACTTCTACTGCCGCGGCGCCGACTTTCTGGCCTTCGTCGGCATTGTCGTCATGTGCCTCACTTACATCAACTCTCGCAGTCAGGGTCAGAGGCCGGTTGAAACACTGAGCTCTGATACCGTCTTTAACTTTCTTGCCCATTGTCGGCCTGCTGACCGCGGCATCATGGAGCGTACTCTGGAAGTAATTGAATCCATGGCCCAAGCTAGCGATGATGCGATTTCTTCGAAATTCTCCCGTCTCATTCACCACCTGCTGTTCATTGAAGCCAACGCCGCCAATGGTACCGTGTACACCACGAGTTCATCTAGTGGTGACGAGAGAGCTCGAGGTCGAGGGCGAATTGACCAACGGTGGCAAAGCGCTACATCTGTACATTCCGTATCTTGGCAAGATCTACTTTGAGCCAGGTGTGGTTCCCAAGTGCTCTGCAACAGCGTCAACTCAGCTTGATATGGACACGTCGACCACGCGTGATACAGATACATTGGTGCCTGGTCTGTTCGAAAACATTAGATCACTTGCTGGCTTGGAAGGTCCACCAATGTGCTCGATCGACAAGCGACCGTTTGGTCCTGATATGGAGACTCTGCAATCGTCATTTACTTGGCAGCGGCCCTCTCCATCAGTTGAAGACCTGCATTGTCATCACGGCGCCACCCAACCCACCCAATCGCTCCCTCCGCTGGAAGTTTTCGACGCAGGAAATGACTGGGGCCTGCAGGGTGTTGACATAGCCCTTTTTGATAGTCTTACCCGTGGAATCACGATTACAGATGCGGCTGGAGAGAATTGGGCGGAATGGGATTATCCGAAATAGGCTATGTATCGCAAGTATAGTTGGTAGTAGAGCAGAATCATGACGCCAAATTGGTTCTTCACGACGTTAGCGATTTCCATTCTCAAACTAGTTAATCCAGCAGCTATGCTCGCTGCTAATTAATACTTTACATCCGCCTCCTGTCCCCAATGCTCCGGCGTTGCCGACTAGCCACATTTGCGGTATGCTTCATACAACAACCGCTCATCAAAAGGATGGACCTGATCAACAAACCGTAAATCATTAGAGTGTCGATTTACATTCTCTAGGCTGTCATTGTGGCAACTAGAACATAGTGGATGTTAGAGAGAGCCGTATCAGATCAATAACAAGGAAACAGTCTTCGGTGTCTCCCATGCGCGAATAGCTTCCACCTTCTTCGGGTCGACGTGCACACCCTTACCCGCACGGATGATGAAACCGAGGTAATTAACCGAATCTTGCTCAAATTCTGACTTGTCGAGAGGGAGGGTGTATAGCTTCGATTTATAATTCAGCATTTGGGCACAGATCATCTTTATACAATACTAGAGAACGGCTTTTCTCTTGTGCCTTCCATTTTGCGGCATAATTTCTCCAATCCCTATATTCTGTCCTTGAAAGGATGCAGCACCTGAAGAAATGGGTCAAAAACGGGAAAATGAGGGCGACCAAAAAGCGGTTCACAAAATAAACAATCTTGTGGGCGGAAGTGCTTCTTTAGATTTGGACTGTGAACGAGTGCCCGTGGACTTCTCGATAGTGATAGCAAGGTTTCGTGAGATTCCTCATAACTTGAGATTTTTGGAAACATTTCGAGTTTTGTAGATTTTCTAAATGTACCTAAAGTCTAGGTATACTTCGTCCATGAATGCAGACCTCCTAGTGGATACCTCATTCAGACTCATCTTGACTCACCTCCGACCGTGTATAAAAGCGGGTCCGTGAATCCACACTTGCCTGTTTCGGATACAGCGGAGCAACTTTTAAACGTGAACTTTCCCCCTAAGATGCCAGATATCATCAAGAAATATGCTAGAACACGATAGTATCGACATCCTAGGGAGTACCCCCTTTCTGTACAAGTTGTACACGCAACTGTGTATCATCTTCGCTGTCTCCGAGCCATCATCCGCTATCACCGACACCCTCCGAGATGGACTTGATAGACTCGCCGAAGGGTTTCCATGGCTTGCTGCAACGGTCATTAACGAGGGCGCAAGTGAAGGAGTCACAGGTACTTACCGAATTGTACCTTCAAATGACAAGATCCCGTTGATCATCAAAGACCTTCGTGATGATGTCTCCGCCCCGACCATGGAGAGTCTTCGACAGTCAAATTACCCCTTCACCATGCTTGATGAGAAGTTAATTGCTCCATGCCTGACTCTCAATCTCCCGGGTAATACGATTGGACTGGCTGCAACTTCTGCGCCTATTTTTGCAGTGCAAGCGACCTTCATTACCGGTGGTCTCTTGCTCACGGTGGTTGGCCAGCACAATGTCATGGACATGACGGGGCAAGGGCACATTATCGACCTGCTATCCAAGGCTTGTCATAATCAGCCGTTCATAGCCGAGGAGCTTTCCATTGGCAACATGGACAGGAGCAAGACTATTGCGCTTCTGGATGATCCCTTTGACCCTGCCGTGGAACTCAAGCATCAGATGGTGAGGACTCCTCCACCTGGGAAGGAAGCGGGCAAGACCAATACTCCACCTTCGTCTACCTGGGCCTATGTGACCTTCTCAGCAGCGTCACTGGAGGCTCTCAAATCACAAGCAACTCAGACTAAAGACACTTCGACGCCTTTTGTCTCGACTGACGATGCGGTGTGCGCATTTATCTGGAAATGTACAGCTCGGGCCCGTCTACAGCGTCTCGACCCGGGGATGGAGTCTGCCTTCGCTAGAGCAGTGGATGTCCGCCAACGTATGGGAATTCCTAGCACATACCCGGGGATGTTCCAGAATATGGCATACAACAAAGACATTCTACAACATCTTGCAGACCAACCTATCGGAGCAATTGCATCTCAGCTTCGCCGAAAGCTGGATCCCAAGGTCGTTGACTTGGCCTACAACACCCGAGCTCTCGCTACATTCCAAGCCAGATCGGTAGATAAGACGAAGACTTCTGCTACTGCATGCGTGGATACTTCATCGGGTATTATGCTGAGCTCCTGGGCGAAGATCAATACCTTTGAGCTGGACTTTAATCTGGGACTTGGCAGGCCGGAGGCTGTGCGTCGGCCAGCTTTTGTCCCGTTCGAGTCTCTGATGTATGTAATGCCCAAGTCGCCGAATGGGGAGATACCCGTTGGAATTTGTCTGAGAGATGAAGATTGGAAATCGCTGAAGGCTGACGAGGAGTGGGCGAAGTATGCCACTTATGTAGGTTAGTTAGAGTGGATGCATGATATGTTAGACGTTCTATGAATGATGACGGACATATTCATAGCGAATAATGCACTTGATATAAGGAATCGAATACCGACTATAAATAATTATGATCATTCTCAAAGGCTGTAGATACACTTTCTCGTCGATCAAAAGTGGGCTGTTGCGGGGGTGAGGTCATCTTCTCCGCATTCAGGCACCTTCCGTGCATAAGCCGCGTCTATCCTCTCTCCATTCCCCCTTCCTTCCTTCCTTCCTTCCTCCAAATCACTGTTTCACTCGTCGACTCTCTATCTTGGTCCTCTGTACAGTCTCGTACTCGAACACACTCATTCCTATTGTCGTTATACCCCTCCCGAATCCCAAAGCTTACACCATCACAACCATGGGTGGAGAAGCTCCGCATCCTGCCCCCACCCCAGCCTCGCGATCGCTACCCCGGCTAGCCGAACGGCCAGTTGGCCAGCGCATCACCAAGATCTATACAGATAGGCTTCGCCAGTTTACAGACCATGGTCAATATGAAGGCCAAAACCTCGTCGCGAAATACTACGAAGCAATCATCTCCGACAGCGACCATGTCAAGCTGTCCGTCTACTCGGTGCCGAAACTGGAACGCCCGACTTTCGAGGAGGCGACCTCCAATAAGTTCAAACCGACCCATGTCGGAGAGTCATTTGGCCCTAGCTGGTCAACACATTGGTTCCGAATCCATTTGACAGTCCCCTCTGATCTTCTCAAGAAGGAACGATTGGAGTTCCACTGGGATGCTAACAACGAGGGCTTGGTGTGGACCGAGGACGGACACCCTTTGCAAGGATTGACCGGTGGTGGAGAGCGAACTGAATGGATTATCCCGGACGCCTGGCGTGATGGGAAGCAGCATACCTTTTATATCGAAATGGCCTGCAATGGCATGTTTGGTAACGCTCCGGGCGGGGATTCAATCCAGCCGCCTAACCCAGACAAGTACTTCCAACTCAGCAAAGCGCAAATTGTTGCGGTCAACTTGGAGGCGCGAGCGCTCTACTATGACTTTTGGATTATTGGCGATGCCGCTCGCGAATTCCCGGGTGACTCGTGGGAAGCCCACGAGGCTAATATGGTGGGCAATGCTATGATTGATGCTTTCATTGCGGGCGATGGAAGCCAAGAGTCCATCAAAGACGCACGCAAAATTGCACAAAAGTACCTTGGCGACAAGGTTGATTCCGCGGATGTCTATGCGCCAGACACGAAACCATATGTCTATGCGATTGGACATTGTCACATTGATACGTGCTGGCTCTGGCCCTGGGCAGAGACTAAGCGCAAGGTCGCAAGATCATGGTCGAATCAGTGTGATTTGATGGAGCGGTATCCTGAACATCGTTTCGCCGTATCCCAGGCCCAGCAGTTCAAATGGCTTAAGCAATATTACCCGTCTGTTTTCGACCGAGTCAAGCGATGGGTACGAAAGGGTCACTTCCAACCTATCGGAGGTAGCTGGGTCGAGCATGATACCAACATGCCCAGTGGCGAATCACTTGTCCGTCAGTTCATCTATGGCCAGCGCTTCTTCGAAAGCCACTTTGGCAAACGGGCTAGTACTTTCTGGCTGCCAGACACGTTCGGATACTCCACACAGATCCCGCAGATCTGTCGCCTTGCCGGCATGAACCGGTTCTTCACGCAGAAGTTGAGTTGGAATAATATTAACAACTTCCCACATACCACCTTCCAGTGGGTTGCACTCGATGGTAGCCAAGTGTTGTGCCACATGGCTCCTGCGGAGACATATACGGCCGAGGCCCATTTCGGTGATCTCAGACGCAGTGTCACTCAACACAAATCGATGGACAAGGACAAATCATCTTTGCTCGTCTTTGGCAAGGGAGATGGTGGTGGCGGCCCGACCTTTGAGCATCTGGAGAAATTGCGCCGATGCCGTGGCCTCAGCGATAAGATTGGTACTCTACCCAAGGTTAAGATGGGCGAATCGGTCGACGATTTCTTTGAGAAGCTGGAGACTAAGGCTGCTAATGGCACCGAGTTCGCGACTTGGTACGGCGAGTTGTACTTTGAACTGCACCGCGGTACCTACACAACCCAAGCCAACAACAAGCGCAATAACCGGAAATCGGAATTCTTGCTGCGTGAGATTGAGCTCCTGGCTACTCTGGCTACCCTTCGTGGTTCAGACAAGAAGTACAAGTACCCTAAGGAGCAGATCGATGAAATGTGGGAGGGAACCCTGCTCTGTCAATTCCATGACTGCTTGCCGGGCAGTTCCATTGAGATGTGTTATGATGACTCCGACAAACTCTACGATGAGATCTTCAAGACCGGTCAAAAGCTGCGCAAGGATGCTCTTGCGGCATTGGGAATTACTGGCAGCACCGACCTGGTAGCTCTTAACACTTTGCCTTGGCCTCGTTCAGAGGTTGTGAAGATTCCCGCGCCCTTGGTCGCGTCCGATGGATCCAAGTATGCTCTGGTTGATGGTTCGACTGGTGTGATTGCATGCAAGCCAGTTGATTTCAAGACCACCACCAGTGTCACCGTGTCTCAAATTTGGCCTGGTGCTTTCCGTCTGCAAAATGGCAAACTCAAGATTGACGTCCAAGACGGCGTTATTGTTTCCCTATTCGATGTCGAGGCGCAACGAGAAGTCATTTCCAAGGGCGGCAAGGCCGGTCAGCTGGTCATATTCGATGACAAGCCTCTTTACTGGCAGGCCTGGGATGTGGAGGTGTTCCATCTGGAGTCGCGAAAGGAGCTTCCCGTCAGCAAGACATTCATTGCAGAAAATGACCACAATCGAGCCAGTCTGGTGACTGAAACGAGAATTAGTGACAAGAGTTGGGTCAAAACTACCATCAGTCTTTCTGCATCTGTCTCCTCTGAGCCGTCCGTGGTCGAGTTTGAGAGCGAAGTTGAGTGGCATGAGACTATGAAATTCCTCAAGGTTGAATTCCCAGTTGATGTGACCAACACTGAAGCATCCTACGAAACTCAATATGGTATTGTCAGACGCCCGACTCATTACAACACAAGGTAAGTTTACAACCCACGATACATCTATGGATCCTCTGCTAACATGCCTTTGAAGCTGGGACATGGCCAAATTCGAAGTTTGCTGCCACAAATGGGCCGATCTCTCTGAGCACGGGTACGGTGTCTCGATTCTCAACGATTCCAAGTATGGTTTCGCTACATGCGGCAACTTGATGCGCCTCTCGCTGCTCCGTGCCCCCAAGGCCCCAGACGCCCATGCCGATATGGGCCGCCACCATATCCGCTACGCCATCCTTCCCCACTCAGGTGGTCTGGATGCTCGCACTGTCCGCGCCGGCTATAACTTCAACCACCCACTGGTCATCGAGCAGGGAAGCTCCCAGATCTCCCGGTACAACGCTGCCTTCAAGGCTGTTTCAATCCAGGGCGGGTCGTCCATTATCTTAGATGCCGTCAAGCGTGGCGAGGATGATGAGGACGTCTCTACTGGTGGTATTTCCTCTCGTCCTGGCAAGAGTGTGATCTTGCGCGTCTACGAGTCTATGGGCGGGAAGGCCCGCGGCTCTATTCACAGCGCATTGCCTGTGAAGAAAGTCTGGAAGTGCAACGTCCTTGAAGATGACGAGGAGGAATTGGAGATTCAGAAGACCAAGGAAGGATCCGTCACTGTGGATATCGAGGTACGAGCGTTTGAGATTGCTACCTATCGGCTTCAGCTGTAAGCCTTTCACGCCCTGCAGAGTTATCCAATGTTATCGTGTCGCTGTCAGTAACTGTTTTGGAAATGCATATCTTATTCGCGCCTGGAAATTGGCACAATTGTATGCAAAATAGAACGTAGTCTCCAGAGCCATGATGTACATGATGGGTAATTGAGACGAACCCCTCCCATTTTTATCAGCGCCTAATCCTTCACCGAGCCAACTCCATGATATCAATAACCTCCAAAACTCCAATAAAAAAAGATCCAAGCTGAACATGGCGCAATCATCTAATCTCGCCCGTAGCTGATCTTCAACCGTTTCACAGGCGGCTTGGAATCCGCATCGTCTGAAAGTTCTTCTGTCTGGGCTTTCCCCTTTGTATTCTTCGAGCCACCACTAGCCTTCTTCTTATTTTTGGAAGATCCGCCGCCGCCGCCGCCGCCACCACCAGCTTTAGATGCCGTCCCGGATTCGCCGCCATTGCTCTTTGTCGATGGTGCGTTCCCGCCAGCTGTGGAGGTCGGTGTTGCGGCCTGAGATGGGGTATTTTGCGCGGTGGATGGGCCAGGTGAATCCTATCAGTGAATTAGTGTTAGAGATTCCCGTCCTTTCTTTCATCGTTCCAGTGTGACTGTCAACCTACCTGCATGTAGCTTGCGGAGCTCCGTGAGAAAACTCGATCGGAGTCTGTGACTTGTGCTTTTCGCCGACCACCAACACCTGACCCGAGACTTAACCCGGAAGCACCGAGACTAGAGCCGCTTGATGAGCCCTTGATGTAATTGTCAAAGCCTTTGATGATGTTGCCGGCTGTCGTTTCTTCGAGGTAGGTTTGTTCGAATCGATAGATTTGGTCTTCGAGTTGGGCCTGTTGACAGAGAAGGTCAGCACATGCCAAACCAAGGTCTGAATGTCAAATCAATGGCTGTGTTTAGTCCATATCCAATGCGCCCATTGAATTTCCATTGATCGGTAGTGAAAGTGCGATTCTAGCGCGACTGGCAGGCGACGAGACTCACCATGCTCTTATCCATCAGTCGCTTCTTCTGTATCGTGTCCCGGAGCTCCCGTCGCAACTTCTCGTAGTATGGTAGTCCCCGGTTCGTGGTGTTCTGGTCGCTGGGCGCATTCGAGGCCCCTGTGGTGACGCCGTTCGTGGGTGCTGCCGGTGCGCCGGTGGCAGGCATCGCGGTCTGGGCGGGAGCTGTGTCCGCCATGATGGTGTGAAAATTAAATTCGTTTCTCTCTAGCAGTCGAGAAGGTTTAAGGAGTGTATGCGAGTGCTGGACGGTGGAATTCGCGGCCGCGGTCGAGGAACTGCGAGCTTGCGGAAACGCGAGGCGGCCAAAGCTGGTAAGAGCCGCTCTTATCGCTGTTTGCATAGTTTGCATGTCCACGCCATCGCGCCCTGTCATGTTGATTCCCCTCACGTTGTTGCACAATAAGCTCTATACGTCTGATTTGAGGGTACTGAGCCTTGCTTAATCCTCGGAAGACTCTTCTTACTGTTGTCGCTATTGATCACTCGATGCACATGGATCACAGTCACATGGACCACGGCGATATGGGCCATGGCGATATGGACATGGGCCAATGCGATATGAATGCAAGTACACAGGAATCACCTTCAATAGTAATCTTACATTTACTAACGGTCTCTTCTTCTTTGATAGATGCTATTCACCTGGTCCTCAAAGAACCTCTGCATCGTCTTCCGCCAGTGGCGCATCACCGGACCCGTTTCCTTCCTCCTCTCCCTCGTGCTTATCGTCCTCCTAACGGCTGGGTACGAGGGTGTCCGACAAATTACCCGCAAGTACGAAGCTGCTCATAACCAGCGTTTGAACGCTTTTGCCATATCAACGAGTACTAATGGAGGTATGTTGAATCTCTCCTTCCTGTTAGACGAGTGTCTATTCTATGTGGCGGTGTTTGTATGGCGTTAGCATGGTGGTTGAGGTTTCTATGGCTTCTTGCTCTCCTTATGCACTTCCTGCTTGGGCGAGCTCTCTCATTGATGTCTTGCTCTGCAGGTGATGGGATTCCCGAGCCGGTCACCGCTAATATCCACGATTCTATCCATGCCGAGGGCTCACCACTGCTTGTAGGACGGGATAATAGGGCTGCACTTGCACGCCGGGGGAAACTTATTTTGGCTGCGTTGTATGCCGTTCAGGTCTTTTACAGCTTCTTTATTATGTGAGTGGTCTTTTTTCTTCCCTCTTCGCCTCTTTGGAAGGGATCCTGGTCTCATCGTTCCTCTGGTTAGGCTTCTTTTCATGACATACAACGGGATGGTCATGCTGGCGGTTGCAGTTGGTGCCTTTGTTGGATATTTGGCTTTTGCCCATGACACCCCGGCTACCAAGTCCATTGCTTGCCACTAAGATGGCAGTCTCATATTGGCGTTTCTGGATCAATGACCCGATAGCATGGAAATTTGCGTAGGCTTTCATAAATTTCATTTCACATGGACTATTTTTTGCAATTTATGATGTTTACTATATTTAGACCCAATAGATCAAGGGACTTCAACATCGCTATCATCTCCGAACCCGAAACTAAAGCCTCCTACAGTGCTTTGGTCTTCTTCGGTCTTGCCATGGACGATATCTTCCCACTTGCGCTTTTTCCCGTCGACCTTCTTCTGTAGCTCTTCTTGGGCCTGCGCCAATAGATCTGGGTATGCCTCTTGCATGCCATTCACGAAGTTTTCGTAGGGATTCTCGACATTCTTCCGGAATCCAGAGACCTGGTCTGCCTTGTTGGACAAGAAATCCAGCGCGGCGACAAGATGCGCGCGAGGAATGAAGTTCTGCGTAATCGCGATAGACGGCTCCAAGTTGACGACCAAATGCCACCAGCCCGAGGGGACGTGCAGGATCTCGCCCTCGCCGCAGATTCCTTCCATACAGCCTGGTGTGCGTCGTGCCTCTGCGTGGAAGTTGAGTAGCCACTCGGCAATGCTCAACGGCGATGTGACCTCGCTCTGATCATCAGATACGTAGACACCCGGTGGTGGGACTCGCTTGTCACCAGATGGGAACATAATCCAATACTTTGGCCCGCGCAACACTGCATTCCAGGCGCTGGTCGCATTAGGATCCTTGTGGAACTTGCTGCCCGAGCGTTCGGGGCCCACGATCAGCCATTGGTGATCAGGGCGGTCCTTCCCGAGTACTGAGAAGAAGTCTTCCGCAAAGCAGGTTGGCGGCCAGTATGCCGCATTGGGGGTCGACTCGGGGGAACCAACAGCCAGGCCCATCTTGGGGACGAAAGCACGGTCAAACAGATACAGCGGACTCTCGTCAGAGTTGTCTGCCATGTAGTCACGATAGGTAGACAACGGCCAGTCTACGGCCTCTGCGCGGAACTTCTCCTGCCCATGTTCGGAGAGTAAGGACCCGATGGTCCAGTCTTTGTAGACAGGCCAGGCCTTGACGGGTTCCGTCAAGACGAACGGTCGATCAGCCCATTCGGCATGGAATTCCTCAGCGGAAAGATCTGATAAGCGCGGGATCTGGTTGCGCGCTGGGATCTTGGTGACATAGGGTTCAAGCACGATATGCGCACAGTTAAAAGGGCGGTAAAGTACGTCGGAATACAGGTGGGAGCAGTCGATCATGGGGACTTTTGAGGGAGGCAGATTGAGATATGTTGATCGCCATGTTCCTCTCCATGTAAAGTTGTCCAATGGGGATCTGCCATGGACGTTAGTTGGTCTTCGGTCACCTGGGTTGTATATATCTATCCATAGCGGTTATTGGGCCGCATAGATGCCGGGTATAGTTCGACGCCCAGGATCATACAACAATGCAATATAATCTACTCAAATCCGATCCCTCAAAGAAAAACAAAAGGCAAACTTACTCAATAAAAAGTGCCTTCCACAACTCTTCAGCGCGAGTAAATGCGTAGAAAGCCTTGCAGGTGCGCCCAATGCCCAGTAGACTTGGACCGTCCAAGTGTTCCAGCAACAACAGTATTAGCTCATCGGGTAAAAGCCGGAAAGTGCCTATGGCATCCCGGAGACTCCAACTTGCTAACAAAGCATTTCCACTAGGTTTCACGCCTAGTGGATGACTCGGAATGGCCTCGTCACCCTGTTGGCCATCCAAGGCTGGCGGATGACTGGGTAGCGTTGTGATGTCAGGCATTGTCCGCCACTTTGGATCTTTAGGGCTTCAAGGAATTTTTTCTGCCCACACCCCCAACAGCCCTATTGACAACCAACGACGGCCTAAATGGAATAATATGCACCACAACCCAAAGGCGAATAGACGAATAAGATAGACATTCAACCAGGAACTAGCAGCAAAAAGAAAAGAAGCCTTCATGACCGCCTCCAAACTGAACCACTCGCTTGGGCCCGTGCGGCGGTCTCCACTTGCGGTAGGCGGTGAGGCCTCGCCCACCCGTGAAAAAAAAAAAGCGGATTGTAGCCAAAAGGCACGGGCGGCCGACGATTTTTTTTCTTCTTCTCTTCTCCCACCTTTTTTGTGAACCCATACCAACCAACTCATACCACCCATTTTTCTAGTATCTCGCTCTTCTTATTTGAAGAGCCTTTGATACTAGCACTTCGATCCTCGCTTGCGAACTTTCCCCACCGGGCACGTTCGCTTAAAACCACCCCACCCGGTCACAGCGAAGAATCGTCTGTGATCAATCACCACCAACCGCAATCATGTCGAACGATAAGGGTCTTGAGGACCTCGCTGAGGGTATGTACCGTGACTCTCTGGTTCTTCTTCTTTGAGCGACATGTGCCGGCCTGGTGACGGCCAGTGTTTTCACATTGCGCCTAACCCCTCGGTGTGGCAATGAAACATAGGGGAAAACGTGAAAACATTCAACAGAATCAAACGCTGACATCGCTCTTCTTGCGCTCTCTACAGGCCAGATCGAGTCTAACTACGATGAGGTCACCGACTCCTTCGATGCCATGGACCTGAAGCCCGAGCTGCTTCGCGGTATGTGAATCCTTTCGTGGGGGTGGGAGGAACATCCCGCCCGTGGCGGGGCTCGTTGGAAAATTCACTAACCTGACTGATTAGGTGTCTACGCCTACGGTTTCGAGCGTCCCTCTGCTATCCAGCAGCGTGCTATCATGCCCATCATCAAGGGTGAGTTCTTCTGTTCAATCGCCCAATACTTAAAAAATAAAAGTTCTGATCTGACTCAATCTCCCCTCCAGGTAACGATGTTATCGCTCAGGCCCAGTCCGGTACCGGAAAGACTGCCACTTTCTCCATCTCTGCTCTCCAGAAGATCGACCCCAACTTGAAGGCTTGCCAGGCTCTGATCCTCGCTCCCACCCGTGAGCTGGCTCAGCAGATCCAGAAGGTCGTTGTTGCCATTGGTGACTTCATGACCCTTGAGTGCCACGCCTGTATCGGTGGTACCAACGTCCGTGAGGACATGACCGCTCTCCGTGAGGGTCCCCAGGTCGTTGTCGGTACCCCCGGCCGTGTCCAGGACATGATCCAGCGTCGTGTCCTCCGCACCGACCACATGAAGCTCTTCATCCTCGACGAGGCTGATGAGATGCTGTCCGTAAGTAGCTTGATGACCCCACACAGCCCTATGGTGTTGGCCTTGCCCATGCTAATATTCCTTCTCTTCACAGCGCGGTTTCACCGAGCAGATTTACGACATCTTCCAGCTCCTCCCTCAGTCTACCCAGGTCACCCTCCTGTCCGCCACCATGCCCCAGGACGTCCTCGAGGTTACCACCAAGTTCATGCGTGACCCCGTCCGCATCTTGGTCAAGAAGCAGGAGCTTACCCTTGAGGGTATCAAGCAGTTCTACATTGCTGTTGAGAAGGAGGAGTGGAAGCTCGACACCCTGTCCGATCTCTACGAGACCGTTACCATCACCCAGGCTGTCATCTTCTGCAACACCCGCAGAAAGGTCGACTGGCTCACCGACAAGCTCACTGCTCGTGACTTCACTGTCAGCGCCATGCACGGTGACATGGAGCAGGGCCAGCGGTATGTTTCCCCCATCGATCTACCTTGGTAACTATTTAACTAACTATTTAATCTAGTGATGTTATCATGAAGGAGTTCCGCTCTGGTTCTTCCCGTGTCCTGATCGCCACTGACCTCCTCGCCCGTGGTATCGATGTCCAGCAGGTTTCCCTGGTCATCAACTACGATCTCCCCGCCAACCGTGAGAACTACATTCACCGTATCGGTCGTGGTGGTCGTTTCGGTCGTAAGGGTGTTGCCATCAACTTCGTCACCGCCGACGATGTTCGCATGCTCCGCGAGATCGAGCAGTTCTACAGCACCCAGATTGAGGAGATGCCCATGAACGTTGCCGACCTCATCTAAACGCCCCCCTTTTTATGATGTCTTGATGCGGATTACGATCGCAGAACCTGCGTCAAAAGTGGCTTTTTGTCCCCGGGAAAGTTGACTATCAGGGCCCGATCATTCAGAAAGATTGATCATTGAGGTCGGTCAACTTCCCGGGGATACTGCTATGCTTTTCCTATGTCTCCCCCTTACATGTCACGGAGATGTGACATGTTTATGCGTCCTCGTGCTGTCGCGGTTTTTCCTTTCCCGCATTTTATTCTCCGTTTCCTTCTGTATCTAGCTCGCTCTGGTTGGTTAAGGATGCCGCTTTCTCAGTACTTAATCAAATAGATCGGGCCAAAATGTGACTTGTTCCTTACGGTTTCATACTCTTTTTCTCTCCCCATCATGCTGTACAGAATAGACTGTTTATGATTTCTAATAGGTACTTCAGGGTGTGAAATTCTAACGTGTTCAACGTGCTATCCAGAGATCCTGGTACTTTCTCGTTTAGGAAGTGACTGAAGCATCGCAATCATATGGCAAGTTGATAGCCTTAGCCTGGTCAATTGGCGGCTTGGAAGGTGTTGTTCTGTGAATCGGCAAAACGGTGTGTGTGTGCCATGGGTTGAGGGTGAGGGTGCAAGGGTGTGAGGGTTTGAGTCGCGAGTCTCCCATCGTTGCCTTCACCCATCGCTGCCTTCACACCCTCCGGCTTTCTCCAGCTTCTTTTCTTCTCTTCCTCTTCCCCTTCTGCTCTGTCCCCTTCTTTCTTCCCAATTCTACACTCCTTGCTACCATCTTCTTCCATTCTTCCTTCCTTCCTTCCACAATTTTCTCTCACATTCGACCAGAACCTTCGCTTCACTGTACCTGCATCATCACCATGTCTGAGAGCTCTCAGGTCTCCCCTCGCCCCTCCGCTGTCCCTGCCTCCCCTCTTGCCCTTCTCTGGTCGTACGAATTTCGCCGCCAGAATGGCATACTCACCTCCCATCTGCTGGATGTCAAGGTACAGCTGAATGAGCGGGGGCAGCTCACTGAGTTTCTCTCCAAATCCTTAAATGACCTTATTGTCATCATTGCTTCCATGGTGACTGTTCTCGCCGGTTACTCTGACGGCGGCGAGCACCGCATCCGCCTGCTGCACCGTCTCCTCGGCCAGGCCATGGCACCTCTGTACCGGTATGCCGCCAACTGCGACCTGGGCAATCAAGCTCTCATCGACTGCATCGCCCAGCTTGAGGCCCTGTACGAGCTGCCTGCCATTTTCTTTGACGGTGACGAGGGTGATGCCGCAACCTCACTTTCCTCGGCTCTCAGCGCCGCATCAGATGGCATTCCTCAGTCACCTCGATCTGCGCACGGTGAGCGCGCAAAGTCCACCACCGAAAGTGACCAGCACGATGACCAGCACGATGACCAGCACGATGACCAGCACGATGACCAGCACGATGACCAGCACGATGACCAGGCCTCGCCCAATGAGGCCCGTGAGGCCCTCGCGGTGAAGCTCGATGCGGTCATGCATCAGGAAGGCCGTCCTCTCGAGGACTATTTCGACGCGGCCTGCGACTTCCGTCGTGACCAGATTCGCCTGGGTCAAGCCAATGACCCTGTCTTCCTTGAGGCGTTCCTGGCCGGTTGCGATAACAATCTCTACCGTCGTCGCCTCACCCACGCCCTGCGCAAGTACGGCTGGTACTGGACCTGGCTCACTCACGAGGTGCAGTACATTATCCTCGAGCAAGAGTACATGGACAAGCAGAGCTACGCTCTGGAGCATGTTAATCCTGACGGCTCATTCATGTGGCCAGACGGGACCTCCAAGCTTCGCATCGTCTTCTTGCCTCCCATCACCGAGGAGGACCTGACAGACTCGGACCTGGAATCTGACGAGAAGTGAAGGAATCTTCCAGCCATTGGTCGTCGAATTGCAGTCATCCCTGAAGAGGGCATCAGCTAGACGCACCCTCAGAGACTGTCACCGATCAATCGCATGGACACATACATCACCTCATAACAACAGACCAAACCCTACCCGTCTCAGGCACCAGGACATGATTGATCTCAGTAGGCTTCGGTCTATTCTCAGTGGCTGGTGTGGGTGTGGTTGCTTCGCTTCGCCTTGCTCGGTTTCTTGCCTTCTTGCTTCCTGCTCTCTGTCTTTGGGTTCTCAGCACGCAACGAATGGTTCTGCAGTTCGGATAAGATGGAGTTTGTTTTCACGCCCCGTGGAGTTGGCTCGTGCTTTCTGCCTCTTCTCGTTCTTCTCGTTCTTCCCGTTCTTCTGATACTTTTATCTTCCTTTCATTTCCCTTTTTTTTCTGCTTGCAATGAGAGGAATCTATTGTGTCTTTCAGCAGCTGTTTCCCTGCCTGATCAGCGGTGTCTCCAAGGGTTGAACTCAGATTTATACTGTTGTTTCAATTTGCAATGAATATCATGGACTTTATTCGTCAATTCGAAACGTGCCGTAGCTATTTCATTGCTAGTCGTATCATCTTTCTAGGATTGAGCGCTGTCAAAGTATGCCACTATCAAGGTATAATAATAATCATGACCTGTTGACATGTCGTTGCAGATGAATACGAATACGAACCGAGATTCCCATCCCATGTGTTGTCAACGACGGCAACAACACCCGCCGAGACTCCCCATTCATCATCCTCCCGTCCTCTCCTTCCTGACTTATCCCGTCTTCTACCACCATTTACCTGAATGACCCATTCTCGATATCTAAAGACACTATCATTCAGGATGCAGGTCGCGGAAATACTATCCGATATCACCTCGCTACGTGTCTGTGTAAGTCTTGGCACTCCTGTCACCTCCTGCCCCACTGCTCACCCCAACAACGCATCAGCGCGCAAAGCCCCGAAAATAATAATCAAAGCATACGATACTAACATCTTCCAGGGACACAACGAGGCTCTCGCACTTGTCAGTGGACCGGCGCTCGTCAATCAGCCGCATGCTGGAGCTGGCTCGGGCGCCTCTAATGGACAAACCAGCAAGCAAGAAGCCCTGCAACGTGCAAAGGAGCTCGTACAGTTACATTACGAGGTGAAGTCCCGGCATGTCGATGGCGAGGTGGATGAGGAGTTGCGTCAGGCTAGAGAGTATGTGTACCGGGTTCTGAGGGAATTGGCGTGATGTTGTTGTTTTGAGTTTTGAAGCGTTTCGATAATGTATATGATTATGATCTTTTTGTCGCCATTCTCTTCAATACACAGCCAGAGAACTTGGCTTGAAAACAGGATTGGGTATTATCTGTTCCAAGGTGGCACGATGTGTGGCCTCTACTCATTCAAACAAAATTCGACAATGCGGTCATGTGCCTCTATACGTCCCTCCCCCTTGCAAAGATTCTTTACTGCAGCCGACCTGGCGCGAATCTCTTCATCACTCAGAACGTCCAGTAGAGCCTTCGAGAATTCCCCTGCCTCGACCCCGGGTGCTGCAGTTCTACTGCCGTTCAGTCCGATTCCAAGCCATTCAACCCTGGTTGCACAGTCATAGGTGTCAAGCCACTGGGGAAGCACGACCTGAGGAGCACCGACCCTAAAGATATAATTAGAACACTTGAGCGTTCTTCCAGTGAGAAAAACTTTACTTACTTGCATGCTTCAAAGTAGGAATTGGCTCCTCCGTGATGGACATACGTGGCGATCCGGCCAGTGTCCAATACAGACATGATATCCGCCTGGATCCAGGACACCACTTTTGCCGATCCAGCAGCGATAGCTGAGCCCAGAACCTTTTGGAACTCATTCGAAGTCTCCCAATCGTACTTAAGCTTCCATATAATCTTCAAATCGGGGCGTTTGGCGATAACGGTCCGAACTCCCTTCGCCATCTGAATCGCAATGGATTCAGACGGTCGAACGTGTGACCCTAGATTAATCAAGACAGTCGGTTTCGTGAGCCATGCCTCCAGCCCAGGGTCAGACGTGGATAGAGGTGGGCATTGTCGAAGAATCGGACCACAACTGATCACGTTATCTGGGACATGCAATGGAAAGTCGAGTTCCTTCAACGCGGGTGTTACGCATAAGAATTCCTTTGAATATGCGTTCACCAGGGGGAATGGACTTCGTCCTTGTGGTTTTTTGCCGTCTTGGCGTTCATCGGTTTCTGATTTCCCCGTCGCCAGCGTAATTATCACGCGGAATACCAGATAGATATTTTTGAGAACAAGTTTCCATGGCAGTGGAAAAGGATACCCGGATCCCGTACTGTAGAGATAAATCAGAACCTTCACACTTCAATCGAATTTCAAGAGTGAATGCATACACAGGGTACTTCCAAAATATCCCAGCCATAGGCTGAATAGCGATAACCACATCCTTAAGAGGAACAGGCCAAAGTATAACCACTCGAGCCGGTTTAACCGTTCGACACGCATCCAACCCAACATGCAAAATAGGATCTACCACCACGACATCCGGTCTCAATTTCTCAATCATCGCTATGCAACTCTCGTACGCCTTGCGATACTCCAGCGGCCTCCAGTTCTTCATAGTAGTAGCGACCTTCGCAAACCCCTGCGTTGCACCTTTCACACCCGGCTGATGAAAAAGAAGACCAACTTTACTGCGAATTGCTAGGTCTGTCATGGAAGGACCCGGGATTTCATGGAATTCCGCTGAGCGACCGCAGTTAACGCGATTGTTCAAGTCGTCCACGAGTGCTGCCAGCGGGCTATATGAGCCAAGATGCACGGCGAATTCGCCGCGGCGTAGGAATTCTTCGGCTACTGCGATAGCGACATTGCATTGGCCTAGTTCGCTATTTGTGAGGAAGAGGATTTTTCGGGAGGGAGCCATGTCGATCTGTCAAGAAGCGATCGATTAGAAGGAATAGGAAGAAAAGTTGAAGGAAAAGAAGTGACATTATGAGATTCATCTGGGTTTTGGGCACTTTAAAACAGCCGCAGAAGACAGGCCGGACATATAAGAAATCGCCCCACGGAAATCGTCAGATGGCGGGATGGATGGGTTACACAAACATCATTACCCCTTATCTTTTACTAAAAAGGATAGTGGTGCCTTTGCTAACTGCCGTAAAGTCTGTCGATTGAGCGTAGAAAAGTATATGGTCCGTTATTGCCGCTCCCCTGCCGATCGTTCACGACTACCGTACAGCCATGTTTCTTCGGCTTGACATACGATTTTCACCATTCGCATGGATATCATAACATGACTTGACTTGCCAAGTGCGCGATGATATCTCTCTCAAGATACCGAAGACTGCTGAAAATTAAGTTGAGATTCCTTTACTGCGAAAGACTCAAAAATGAGTCTAGGGTACCAGAACACGGCGCAGGGTCGGAGGGAAATCAGTTCGGCGATCGAGTAGAGAACCATCCGAAAATGTCTGAACCTTACTGAGGAGTACCGAAACTCAATTTTCAACTTAATCGTCCAAGTATTGGAATGTTCGATTCACCTAGCACTTTCGAGGGAAATGTCATGTCTTTGAATCAATTAATCTACACGTGGCGTCATAGAATCTACTCATTTATTCAGCAGATCAGTCCCCGTCAAAGGCCGAGATCCTTAAGAATCATCCATCGTAAGCAGTGTTATATCTCGCTGTTATCAGGACTTTAGGGAGGATATTTGGGTACTAGATCTGAGCACATCTAGCAGCCTGGGATTATACAACGAGGACTGGATATTGAATTCTCGAGGCCGAGCACGTTTTCTATCAAAATGACGCACCGTGTCTCTGTTCAGAGCTTGAACATCATCACAGGTATAAACCTATCGGCAAATCTTCGGCGGGACAACCAGATTTCATGCAAGAAGTTTGGGGAGAAGCCCTAGTGCGGTTGTATTTCATTGCCTTTTCCGATCTCATACACTTGAACTCTCCGATTTCCTTCTCAGAATATGATCACTCAAAAGCAAAGAGCCTCATATGTACATGTATTTCAAGATATAGTCCCAAATTATATTACAGATCGGTGCTGTGGTCCCGAAAGGTGAGAGTCTGTGTTCCTACCCATCCATGTCGTCAACCGCCAAATTTCCCAATTCCATCTTCATGAAAGCCAATGGGGTGCGATATCTCGTATATAATTTGGTGATCAGACTCGGAGGGATAAGGATTCAGTATTGAAAAGATAGACCTCGCCAGCACGGAAAGGCTCGGAGGCAAGGAGGCACCTAGGGGTGAGACAAGAAAATTAGTACAATAAATCATGATGAAGTATGGAGAGCAACAAACACTCGTCAATTCGTATAATTTCATGACTCAACCTCATCCGAAGCCCTCACGGATATCAAAGCCAGAACAAATATGCCGGTAAGAATGAAGCATACAGTTGACATAATAAAGAAGAGTAAATGTTTCGGCTTGATTTCATCAGGGTCCTCCAGGTCTGGGAATATCGTCAAGGGGAGTTGGTTTTCTTCGTCGTGTTCATTATGCAGTTCATGATCGTCCGCGGGCATTATCGATCCATAATCACGATCTAGCCAGTTCTTGCTTTTCCACATCCTTGGGCAATGTTGGTGGTATCGGGGAGGGAGGTGGCATGTGGCGCGTATGGAAGCTTTTAAGGGCGATTTGGTGAGACAGGAAAAAGCAGAGACAATTATGCAAGGCTATTAAGAAGGGAAAAAGCAAATCGAGTGATCAGCCGCAGAGTGATTTCATAGCGTATTCCATATTCATCATTGGTTGATGTATCTCTTGTGCTTTTTTCATTTGCCCCTTGCCTGCTATCGCCCCTCCTGTAAAGTCTGCAGACTACAATGAATGGCTTAAAGATCGCGTGTTCAAGCGCGACGATTTTGTGGTTTTGCTCCTTTACTTAAAGCTCCATCAGATATTAGACTTTTGGTCTGGGGTCGACTTGTGTACTTTACCTTAAACCACCGAAGACGAGATTGAAAAGCTGAGAAGAGCGACCGGCTACCATATTCTCCCATCGCAGTCCTTTACATCAATAATTGTCCAAATGACCGCGCCATCACCTTCCCAGCCTAGTAATATTCAGGGGTAGTATCTATATCAGCCCAGGAATGAGAGAATAATACGACTTGAAAGGCAAATCAATGCATGGTTCTCTGATCGGATTTTACCGCTGTTCATCTGTGAAACTCCTTGCCAGGCTGCCAGTCATGATCGTTGTGACGAGTGAGGGTTACACGAGTTACGCTAGCGCAGCCCGGGTCAGCCAGCCTACGCGATCGGGTTACAATAGGGTGCATCGATTCCTCATGTGGCTGGATGATTGCTGTATTAATAAATACTCTATATAGACCAATGATACCAGGGAATCGATGTTCATAAGAGTCCAGCCTATGATAAGATATGAAAGTAGGGATGATGGTTCGGTTGGGTTCCGAGACGCTCACGATCTGGCGCATTTTCACGTACCCCGATGTTAATCGTCGCATGTCCCCACGAGAAGCAACTTCCTCCCAAAAAATTTGCTGCTTACCCCCAGGAAGCGTCATGTGGGGCATGTTCGACAGATTTATTGTTTCTATTTAGTGGGTATTCAAGGAGAGACTGATTGACGTCGTGACTCTTGAGTTGTGTCTGCCAGAGATAATGATCTGTACCAATAAAGCCGGGTGGAATGATTATACCCGTGCACTCAAGCAACTGGGCTCCGCTGGGAGACTTAGTATGAGGGGCAATATGTACAATCTTGCTGTCTTCGATCAGTATTGATCGATGCCGTATAGGAACGACATGGCCATTGGCTGCGTCCGTGGAAACAAGGATAGTTGCATTTTGTAGAAGAATCTAAGGCAATTTGAACGCTCCTTACTAGTTCTCGCATATCCGTTTGTTCGTCGTACCCTTGAGAACGCCCACCACTCCATGGGGACGTCCTCTTGAATCGGAGTTAAGGACGACGGACGTATGGATAGGGCCGGGCGTCGCCACAGATGAGCATTACTAACTCACTACTGGAGCGCTGCTGCCCTGCGTAGCTATTATGCTATCGGATTCAAAGCATTGAATCGTGAAACAGAGGACATATAAAGGAGATTTAGTCTCGTCTGGCCGTTATTCAGACCCAAAATACATCACGCGGAGATCCAGTGACGTCATCTATGTCGCAACTTCAATTCGATTGCACTCATTGCTACTAAGCCTACCTTCACAACTCTTGAGTTTAAGATCTTATTTTGGCGCAATTTGACACTTCATGAATGGCTCCGAAAACATACAAAGATGTGCTTGATTTCTGGTTCGGTGCCAAATCATCGCGTGACTATCTCCGACCGAAGCCGTTCTGGTATGGAAGCCCCGCAGATGACAAGTATGTTCGCAAGCATCTTAGTGAGTGCTATGAAGCCGCCAGAGATGGCACCCTTGATCACTGGAGGGTCAGAGGTAAAGGCGAGGGAGCACTCACTTTGATCCTGCTCCTCGATCAAGTACCTCGAAATATCTTCCGAGATACACCAGAGGCTTATGCCACCGATTCAAAAGCAGTTTCAGTCTCACGGTATGCAATTGAGCGAGGTTGGGATAAAGAACTACCAAATATCCAGCGACGGTATATGTATTCACCCTTCAACCACTCAGAAAACTTGAAGGATCAGGAAGTTTCGATGAAATTGTTCACTGAACTTGGGGATCTTGAGCACCTGAAATGGGCAAAAAGCTTTCATGACCAGATTAAAAGAAATGGGAGATTTAGGCATCGAGATCATGTATTAAGAAAAAGGTTATAAATTGGGCTGGGATATCTCCCTGTACATAGTAAGACTTCGAAGGAATTCTGCATTCAAAAGAAGTTCCATACTCTTCCTTAGTTTCGTGTCTTAAAGGTTCAGAGGCCCTCACAAGCCATTCCAGCCAACATTTAGTCTACACTTTGACTCGACCCTTAGATAGTCTGTAGATCCAAAGAAGAAGAGTAAGGCTTACATCGAAGAAATCAAACACCAAAGCTCCGCCAAAAATAATGGCATAGTAGGACCAGGCTTGAGAATTTGGCAGCGACTCTTTGGTCATCACAATCGCCCACGGGAGCATCCATAGGAAGTTCGACCCCAGGGCTTGGTACAGATACCAACGGGGTGAAGCGGCAAGTAGAACTGCTGCAAGCTGGTAGTTCAGCCCGTATAATATGTAGGTCCAATCTATGGCCTGCGGGGAGATGTTAACACTTGGTTCTGGTAGGCCAGCAAAGTAAAGACTCACCCTCCACATCTTTTGCGTAATTTTAGCCACATCCCTCGAGTTTGAGAGATAATAAGCAAACCCATCTATGCCCCGTATTGAGAGTGCGATACAAATGACGGCTTCAAACACTATGACAATCGCGCATGATAACAACGCTGGTCGGAGTATTTCTATAGTACCCAGTCAGTGGTGACCCATTTGCCTTCGGTTATGGACCTACTCAATATCTCTTTGCGGGAGGCTCTAGGATGAGTCGTATCTGATGATGCACGAAAGGCTCCCCACGCATGACCCACAAATGCAAGGGTCGATGACTCGAGTGCTTGTACTGGAACCATGACCAAGCCCCAGCGAATTGTATTGAAAACACCCCAAGCTGTTGCATATGTTTCCCCCATTTGGACAATTCGATTCACTAGCCAAAGGTAAATTGCGTTTCTGATTGCAGACTCTGTGAAAGTGTAAACGCTAGGTTTGAGGAGAGTCATAAAGGCCGAGAGGCCGATGCTCAGGTGCTGTCTTTCATCTGGTTCTTTCTGCACTTTACGTACAACCACAAGAGAAAAATACAGTAGTCCAGTCAGAACAGAGACGACATCGCAGACAAGTCTCACGACAGCTTGAGAGACGATTGTTGGCTTTGCTTCTGTGACATGAAACTTGGAAATAATCAGCAAGTCTAGCACAATGTTGATGATGAACTTGGCAGAGCTGAAGATCAACGGGACATCGGGATTATCAAGAGCTCGAGTTGACGACGACAGAGCAGCTTCTGTTGCGGAGGTCAAGAACTGAACCGAAGACAGTCGCACATATGTGAGGGAGATTCCCCGAACCTCCTCGGGAACAAAGGCCGATGCCAGACCTTGGGGATAGCCGAGAAATATGACCATCAGAGTAAATCCTTGAGTCGCGGTGGCTATCATCAATGTGTAAGCCAGATTCAAGCGTGAGCGGACCGATCTTGTGCTTTTGTCTCCAATCACATTCCAAGCAGAGCGTGGAAATGCATCGTTGAGAACTTCAGCGACGATACCAATGTACGTGTAAACATCTGTCAACACCACCTGGCTCGAGTCAATATTAGCAACCCACAGCTTACTGAGGGTGCCATAGAGGGCGGGCAGAAAAAAGGCTCCCAGGTTTAACAGCAAGGATCCCGGATATCTGAACAAAGATTTTGCATCAGCGCATTGAATCCGGTTCTGGTCGTGTCTTGAATATGCACTTGCCTTTGACGGCTCCATACTGGCCGTCTGGAAGAAACCATCTCCTCGAAGCTACGGGAGTTTCGTGCTTCCATTTGCCTTGAGAAATTCTATCCTTCCAAACTGGCGTATGATTCTCTGTTCTCCTCTCCCTTCTGTCGATCTTCTCCAGCTGTGAGGAGCAGAAAGATTGATCAAAGCGGGGAAACCTCACGCACACATTAGTACCTTACTATATTTGTGCCTTCCAAGACCGTTGATGCGCGCTAAACTCATAGTACGGCCAATCAGAATACGGGCAAGCATATTAGTTTGCCTTTCCATTTTCTCGACATCGATTTCTTATACTCGACAATCATGCCTTCTGATTCGCCAATTGGCACCTTCTCTGTCTAAGAAGGCTTAGAGTCATCCTCTATTATCTGGAAGACAACGGTCGATAGTAGCGAGATAAACTGGAAGTGCTAAGAAATACTAAAAGGTCTAGGCTTTCCAGTTGTCTAATCTCACCTGTTCGCACGGGCTCTACAGGGCATTCCCCACTAGCCAAGATGGGGCCGCCCCCGCGCCCCAAAACATCAACCCAATTCCGACCCTTTCTTTCACCAACCGTGGGCCCAACGAGTACAGGGCAACATATAACAAAATGGGCCGCTAAAATTGCATCCTCGACCCATGCGAATATGTCTTCAAATTCCACTCCCCGCTGCAACCATTCGTCTGCTTCGGTGACTTGTTCGCAAAACGCCGCGAAAGCAGGGTTCAAAAGACCAGACACAAAACAGCGCCTTGCAGCAACAAGGTCTGATAAGCCGTCAAAAATTCATGATTTCAAATCAATACCAGCTGATGATCCCTGGACTTTCCCAGCTCCCTTACTACTGCCGGGCGATGATCTCAGTGAAGACCCTGAGTATCCACCGCAGAGTTTTCAAGAATGGCTCGATGAAGAAGACCGCAACCCAGTGTCCGCAAAACGTAAGACGGTATATGTAGTCACTGCACCGGAAATTGAGGATGATGTTCAGTTCATGCGGACATGGGACAACCGTCTTGGTGACAGACATCATGTCGCTCAACCCTCGGCTGAGGCGATCCTCGACTACCTACAAGCATTTTACCATGGCCTACCTGTCAAGTCTCTACCTCGATTAACTCCTGCATTTACCGCATGGGATGAGGAGCCTAAGACAAAGCGAAAGCCGCGTCAGCCGCGTCAGCCGAAATACATCGCTCTAAAGTTCGGAAATGAGTGTGTTCGTATCCGCATTCGCCCATCGCCAGACGGGATCTTTGGTGGTCAACTGAATCTGGATGATCTACTCGATGCCGCTATAGCCATGCTACCCAAAGATGCATATGCACTGTTGCTTCTGGTCCATCAGGATCTCTACGAAGATGAGGATGACGAATTTGTCTGCGGCCGCGCTTATGGTGCGAGCAGAGTCGCAGTTGTCTCGAGTGCGAGATACAACCCAGCATTGGACGAACATCAATCTGTTGAAAGGCTCCATGCCTGGCCAGCATCGCACTGCGAAAATTACATTGCCACGTGCTTCACAACGTCTGGACCCAAGGTAAAACGACAAAAGACATCGAAGCCAACAAAGCCAATCGAGATCAAAGACTCCAGCTCTATTTCGTCTTCCCCGTTGATGGCCGCAATGTCCATCTATCGAGACTTGGAAACCACCAACCGGTCACCATCAGCTCTTTCTACTCTCTGGCTGGGTAGAATGTGTCGGACTGCCGCACACGAGCTCGGCCACTGTTTTGGTATCGACCATTGCGTCTACTACGCCTGTGCTATGCAAGGAACCGCTTCAATCCGCGAAGATGCTCGACAACCTCCTTTTCTCTGTCCAGTAGATCTGGCCAAACTCACACATGCAACTGGAGCTACGGCAGCCCAAAGATATAAGGCTCTCCTTGATTTTTGCGACAGGCCTGAATACGGAGAGTGTCTCTTCTTTGCACCCTTCGCAGAGTGGATCCGAGGGATGTTGGGCACGACATTGCAATGAAGGTCCAGTCCTTAAACTACATATTCCTGGAGGCGAGTCGGGTACTACCCTGCTCTTCTCCGGTTACCATGTACATTTTTTCATGGTGCATCAGCCACAACTGAGTCATTTCCTCCCCACTTCATGGCGTTTACATGTAGTTCGCCGCTTAATGCCAACGGACAGTGCTTGAATTGGTCTGGACGGCACACCACAAGCCCAAACAGCCATCTCGATCATGCTGATCAAGCTGAAAATAGCATAAACACATGATTCAGCCCTTCCCACTCCTTACGGGTTTCCATCGTCCCAGGGATCGATCATTCATGCGGCCAGTGAATTGCTACCTATCCTGTAATCCTCCAATTAAATGAACCGACGGATATTAAGAGACTTACAACTGTAGACCGCAATGCATGACTGAAAATGTACTTGATAGTGCCAGCTCCGTCTCCTCTTGCCGAAGTAATGGCCGATCGCTCCCGACTACAACTATAATAGTTGTTTAGCTGCCCATCCCCCAGACCGCCCTGTAGACCGCCCTGAAATATGCCCTCTATAGCTGCATTACAGACCGCCATGTTGCGGAAAGTATAGCAGAATACTGACCGCCTAATAATATAGCTTCTCGTCCACCGCATCTTCTTTCACTTCTTCTCTCGTCCCCCCCACGACGCGTCGCGCTTCACACTCACGTTTTTCAACCGCAAAAATGGCGACCCCTGTGGATGCAAAGCTCCTCAAGAAGACCAAGTTCCCTCCTGAATTTAATCGGAAGGTGGACATGACCAAGCTGAATATCGAAGTCATGAAGAAGTGAGTGATGGCTGCAGCTTATGATGGCACCAAGAGTCGAGAAGCTGACCAAGGAATGCTGTAGATGGATCAACAAGCGCATCTCTGAGATCCTCGGCAATGAGGACGACGTCGTTATTGAGCTGTGCTCCAACCTGCTTGAGGGCTCTCGCTATGTACGTTGTCTTCTGTGTGGACTTGACCGAGATGTCTTGATGTCCATGTTATGTGCTCCTGCTAACGTGGGGCATGTCACCAAATAGCCGGATATCAAAGCTCTCCAAATCCAGCTTACAGGATTCCTCGACAAGGACACCCCCAAGTTCTGCAAGGAGCTGTGGTCCCTCTGCCTGAGTGGTCAAGAAAACCCTCAAGGTGTTCCAAAGGAGATCCTAGAGGCCAAGAAGCTGGAGCTCATGCAAGAGAAGGTGATAAAAGCCGGAGAAGCTGCTCAGCTCTACAGTCGAAGCTTTTTCTGACCAATTGTATACACAGATCGAGGCCGAAAAAGCTGCCGAGGCTGCTCGGCGAGAGAGAGAACAGGAGCGCCTCCGAGAGCGCGAGTTGAATGACACGAGACGCCGAGAGCGTGCTGAACGAGGCGATCGCAACTTCGGGAACTTTGGAGGAAGAGGCCGTCACAATCGACGCCGTTCACGCTCCCCGCTTCCTCAATACGGCCGAACTCGCTATCGTGATCGCGACTCACCTCCTCGCCATCGCGATTCCCCTCCTCGCCGCGGTTCGTTCTCATTCCCTTTGGATCGTCCAGATCGCACCCCTCCCCGCCGCGAGCCATTCTCATTCCCTTTGGATCGCCCAGATCGAACTCCTTCCCGCGGACGTTCTTCTTCACGTTCTCCTCCCAGGTTCATTCGTCCAGATCGCACTCCTGGTCGCTCCCCTCTTCGCATCCGTCGCTCATCTCGCTCTCCTAACGCTCGACCTTCTTCTCGCTCTCCTCGCTTCCGCCGTCCGTCTCGCACTCCCCCTCCTCCCGTCCGCTCCTCTTCTCGCTCCCCTTCTCGCCTCTCGCACAGCCAATCTCCAGAGCGCAACAAGAAGAGACCTTGTACGGACCCCAATGATTGAAACAGATCCATCCCCTCCTCTCCCTCTCCGTGCATCTCACTCACCTTCATCCAGAAGCCCTCCCCAAAGATCGCACGAGAGCCTTCCTCTCAGGAGGAGCGGCCTCGAAAGCGAAAGCGATCTTTGGAAAGATACCCCCCCGCTCTTCGAAAGAAACGTTGAGCGGCTGCCTCCCTAGCCAACGATGGCTAGTGGTGATGAGAACACCTCCGGGCATGAACAGCCCATGACTGCCGGGCCTGTGCAACCCTAGCAGCTCGCTCAAAAGGCGATGCTCCGGCGGGAGCAAATGACGGGGCGCGACCTACCACCCCCGTTTACAAGATTCTCCCCGAGATCCCGCCGGTAAGTGATCTGAAGTAACCCCAAAGCAGTTACTAAAATGAACCCGATCCCATCTCATTTCTGTCCCTGTTGAATCCCGCTTTCATTTCATATCTGTTACCCTGAGGCTATGATATCCAGATCTCATATAGCTGACACAAAGTTTCATACCAGACCCCGAAGGCCCCGAAGAAGATGTTTGGTTGGCCACGAGAGCGTGGCGACCCTCTTAACTACATTCTGAACAGCCCCGATTGATGGCTGCTCTGCCATACCACCCGCAAGCCAATCAGCGACATTGGCTTGAACGATGTTCAGCCCTGTCGCCGGGTGGACTGTTAATTTTTGTTAGAGTAGGACCAACCTCTCCAATCAGGGTCTCAATTAATCAAACAAATTGAGACGGCCATCTTCCACTCTATCTATGTAGATAGAATTTTCTCACATAGCACTGTGAGATATGTATAGTAGAAGTTCTTACAGAAGAACCAAACAGAGAAATACTGCGTTCTAAAGTAAGGTACTCCATTGAAAGCAATGAGGTAATATCAGGTCTTCACTGCTAGTTACGTACGACAAGGAATCATACAAGTGATTTTTATCTAGTTCACTAATCGCGGTAATATTAACCAGAATCTGGGCCACGGTGCGGTGCTTGATATCGGCCAAACCAGAAGATCTCTGATGAGCTTTATGGTTTCTTTGAAGCCACAAAAGGGCATGTTCTCTTCCCATTGCATCGAAGAAAAGGTCCAGCTACAGTAGATACGCTCTAATTTCGATGATCTATAAAAAAAGTGGTGGAGTTTCAAACCTATGAAGTTTTACTGATTCAGGTAAACTTCCGCCATTTGAATGTGGTTTTCGTGATCTGACCGCTTTCAACCATTAACGCTAAAGTCAATTCTATAAGTCTAATTCACAAGAACATACAAAGAAAGCAAGCTTGAATCTCCCACAGCAGATTAGAATTAGAATTAAATATCTACAGACAGGAACAACAGAGAGTGTTTCAACAGATCACAAGCAGGAAAGGAGGGTGTTAGGTGCAAGGCACGCTAGTACAGTGTGTGTCAAAGGGTCATCTTGGCATGAGAAAGGTGCAAGGACAAGTGCAAGTGCGTGTGGAAGAGAGAGGTATAAGTATCTCTTCACTTCACGTGTTTCCACAAGGCATGTAGCCGCTTACGCAGGGCAGGCGTAGACGGTGTGGTGGATGGTGACGGTCGAGGTTGAGGTCGAGGAGTCGGCGGAGCCGGAGCCGGTAGGGGCTGCGGTGGGAGCCGGGGCACCACCGGCAGACCAGGCCCAGGTGCTCGAGCTGGAGGAGGACCAGCCGGAAGAGCCGTTGCCCGAAGAACCGTTGCCAGAAGAGCCGTTGCCAGAAGAGCCGTTGCCAGAAGAACCGTTGCCAGAAGAACCGTTGCCGGACGATCCAGAACCGGACGAGCCGTTGCCAGATGAGCCATTGCCAGAAGAGCCGTTGCCAGTGGAGGAAGTACCGGTAGGAACAGAACCGCCGGGGATGACAGTAGAGGTGACAGCGGGGATAGTCTCGGTCTCACAAGGAGTGGAGGAAGCACCGTTACCGTTGCCGGACGAACCGTTGCCCGAAGAGCCATTGCCCGAAGAGCCGTTACCAGAAGAACCATTGCCCGAAGAGCCGTTGCCAGACGAGCCGTTGCCAGACGAGCCGTTGCCAGACGAGCCGTTGCCAGACGAGCCGTTGCCAGACGAACCGTTGCCAGACGAACCGTTGCCAGACGAACCGTTGCCAGACGAACCGTTGCCAGACGAACCGTTGCCAGACGAACCGTTGCCAGACGAACCGTTGCCAGACGAACCGTTGCCAGACGAACCGTTGCCAGACGAACCGTTGCCAGACGAACCGTTGCCAGACGAACCGTTGCCAGACGAACCGTTGCCAGACGAACCGTTGCCAGACGAACCGTTGCCAGACGAACCGTTGCCAGAGCCGTTACCAGAGCCACCATTACCGCCAGCAGAGCCGGTAGGAGCGGGACCAGAGGGAACAGTCACAGAGACAGAGCCAGTGGGGACGGAGCCAGTGCCGCCGGGGATGATAGACGAGGAGACGACGGGGATAGTCTCAGTGTCGCAGGGGGTGGACGAAGCACCGTTACCGCCAGCAGGGCCGGTAACAGCAGGACCGGAGGGAATAGTCACGGAGATAGAGCCGGCAGGGCCAGTGGGGACACCACCGGCGGGAACGCTGACGGAGGGGATAGAGCCAGTGGGGACAGAGCCGGAGGGGATCAGAGGAGTGCTGGAGACACCGATGGGGGTGGCAGAGGGCAGGCTGGGGATGGAGACGGAGGCAGAGGGGGCGGGGGCACCGGGGATGCTGCAGCCGGTGAACCACTCGATGATGATGAGCTGGATGCTAACGCTGATGTCGATGCCAGTGCAGCCGCCGAGGAAGGCAGCGAGCTCGGCACGAGCCTCCCAGGACAGAACAGCGAGGCTCTCACCGCCGGCGAGGAGGCCAAGAGCACTGCGGAGGTTGATGCTCAGGGAGGCAATGATGGTCTCGGTCAGGAAGGCGGAGATATCGACGAAGAGGCCGCTGACAAGGTCAAGGGATGTCTCGACGGAGGCGGAAACGGACAGCCAGAGCAAGACGACGGCCTTCAGCTCGACTCCAAGAGAGCAGCTGGAGCCGGACAGCCAGACGGCGAGGGCGGTGCGGACGTCAACATCGAGGGAGGCGGCGAGCTTGCCGGCAGCGCAAGCTTGGAGGGCAACGAGGATATCGGCGTCGATGTCGACGGCGAGCTGGGTGTTCAGGAAAGCGGCGAGGGTGGCCTGGGCGTGGACGGAGAGGGCACCGGCCTCCTCGACGTAAGCACCGATGGAGGCACCGACGGAGATGGTGGACAGAGCAGTGTCGGCAATGACACCGATCTCGACGAGGCCGCTGACGTGGGTGCCGTGGCACCAGCCGAGGATGGAGGCCTTGAGAGCAGCCTCAAGAGCACACTCGGAAGAGTTCAGCCAAGCAATGAGGGAAGCCTTGATCTCAGCGTCCAAGCTGGCAATAACACCACCAGCGGCACAAACGCTAAGACCGGCCTGGATGTGGGCACCAAGGCCAAGGTGAGCGTGAATATCAAGGAAAGCAGAAAGAGAAGCTTGAGCGGAGGCGCTCAGAACGAGAGTAGAGGAGAGCTCGGTGGATGAGAAGATACCATCAACGGTGACATAGATGGACTCCTTGGCAGCGATGTCGGCACAGGTAGGGATATAGACAGACAGGGCAGCAATAACCTCCGCATCCAAGGTAGCAGAGCCGGAGCCCTCACACCAAGCGAGGAGGGAGGTCTTCAGGGATCCTGTGATGTGGGTCTGGCCAGCCAGCCACACCTTCAGTTGAGCACGAGCATCGGCATGAATAACGCCAGCAGTGCATCCCAAAGCACCTCCCTCCAGAGCAGCAGCACCGTGAGCGCTCAGGCCAGCCAGGACGGAGACGGAACCGTGAACATCCACGCCGAGCAGGGCGTCAACCAGGCCAATGACATCGGAGGCAGCATCACCGATCAGGTGGGCCAGGAGACCGAAAGTACGACGCTCAACGGCGACTTCGGCGGGGTATGCGAGAGCAGAGCTCGCCAGAGTGGCGAGCAAAAGAAGGTCGGAACGCATAGTTGATGTTGATCAAAGGTTTCGAGTTTCGAGAGGGTATCAAGATTGATATAAAGAGTGTATAGCAACAATGGCTAAGAGAGCGTCGGTATAAACGGATGGACTGGGAATTGATCTCCCAAAAAGAGAGTCGGATACAAGAAAAATGAAAGGAATAGAAAGCGACAGTATAGGAACAGACTAGAGGCCGTCCTTGAAGCAATTAGCGATAGACTGGTGAAGATGGGAGAGAATAAAGAGAAAAAGCCCTACCAGGTGAAGATCCTCAATGTTTATATACCCCTGGGGTTATGGACCAGGGACTCTTGAAAGATCCAATGACTCGGATATCTCTGATCAGTGGTCAGCTATGAGCGACTGATAGTCAGGCACAGTTGAATTGACTCCGTAACTGGGCTCCATAGCAAAGAATAGCACATCCTGAGACGCCTAGTGGCTCTCCACTTTCTTTTTTTTTCCTTTTTCTTTAACAACGCCGCAATTCCATCGGGACCAGATAAACCATGTCCTGAAGGGGAATAGACCCAGAGTCTGGAGCCCTGCACGCTCACAGAGTTGGTTACCCCGGTCTCGAAAGTGAAAAAAAGGCCCTCAGTCCACAAATTCGAGCTATCCAATGTTCCATGTCCACAGATCCACCTTGGAGGACCCCCCCCCCCCCCTTGGGCCCCTCCCCTTTGGCCTTAGCCTTAGCCTCAACAGATATCTGGGAGGAAAAACCTTGGATCTGTTACCGGGCTGAGTGGAGCGAGGCTCGTCGCAACTCGCCAGTGGCGATCACCAACGGGCAGGCTGGTTACAGCATGAGTGGGAACATCTGCAGCCGGTCGTGCCGTCCAGTTGTGGCAAAGGATTGGCAGTCAGAGACGGTGTCAAATTGGCACGGGACGATCGATTGCGATTGCCATACCGACGGTCCGACAGCGATTGTACCGAGTCTTCCGCAAGATTTGCTGCTGATAGCCTGATGGAGTTTGGTTGCTCAGCCCAGGCCTCGCGAAGAAGGGGGCTTTCAATTATTTCCCAGCCAGTTTGGAGCCAGCCAAGCCTCGGGATCAAGGAGGCGCGCCATCTGACCATCGATTTTGCGGTCAAAATTCAGTCCGGAGAGATTTTGACAAAGGGCACGAGAGGCCGGCTAGGCGGGTCTCTCCTGCCAAGTCCCAAGATGGTAGGCATCGCGAGGATCCCAGCATGGTTGACGGGCGACAAGCAAATCCGGACCTGCGATGGAGCGTTGTGTATGCAATGCGGTCATATTGCGGACTACGGCCGGGCTAAACCCAGTTGGATGCAGTTCCATTCAGTTCCGTCCAGTTAAACTCAGCTAAAAGCGAAGAGGATCCCAGATTCCCAGGGGAAACGATCGTTTAGGGACCCCACCAACGGTCGACGGGCCATGACCCGAAATGTAATTTGTGGTGCGATGGTTGTGGATTTCCCCCTTTTTTGAGTTTGGGGGAGTTTTTTTATAGCCCTTCAGCCTTGAAGCTGCTTGGTCAGTGGTTCGAAGTTGAAGTATGACTATCAAGTTTCATCAACAGACTAATTCACGGAGATAGTAACTGTTTGCAATTCCTCAAAGCACTCCTGTAGAGCAGGAAATACGGCAATTTTATCCGAAATGATTCCAAGTCGCCCATTGCGAACGAGCCCGACGTACAGTACTTTCCTCGGTATTATGCTTGTGTCTCTCTGTCTCGCTCTCTTCGCCAAACCCCCCGGATTCGACGGGTTTGGTTCAGGCACCAGGAACGCAATGAATGTAATGCACGGTCTAAACGCTATTTGGCATAGGCTGACCCAAGAGCCCGACTGGCTTTCAATGTTTTAATCTCCATTTCGCTAGGCTACATACATACAAACAGCCTCAAAAAGACATGTCCAAGACTCTAAGTACTACGGAGTACCATTTTGTCCTCGAGCCCAAAATCACTATTGACTTTGGTGGCTCAGCATTATTGGTCCTTCGACTTGGTTTTGCTGTTCGGGTTCTGAAACGTCCTTTTGATCTTGGGGTTAAACCCAAAGCGGAAGAAGGGAGAATGGGAAGAGAATACCCATGGTTCGAGGAGTATGGGACTCTCTGGAGTATCCAAGGTTCGATTATTGTTTGTTTGTGTTTCTATTTTCTGCTCCATGTGTATCGCCATGCGACAGATGCAGAAGATTCTTCTCGGGCGAATATGCTACTGCAGTAGTGCCGCTGTCGGGAAATTCCAGTAACCAAGTCCACGGCGACCGTGCTATGCTGTATCATTTTTTTTTCTTGACTGGTCCAAAAACTGTGCACTTTACGGAGTACATGCTTTTTTTTTGTCTCAATGCTTGTTGCTTGTTATTCAAACTAGAAAGCTACACTACAGCAAGCCACCGTCCGAGTCACAACAATAGTCCTCAACGGTGAAGTAGCCAGCTCTCAAAAGTTCGATACTTGGTCCGGACTCTACGGAGTAGCTCGCGCAGAAACAACTCCACTCATAAAAAGGAATCGGTGTCGCAGCTGTGCAGAAAGGACCCATGGGAGAGGAGACAACGCATGACTACGGAGTACTGTAGCTAACAAGGTAAACGCAAGCTAACAGTTACAGCTCTTATGCATTCAGAATGATTTGCCCTAAAATTGGGGCTACGAGTCCAGGCCCCGCCGACGGCCAGGGGGGAGTTACCCGGATCTGCCACCCAGCGGGCCTCGGCGAGGGTCTCATCGAATGATGAAAACAGGTTAGGCAGGAAACGGCGCTAGTGCTGCTTGAAAAGCAGGGCGAATTATCACCTTTTGGACTCCTTCTCCGAGCGGACATGTTGACTAACTGATTAAACAGTCGAACAACCCTTTTAAGCCTCTTCCACTCGCGTAGCACCCCCAGGTGGCTTCTTACTGGACTCCACAAACTACCTGTGCTCGAGTGAGACTAGCGCACCGCCACTGGTGTGCACATTCCCTTCGGATGGAGAACCGGTTCGTTTGAACTCCAAGAGCCAAGAGAAGGGGGGTGGAATCCAGTTCGGGAGGTGGTCTTGACGCGATCGCGGTTTCAGAGGCTCTCCATCGTTCCAAACATTGGATCTTCAAGGGCTCAGAGACATATCGAAACATGCACCGTCGCAGATATAGTGCTCAAGTGAGCTTATTTTCTCCTCCAAGTTCGTCCACATTAACGGAGGTTCGTGGTGTGACCTAAAAAAAGAAACATGTCCATCGATCGTTGTCTGGTGTGTCTTGTCACGGAGTCTAATCCAATGCCGATGCTTGAAGTCCGAACCTCGCTGAACATCCGAATAGTAGTGCTGTAGTCTCTTCTTTTCTTTTTTTCCCCTTTTTTTCCCAGTCTGATTGCGAGGAGTCTGATTTCCAACACGTCAACTTATCCTTAGTGGTCAAAGAGTTGCTGCGATCCTTAACTTTGGTTGCAGCTAATCCATGGTGTCGTATCGTCCGTGTCACCCGGCGGTCGCTGTCCGAGTCCAGGGCCAAATTCCTTATTTCGGGTCAGTCCAGGAAGGAATTTGTCATTTACCCTTTACTGGCTCCTTCTTCTTTTCATTTACTATCTCGTGAATTCAGGTCTCGAAGCGAGGTAATTAGAAAACTAATCTGATAACCTTGCCCCTTGAGCACTCAATCCCATCTCACCGCTACAGTAGAATTCACTCTTCAAGGGACCGAAATTTGCAAACCATGGCCAAGCCCTCAATCATTCATACTAGTAAATTTCTTATCTTCATATACTGACGATCTCCTGTAAATCTTCACGACCACCTGGTCTTTGCTCAGATCTTATCTCGCCGTAAAAAAGCAATACTGTACATCAGGCGCTGCCAGTCTGACGCCCTACCTCGGCCATCGGACCGAGGATCGAACGGATCACAAGGATAAGAAAAAAGTTTTCTACTCATGATTATTTTTGAAGTGGATATTTGCACGGCATCACATGTAATCTTATCTCGCTAGAAATTTCCTCAATATTAAATGCAAGGTTTTTATCGTGGTAAGCCTTCGTTCATGTTTGTCTGAAGCACATGTTGTGCTATACAGTCCAGTCATGCAATGCAACGCGTTACGCGTCGGGCTACTTCCGAATGAGAACGAGGGCCTTTATGCAGGTAATTATCTATGACAAAATTAGAGAGCTCATATGTCGAGGGAATCAAGTCGCATGAGAAGCAGTGGAAACGGCTATTCAATCAGTCACATTATTTCGCTATTTGTGCAGGCGCTGATAAGGTCGCTGGGCTAACTTGTTGGGAATGCCATGATCATGGGTATCATGTTTGAAAGCCCGGATTAAATAGATCGAAGTCGTTTGCCAGTCCACCTCTCTCTCTCTCTCTCTCTCTCTCTCTCTCTCTCTCTCTGCTTTCAAGTACCCCGGAGCGAGTTCATTTATCTGCTGTTCAATAGTTTCCCGATCATCTTCGAGAGGTGTGTCCATCATGTCCCTGTGAGTAAACAGGATATCCAAAAGTGGGCGTTTAATATCAATTCTATTGAACAAATCAGTATCAAACTACTGTATTCTTCTTCCTTGTAGATGAGAGTGCGGTCTTACGCTTCTTCTTTCGACCAGTGTTCTGGCACCATGTTGGACTGGAAATGTTCCATCTGGTCCTCAACAATTTTTCCCAAGCCTTGAATTCGCATATACAGATCAAAGAGGTCCAACAAAGGGGCTCGGTGTATATCATTAGAAGCCCCGTCGAGTCCAAACTTCGCGATAAGCACCTGTCCTGTATTCAAGGCACATTCATCTACGAGCATAGAATGGCGGTGATACGGATCAAACAGAACTTGGCCAGTATCGCTGAAATTGAGGATATTGAAATCCGCAGTCTCGAGGGCTTGGTACCGCTTGAAGTTGTCAAGGGTAATAGGATCGTTTTCTCTGGGGGACAAGACGAATATCTCATCTGCGATATGGATATCATTGTTGAAGTCGTAGAGTATCAGCAGGATCTTCACCCATAAGGCCCAGTTCGTTGACGGCATTGAAGCTTCAGTAATAAGGTAGCAGCCACCCCAAACACATCCCCTATTGTAGTATCCATAGCCTGAAATTTCCTAGAGAGCGTCAGACAGATCAGTTGTCGGCGAATGTTTTCGATCTTCTTACCTCGGGCGTGAACCGTGGCTCTGAATCCAGAACTTAATTGGTATATGACTGTTCAGCATTAGTCGCTTGCCTTGAGGTCGACTTCTACTCGATACAATCATATTCAATCACACACTTACATCTCGAAAGTCCTAATCAGCGGAAGCCCAAGTTGTGATCAAAGCTCGACGCTGGCGAGCCTTGAAAGCGTTATTTTCGTCGTTACTCTCCCAATTTTCGCGGACAAATCGGTGCCAGCCCTTGACCATTGGCGTAAAGACCCATGGCTCAATTAGGCTCGTCTTAGTTGGTGGCCGGATGAAAGTTGGGATACCGCCTGGCCAGAATTTCGCTTCTACCGTTGAACTTGGTTTGTGAAGGCGACGCTGTAGTATCCCGGGCATAGCAAGGATAGTGGATTTTTGTAATCTCCTTGACCTTTGAAAATCAAAATGAGTTTTAAGCGGCCCAAGAAAGGGAGAAAAGCCCTGTATGTGGAACTCAGTACCTACCTAAGGGGTTAGGGTGCGCCGTTGGAACCTTGTTGTGACACTCGAAAATGGTTACTAGGTGAGGAGCTCCCTGAAGATATATCTAAGACGGTCCTTGATGCAGTCTACCCGCCAATCAATAAAGCCATTACCCAGGTCTCGCCCCAAAGAGTCCTTACACAAACAAGATACTTAATTAAACGCAGAAATTACCGGATAACAATTGCAGGTATTAGGATAGCATCTACTGTACTCAAGGTGGTTTTTGTAGATGGGTGCCACTGGTTGAGCTGAGAGGTACCCTTGGTTAAAGTTCGGATAGGAAGACTGGAACCTGTGGGCCAGTTTACCTGGATTGCCTTACTCCGGAGATGCTGAATAGACTACGTGAGCACTACAACAATCCACAAGCATCTATAGACCGGGCTCATAGAGAATAATATCGACCACCAAGGAAGGTGCGACTCTTGGTCTGCTCCCGAGTATACACGTCCTTTAAAGCATTCCTTGTTGTGGCCGTCGCCATGGCAACCTTACATCACGTGACCACAGAGCGCGCCGGCTCACACCTCGCGATGGATCCTCGGGTCGAGATCAGTGGACTTTCCCTTTGTGAATAACAACAAACATTCGACAACTTCGGGCCACCCCGAGGCCAGCATTGATACGCGACTTCAATGTAGGGCTTATCTCGCCATGGCCTCCCCGAATTCCCTCTCGTCCGCCTACAACAACGCACTCTATCAACAATCGTCCCGACCGATGTCCCGAACCGCAGGTTCACGTTCGGGTTCCAGACGGGCCTCTCCAGCTTTACAATACGCGGAGGCCAAACCATCCATCTCAAGACATTACACTGGGGACAGCTCCGATGATGAGGTTCCAGAGCCAAAGTTTAGCGCCTCGGTGAAAGCGCTTCTAGATGGAGACGGTTTGGGGTCATCGCCACATCTGCACCAAGGTCAACAACAGCACCAATACCAATTCCAACAGCCTTCGTCATATGAGCGGCGCTCAGCGCGACAACATAGCCAATCGCCGCGAAATGCATCACCACATGATCAGTCCAATGGAAGTCCTGCGCCCCGGGTTGTTCGAATTGGTGCCATCTCGTCCTCCTCGAGATTCTCCCGCGAAGGGTCCCCGCTTTCAAACAGCCAGAGTGCCAGCTCAGAAGCTCAAGACCGGCCCAATGACTTTATCACACCTGCTCCCCGACCGCGAAGTGTCCGAGTTAATGCTTCGAGAAGCGGTACCCGCTCCCCATCATCTATTTCACCCTCGGCAAAACGTTCAACGGAACGTCAACCAGGCGAGGAATATGGTAGTGGTGATCGCTCCGACAGTGAGCGAAGAAAATCACATTACGACGATGATCCTATCTCGCGAGTTGGTACTTCATCGGTCTTGCGCGGCCGCAATGGAGACGATGTCGCACCCCAGAGTTCTCTGCGAGTGAAGCGAGTCGGGCGACTGACTGGTACATTCCTGAATGGACCTGCACGGCGAGGCGTGTTGCGCCGGCAAAGTGAAGAGAATAACGAAGATAATTACCTGCTGAACGACGGCATCATTCGTGAGCATGACGAGCCGCAAGATGAGAATGCTGAATATCGTTATCAGCCTCGAGGCTCAGCGAAGCCATCATCACCTAAGGTATCCTGGGCAGATCCTAGCCCTCCCCGTGATAACAATGGACAAGACCAACTACCACATCGCCCTCGCCCAGACCGACCCGCGAGCCGGGCTAGTGGGGAGGGGCTTTTCTCGCGATCCTCCTCGCCAAAAACCTATGTATCGCAGTCCAAGTCCACGCCAGGGTCCTCGGAAGTGTCTTCCAAATCGTCGAGTGGGAACGAGCAACCTGCCTACAAGGTACCGTCCTTACCACCACCCTTGCCCTCCATGAGGGATCAAGAGAATGAACCTCCGCCAACCTTCAAGCGCGCCAAACCACAGGGCCTCAGTTTGCTGGATAAGCCCGAGAAGATTTCTGTCTTATACGACACGGACAAGAAGGATGCTGCAGCAGAGACCCCGGCAGGTAATTCCCCTCGGAAAATTCTTGCGAGTCGAAGCAACAACACTCCGCACCGGCCGGCTCCTCCGCCTCCGAGAATGTCGGTTCTCGAAACCGCCACTGCTACTGGTGGTGCTTCTTCATCGCAATCTCGAAAGAAGCGGACACAGGTTTCGATCAACCACAAGCACTTCACCCGCCTTGACTGCATTGGTCGCGGTGGAAGCTCCCGTGTGTATCGTGTCATGGCTGAGAATTATAAGATCTTTGCTCTCAAGCGGGTGAACTTGGAAGATGTTGATCCCTTGACTCTGACTGGGTACAAGGGCGAGATTGATCTTTTGAAGAAGCTTGAGAATGTGGATCGGGTGGTGCGCCTATTTGACTGGGAACTCAACCTGGACAAACATTGCCTCAGCGTTCTGATGGAGATTGGTGAATCGGATCTGGAGAAGATTCTCACCTATCGTCTCAATGCCGAGGATGCTGTATTTGACATCAACTTTACCCGATTTTACTGGAAGGAGATGCTCGAGTGTGTTCAAGCAGTCCACAATTACAATATCGTCCACTCCGATCTAAAGCCAGCCAACTTCCTGATGGTTCAAGGTCGGTTGAAATTGATTGACTTTGGCATTGCCAATGCCATTCAGGACAATACTGTCAATGTCCACCGGGAGCAACAAGTTGGCACACCCAACTACATGTCTCCCGAGGCTCTGGTTGATTCCAATGCATCACTGGGCCTACCGGCTAGTGTGGGCAAGATGATGAAACTGGGTAAACCTAGCGATGTGTGGAGTTTGGGCTGCATACTGTACAAGATGGTGTACGGCCAGCCGCCTTTCGCCAAGATCGCCAAGTACTACGAGCGTATCATGGCAATTCCCAACCCTCGCGTCCAGATTGATTTTCCCACGCATGGTGTTGGTGGCATTTCAGTGCCTCCAGGGTTAATCAAGACTCTGAAACGATGTCTTCAGCGTGACCAGACTCTTCGACCAACCATCGAAGAAATGCTTGGCCCGCGGGATCCCTTCTTGCACCCCGATGCTCAACTTGAGGGTGCTGTGCCTGTCACGCAGGACATGCTGGGCCGCATTCTGGCGAATGTTGTCAACCACTGCAAGGTCCGCGGCATTCCTAAAGAAGAGGAGTTGGCTGCGTGGCCTGCTGGCTTCTTTGCGAAAATAAAAGCAGCACTCGAAGAAGAAAATTCTTGATGTGTTCGGCCACTCCTTTTACATGCTCTCCTATGTTCTTATACCTCCTCTGTTCATTCATCCCGACTTGTTACTACGACCTCATGACCGGTGTTTAATGGTGTTGTGTCTGATTATTGTTGCCCCTCGCACAAATTCGGTGCTTTTTCTTGTTTAGAGCTATCTCATGGCTGATCTCGCTGACATCTACCTGACTGCTTTACTTTTCTTTTCTCCCACTTTCTATTCCCTGCATCACTTTGACAAGTTTTGGTATTAGACCATCTGCCAAACCAGTTGGTGGTTTACGGCCATGGTTCCTTTCGGAGTTCCATAAGCGCTGCTCGTGGATTATAGCCCCATCATGTATATGACTTTTCTTTCCTTCTTTTTGGCCCTCTTACATTGATTGGCATTTTTGAGCCATGCATTGGGATTTCTCGGAGTTTCGAGTACTTGGTCCCTGTCCCGGTGACCGAGTTTAATTTGATCAACTATTTCTTCTCTCAACTGAAGGCCCTGCCTGCATCGTGCGGCTCTATCCATTCCGTAATGTCCAGGCTACTCGTCGGCCGCTCACACATAGAGCGCCTTTCTTTCATTTTCAGTAAAATTCAAATTCATCATGAACTCATTGTTTGGAGTGCATGTAGCTAAGCTCATCTAGTTAAATACACCCCCAAGGAGGTTGAGCATGCAGGGTAGAATACTTTTCGTGAAAAACCAAGACAACATTAACAATGTATGCGCCAGAAACACCAAAGAGCAGTTCTCTATCAACCATATGAACCGCAGAAAAAACTAATCACAGTAATGCCTGGAGCATGGGTGGTATCGAAGACAGATCGGGGATATCTGCCAGGAATGAGGAATAAGTAATGGCAGCCGTGTGAAGGAGGCATTTAGACGAGGAGGACACTTTATGACTAGGTTAGTATGCACAAAAGATTGTGGAGATGGGAATATCAACTTACGCGTTGACACAGCCGTCGTTCTCGGGCACGTTGGTAATCTGGGCCCATTTACCCCAGACAACCTTACCGGTGGTAGTGACGAGACCCAATTCGGAGACGTTGACTTCAATGATGGTACCCTTGGTCAAGACACCCAGTTGGGTGTAAAGAGGGTTGTTGGGGTTCTTCTTGACGGAGAGGATGGGCAGTTGAACGGTGACACCGAGTTCGGGGCTGGTAAAAAAGAGATTTCATGTTAGCATTGTTTTCCCAGTGTCGATTTCAAAGAGGCCAGTCGTAATGGGGAAGGGTTGTCTTCTCCCTTCTCTATATGTTGCATGACAGGCTCAAACAGACGAGTGGACAAAACTTACTGAGTAACGTTGGCCTTCTTGTAACGCAGACCCATAGGACGAATGAACCGCTCGTACTTGACAGGCCGACGAGTGAAGTCGTTACCAACGAAAGTAGGCTTGGTGATCATACGCTTCCAGGACTTCTGGTGGGTCTTCTTTCCGGTGTTGACAACCTTGAACATCTCCTCCTCACTAATACCCTTAACCTTAGGCAAAGGCACGGCAAACTTGGCCGCCTTCTCCGAACGCTTATCCTTGATAGCACTGGACAAGGCCTTGGCGTTGGTAGCCTGGGATCGGTCGAGCAGGTACTGGGGCAGAGGAGTCTTGGAGGGCTCGTCGGGAGCAGCGGACTTGACATTCTTCTCCTCCTGGGCCTTGATGCGCTTCTTCATCTGAATCTTCTCCTTGTGGCGCTTCTGCTGGTACAGCTTGGCCCTCAGGCCGCGCAGGTTCTGGGCATCGTAGGACTGCTTGTGGCCCTCACGAGCCTGGCGCTTGCGGACACGCTCATCGTGATCCAGCCGCTTACCATGCTGCTTCTGCCAGCGCTCGATATACCTAGTAGGAATGTGTTAGCTAGGAAGGCGGGAATATCGGGGTGGGTTTTGGGCGGGGGTGCGACGAACTCGTTCTGAGGCTGTATGTGGGATAATTTTGTTAGTCAATCTGACTCCAACAGAGATCGGGGAGAGTATGGCTTTGAGACTCACCATGATGAACGAAAAATGAGCACAAGTGGTGGGATAATAGAAGATGGGGTTGACCTGCAAGATCTAATCGCAGACTCGAAAAAGTTGTTTCTGCGGCAAAGATAGCAGATCATGTGATCTCCTTATCAACCAGCCCTCACTACGAGTACTGTATTGTTGCTACACAAATCACAATACACACTTAGGGTCTGGTTGATTGTAAATAGTGAGACATAAAATCATATCCGTAATTTCCCATATAGTTTCTCACAATCACTACTGAATTACTATTCCCTGATTGTTCCTGAGTGACCGGTCTTTTCAAGTAAACGGACACGTGATCCTACGGGGAGCCATGCGGCCACAAGTGCAGTTGATGATTTTCTCGAACGGACAAGCCGCTCCTGCAAGTAACTCGGCCACCGACGAACCATTAAATTCCCGCAATTCGCTCGACGCAACGGGAGACGGTTCTTTCAACATGTTCTCACGCTCAGTATTTCGGAGTCTTGCCGTTGACTTGCGGTGGACTGCTCCGTCCTCGATTTCCTCTGCAGCTCCCCTTCGGCAACGAGCTTGCTTGCACCAAACCGCCCTGCTCCGAACACAGCAACAAGAGACCCAGACTCAACCATCTTCCCCAAACCCCGAAGCACCATTGAGTGCCATTCCTCGTGCACAAACCTCCCAGCCCGAGGCTCAAAATGAACCCAAGGTGCCTTCCTTCGACCCATCCAACCCTTCCTCAGTCCCTCAAACGCGCGCCGATGTTCCAATTGCCAAACAGCCCGTCGCACCCACTTTGGATTCTCCCCTCGAAGTGACCAAATCCCTTATGTCGCGCCTCCCGCACCTGGTAGGCCAATCGCCGCACTATATCGTCGCCGAGCTGCACGCGCGCCCTTACCTCTTGACGGAGGGTGATCACGTTCGTCTTCCTTTCCTCATGCCCAAGGTCAAGTCTGGAGATATTCTCCGCTTCAACCGGGCGAGCGCTCTTGGATCGCGCGATTTCACAATGAAGGGTGCGCCTCATCTCGATGAACGTCTGTTTGAGTGCCGAGTTCGCGTGACGGGTGTTGAGTCGGAGCCCATGCGCATCAAGGAGAAGACGAAGCGGAGACAGCGACACACTAAGACGGCCCGGAGCAAGCACCGCTATACGATTATGCGGGTGATGGAGGTCCGGGTGAAAACTCCTGAGGAGTTGTTGGAAGAGGGCGCCGTTGTCGTTGAGGATAGTGAGGATACACCTAAGATCGAGGCTCGGTCATGATAGGATGATGTTGATTCGTGGGGAGGAACAAGACTATGCATGGTCGAAAACATGCTTTTCCTGTGGCGCTCCGGGTGTGAATTGTGACTTGCTAGGATGTGTGTGATGCATTCCTATCTTGCATCATGCTTTTGTACAGATAGATGGGATTTTTTGGGCTGATCTCTTGTGCATTGTATTCTATATCTATTTCCAAAATTTTGTTCTTATCCCTATGACTTGATTCGAGGCTATGCTCCAGTACAGATTGTCACCGCCGAGGTCATATAGTACGAACACCATATCGCCATGCATATAGCGCGGCTTTTATCCAAAGCGTGAGAGCATTCGTTCATCCTTGGTTTACGATGAGTGTTTTTCTACATGCCTTACAATGATGCCTTGTTTCTAACCAAAGTTGATCTGTATTAATTGCTTTTGTTCCCTGGGGTATCACTATTCTGGAACTCAATTTCATATGAAGCAAAAAAATTACGATCCTGCCTAGGCAAATGATTCAGGCCGAGGAATGTGCCTTTCATACTCTCCATCCAATTCCTCAAGGGACTCTTCAACAGTATCCATCTCCTGGAGTGATGACTCTCGCATGTGTTGCGGGCTGGCTTGTGAGGTGAGAGGTGTGGGAGATGTAGGAGACTGTAAAGAATCAAGAGAATTTTCTTCATCATTCTGGGACTGCTTGCCAGAAAAGGGTCCTCTTGGAGGAAAATTGGATGATGCACTGTCTCTATTGCGGATGCTCTTGACAGAGCTGCCATATAGCAGCCTGAGAAGAGGCCGAAGAGTTGGAATACAGGCGCAGATAATCCCAACCGATTGTTCAATGGAGGACCAGGTCGAGGGTATCACGCTGACATATGTAGTATTGTCCAGCGTGCTGAAATCGAAGCTTGTAATTCGAAGAACGGAAACGACACAAACACTGGTCTATATTAGCAAGTTATCCTCAAAAAATATGCACAACTGGAGAGATACTTACAAGCCACCAAGCAGAAATATGCCAGTGAGAATCCACTTTTGTCGCAAAGTTGTTTGCAAGCGCCATGCCATCGGGTATGGGAGGCAAAGAATCAAAACGTCCAAGAGCATATTGCCAACACCATTCCATCGGAAGAAGGCAATTTCATTGATACATCTTCCTGAAATTGTGGAATCCCAAAGTTTAGAGATTGGTGAGCAACCAGCCATTGTAGCAATCACACAGGCAATGTAATATCCGATCACTAAACACCCGGAGATCCCAAGGGTCCAGCGGAATCCCCTCACAACTCCAAAGATGCGATAGTATAGGAAGAGGAGGGATGCCTTGGTGAGAACGGCATTTGTGAAGTATAGTATTTGCGTAGCTAGGAAGCTCTGTCAGGAAGTTAGCACATAGCTTGTCTCTGATAGATTCAGGAACCATACCTTTCCTAGACCTGAGAGTTGATCGGGTGGTAGAACGGCACCATTTTGGCCCAGATCGTATTTCGCAACCTGCACATATTTTACTGCTGCGAGAGCCCAATTAACTATCTATTTGAAAGGTAGGGTTAGTCTTCTATGCAGGCCAAGTATTAGAAAGGCTTGTGTACTTACGAGCGCCGCCACGATAGTATAGTCATCCCACCAGAACCCAGCTCTAGCAACATACCGAGCAAAATATCGTAGAATCACCACGATAGTAGCAGGTACAATGGTGGTAATTGTTCCAACATAGATGCACCAAGAGATGTTATCAGATGGTGGACTTTGAGTTGATGCCATGCAGTTCAATGATCTTCTCCTGCATTAACACAAGCGATGCATCATCTTATGATGGTGGACCGCCACGATGCTTATATAGATCCTTATTTTAAAAATTCTCAATTACTATTCTATGTAAATCTATGTAAATCTGGAGAAAGATCTGAATAGATCGGACCCGAGATATCTAAGCCACTGTGCTGAGCCTCATATAAGTCTTTCTCGTACGGTGAGGCCTCGGCCGGGAGGCGGGAGGAACCGCCTTGTACATTTTACTTAGTTAAGCGAGGACGCCGCATCGGGTTGCCGTGTTAGCGGGCGCTTCCGGGGAGTCGGGGACGGCATTTTCCCGGCCGATGGCCGGATTAGGACATATGAGCGAGAATCGCCACCATGTCGTCCATCTTGGAGCTCTTTGTATGTAGGTTGATCGCTTAACCTGTAAGGGTTTCTTGGTACAGCGGCTCAGGTAAAAGTGTTCCGGGCAGTATGAACCTGTAGACTTTGTCTTCATGCCTGCCTAATGAAGATATTGTTTCGTCTCTATGGTGGATCGGAACCCTCCGATAGACAAGTCGAGCATCGACGCTTGGTGATGGACTCTGGGGAACTTGCACGAGGAGATGATAGTCCCCACTTATCCGAGCAACGACTAAATGGTAATTGCGTTCTTGTCCAGATTAGGTCAATGGTTCGATGCAAAGGTCTGTGTATGGATCCAGAAATAGTCATCTACGTAACTATCTGTCTCTCCATGCATTGATCGCTTGAATATCGAAGCGAAAGCTCCGCCTAAACGTCTCAATTTACATGAAAGATGAGCTCCTTCTCGACATCCAGGCTTGAGTTAATGAAATCATCAGATTAAAAAGAGATTGAATTAATGGCCTGACTGGATGGAAATAATAGAAGATGACGTATCGTAAGGTCGTTTCACAGTCGCAAAAATTGATTAGATGATGAAGGCAAGATAGTGGGAAGTCGAGCCCCCCATTATAATAGTTGTCTCAATTAGTTAGACAATGATGTCTACTCCAAGCTGATGCTTGCACCGTTGAATCGATTCTTTCTGCATCTCGGAGTAAAGATGAAATTCATCAGCAACGCAGGTGCCCAAACAACGTTGAAATCCATCCAGGTCCGGCTCTGCGCTCATAATAAGCTGCTTTGACTGGGAGACATTTCCGAGATTGGAGTTGAAGATGCCTCCCGCAGAAAGTGGCAAAAAATCCTCGTAAGTGAGAGGCTCATAGGCCAGAATATCCTGGTCTAGAAGCTCTTGAACAGAGACTGATCTTCCGAGTTTCGTCAACGCGGCACCATCTTCTGCGAGCCTTTCGCCGGTTGGGGTAAGTCGGTATGAGAAATAGGCAAGGTTTTGGTCGCGAAGTTCTGACAAGCTATCAGGGAACGCCTTGAAATGGCTTTCTAGCAGCTTGTCATAATCGCCTCCTTTGAGGTTATTTTTTGCGGCGTCGACATTGACCTGGTCTAGAATTTGATCATACAACTGACGGCCCTCTCGTGTCAACGCATAGCCTCGCTGCTCCACTTCTCCGAAACGTGCGGTATGAGATCCTTTCACGTATTCATCGAGTGTATCTCGGAAGTAGACTGTTTCTTCTAACGCTTTGAAACTTGTCTGCCGCAGAAGAATGGGACACGTTCGTTTTGGAGGCCCTTCGATCCGTTCCTTCGCTGGCATCCCTTGTGTCACCATAAGCTGCTGAACTAGGTCGATGTCAATTGTGCGAGGTGTCAAATGATTGATATGTGAACTTGGGAATGAGACGACGTCGGCGATGAGAGGGTGTTCAGTCTTGAGCTGCATGTATTCATCAAGTGTCACCGTTGCCTTCGAGTGCCAGCGAAACGTCTCTAATCCGTTTGTGATAAACTCGGTGCACTCAGCTGGCGACAAAGCACCATTCCTCTCGACTAGGTCTAGAAGCTCGAGAAGTCTTGGGGTGAAGATCTTTCTCTGTGCCAAGGCTTTCTGTGCCAACTTTCGCGTCTTCTCTGTCAAAAGATCCATCCGCAAGACTGTGGTGAAAACGCGGAAGGGGTGCTGAGATAATGCATCCTGTGTCTTCGGCCGAAATGCTGTAGCATGCATAGGAAAGCCAGCAAGACTGAGGTCATAGTACCCCACAGGATACATTCCCATTACAGAAAACATGCGACGAATTGTGCTTAACTCATATGCCGTTCCAAGCCGAATGGCACCATGTCTTTCGACTCGATGCCGTGAAGGCAAAACGTCGTCTGGATTGATAGCTTTCGCTCCTCCTAGCGCCTTACTAGCTTGGACTGCCTTTGCATCGGCATTCCAGACGATATCGATCAAGTCACCGTATAATGGGACCTCACTCTTGTACATTTCTGACAATGCATGACAAAAGTCTGCCCGTAGCGCGTTCTGATTCCAGGCCATAGCCATGATGAGTGTTGTTTGAAGGTACTTCGATTGCTTGGATGATTAGAGGTAAGAGCAAGTAGGAATTTGAAGTAGGAATTAGACTGTTTGATGGGAACTACGAGACTGCAAGTATGTGTCACCTCCTTTATATGATCAGACCGGGCAATTCTCGAATAGCCGGCTATAACCCCATTCGCCATCGCCGTTCTTATCCGCGAACTCTCGGATGCCTCCCGATGGAGTCACTGATAAGATACTGTACCTGATATCACTAGGAAGGAACCGATAACAATGTGGCTTGTAATCTTGTTTCTAATTCGGGCATTTCATAGAACTCGCATCGTTTACCCTCGGTATTTTCACTTTCCTGCAGGGAAAAGAGTCATGATCTGATTTTTATTACGAAATTGCGACCAACAAGGTTGCAACTATTACACCATGTCTTGGGGAAGCAAGGCGCTCTGCGGGGATCAAGGGTGACCTCAAGCCAATAGGATATCGGTCCGTCGGAAACAACTATGGCCGTGCATCTCTATCGCCGATAATCGCCGGGTCGCCGACGCAGTAAGTTTGCGTATTACCTTCCCCAGGAGGAGTTTAGTTGTCAACTAAAACCACCTGATCTGGAATAGGCATGTAGTGATGCAACCTTGTTTTTGAGTTCCCCATTTTACGGGATGAAGACATGATGTTTGACTACGTCTCCTTCCGATTTAGAATCCGGTTTGCATTGGCATCTTGCGCATCTGCGTGGAGGCGAAGACAGACCTCTGAATTACCGTCTCGTTTCTCTCGTTAGAGATTGTATAAGCCACTGGATTGACACACTTGAAGATTTAGTGACCACGAGGATCAGTGGATCTTGCCACGACATTTAGGCTCTTGACTCCCCGCGTATTCGAGATCGTATACGCCGTTCCCGTCGGTCTCCCACGCGTCGATCAGTGCCTGGGAATTGCGTTGTCATCTGTGTCGCGAACGAAGCCGCTAACAATTGTTGGTTCACCGGGAGCCCCATCGGCAGTGGTAGACTCGCTGTCTTCAAACGAATGGGCCTCTTCGTTGTGGAATGGACCCACCACGGAAGATTCAGTCGCACTGGGAACAGCAGGGTATGAAATGGCGTCAACTAGAGCCGAGATACCTCAAATATCTGACAACAGAACATATTCATGACGAAAATCGTTAGAGATCTGGCCGACCGATAACAATGAGTCAATATCAAAATCTTCAAAGGGTGATTACTAGATCACATACACGAGTAAGGAATTGCCCGGTCTACTCCCATTCATTATACTGCAAGTCTACCTCTCGGACATAGTCATGCAATGCCTTGACAAGCTTCGTAATGAGATACCGAAGGCGAGGGTTATCACACATCGAGTTGATTTGCATCACATTTCCAGTGATGTTTCCGATGGTCAAGTCCCGCATCGGAGGGAGACGAGCTGCAATGCCCCCTGGGCCCCCTGAGGCCCATTTGGCTTTGGTGCGATTTGCTAACTCTTTAAGTACAGAAACACTGATGGGATTAATGCTTCCAGTGGAAAGAGACATGATGACAACGTTTGAAATGTTCTGTTTAGGCAACCATTTTGGCCCTCGGTATGTGTGGCTTTATATGCTCGCTCTAGTATCTACCCCTTCCATCTCTTGCAGATGACAATGAACAATGTTCACTTACTTCATACACGGTTGCTCCGCATTCCATATTCCTTTGATGCAGGAGAAGGTGTATTCTATGATGCTATCGCCAATGTGGATACCATTCCCTACCCGACGGATCCCAGCTTCCGTCGGAAGCCAGAACCTCTATCACATAGATGAATGGACTCTCAAATAGGTGCTTAAAGCCATAATATACTTACTATGTAGAGCCTGAAATCAAGCCTTCAGATATATCTTCATTAGGTTCAGCAGCATACGGATTGGTATATGGGGAGAAGGCCCAGATTGTGCCCAATAATTGGTAGCTGAAGTAGTAGACAGCATCCATAGAGCCGTGATCCTGTATTCACAATGAAAAAAATAGAATGAAAAGAGATGTTGATGATAAATATGCCTAGACTAACTAACTGAATTAAAATTTCCCTAAAATAACTACCCCGGACCCCGCAAGATCCCCACGATGAGGTTCGTGGAGGAGCAAGACTCATCGGAGAAGAGTGGCGGTCGGTTCGGCAGATGCTGCCATTGCCGATTTAGCTGGATCTCCACGATCCGTCGCAACTACTCTCCAACAACAACCCCCGACAGCAAAGAGCTAGCTATCGAGCGTTCATCATTGTTATCTCTGGTTCTCGACGTGATATGGAGTCCGCCGAGCTCAAGGCACGATGGGCCTCGCAGCGTCGTGTGCCACGAGCTTCCCGCGCGTGCGAGACGTGCCGCTCTCGCAAAACGAAGGTATTCGATATCCACCGAGTCCGTTTCAATCATTTAGATTCATTCACAGATTATCTAAATCACTACATAGTGTGACCAAGCACAGCCTTGCTCATATTGTGCCTGTAAGATTTACCGATGGCGATGTATGCACAAGGCGTCAGTAATAGAGTCAAAATCTGATAAATGCTGCAGACCATTCATTCGATTGTGTTTATCGTACCAATAGTGGTCGAGGCACAGCTAGAACATCTCTGTCTGAACAGAAGAGAGTCGTTCGACATAGGTATGGCATCCAAACTCCTTTTGGCTAATAAATGCCTGGGTGCATCCGTTTGCTAATCCCATACAGTCAGGATAAGGCTGTGCGCCCATCACCATGGCCTGTATCTCAGAGCAATACTCATACAAGCTCACATACTCGAGCACTCGAATCTTCACACCCACCTGATCGTTCGTTGAAAAATACATCTCGGGGGCCATATTTGCCCGAACCTCAGACTCCCATTCCAGACACGCCAACGGCCTCATCAATACACAATGATGAAACTCCCAGTGAGAGCCTCCCTAGCGATTCGTGCACAAAATCCCATACTAATATTCTATACCATGTCTAGCCGCACCGTCTGAGATTGGCGACGCGGCATCTCGAGACGGCTTGAGCGGAGTTAATCTGCACACAAAAGGAACTGAATTCTACGGCAACTCGTCAAACCTAGCATTCCTAGGGAACCTCTATACAAGAGCAAAGAATCAAGCCGAGACACGTGCTGCTGAATTACAGGCTACGGAATCAGATACTCCAGCCTCTACAAGCAGACAGCAGCCACTTTCTCCTGCAGCTGGCCCCAGGACAGGGCCTCTGTCTGGCAAGGCACAGCTGTCTATCGTGAACTTGCTGTACAATGCAGACTATACAGGCCACCCCTCGCCACATTCGATCACTGGTGTTGAGAGTGGAACGAACAGAAGCCCCTCATTCGTTGTCGGGCAAGGCCATGCCGGTGCCCTCAACAACTGTAAGTCCTGATATCCTCTGCCAGAACGACCAGGCTAAGACAACATTCATTAACCCTTCCCATCAGCCCAAGATATCAACCTCCCTGCTATCTTCTCCAAGATATCAAGCACAGCTCAACTCGAAATTGAAAAAATCTTCATCGGCAGCTACTTCACCAACAAGCATTACATTCACCCCATCTTATCAAAAGGTTCATTCATGCGCCGCTGCGAACGGGAAGCATGGCCCATTTCCAAACGTCCCACCCTCTTCCGCGGCACCGTCAAGTTTGCCAGCCTCTACTTTGCCGTAGTAGCCCTCGGCGCGATCAATGCAAGCCCAAACGAGACAGCACTCCTCGACCACTTTTGCCATCAATCTGAAGATCCCGATAAAACACTTCCGCCGGAAACACGATTCTCAGCTTTGGACTTTGCAAAGTTCTACTTTGATATCGCGAAGCAGGCGCTTGGGGATTTGTTTGAGAGTAGTTGTCTGGAGACTGCGCAGGCGCTTTTTCTTATGGTATGTTCTTTGAGAGATGAGCGGTTGTTTTTGTTTTTGTTTGTGTCTGTGTTACTGAGATGGGAGTTTAGAGTGTTTTTCGTCAGAATTCGCTGCAGCCGCATAGTTGCTATATGTATAGCGGGATGGCTGTGCGGACGGCGGCGGCTATTGGGTTGGCTTCGGGTATGTCTGGTTTACCTTCGGTTATGAGGAAAGAGGCGAAGCGTACATGGTGGTATGTCATTCTTTATTTACATTGATGAGCCTCTACAAATAGCTGACAGATCAGGTGCATCTATTCTCATGAGATGTAAGTCAATCGATCCAGCACCGAGAACTTGAGGTTCTGAAATTATCCAGTGAAATGTGCTGTTCCTCCGGCCGTCTAGACAGCATGAAGGAGTTACACTACTATCAAGTTTCACTACCAAAGCTGAAGGTAAAGGCCCTTGGGCTGTGATACCAGTCATTCATCCCTTTTCACATTGATCTAAAAACACTAATAAACCCCAGGTAAACGTGGGTACCCTCGACCCCGACGCAGAAGACAACGACATAGCCATGATTCCTACCATGGTCTCCCTCGCCCAAATAATGTCCGAAGCCTCACACCAACTCTACCATGCAACAAAACGCTCTATAAGCGAAAATTCACGGCTTGCGATGGACCTGGATGCGCGTCTGCTCGAGTGGAAGGCGAATATACCGTCCTTTTTGAATCCAGAGGCCACAACACTGAATGATCCCGAGTGGGCGTTCAAACAGAAATTGGTCTTGAGACTGCGTATGTCTCCCCTTTCTGGCAGACTGATATGAATCACGTTTATGTGATTCGATTCCGATACTGATTTTCGCGTTCACATCTAGGATACTACAACACCCGCATCCTCCTCCACAGACCGTTCCTCGTGTCGGCAACATCCAACACAAAGTCCCGAGAATTGCGTCACCATTTACACATTTGTCTCGAAGCAGCACGCAAAAGTATCACCATGCAGTACGAGTCCTTCATGCATCGTATCTATATTCGAACTTGGTAAGTAGCAATTATCAAAACCGTAACCCAATCCACCCCCCGATACGAAAAGAAAAGAAAAGAAAAGAAAAGTCATCTTCCAAACTAACCCTTTCTCCCCTTGATTCAACGCAGGTGGTACAACACAACCTACGCCCTCTACGGCTCAATGATCCTCCTCCACCTCATCCTCTCAAACTACCCCTCCCTCCCCGACGACGATCTCCTCGAAGACGTGGAGAAATCACTCGAGATCTTCGAGTCCATGGATGATATTATCGTTGCGAGGAGGTGTGCGGAGATGTTGAGGGAGGTTCTTGATGTGGCGAGGACTTGTTTGGCGAGAAGGAGGCGTGGGGAGAATGGTAATGCTGGTTTGGTGGATGGGAGGGGATGTGAATCCGGGTCTGGGGGTAAGTCGACGTCGCGAGGATCGGATGGGCGTATCATGGCTGATACAACTTCTTTCGTATCAGGTAGTTCGACTGCTGCGTCTACGACTGGGGCTTCGCTCACGGGAATGGGGACGGGGATGAACATCGACTTGCAACAGCAGCCAGGATATGCCGGCGCTCCAACACTGTCCATTGAGAACATGGCCTCCAGCTCCAGTCAAAATGATGCGAGCGAAGAGGACTTTTTCTTCTCTTTCTTCAGTCAAGATCCACATCAACCACCGGACCGGACACGCACAGAAATGCTGGCGAATCTAGTCGATCCTTCTATACTAGAAGATTTTGCATTTGGTGGACAGGAGCTTTCATTTTTCTAGAATTCTAGAGCCGAGGAGAGATTTACAAGATTTACAATAACGAAACAAAGGTTCAAATCAAATCAAATCCCAAAAGTAGATATCATAATTCATTCATAGCCCAATCTATGCTGTCCAAGTCTATACAAGCAAATCAAATCAAATCACTAACTAATCCGTATCATATCCAAGAGGGGAATATCCAATTCCAAATCCAATTCCAGTTCCAAAATCCAGAAGTCCAAGCCAAATAAATTCCCGGGCGTGTCAAGTAAAATCAAATCAGATCACACAAAACAAGAGTTCCAAAAATAAAAAAATAAAGCAGAAGGTTCCATCATCGAATTGCCTGCGCTTTTGGTGGGCAGGGTGATGTGGACAGGGTAGATGCAATTATGCAGAGAGGTATTCGATCATGCGCTTTCATCCGAGAATGAGTCCGTGAACGCCGAAGATGTCGTGGGTGTTTTGGGAACACAACAAAGGTGGTAGAGATAGAAGTAGAGGTAATAGAGGATAAATGAGGAGGTGTGTGAGGTAGTGGGTATAATGTTCATCAGGTAGAGAGGCATTTACAGAGGTTGCATGTGCGTCTCATCACCCTCCATGTCACTGACACTCGTCGCGGGCGAGGCCAAGCCAGAGATAACCGACGAGCTACCCGCGGTCCCGTGCATATCAATATCGCCCATTGCGTCATCGTAATCACCAGGCCCCATAGTAGGCCGCGACGGTTGCTTTGCCGCGCTAGCCATGAGCTCTTCGATACCCGGTTTAGCAGGGACATGCTTATCCAGCATGGTCGCGTGGTCTAGACTCTCCAGCGCGAAACCCATGAACTCGGCGTTCTTGTGGGACACGCTGAGCGTCCAGCGGTACTCGCATAGTCGGACACGGTAGAACTCGGCCTCTTCGTTGGTCGGCGCTGTAATGCGTAGGAGCATGCCGAATGAACCGATCAGCGAGAAGTTGGTGCGTGCTGAGGCAGGCCAGAATGAGCGCAGGTGTGCGGGTCGCAGACGGTTGACAAAGTCCATGGCTGAGATGAGTCGGGTCTTTGCCGCGGAGCGACAGATGTGTGCGAGGTACGAGTCTGTGCCGTCGCTGGCTAGCGAGCGCACGATGCAGCGGTGCAGGGTAATCTCGGTCGCGAAATAGGCCAAGTGCAGGGCGCCGTTGCGGGCGTGTTCGTCGGTGATGGTCTCGACTAGCTCGCCGCTGGAGGACTCCATCTTCAACGCCGCGGGTAGAGACGAAAACCACTCCTTCAGTCGGATCTGTGCTGGCTTCGCCTTGTCCAAGATGATCCGCGTGCGCTGATTGCCTGCAGCGCGGAAGTCCTCGATCGCTTGAAGCGTGTAGAAGCGGTCCAGAATGTCGGAGAGGATAGTTGTCAATGCAACCATATGGCAGAAGAGAAGCGGGCCGTGGCCAACGTCTCCCTCATCATGAGCAGAGCCCGTGCCGGACGCAAAGGCGTCTGAGAAGTCCTGCTCCACGAGATCCTTGACAGTCCAGTTGAATGCGAAGATCTGCGATGGTCGGCCATGCACAAGCGAGGACCATTTGTCCTGCATATACAACGCCCAGGCCAGACGTTTCCGCAGACCCTTTTCCCATGTCTTCATCCGCCAGTTTGAGCAATCCTGGTGTAGACCCAACTCAAAACCAGCTGTGACAAGTTGCCCGTTCAAGGACGCCGTCGCCAAGGTCGATTTCTGCGTCAACAACAGGCCAGCCTGGATAGTCGAGATACTCGGGTATGGCAAAGACTCGATCAGCAGCTTCAGCGCCGTGCTCTCCAACCGCGAGGCATCGGGCCGGCGCGCCGTTTGCGATGACACGCCGACATCCACAAATTTCAAGGTCAGCACATACACTGCGGCCAGCAGCAGCGGCGACAATTGCCTGCGCTCGCGATATGACTGGCGGAAGGCATCCTCCATGAGAATGGGGAATGAAGGATGCACATGTTCGAAGAACTTTTCAATTAGCGTTGACCCGTACGGAGCAACCAGGCTCTCGATGGCGTCCAGCGACACGGCCTGCGAGTCGCCGATGGGCACGGTGTTGACGACCCGCATGAATGTGCAGTCGTCGGCGCACCGTCGGATACGCGATGCCGACACAGTGCACTCGTGGTACTCGTCCAATGGGAGGTATTCAAGTAGGGTGGGCTCCAACTCAGTGGTCATGCCAATGTGCTGGGTAGTCTGGTTGAAGAAGCCTGAACGGATCATGGCCTGGGGGTGTTGTGTGCGAGGAGCCTCGTCAGCGAGAGAGTGGTTTGATTGGACGGTGGAGGGTCTGCATTTGATATCACAAGTTAATTAACCATGTTCTCGTATAGCCCATTGAGCAGCAACCCTAGGGTAAAGTATGAAATCAATTGCGTACCTTTTTATAGACTCATGCTCCCGCGCAGAGTCGTCCAACTTTCTCTTCTTCATAGGTGCTTCTCCCGAGCCCGCAGTCAGAGTAAAAGTGCAGTCCTGACGGTGGAAATCGCACGAATAACACTTGTTGGTGATGTCATTCATGGCGCAGCGGCTCTTTCTACGGAGACAGGCGTCGCAACTCGCTCCATCCCGTCTTGAAACACGGGCTATTGTTGATTGACCAGCGACTGGAGAAGGCGAGAGGGTATTGGGTGTGGCAGTCGACGCTGGGTGTGCACGGCGACGTAGATGGTCGGGGGGCGAGTGTGAATAGGCCGGGGAGGCAGCCGAGCCAGCCGTTGGGGAAGGCTGGATGGTGATGACGGTGGCCATGAGAGGTAAATGGGGCAGGCAAGAAGTTTATAGATAAAGGCTTAACAGCATAAACTGGGGCTGTCAGGTACCGGGGGTGGTGGTGGGGGGAGGGCCTGGGCGGCTTGGGCGGAGTCTCGCACGGAGAGATAATGGGAATGCTGGGGTACAGAGATAGATAATTGATAGGCTGCGATTCGTGAAATCGAATTCGTCACGTAAGGGTCCTCGGAGGCCGTGTGTTTGGGCGTCTAGGATCCGGGGAGGCGCGGAAAAGCAAAGGGACTGGACCTTTCTAGGTGCACTCCACAATCAGGACTGGGGGTGAATTCAAGCCACTACGCGAGTTAGCTTGTTGGCCATCAATCGTTCGTCATTCGTGGCCATTGATGATTGACCATTGACGGAGTCTGGAGTAAAAGAAGTGTAGAGATAAGGGCAAGGGAAGGGGGTCCGCGTACACGAGAAGCTTATCAGTTGGCCCCAAAAAAAAAGAATATTTTATCTCCGACGATCAGAACAGTCGTAGCCCCGGCACCGGAGAAAGAAAATAACAGATCGAGTATAGTAAATAAAATCGATATTCAATACTCTTGTAGCACTGAAGTATTTCGTAGGATGATCAAGATAATAGTAGAGAAAAATAAAGAAAATTGAGGATAAAAAAGGAAAAAAAGAATAATAAGCAAATCGAGTCTGTCAACCAGTAGTCGATCTAGTTTATCAGGCAGAGGAGCCCGCTAGAGACTGCAGCAAGATGAGATGGCGGATGGTTCGCTCCGTCATTCCTTACACCTAGCAGCTAGGGTGATGAGGTGCAGAGTGCCGGTTATGCAACTTCCTGGCCGTACGGCATGTAGAGAAGAAAGAAGTTTGATGTTCAAGTTCTCAAGTTCAAGGTGGACACAAAGCTAGGAAGGAAATGAAAATGAGTTACGAGTAAAAGTGATGACATCGACTCGAGTATATACTCTGTAGGGGGGACGGGGAGTAGATCGATCATGATTGGGATAGTAGCCGTGCAGTGTTTCCGAGTCCCAGACGATCCTCTTTTCGGTTTCGTAACAAGAATCCGCTGTAGCCAGTCCCAGCCAGCTGCGGATGAATAAGAGGAATAACGATGAATAATAATTAGGCGGGCGCAATTGTCATCTCTGATAAGTTGATTGTTGCTGATTGGTGGACAAGATGAGCCGCCATCATATTACGTACGATGAATCCCTCTTACCTAATCACCTTGTTCCTTTGGGGACTTCTGATTCGTTCCGCGGGGTTTCTACTGAATTACCTGATTCATAGTGAATCTTCATCCCCAAACGGAGCACGGCATACGGAGTACATGCTTGATATGATCATCAATTACTATTATTATTATTCTTTGCTTGACTCCGTGCTATCCCCGAGTTCAGGAATACTACTTCATCTAGCTATGCTTTATCTTTTAGTCATGATCTGACTAGATCCATCGATCAGACCGCGACCTCACATGCACCATCCCGCTCGTCGATTATACAATGAATGACCTACAATACTACTGTATGACCAACAAGGACCAACTAAAGCATCTCATCTCATCTCATCTTAGTTCCTCCCCGACACGAGTTTTCCCCAGCCAAGATATCCCCAGACTGACCCAGTCGTTTCGCAATTTGCCATCGACAACTCCATTCGCCATCCAGCCGCAGCCGAGGCCCCTCCAAGACTGTACTCCAATGGAAGTTGATCAATGATCATGACTGAGCAATTACTAGTCTCAGAATAACACCCCACCCAATCAGAGATCTCTGATAACGGTCACCCGTACAACCAATCACCATCTCCTCAAAGGATGAGCATTGCAGAAGAAAGCAGCCCAAATCCACAAAGTCAAAAACCACACCTTCTTCTTGTGGGGAATGGATGGTTTAGTCCACCGATCAACGGATGCACCCCAACCCTCTTGAACCATAACCACCTATAGGAAGCCTCGGTTCAACTGCTTACTCGATGGGGCCAGCGCCGCGTCTGTTTTTTTCTGTGAGGGTCTGGATTGAGAATTGTGAGTTCTCATTCATAGGTATGTTTGCATATCCTGAATAGACTGGAGAATGTGAGGAAGTAAAAGGGTTGTGCTGTGTATGTGTAAACTTGAACATGGCCAGGCACACTGTGCTCCGGGGGGCTGATTAACCCTGCAATGAGTTTAACGGTGAGGGACCCGCTGTGTGGGCCAACGGGGGCCCGCGGAGAATGACTAGTTGGTCCCCGGCCACATGTGCTCGCCTTCCCTTAAACTGGGTGGCAAGGGGTGATCTCGGGATGACCTGGTTGGGCAGGAATTGACTCTTAATGATATACGGAGGTCCATCCAAAAAGTATTGCGCAGCGCACGTACCACCATTAAATTACATTAACGTACTACATAGTATAATTTACCGGCCTTCCTTATATTCGTTCCCCCCTTCTAATTCAATGATCTTCTTGATATGCGTGGGTATACGCTCAATCCAAGCCTGAATCTTTTCCTGCGGTAGCTCTTGCCAGGTTTTATTCCATATAGCAATAGCTTCCTGTCTAGACTTAGGCGCTCCCTTTCTAGTAGTCTTTCGTTTCATCCAAGGCCACGCAGGCTCAATAGCATTGAGATCAGGCGAATTTGGGCACCACACTAATCGCTGCACCTGAGCTGCATCAAATACTCGCTGTTGAATATAATGATTATGCGCTGGAGCTTTATCTTCCTGTACGATCGTTTTTGGCCGCGTTGTAGCGCATTCCTTAGCAAAAGGAATAAGCTTTGGTAGAAGAATCATCTTTTGATAGCGATACCAATCAATTCCACCCTTAGATCCTCGTGAAAGCTTTCCATTCTGCTTATTGAATCTCCAGGTAGGCTTTTTACCAGCAGGCTGTCGACGAAGATTAATACGCCGTACGCCAGTCTCTAGCTCCCACTGTTCGCGTAGAATTGGTTCGATCTCTTGATTAAGAGCTTCAATCTCTTGCTCTGCTTCACGTTTTTGTATAGCAGTTTCAGGGCACCAACAGTGACAAGGGCCTTTTTTATCGTAGGTAAAACAGCCCCAAAACATAAACTCAGAAGAGCCTTTCCAACGCTCACGAATACACGAGCGTAGAAAAGCTTCATCCTTAGAACGCCAAACACGATAACCACCACGGCGATGTAGAAGAATAACCGAGGTTTCATCAGAGAAGATCACATTCTTCCAATCGTCAAGAGTCCAGTGCTCGTGAGCTAAGCACCAAGCTAATCGTTCAGCGCGCATCTTCTTCGTCAGTCCAGGCTTCCTCGTCGGTTTCGTCTTGCGTAAACCGGCCTTCCTGAGGATAGTCCAGACAGTAGAGGATGAAATTTCGATCCCTTCCTGGCTAAGTTCTCCAGCAAGATCAGCGCATGTTTTCTCTCGACCAAATCGATCAAGGCGCACCTTCGACAGAATAGTGTTAACCGTCTGAGGATCTTGCTTAGTTGGCCGACCAGAGCGAGCACCGTCTTGAACGTATTCGTCGGTGATCTTTGTATGGATTGGGTCAAAACCGCGCTCTATCGCGCGCGCGTAGATACGATTAACAGTAGCAATTGATAGATCTACTATCTTCGCGATCTCAGCAGACGTTTTCGTCGTATACGCCCTTAATGCGACGACAGTCACACGATCAGCAAGGGTTGATTGTTTTGGCATAATGGTAGATGTAGGCAGCAGTAGTAGTAGATAGGTAGTAGACAGAAGATGAAGACTATTCTATTCAGGGGGATTGTGTGTATTCGCTTGGTATAACGCTAGTGGTAATATAATGGTGGTACGTGCGCTGCGCAATACTTTTTGGATGGACCTCCGTACCGAGGATTGGATGGCGAATATAGGATGGAACTCGAGCTGTGATTTTGGATGGGCGGAGTCTATGTTATGCAGATTTCCATACGGGGTAAATCATCTACATAGTATCTCATGATGCCTGACGGGGTGGCATCATGCAATATGTAGTATGGAGTACGGAGATCACGTACTCAATGCACAATCCCATTCTCCCGGATCCTATACGCACGAGGTGCCACTGGCTTTATTAAGAGAATGCAGTTGCAATTGCCAAGCTGAACAGGCACTCTGATTTGGTATTGTATCGGCTCTATGTGCAACGCTCCCTCCGCCCGGAAATCCTCCAGGACCCACGATATCCAAACGCCCAAGAAACTCCATATGTCCCAAAGATGTAAATGATAGATCAACCCAGCCAGAGCTCGACGCTGGAAAGCAAGACCCTAGCTGCAAGCCATGGTCAACGGTAACAACAACAATCCGCCGTTTCCTTGGACACCCACCACGAGGACCATCTACTCGGTGAAATTCCGCAACTTGGTCAACTCATCCAACAACTCCTGCAGCTCGCCGTCGGAGATTTTGTTCTGCAGGCTCGGAATAAGAGACTTGGCCTCTTCCGCATTGTCGCAGCATAGACTTCCTAGAAGGAAAAAGAATGAAAACCCCGGTCAGTACAACCTCACGGACCAATTTGACAAGGTATCAAATGCGCATAGCCACAATCATCACGATAGTTCCCGAGTATGCCAGGGGGGTGCAATGCTCCGACTGCGGCAATTTGCGGAAAGGGAAAAGTAGGAGCGCAGCCCAGACCAGGCGCAAGACCTGACATGACCTAGGACCCAGTCCCACGCCGGACGCCGAACGCCAGACTTGCAACCTTAGCTTAAGCTATACTAAGCTGGTCACTTACCCAATTGCGACCGCTCAAACATCTCCAACTCCGTGTGCGAGTTCAACAACCGCTCCACCGCCTTGATGTTCTCTTCGTCCTTGAATCGTGCAAAGATGTCCAGGTAGTCCAAAGTTTTGGTCAGGTTTCTGTACAAGTCGTGTTCCACCGTTAGAAAAACCGTTTCCGCTCTGATCGCATTGTAAGCCTGGTCGGGCTTGTAGGGCTGTAACGTACTCCGGTTCTTCGTACTTGCTTCCTCCGCGGCGCTTGTTCTCTAGCACCTTGTGGATGACGAGGCGCGCTTCGGATAGAGAGAGAGTATGCGTGTTCTGATCAGCGCCGAGCTTGAGCGTGGAGGCGGCTTCTAGCTCGCCTTGCGGGAGCGCGCGCTTGCGGTGTGTTGCGGGGGGTAGTTGGATGCTCATGATGGCTGTGTTGGTGGGGATTTGACGAGATACCGAGGGTCAGTAGGTGTCTCGGTGGAGCGCGGGAAGGATGGAAAAAGGGATTCGAGATGGCGGGGTCGTCGGCAGGAGCTTCGTGACTTTGAAGCAGTTGGGATGTCGAAACTGTGCAGGTTTGCGCGGCAGTTTGGAGGCGGTGAGCACGCCGCCTTTGGGTTTCCCAATCGGGTATATCATCTCCTACATTTTTGGCTTGCAAGAAACATTAAGTTACTATTCACTTTCACAGGAAAGAATCATGTTTTCCAGGGTATCAAGTGGTGAATTCTTTTGTGTCTAACTCCTTTTTCGCTCAGCTATAGACATGCTATTTTAAACGCCTTTCATGCATCAACTATACGCCTCTAAACCTTGCGGAATGCGACCTCCGGTGGGATACGGAAGCTCGCGCAGAACATCTGCTTCTTGGGACTGACAAGGCGGACATTGAAGATATCCAGTTCAATGGCAGGGTTCCCAGTGCCTCCAACGCGGTCCTCGGGGGTGATGGTAAATCCAATGCGCTCTGATATCCGCTCGCAGATATCCTTGTGGTCATCCACCTCATTATCGGAATTACCCGAGAAGCAGTAAACGTGAACCATTGGAAGTTTTTGAGAAGTATGAGGTGTGAAAAGCTCCTCCTTGCCAGTATAGAGGCCCTGGAAGGCATCCACGAACTCGATGGCGGTGGCAGGCAGGTTCATAACATAGTGGTCAACAAACTGCGGGCGCACATATTTCTGCGCCGGAGGCTGTTCAACAGCTTTGCCATCGTTCGTCTGGCTCTTCTTATCCCTGCGTCCTCCCTTGGGCTGGATGGTGACAGTCACGGGATCAGCTTCGAGGAGGGACTTGGCTGCGAAGCGGATGAACTCGCGTCCATCTTGATTGAATGGAGTAACAAAGTCTTGAACCTTGTTGCGCTTAGTCGCATCCTGCATCACCTCGTAACCATGGGGATTCAAGTCGTTGGCCCAGACAAAGATGCGCTTGCGCCCAGCAGGCACCGCGAAGGGTCCAACACCCGCCATCACGTCGGCAACCATCTGGCCAGGCGCGAACTTCTCCACGAGCCGGCGGTGCTCGGTCTCCAAGCGGCTGTTCCAGTACACGCGGGAATAATCGAATCGGAACTCGCAATCTTGCTCGTGTTGAATGACGTTCATGTCGCTATCACCGGCAAGCAGCTCGAATGGGAATGTGCGGAATTGGCTGTGCGAGCCAACATCTTCGGTCTTGTTGATCACGGTGCGGATGGAGGGGTTTTTGTCCTTCAGGATCTCGGCGATGATATATCTATATGGAAGCCAATGCTCTCGGAGGTTCAAATGCACTGTAATTTGGTGTCAGTTCCAATGCGCCTCGCGGGGTCAAGGTGGGTTGGGCAGAAACATACAGACATGCCCCACTTGTGTGAATCCCTGGGGGACCTCTTCCATTTCTTCTGGGAGGACGGCGCTCGCGATTTCGGCTATGATACAGTTAGTTTCAGAATATTGAGGAGGATAGCGAATTCCGCTGGCCATACCGTAGCTCCAGTAATCGTAATCGAGTTCCAGATCATACGGGGACACATCCACCGCGCCCTTCTCCACGAGCTCGTTGATCACCGGCGACCAAGTCGTCTTGTCTGTTATCCGAATCAGAACCCCATTCAAGTACACAATCCAATGTTGGCCCAGGGCTTTCCTCCTTCACCCACCATCAGCTTTAACATCCTCGCGCAGCAAAAGGCCCTTGCGGGTTGCCCCATCCTGCTCCTTGAAATCGCGCACAACGTTGAGTCGCGGTAGAACCAGTAGATCCTTATTCTTGCCAAGCGCCTGGCGGACGTTTGAAATTTGCGACTTCTCGAAGATCTTCGCGGCAGCGATTGGCACGGTTTTGCGGAAGAACGACCGGTCGAGGGTCTTCATCGCACGGTTGACGGGAGGGCGGAACATGGCGGGCAGTTCACGGGGAACCTGTTGGAAATGTTCCCTACTGGACTCCATTGACAGGGGGGCCTTGGCCTTGCGGAGATTCGGGATATTGTCAGGGTGTTGCTGGCAGGGGAGAAAGTTGCGATTTAGTATTCGGCGATAATAATTTGCGTTGGAGGTCCTTATCAGCCACGTGATGAATCTTTATGAGTCGATTAAGAATCTGATTATGGCATCAATTAAACCCTCGATGGTGTAGTTGGATATCACGTTCGGCTGTAATGGATCATCATATAACCGAAAGGTCACCGGCTCGATTCCGGTTCGAGGGAACATTGATTTCTTTTTTTTTTGGGCGCAGTAATTTCACTATTGCTGCTGGACATTTTTTGGTTTATTATAATTGGAGACGACCGTTTGACAAGGCGATGTGGCAGTTTGACGCATAATGACGATTAAGCTTTTTTAAGAAATGCCACGATCGACTATCGAAACATCTGTCATTGGGTCGACTACGGTTTTGCAGATCAAGCTGCATAGAGGTGTAAATAGGAAGCAATGCAAAATTTTTTATCTCCGCCATTTGAAACGATACCAAGGGTCACCACAAGGATTCCTTCTGCATGCCATAGTCACAAACAATTGCTCTGGTCCACTAACTACTCCTATGCATTTCTGCTTTAAAAGAAGCTCCTTGACGCGGGTTTATTAGGCTCCTCATCTCTCGCCTCCCACTATGGTCGAGAGGGATCTTCATCAACTATGTACCTCCGTATGGAGAGACGGGTCTCCGATTGGAACTGCGCGGTTTTACATTGTTTTTATGAGTCAGGGCCTTAGATTTCCTTCCTGGGCCTTGCATTTGCAAGTATCTTATTAGTTCAGGAAGCAGGCATGATATATATAGGGAAGAGGATCCAGAAGTAAACATCGCATGATTATTTGTCCCGAATTTTGACATATAGATCCGCGAATATATTGTGGTCGTCCAGCATTTGGATCGAGAGAAGAGTGGGATATAACAAAAAGTCATCATTCCTATCGAGTGGGGTTCTCACTATTCCTCCGCGCTTCTTTTCTAATAAGCCTTGACTTGTAACGCCAATTAGGTAAAAATCTTCCAGCCATCAATCTTCTGGTAGTGCATTCTAGATTTCTTTCGAATCAACTTTCTCGTTGGCACAGATATCGTTTCTTGGTCTATCGTTCAACTCCTGACTGCAAAGGTAATTTTGAAAAATAGTCGGGGTCAAACCTAGAACCCCACTGTACATTAAAGCTCAGAAGGTCCCAAAAATCCTGCTCGACTGCAATGCAACTTACTCACATTCCTAAAGGAAGGGAAAACGCATGGTATAGACTCCTCAGTGCCGACTACCCTGAAGACAATAACCTGACACCATTGGTGGGCGATTACGCTAAATACGCACGTCTCTGCTAATCACAATTACATAAACATCAATCCATCAAAGCCGGCCAATACAACCTACATAGCCAGAGAATTCTTCTGCGTCTTCTATATGTGTAGTTATTGACTAGAGTACACCAAAGGAGGGTTTTTCTGTCAATCCATTGCTCATATGCGACAAAGGGACGCCTTCACGTTATGCATCATCCATTAACGGGTGATTGGATAATGTGCCTAGGAATACGAGAACAAAAGTCGAGGTTGTAACCGAATACCGTAAAACTAATGCATCCGCTTGTAAGTACTTGACGAATAATGGAAAGGCTTCCACGATCGCGTCCGTCACGTTGCAGCCATCGCTGATTCTTCAGCAAGCAGCGAATGAACTATGTACCTGACAAGCCCAGCCCCACCTTTGAGTATTGTTCCAAGGCCGGAAAGTCCGGCTTAACCCGCCAAATTGACCATAATTTTGCCGCCTAATTGAGCCTAAGCAATCAGCTATGAATCTCGGCGAAGCTTCTTGAGGCCAAGCTTCGTGGAGAGCACAAGCCCGGCGGACTCCGGAGTTTACCCAAGCGAGTAATCCCCTGACGATCGCTATCTATGGCTTGATCACAGCCGAGCCCCCACACCTACTCACAATGCTATTGTTTGTGAAGAGGATGTTTGATGGCTGCCATTTCATACTGATAAAGATATGCGGGCACTGATTGTCCCTAAATTAGCGTGTGCCGAATCCAGGCTTGAAGATGCTTAACGTCTATATACCTTCCTATTTGGAACATGTTTAATACCGCAGAGTAATCTTGCTCACGCGATGGGGACATTTGCACCACCGATAACAACCTCCACACACGATGTAACGTATGAAATGCGGAGCCCCGCCGGTCGATTGGTAAAGGATTGATACTCTCTCCTCATCACATTATGTGAACACATTATCCCTCGACGGTTAAGACATGCATTTAGCTAATTTAACTTCGTTATTGCGAAGCCTGAGAGTAGATAAATAGAGCTGCCGATCCCTACCCTCGCTTTTCCTTACTTCATTCTCATCCATAGAAGAGTCAGAGCTTTTAGAGCATTCATCATGCATTCCAACGTTTACGCTGGGCTGCTTTGCGCCCTGGCTGGCCAGTCTATGGCCGTAGTCTGGGAGAGCTTGGCTGGAGGTGTCCCAAGCACTTGGTCGCTTCTTGAGAAGCCCTCTGCCGACTCGACTATGGCTTTGTCCATTGCTCTGAGTCGTCAGAACCTTGACCAACTGGAGTCTAAGCTCACCAAGCTTTCGACTCCTGGTCAGGACTCATACGGACAGTGGTTGAGCAAGGACGAAATTGACACACACTTCCCCATTGTCGATGACGCTCCAGTCCTGAGCTGGTTGAAGAACGCGGGCATTTCTAACATTGCCCGCGATGGAGCCGTGGTAAACTTCACTAGTACCGTTGAGAATGTTAGCAAGCTGCTTGACACAACGTTTGCGTACTACCAGAGTGGTGATTCCGTCAAGCTTCGCACGACCGAATACTCCATCCCAAGCGACTTGGCCGAGCATATCGATGTCATCTCGCCCACCGTCTTCTTTGGCAAGACGCGTGGAGCTATCCCGGTGCCATCCAAGTCTCAAAAGATCAAGGCTCGCAAAGCCTCGTCTACTGAGGTCTCTGCCTCGTGCCAGACATCCATTACCCCGTCGTGTTTGAAGGAGATGTACAATGTTGGCGACTACGTTCCTGAACCCTCCGCTGGCAGCCGCATTGGATTTGGCAGTTTTCTCAACCAGTCTGCTTCGTACGCCGATCTGGCGCAGTATGAACAGCTCTTTGATATTCCTTCTCAGACCTTCACTGTGGAACTTCTCAACGGCGGTGTGAACAACCAGAGTGCTAGCACGTCGGATGTCGGAGAGGCCAACCTGGACGTGCAACTGATTGTTGCTGTTGCCCACCCACTGCCTGTTCATGAGTTCATCACTGGCGGTGTTGCGTAAGTATCAATTGTATCTGGAAGAGTTGTGATGAATGTGTTCTGATCATTGACAATAGCCCATTCATCCCCGATGCTGATGAGCCTACTGCATCTGACGACTCCAACGAGCCCTATCTGATCTACTACGAGTACTTGCTCTCGAAGGAGAACTCCGAGATCCCCCAGGTTATCTCCAACTCCTATGGCGATGATGAGCAGGTAAGATGAATCAGAAACTCTTTTTGAGGACCCACTACTGACCGAACTACAGACCGTCCCTGAGAAGTATGCTCGCCGTGTTTGCAACTTGATCGGTCTGAACACCCTGCGTGGACTGACTATCATCCACTCATCCGGTGACGAGGGTAAGATCTTCTAAACACCTCATAAAGCCCTTTATCTGGTCTAACATAAAAAATAGGTGTTGGTTCCGCCTGCCAGGCTACCGACGGTGTTACCCCCCAGTTCAATCCTATCTTCCCGGCTACTTGCCCCTACGTTACTGCAGTTGGAGGCACCTCCGACGTGAGCCCTGAAGTTGCATGGAATGCCTCCTCCGGTGGTTTCTCCAACTACTTCTCCCGCGCCTGGTACCAATACTCCGCCATCGAGGATTATCTGGACCTGATCAGCGACGAGACCAAGGAATACTACGGCAAGTATGCCGACTTTGAGGGCCGTGGATTCCCCGATGTTTCCGCCCACAGCTTGTATCCCGAGTACGTTTCCCTTCCCTCCACCACATCGCATTGCTATTTTCTAACTGTTCGCAGCTACGAGGTGATCTACACTGGCAAGAAGGCCCGCTCTGGTGGTACCTCCGCCGCTGCCCCCGTTTTCGCCGGTATCATTGGTCTTCTGAACGATGCTCGCCTGCGTGCTGGCAAGTCGACCCTGGGCTTCTTGAACCCCTTCTTGTACGCGTATGGGCACAAGGCGCTCAATGATATCACTGGTGGAAGCTCCTACGGCTGTGGTGGCATTGACCCTCAAAGCGATAAGGCTGTTCCTGGCAGCCTTATCATCCCCGGTGCTTTCTGGAATGCCACCGAGGGCTGGGATCCAGTTACTGGTCTGGGTACCCCCGACTTCCAGAAGTTGAAGGAGTTGGTCCTGTCGCTGTAGATGAGGATAATTTACGAAATATGTATATGATTCGGAACGATATGATAGCATGTGCTCATGTTTCTCAATGATCAAGCTATTTGACAATATTCTCATTTCCTGCAGGGGATGAATCGCCGTGCATCAAGAAAACTCTCGGTGAGAAGTTTTCTCTTAGAAGCCATTCTATTATTGATCTTTCGCTGACTTAGAAGGCGGAACGTCGCACAAAGCCGACATTTTGTAGAATACTTCGAAATTGATCTACAATCTAAGTGAGTATGGGGTATTGACCCTGAATATGAATCGTTACGTCGTTATTGCTAGCTGATAAATATCAAGCGCTGAACTCCAAGAGAAAAACCGACCAAAAAGGAAAGGTAAACTAGAACCAAAGGATTAGCAAGCGGCCATAATCCAGCCGACTCCACCGGCCGTCCCGAACGATTCCAATCTCAACGCTTCATACTATCGATGATGCTTCGATCCATCTCATTCTGCGCCTGCAGATTTGTATTCTTCTCCTTGAGGCGAAGTATCTCATCGTCCTTCTTCTTCATCGCCACTCGCAAGATATCCCGTGCACGATTGACTCCTCGCATTTTCAAATCGTATCGATTCAAAAGCTCGACGAGTTCATCATATGCCTGATTCGGCAGCACGACACCATGCTTATCTAGTACAGCGGAGGCACTCTTTGAAAGATCGGACTCTTCCAGCCTCGAGTCCGAGCTCAGTGCATCGCGGTTTCTGACCGGCGTAGGCGTCCAGCATAGCTCGGCTGAGGATGGAGGAAACCGAGCCGACTGGGTGGTGTGAGTTGAGGCGGGCGTTGCAATTGCTGATGTGCTGCTGTCGGGCTGGTCGAATTCAAATCCCGAGCGCTTGCGCTTGCCGGGGGATGTTGTCCTGGGTGTCCGGGGTACTTTCGATGGCAACTCCGGGTAGAAGACTGGCTGCGACAGAAAGGATTCATTCGCTTGACTAGACGACAACACTTGTGCGATCTCTTCATTGTCGTCAGAATCATAGTTCCAGCCGAATTCATCAGAGTCCTCTGCCATCATCCTAGCCTTCGCGGTCTTGGGTGGTGTCTTGAATTCGCGCGGTGGAATGTCGATTACTCGGTGCTCGGTTTGTGGGGTCATTAAGCCATTTGGCCCACGTTGGGTAGATTTCGTAGGAGTCTTCGGAACTGAATCGAGATGATCAAGCTCGGAATGGGAATTTGACAGAACGACGGCCTTCTCGCGGGGTTCAGCTTCGTCGGCCCAAAGAAAGAAGCCACACTTCTTTGGGGGTAGCTGCTCGCAGGTATAAACTAGAAAATTGGATAGTCAGTCTTAGCTTGAAGCCACATATCAGATCCAAGCTCTTTTATGGAAACTTACACCATCGCCCATGGTTCTTTCCGCCGTTCTTTGTCTGGCGCCGAGCTGCGGGGGGCCGAGCAGGACAGTTGCAGCACCAGATGCCATCTTTGAAGAGGCCATACAGAGGCACCGCTGTATGCGGTGATTGTGGAAATCTCCTTTTACCTGGTGAGAACATCGTATGCTATGCCCCCAAGGGACGCTGGTGGCAGGAGTCCAGACGCTGGAGTTGAGGCAGTTGAGGTACGTTCCAGGGTGGTGGTTGGTCGCCATGGAAACTCCTCTTTATCTACCCTTATCGCGCTATCTTATCTTATCGTCACCCATTTGAGACTCTTCCACCCCACGCTGTTCCTTTTTCCCCTCCTTTTCGCTTTCGACATTGCTTTTTGGGCAAGATCTCCCAGTACGACACTCGTTCTTCCTGAGAGTGCACTGCTGATTGATTGTTGGCACTGTGGAAGGCTGTCCGGACTAGCTTTGACCCCCCAAACGGACCGATCTAGATCTGTTTGTACAGCGCAAAGTTGGGGACCACCACCAAATTTTCTATTATCAAGAAAGCATTCTTACTTCTTCCTCATGTAAGTTTCTCGTCACATCTTTCGATTAGTAACTTATTAATGTCTCATCTTGTCTTCATGAGAGGGGATTTATTCATTTAACCGCTGACATTCATGGCTCAGGCGCTTTTCCCGCACTTAAATTGTCACCGATCAGACTGAGGATCTATGATTGGTCGAGTTCGCTTTCACTCTTGATGTCCATTCCAGATCTCATACTCCTGACGGATCATAGCAAAACGTGAATCTGTCCCTATAAGTGTGAAGACCAATCTCCCCAGCTACCTAAGCTGTAGATCACATCCAAGCCTACAAGCCCCCACTTGGTCACGGCTTTTGAATCCCAAAGACTATCTGATCACCTCTATCATCGCCCCTATCTATGGGAGCAATTGCCATTCTTATATAACAGGCTGAAAACATGAGGCTATATATTCATACTGAATGTTGTGCCACAAACACTCAGGCCGACTACAATCCACAACAACTAGACGCAAAAACCACGACATCATACTTCGACTGAACCAAGATCAACCTTTTCTTCTCCCAAGAGCTCTCCTTGCCTCTTGAAACTCCAATCTCCTCTTGCAAAATGAGTGACTCACGCACACAATCCCCGCTCTTCCTGCCTCCAGAGCTTCTCCTCTACGTTGCGCGATTTCTCACCACCGCCCGAGACTTCAACGCATTCGCTCGAGTCAGCAAAGCTCATCATGCGATGTTGAACAATAAGCTGTACTACAATGATGCGAAAAGAGAAAGACCTTATGCACTCTTCTGGGCCGCCATCCACAATCAGGTCGAGACTGCCATCAAAGCGCTCAAGGCAAAGACCGACCCACAGACCACAGCCGACTTGTCCCGCCTGAGAGGCGCTACCCCGATTACGCTAGCCGCGTATCACGGTTCATCCGATGTTTTGAGTCTTCTCCTTGCCCGGGAAGATGTCAATCCCAATATACGCGACCGCATGTACCTCTGCCCTGCTATCACCTGGGCTGTGAGAAGGAACCAAATCTCAACCCTACGCCTCTTACTGAAAGATAAGCGTGTCGATGTCAACCTTCAAGACAAAAATGGAGAGACGGCGCTGATGACTGCTGTCATTAACCAGCCCGACTTGATCCCCGTGCTGCTGGGCTGCGCAAGGATCAATCCCCGAGTAGCAGATAGAAATGGTCGTACTCCCCTTTCTCGAGCTGCGCAGCAGAAGAATCCGGATACTCCGTTGATTCTTGCAGCTCACCTTCGTCTCATTCTTGATGGGTACGATGAGCAAGACCACTGTCAGCAGGTCTTCTATTGTGCCGCTATCTTTGGCCAGTTCGACATCATGAAGCACATGGTTTCGTTTTACGGGGACAAGTTGAACTCCAATGGAGATGCGAGGGGTATTGCAGGTACTGAACACGCGGTATTCACGGTGGCGGTTGAACGAAATCTCCAAGACATTGTCCAATTCCTCCTAGATTGGGACAAAACCGATCCAAACCAGCATGATACTTGGCAGCACAAGACCCCACTGTTTCGTGCGGCGGAGGGCGGTCTCGAGAAAAAGGTCTCCATACTGAAGGAGCATGCCCGGGTAGATTTAAACCTAAGCACTATACATGGCATGACGCCTTTGATGGTTGCCATCGAAAGAGGTCGTCTGGAGATTGTTCAATGTCTACTTTCGGGCTCTCGTTGCCCAGATGTTAATCTGACGGAAAATACTGGGGTGACGGCTTTGTGGCTTGCGGCAATACGTGGGGAGCCGAAGATTGTTAAGAGACTACTCGAGGTCAAGGGCATCGATGTGAGTTTGGCCGACTCACAAGGAGTGACACCTAAGCGTATCGCAATGATGCATAACAACGCTGAGGTGGTCAAGATACTGGAAGAGTTTTCGGTCTAGGGGGATTATTGAGGAGATTGTAAATATGAATGTAACATCTACGATGCATAATGAAGGTGATGAGACTTGGTACATCTTCCTGGGGTATTATTAGATGTCCACATTTCAGCCCTGCAGACATGCTAGGCAGCATGATATTCAGCCCTATGTGCGTCTCTTTGCCGCAGTGCCAATGAGTGCCAATGTTCGGTCAAGGTGGAGCAGGCCGCGTCAGGGAGGCAAATTCGGGGCGTTCATGTACATACTGTACATACATCCTAACCTATTCTAGGAGCATCATACCTTCCCTGCCTTACCATTATCAGGTGTGCCCTACTGTGATCTTACTTTTCCTAAGCCAAGAATTAGATAATTGGCTGCTAAGAGCCTTCATGTGAGCAGACTTGGAAGTGTGTACCATTACCCCTATTGCTCATTTCCTTGGCCTTGTGCGTCCCCATAATACTAGCTTTGCCCATGAGAGTGTGATCGGCCAATTTCGGACAAAAGTTTGACATTTGGTGAGGGAGTACAAATGAACGTAGTGACAGTATCACTATCTTGTAGTATTATTGTTGAAGCTTGAAGGGTTCCTGTGGCTCCAGGATTCTAAATTCTAATTCTAAATTAGCCAGGTGGCTGAAATGCCACAGATGTCATTCCTTATGGAACACAGTGGCTGGTTCTCTTCCGACGATCATCCAATTAGCCGCAGGATAGTTAGGGTCGGACTTCAAAGTAGCCAGTTATAGTAAGTAGTTACGTGAAGATTAACTGGTTGCGCGGCACAGATCCAGTGATCCAGTGACGACATTGGTTAACCTTCCTCCGCCCGCGTTCTTTTTGACCATCAACAACATCAGTTCTGGTTTCTTTCGTCGCTTCAGCAATTGCAGTCTCTAAGACCAAAATCACAGTTAAAATCGCACATACTCACTGATTCCATCCCTCCAAAGACCTTTCCCCCACCCATTCTTAAGCCTCGTTAAGGAAACGCTCACGGGGGCTGTGTGGGTGGTGCCCGGACACTATTGAATCTCGGCGACAAGCCGCAGCCCAGACCTGACAAGACCAGGCAGACAAATTTTCCTTCCTTCCGTCTCACCACAACCACTTGTGCTTTAAGCAGATTGAGTGCCCGATCGATACCAGGGACTCTGCAAACTTCCCGACCGCACACTCCCCAGCATGTCGGCGCTCGATGACAAGGCCGTCGCCAACGGCGGTCAGCCCGGAGCTGGTAAATCAGCAACCCCGCCGGAGGGTCAGATCCTGACGGGCAAGCAGGAGCACTGTAAGTGGACAAGAATACACGCTGGGATGGTGGCAGTACCGCCTGGAATCAAAGAACTGACGTCTTTTTTGAACCGCGTTATAGATCTCAAGCGCGAGCTCATTTCTCGCCAGGTCCGTGGCGAAATCTCCGAGCTCAACTCCCCTACTGCGTTACAACGTTTCGGTGCGCCTTTTCGATCAGATTTCGGTGAGGTCGCCCCGGTCGATTCGGAGCTGCCGATTTTGCGATACATTTTCGTCCATCACGTCCGGAATTTCCCATTCCTCGATCAGGCGCAGGAGAAGCAATTTTGGCAGGATAAGCTACAAGTGGTGCGTGTGACTGGTTCCCCAGGGATGCGTGGAGTGAATATTTGCATGGTAGCACATGGTATTAACTGTACCTCCTGATTCCAGTTCCTCGAGTCCTTTGCCAATAAACATGTCTCGTCCTCGGAGGATCGTCTGGAGGAGACCAAGCGCCGGAAATTGGCGCGCAAGAGTGAGAAGCTTGTGGAGCTCATGATGGTTTCAGGCGTGCCGACCGCGTCAGGCTATGAAGAGCGTATCCAGTTCTCCGAGATGGAGATTGTTGAGCGCGGCGCGAATGAGAAGGGTCTGCTGGTCAACATGCCCGAGGGCCACGCGATTAATGGCTGGGATGTCAATGTGGCAGCGGTGCGGGTGACGTCGGTGAAGCGGACGGTTCGGTATCATCCTCATGCGGTGAGTAAACTCGCGCTCTAAGACCTTCTACGTTGGGAAAGGAAATTCTAACACCAGAGTCCTACAGGAATTCATCATCCGAGTGCGCCGAGAAGGCAAACAGGAGTACCATATTGGTCGGAGATATGGCGAATTCGTCAAGCTCCATCGCAGACTACGTACTGAGTTCCCCGGAAAGCACCTGCCCCCGCTCCCCCGCAAGAACAAGTCTTCAACCACATCGAGCTGGTTCGGCTCCACGGACGACGACAACGAATCGGTCTCCTCGCTTTCTACTCAAGATGCCAGTGTATCGGACGAGGCAACCTCAACCACAGGTCGAACATTGGCGCCTGAAAGTATTGTTCGACGATCGGTATCGAAAAGCTCTCTGCGCTCTTCTAAATCCCCGCGTGCATCGACGGAAGTTGTGTCACGGCAGACGGTACTGTACCGCGAGGAACAGCGTGTCTCTCTTCGTGCGTTCCTACGCACCATGTTGCAGAACAAGCGGATTGCCGAGTCTAAGGCTATGGAGGAATTTTTGACTTCCAAGCCAATCTCGTTGAACGAGGAGGAGTTGATTGATGTGAAGCGACGCAAGGAAATGGATGCAGTGAGAATCGAGGAGCAGAAACGCTTCTACGAGATCGCCAGACAACGCGCCGCCGAGCTAGATGTTTACATGGAGCAATTCCGAAGGGACATTGTGGAGAGCAGTTCGTTCCCATTCTTTTTCTCTCCAATGCCCTGAGTGCCGTGCTAATATGTTATTGCTAGATGGACTGACGAGGCTTTTCGCCGAGATACGGGAGAAGCCCTGTATTGCAGAGCTCAGCCCGCAATACCAGAAATTCGCCGAATGGCTGCGCATTGAGTGAGTCGCTATCCCCATATCTGCAATGCGTGTTAGTCTTTAACTAACTGGATCAGGGTTGCTGCAACCGTATACCACTTGTTCCTCGCTGAAGACAATTCACCCGAAATGTTCGCACAGGCCAAGCGAATCCACGGCCTTGTCCCTTACACATTGATGAAGAATGTGATTCGTATCGCCAACCCGGCGGCGGTCATGTCTAGCGTTCTGGACCTGTTCCTAGCTCAACCGTTCGGCTCACGATCGCTCTTGCAGCGAATCTTCTCCATGACGCTGAATGAAGGCATTAAGGATTTCCAGAAATCCATTAATTCTCTGGCTGCCAAGGTTGAAGACACTATCTTGACCCAGAAACTCAAGAGTTTCGTGGATGCCGACGAGGATATTAAGAATATCATCCGTGAAGAGGCCGAGGCGGAAGACGTCGACATTATCGTCGCCATCCTGCGCTCTGAGCTCATCCAGCCCGAGTTGACCCCTGAGCAAATTGGTAAGGTGTTCAACAGTTGGGTGGCATGGAACCATGCCGTCGACAATGTCGACCTGGAGATGCAGCAGGGCGCTCAGTGGTTCGCCAACATGAAACAGCTTCTGAAGTTGTACACCCGTCAACGCGACAAGGCCATGATGCTCAGCATCGTTGAGGAGCCTGTCACCCTCCAGCTGTTCCGTGATCTCTTCACCATCTTCTACGAGCCACTCGTCCGGGTGTACAAGTCCGCCAATGTATATAGCAGCATCACTGACTTCGCCTCGTTCGCTGACGACGCGATCTCGGTGATCGAGAGCGCCCAGCGCCAGGATGCCTCGGCTGACCCGAACCAGACCGTGCAGGCCTTCATTGATTTGTGCGCACGCCACGAGGACAACTTCTACAAGTTTATTCACGAGGTGCATTTGCATGACAATGGGCTCTTCCAATCCTTGATGTCTTGGATTGAGGAGATCCTGGAGTTCTTGCGCAAGGGTCCACGGGGCGGTAAGATGGACATGAATGCTTTGTTCCAGGGTGCCGTGGGAGTCGGTCAGGTTGACAAGGATGTTGCGTTGGAAGAAATCGACGCCCTGATTAAGTGGCAGGAGGACCGCAAGAGATGGCACTTGAACAAGACGCGACAGAAGATGGCCGCCGAAGGTACTGCGGGAGAGACAATCCCAGGCACAGCCACCTTCAACAGCAGCGACTTTGGTCTTGACGAGGTATGTTATCGCACATTCCCCCTTCTCCCCTTTCCTAACACAATGCTAACTGTTTCCTTCCAGGCCGACCTCGAAGACCTCACCATCTCTGACGAGGCTTCCGACTCCGAAGACGAAAACGAGGAAGACGACGAGGACGACCCGATCGCCGTCGAGCGCCGCCGCCGCATCAAGAAACAAGACCAACTCCGCCGCACAGCCGGCGAGCCCGTCAAGCCTGAAGTGACCGAGGTCCTCAAATTGATGGATCCATTCGTGGTGATGCTGCGCCATGTGCTGGCCGACTAGACGTGTGCTGCGGCTGCAGAGTCTACTTATGCTTTTTTGCTTCCTTTGTTCTTGCAACCTGATACCACGAATATCTTGCATTTTTTTTTACTTCGTGATGACCTTGGGCCTGTGAATGGCCTTTGCATTGTTAGGTCCTGGGTCCTGCTGGTTGCATTCGATGAGGTCTTTGGTTTTGTGTTTATTGCTGCATCATGTGGGTACAGTGATAAGGGACAGGTGATACGAGAAGATATGCTTATATGGATCCTGGTGAAGCTCGGTAATTTGAGGAAAGAAAGGGTATTATGCATGTTAGATAGAAGGGGTGAATTACAAGAATCTAATTTCCACTTGCTTGCATGCAGCGACAGGGTAATCTTTCTCGTTGGTATACCAATTAGGTTCCTTGTGCTGATGCAAATGCTGTCCTTCCGGACCAATGATGATCGGCACACGGGATGCAACCAGTTCATGTAGGCAAATCTCATGTCTCTCTTTAGATACTGGCTGTGGGGGCACAAGATAAAAGTATTTTGAGACAGCAAAAGCGTTCCTATTTGTTGATTCCCGGCCAGCTAGATTCAGAATTTAGACTCATTAGTCTTTCTAGTTGTTATATGGGACAAAACCTATTAACCCCCATGTTTATCCTACGATTCCTGTGGCGTTCACGTCTTCCGCCCGGAGACGGGTCTTTTCCAGGACATTTCCGAGCCCAACACCGGAAAAAAGCCCTCTTGGTACCTCTTGGCAACGCGGAGAAAGCCCGGAGAAAGATCTAAGTTGTTTACCCCGCAAGAACCAATCCCCTTGGCCTACACGAAAGTACGAGGGATCTGAGCCCATCCTCGAGGCCAACGAAGCTCTGACTGGACACTTATCCGTCCCCGCGGACCACGCGCAACCAAATTTCCCATATATGACATCGTAGAGATTGGATTTGCGATCGTCGAGTGGAGAGTCAAACTGCCGTGGCCTCCTACCAATCCCCCGCAATTTAGGTTATCAGACCCCCACCGCTGGTTGCCAAGACCGGGGTAGAGCTTTGATGAGATGGCTGTCAAGCTCAGGTGGTGATGCGAGACCCTGGCGCCGTGTTTCTTGCCAAGAGGGGATATCCGACATGGTGTATATATTGGATTCGTCTCCCCCGCTGTGCCCGATGGATCGTGGATTGTCTAGGAGACATCGATTCGACTGTGCGGTTGTCGACTTCCTTGAGTTTTTGAGGTGAATATAAAGCTACGTTGTGCAACTTTCATCGATTTATACTGCAGCTATGGGTCCTGGATCTATCCGCAAGGATGATGTGGAGATCGCTGATCAGCCATCCCATCTCGAGAATCTCCCCAAGCCTTCGCACGTCACGGAGATTGACACTTTCCGTGTCGTCGGCTTAACCCCTGATGATGAGCAGTTCTACATTGGATTCTCCGAGGAAAGCCGAAAGAAGGTCTTTCGCAAGGTGGACGTTCGCTTGGTCCCTATGCTGGCGCTGCTATATTTGATCTGTCACATCGATCGTGCGAATATCGGAAATGCTAAAATCGAAGGCATGGTCGAGGATTTGGGGATGACGGGTGTCCAGTACAACACTGTACTTTCGATTTGTGAGTACTCCTATCGCTTTTCTATGTCGGAGTCCAGGACTGTTATTGACAAGCTGATTTACGTCTGCGATAGTCTTCATCCCCTACGTCCTGTTCGAAGTCCCAAGCAACATCCTTCTCAAGAAGTTCAAACGCCCTTCAACCTACCTGGGCGTTCTTGTCGTCAGCTGGGGAATTGTTATGACTTGCACTGGACTGGTCAAGAACTTTGCAGGTCTTATGACTACTCGCGTGCTGCTGGGTATCTTCGAGTACGTACCCCTGATCCTCATTCCCTCTGAAAATGTACATGATTGACACGCGACAAAATAGGGCTGGCTTCTTCCCTGGTGCAATCTATCTCTGCTCTTACTGGTACATGCCAAAGGACCTCGCTCTCCGCATTTCATACTTCTACTGCGCCAGCGCCTTATCCGGTGCCTTCTCCGGTCTTCTAGCCGCCGCCATCGCTAAGATGGATGGCATCGGTGGACTTGAGGGATGGCGGTGGATTTTCATTCTCGAGGGACTGTTGAGTGTCGTCTTGGGTGTGATGTGTTTCTTCCTCCTCATTGACACACCAGCTTTCTCTACGCGCTGGCTATCCGCCGAGGAAATTCGATTCCTTGAGCTTTCAATGTTCATCAAGCAAGGTGGAGTCAGCAGTGATGAGTCCAAATTCAAGATGCGAGATCTGAAGAAGGTGCTTCAGAACTGGAGAATCTACGTGCAAGCTTATTTTTTGCTTTGCCAGTCAGCGCTGTCTTATGGTAAGGCTATCCTCCGATTCAACTTCATCTTCCTACTTGGGATTAAACTAATCAAAGTACCTGTGAACAGGAACAAAATTCACCCTTCCAACCATCACCAAAGCAATGGGCTTCAGTTCCACCAACGCCCAACTAACATCCGCCCCACCATACGTCGTCGCAGCCATCTCAGCCATCATCTTCGCCCGCCTATCCGACCGCTTCTACTGGCGCATGCCATTCGTCGCCATCCCCATGGTAATTGTGATAGTCGCCTACGCAATCCTCTTCTCTCTCAACGGCGCACTCGAAGCAAAGCGCGGCGTAGCCTATTTCGCCGTCGTCCTCGCCGTGGCCGGTATCTACCCGATTCAATCCGCCGCCGCATCCTGGAACGCGAACAATATTGCCCCATCGTCGCGTCGAGCCATCGGAATTGCACTGATGAACTGCGTTGGAAATGTTGGCGGCATTATTGGAAGTTTCATGTATATTGAGAAGGAGAAGCCAAAGTACCCCACTGGCTTTGGGTTGAGTCTTGCGCTTGCCGGGGTCGGATTTTTCGTTGCTTTCTTCCTTGAGTGGAGTTATAAGAGGGGGAATGCGCAGAAGGCTAAGGTTGCGGATGAGGCGAGGGTTAAGTATACTGAGGATGAGCTGTTTGACATGGGTGATAAGTCTCCGCTGTTCAAGTATGTGCTGTAGCTGGGTTTTCTGTGATGGACTTGGCGAACTATGAGGGTATGACATGTCCGCTATTGGTAGGTGATGAAAGCGTCTTGGTTGGAATATCAAACTTACTATGTGTGGTCTTATGACAATATACTGGCTGTAAGGCGAGTTTTTCTGCGGTTTTTCTGCGGTTTTTCTTGCTCTCTCAGATTTGAAGTAAACCATCGAACATAGTGTGACCAAAGTTCAGCAGCTGACATTTAAACTCCCCCTTATTGAGATAGATTCCCTTCTTCTTTGTTATAGAATTATTTTATTCATATATTGACGTTCCGTTGGAGAGTTAAGCGAACTCGAAGACATTACTCTTCCCAGATAATGCTACTCAACCCAGTCGACGAATTACTAGCTTGGCCGGGCTCTCCAACCTGCAAGCTAGCAACCAGATCGCCGAGCTCTCCACTCCGCGGATCCCTCATGACAATGGCCACATTAGACGAGGCCTGATCTCCAATAGCCACCAAAGTACCCTTCTTATTAATGGCAAAGGTCCTGGGAACGGTGCCATACGAAGAAGTGATCTGGCTAAGCTTGACCGTGCCATTCGGTAGCTGAGCCGAAGTCACCAAAGAATCATTAGGAGGAAACCCTTGATCGAAGCGAATCGAAGCATAAATAGAACTCCCTACCATACGCAGTTCCGCGGGCGTAGCCCCAGCCGGCAACTGTCCACCTGGGTATGGTACGAAGGATTGCGTCTCCCTGAATGCGAGACAACCGGAGGATGCGTAAGAGACAGAGAACGCATTAAAATGCCCTCCTAATTCGCTGACAGTGTATAACATGGTCACTGGAGCTTGTGCCCAGTGCGACGGTTTAGATTTCCAGAATATTCCGTGTCGCGGTCCACTACCAGCGGTGTAATTGAGAGCAGGGCACGCATTTAGATGCCCCGAGTGGTGGTCAATAGCGTACACTCGAACTTGGTCTGCGCCTAGATCGGGAACGAGGAGGAAAGACCCGGTTGGATCGAGAATCACCTGGTGTGGATGGGGTGCATCCTGCTGCGGTTTGGGACCGGGTTGGGGCATTTGATAGCGGAGGATTTGCAAGGGCCCTTCATCGGAGATGAGAGGCAGGGTGAAGGTTGTCAAGGCCGAACCGCCGCTGATAAATGTTAGTTTATCTGGCTCAAGTGGACAACAGAATCACTCACTAATGTGCAACAGCTAAATACTTTTTGCCATGCTTGCCGCCATAAATGACACTGTGCACAGCTGCGCCCACATCCGTGGTCTTTGCGAGCTCGGTCAGTCTTCCATGTTGACCCACAGAGTATGAAGTCAATGAGCCATTGATGACTGCATTGCCTGAGTGGTCAGAGCAATAGAGGGTGCGCGTCGATGGATCTAACGAAAGCCAACTAGGGGCATCGCCACATGTTTTCAAAGATAAAGTGATTGACAGCGAGTTTCCGCTATCAAGAGAGAGTGTGTAGATATTGCCGTCATAGTGGGTGGCGTAGAGGTTTGTGGCAGCCGCGAGCGAGATAAAGAAAGGAAGATAGCGGAACATGATAGAATAGGGGGTACAGTGAGCTGGAAAGACCTAATAGAGAGGAGTGAGATACTGGCATTAATGAAACAATATAAGCATAATATGGATATGCACACATGTCCGTATCCGATTGAAGCCGGAAAAGCCATACCAAGATCAGCAAATTAGTCACTACAGGCACGGCTAATGAGCTTTGGCTCCAATTTGACGACTGTACTCAATTAGATTTCTCCAATAGATGCCGACAGAAAACTATACCCCATCGGTGTTATCCTGTGGCCTAGCCCTGTGGTAACTAGTTAAAGCGGAATGCGGCCGAAGTGCGGAGGTATCGAGCAGCCGTCCAGATTCATTATGACAGTCCATATGCCTTGAGTTATGCCCGCTTTGGGTCATCAGGGTCTTATACATTCTATTTAATACACTCATACATAGTTTCGTCTTCGCAGGGACAGAACCACTATAGAAGTTGAGGATGGTCCCTGATATTCCCCCACATCCCCCGGCGACTCCCCACAAAACCCGCACCCGCACGGTTCGCTTCCATGACGGACCGGGGCGGGAATAGATGAAGCTCCATCAGTTGAGCAGCGGTCTTGAATCACTCATTAGAATTTCGACGAGGACACTGTTTATTCTGGTCTTTAGAATGATGGTGGACGCCGCAAGACTCACTACTTCCTACTCATTAACCTCGACTGAAGCCAGATTCTGGGTCCTGATGAAACTTGGCCGCCAGGCGCACGCTAAGTCTTATAACGTAACCTACATAGTTTCTCCGGCATAAATCGCCCAGATAGCTGATCCCCTACGCTGAAAAGTTGCATCAATAACCGTTGCGGGGAAAGGAGGCAAGATCATTGCCGAAGTATAGGGTAATGAATATTTATGCCGTCTCTCGGACCCTCCCAACCCCCAGGACCGTGGAGTAGTACAGCTAAGACCTCTTCTCCCCAGTTCTTGGCGTCTTGGCGAGATTGAAGTATGGCCGGCAGGGATCTATTGATTGACTACTTAGTCCTGATGCAACTATATTTCAATTGCCGATGTGTCCTCAGAAAATACTATATATTTGCTCAATGATAACAAGCTGTGATGCCCGGATGAGCCTAAGATCTTGGTCCAGCAGCCATGAAGTTCCTCACAGGATTGTCCCTGCTCGCTCTAGTTTCTCCGTCTCTGTGTGTTCCTGCCTTGCAGCTTCACGCGCGCAATGGCCTGGTTTCTACTGAACAACCTTTGATTAAGCTCAAGCCGCAAAGAACTGTTTCTCGCGAGCTTGTGAACCTGGATGGTCTGTGGAAATTCTCACTCGCATTCGGCCCCAACGACACAGCTCAGCCGTGGACAGCACCATTGCCCAAGGGCCTTGAATGTCCAGTCCCTGCCTCATATAACGACATCTTCGTCGATCCCGAGATCCACAACCATGTCGGCTGGGTGTATTATCAGCGTGATGTGATCGTTCCCAAGGGCTGGTCCCAGGAGGAATATCTTTTGCGAGCTGAATCCGCTACGCACCATGGCCGAATTTATGTCAATGACCGCCTCGTCGCCGAGCATGTCGGCGGCTATACACCCTTTGAAGCCGATATCACAAACGTCGTCACCGCTGGAGAGAAGTTCCGCTTAACGATTGCCGTAAACAATGAGCTCACCCATGAGACTATCCCGCCGGGAAAGATTACAATTGGGGAAGCCACTGGCAGGAGAATCCAGACCTACCAGCACGACTTCTACAACTACGCCGGTTTGGCTCGATCCGTTTGGCTTTACTCTGTTCCCCGCCAACACATCCAGGACATTACCGTTGTCACGGATGTTCAAGAAAATAATGGACTGATTCACTACGACGTCAAAGTATCCAACAACACGTCCGGGCAGGTCAAGATTACGGTCCTTGACGAGGATGGTGCCGCCGTTTCCGGTGCCACTGGTGCCAATGGGACCGTCAAGATCAATTCCGTCAAGCTGTGGCAACCAGGTGCCGCCTATCTCTACCAGTTCCAGGCCAGCATTGTGGACTCCAACGGCAAGCTCGTCGACACCTACAGCGTGGCTACGGGCGTGCGCACCGTCAAAGTGAGCGGGAAGAAGTTCCTCATCAACGACAAGCCCTTCTACTTCACCGGATTTGGAAAACATGAAGACACCGCGATACGTGGCAAGGGACATGACCAAGCATACATGGTCCACGATTTCCAACTGATGCATTGGATTGGAGCAAACTCTTTCCGCACATCACACTACCCTTACGCCGAAGAAGTCATGGATTTCGCCGACCGCAACGGCATCGTCGTGATCGATGAGACCCCTGCTGTTGGCCTGAACCTTGGCATGTCAATTTCCGGGAGTACAACTGTTCACACTTGGTCCCAGGAAAACATAAACAACAACACCCGGGAAGCCCACAAGCAAGCCCTCCGCGAGCTCGTGTCTCGAGACAAGAACCACGCCAGCGTTGTCATGTGGTCGATCGCCAACGAGCCTGCCTCAGCCGAAGATGGAGCCCGCGAATACTTCGAGCCACTGACCAAGATGGCTCGCAAACTAGACCCCACGCGTCCTATCACCTTCGCCAACGTCGGCGGCGCAACCTCGCAGCTTGACAAGATCGCCGACTTGTTCGATGTTACCTGCATCAACCGGTATTTCGGCTGGTACTCGCAGACCGGCGACCTTGCCGAAGCAGAGGCTGCTTTGGAAAAAGAGCTACAAGGCTGGCAGGATAAGTTCGACAGGCCAATCATCATGACCGAGTATGGTGCGGATACCCTTGCGGGTCTGCACTCTGTCCTCGGTCTGCCCTGGAGCGAGGAGTTTCAGACTCAAATGCTGGATATGTATCACCGGGTGTTTGATCGCTTTGAGGCTATGGCTGGCGAGCATGTCTGGAACTTTGCGGACTTCCAGACTAGCTTGGGCATATACCGTGTAGATGGTAATAAGAAGGGTGTCTTCACTCGTAACCGCCAGCCTAAGGCCGCTGCACACAGTTTAAGGGCGCGGTGGACCAAGTTGCATACGAGCAGTTAAAGAGGTGGGTAGGGGTGCATCTCAAGTATCTAGGTCTAGATAGATGCAATTATCAGCAAGGAAGGTCAAGTTTACTCTAACCATTGAAATTTGTCAACCAACTTCATTCAATAAAGCTGAGGCCAATTGCACGACAGACTATACTAATTTCGGATATTATGGATAACAGGTACATCGAGTACCTAGATATCCTCATTATACCTACTATGCCTTTCACCACAGATACCTGAGCTATTAGGAAAGACTGTTCGAAAGACATTCGGAAAGATCTTTCACAGAAGGAAAACTTGAAGCATATGAATTCACATAGTAAACCCGTTTCTCCAATCTAGATATTAAGGATCCAGTGAACATGTTCTCTACTGTATCTAAAAGGGGTATAGTTGACGTGCGAAAGCACAAGCTGTCGTGCGATTAGCCTCGGCCTTTAATACGTTACATGCTTTTATCTAGATACGTTGGTATGAGCCCCAGTGGAGGGGGCTCATAAAGAAGAAAGGATTACGAACTGTCAAGGAGAACAATCTTGAATGTCAGGCTATCGGACGATTTCAGAGTGGGGAAAAAGTCAATATGAATCAGATTTCATTATTAAACAAGCCAATTAGCTAGATCAAGATAGGAAAAACAATTAAGGCAAATTCGTCTTAGATCATGAATCACATGAGACGTGTATGTGATCCAGCGTATAATCAAAAAGATCATGATTCTTGGGGTAGGATCTATAGGCACAGATGCAGAATGCCGTTCTGTCTCAGAAATTGTGCAGGACATAAACCAGAAGAGCTACAAGCTACATAAACTTGGCCCCTTACTCCGGTTATGAAAGTGAAGATAAGGGTATAAGCGCTCTAGAGAGATATAAGAGTCCACGAGGTATCCCGGAGTGCTATATCACTTAGCCTTTACATCTTGCTTAATAGCTATTCCTTTATTTTCCTCTTTTTAACCGACTTATAGAAAGTACTTGCAACAATGAAAATGAAGCTTCGAGTGGTCTTATTTTCACTACTTATGACTAGTTCTCTTACCTAGATCTCAAGTGAAGATAGCTATAAGGACTACTACGTCGAAAGGACGAAACGGAAGAAGAGATCCTCCCCGGATATAAGGTTAGATATTCCTGCGGTGCACTTAGCCCTTGCAGCGGTAACTGTGTTCCGGAAATTACCAGCGCCGAAGACTATGCTAAGTAAGCTATGCTAGGATTGTCCTAGATGCCCTAGAAGCTCCTGGTTCAATACCTGCTATATTAGAACAGGTTCTAGTGATGCTGATTCTCGAGACCGAAAGTGGGTCCTTGATATAAAAAAAGTGACTCCGCCACCAGCACCGCTACCACCGCTAGCTCGTAAGAATCCATCGGAGGGATGTGCTGAGGAAGAAGGCTCCTAAGGAGGAGGAGCTGCTGCTTTATGTGATCTTTACAACAGTTGGAGCAGGGGAATGCCTAGCTAGAAGAGTGCAACAGCGCGAAAAGAGATTGTAAGAAGAAGCTGGAGCAATGTCTTAAAGACAAGGAGTTATTAGAGTCGAACTAAGGCACTGGATCTAGATCTGCTAGCGGATCTGGCTTTCCGATATATATGAACCCCCGAGACCCTATTGAAGCCTTGTTGACTTCTCAATCTATCCTAGCTCTTAGGGTTATAGGGCTTTGTTCCATACTCAGTCAATGTTTTCATTCTATGACTGGCTCGTGCTAACTTGCCCTTAGCTTGAAAGCTCTGTTTTGAATTAAGTTTTCGTAAAGCATTAATATTAATTTCCGCACTTAGCGTCGCTAATTCGCCGGCTTATGGAATCCCTGGCTTGATCTTAGCTAGTTTGCGACTTTCTACGGCTTCACTAATATGCGAGAGTACACTAAGAACTATCGAAACTTCGGTTACAGTTAATTAGCTGATAGTTGGACTCGATAGTTCAGTCTACTCATGATTCAATAGATCCAATCGGCTTCGACTGCTATCCTCCGTAACTTTGTGTACACTATGACCACCGGCAACCCGGAGGATTGCGAATCATATTAGTCCCTATAAGTTCTAGCGTATTTCAAATTGATGATATGTTCTGTCAGGCATTACCACCTAAAATTGTCAGATGATACAGCCTTGCAGTTAATACAGTGACCGACTACGTGTATCTGAACATTAGTAATAATTCTCCTGCTATACTTACCGACATAATCGGAGGTTTGTGGTTCGTTAAGTAGGTTATGTGCTCGTAGGGTCTAGGTGGTGAATATTTTCTGGGAAATAGGCGTCCTTACACGGGATCGTATAACAGTGGAGAATGGTAATAGGTATATAAAATGCTGTACTAATCGGGCCAAATTGAATAGGGGCGCAGGTGAGGTTGAATTAAACTTGAAGTTGACAGAAAAGTGGACTTTGTTCTACGTCTGGCCAGGTTAAAGTATAGAGGGAATCAGAACTAGATACGAGTATTCAATATGCGCTTAAGCGTGCAAGAAGAATTTAGGTGAGATATTAGGGGGAAAAATGCTACAGGCGCTAAGACAGTGTATCTTAGGGCCGGCCCACTTTGGAAAACGTCAGAATAAAACTGAAAATTTCATATAGTTTAATCTGACATCATATAATATAACCATGTACTTTATACTATCCTCGTATTTCGCCCTATTTATCTACCAGGCGGCCTAGACGCCGAGTTCTATGCCGATAAGATATCTTCCATCCTCTAACCCAGGCCCATTAGGATTTGCAAACCATCACCAGGGTGATCGTTAACGCGAGCTTGGCTCTGCGGAAATCTTATCGCCTAATCATTACCTTTCAATGAAAACTATAACGTGAGCATTGAGTGATTTCAAGGTAACCAGGGCGGAGCATCATATGTTCCCACCACGATTTTAAATGAGGTCGGTTTTCAAGGGCTGATGGGCAAACCGATGTGGTAAGATGATGCATGTATGGCACATAGAATAGGTCCACAACTGAAAACTCCTACAGATCATGTAAGCCGATGACATTGCAAGTCACCATCACTAGATTGAAACATACTTGTCCTGCCATGTAGCCTTGGTGGCCTAAGATCCGGTCTAGTATATCGAGGACGGCCAATAATCGAGATCTCAAACTAGCTACCAATGCCGAGTCGACAGAGCCTTGACTCTCGGCGAAGAATTTTCTGTTCGATTATAACGTGAGTATTAGTAGATTTAGGGGAGAAACGTGCAAACAAGTTATAACCGAAGGAAGACCTAGCAGCTCCGACATACTATCGAGGGCAAGCTGGCTATTCATTTCAACAAGAGTTTCATCGAACGACGTTTAGTCGTAGTCGATGAACGGGCCCTGCAACTGGCCAGTTGTAAGGCCCTCGCTATTGCCCTTTCGCAGAGATAGTGGTCCTTGCTGCGGATAGAGAGGATATAGAGTATCGGTGTAGTATAGGGCACTCTCTAGGTAAGTATTATAGCTAATATCTTTCTTAACTAATTAGGAAGACTAGAAATCATAAGTTATTCATTAGAATTAGAGAGAAAGGGGTATCGTATCGAAAATCAAATCACATTTGGTCATTAAATTCTTAGTTGAGATCACATTAATCTAAGAAAAGAAAATGGCAGGTCATGAGCTACAAACAAGATTGAATGTAGCAAAAAGAAAGAAACCGCAGAAGAAATCCATCTACGAGGATAGAGAAGAGGGGAGTCCCAACTTCTCGGAAAGTATGTCCATCTCTAGCTGGTTCTCCATCGCCACAATACCTTCGTCGAGCGACACCTAGTCGAATTCGGCGAAACAGCCCTGCGAATGGCTGACGCCCTGTAGCTGGGTGTCGCCAAAAAGGGTGAAGTCACCCAACGCCTGCTGGGCCGCTGGGAGGCCATAAGGAAAGTTGGCCGAAATATTGCCACCGGAGAGGCCGGACTCCGGGGAATACAACATCAAGTTCCCCTGAGCGCCCGGAGACAGACCGGAGACATGGCCGTTTGTGGCGCATTGGGCACCATCGACCTGGAACGAGGCCAGGTCCTCCATTCCGCTGGACAAGTTCATATTGTCCATGTTTCCCAGGCCGCTCCAGTCGATGTCGAGGAGGGCGCTGCTGGTGTCAGCAGTCGCCTGAGGGGATTCGGCTAGAGACAGAGTACCAGACATGGAGCCAGACTCGCCGAGGTCTGGAACGGGCTCCGACACAATGGATGGAATCAGGCTGTTCCGGTCGGCAGCGGCGAATTGAGCCTGAAGGCTCGCGAGACTATGGTCGAAATGGGAGAACATCTGGTCATTGGTCATGTCTCCCGAAGATGCCTGGTAAGCAGAGGTGTTGAAACCAGTCGACTCGTCAAAGCCAGTCGAGTGGTTGTAGGCAGCGGAATTGTCGAAACCGGGGGAGTTATCGTAACCGGTCGCGTGGCCATAGCCGGTCGAGTTGGCAAAACCAGCCGCATTGTCATAGCCAGTTGGCTGATTGATACCAGGGGAGACGACACCAGCGGAGTGGCTAACACCAATCGAGTTGCCGTAAACATTCGGATAACCAGGGACTCCAGTCACTTGGAAGTTGGGATTGCACGTGTCCGGCGGCTGATCAGGGAGGGAGGCGAAGAAGTTGGCCAGGTTGGTAGGGTCCATGGGCAACTGAGTAGGGGGTCCGCGAAGTTGATCTCAAGTTCGTCCTCGTCATCCATACTCGCCTCGAAGGGAGAGAGAGTCGGGCCCACGCTAGGGGTACTGAAGTCGGTCGGGCCGGATGCCGGAGTAGACACACTGGGGGTGTCGGGAGTGGCCTGGACAGAGGGGCTCTTGGTACCGCGCTTGCTCTTGGCACCGAGAGCACGAGAGCTGTGCTTGGAGCGGATGTAAACCCAGCCATGGGCCTTCTCCATGTGCTGCTTGCAGTTGCTCTCACGCTTGGAGGAGTAAGGGCAGGGCGCGAAGTGGCAGTTGAAGGTGTTGGGGCTGTCGGCGTGCTTGTCATTCATGTGGCGATCACGCTCCTTTTCGGTTGGCCAGCCGATTTGGTTGTATTTGCAGGTGGTGTCGGTGCACTTCCAGGGGCGCGAATGGGTCTTCTCGTGCTTGGTCAAGTCGCAAGGACGCTTGAAGACCTTGTCGCAGTGAGAGCACTTCTTGTTGATGTCCATTGGAGGCGCGTTCTTCTTGCGGCGAGCCATGGATCGCATGACACCCTCATCGAGATCCTCATCATCATCGAGAGCGATGGCACGCTTGTAGGTAGCAGGGGCATCTCCCTCGTATGGAAGGCCGGTGGCCATGGAGATAAGCTTGCCATCCTGCAGGATAACTAACTCGACGGGGCGTCCGTTCTTGGAGAGACCACCCTCGAGGGCGGCGGAAGTAATCCTGTCAAGTCATCAGTATGGTGAAAGTTGGGAGCAAAACCGGGTCACGTTAACTCACAGGGAGGACGGTTCGTCCTTGTTGGCGGACTGAGCCTGAGTGTCCTGGGTCATTTGGACCCGCTGGCGATTAGCCTGAATCATGGCGGCGTAGCGTCGAACCTGGGTGACAAGGTCGAGGAAGTAACCGTTAGTGTATGGGCGATCAGCGGGAAGCCGCTGATCCCGGGAGTTGAGATGAGATGTCGACGTGTGGAGACACTGGATGGTGAACTCGCAGAAGCTGAGATAAGAAGAGCGAGACGCCGAGAATTTCTGAAGCAAGAGACTTTATGAGCTTCAACCAGAACGCCGGAAGTATGAGAGAATGAGACGGATGGGATGGACGGAGGTGGGATGAGACGAGAGGAGAGTTGCGGAAGGAGGAAAGGTCGGACAGGACATGAGAGTTGCGAGAAGGAGAAGAGGTGCGAGAGGAATAAGGTTGGTGGAGGAGGAGAGTTGTGTGGAGAGGAAATTTTGCGGAGCAGGAAAGTTGGGAAAGGAAGAAGAGTTGGCGAAGGAGAAGGGTTGGAAGAGGAAGAAAGGTTGGAGAAGGAGGAGAATTGGGAAATGAAGAAAGCCGGAAGAAGTAGAAAGCACAAGAAAGGCGCGGACTTACAGGAGCGAGCCACAGGAGGATTTTCTCGAGATCTCGTAGGCAAACAATCTGCTTGTTCACGATTCGACTTGGGATTGTCCTGACAAGGGGATGGAACGGTTTGAGCTTGGCCTCCTTCAGTATAGGGACCAGAACATAGCGCTCTATCTGCTTGCACGCCGAGTAGGACAATTGGCGTCGCGGAGTGGTGCCTTGGTCAAAGTCTGAGGCAGCAGTCGTAATGGCCGATTTTCCTAGGTGCGAGTCATTCTTATACACTACCCAAATAGGAAAAAAAGGAGGTTAGCTAAGGCCCGAATAGGAAGAAAGATAGGGCTGGGGATGGATTGTTTGCTGTGGGGCAAGCGAAGGAGCCAATCAGCTTCATACATTTTTCAGCGGCATCGGGCAACGACTCGCTGCTGACTGATGATCCAAGACCACTGTCGGATTCGTGGCCATTGTCGTAATCGCGTTGTTGTTGTTGATGCTTCTTATGCGACGGGAACAAATCATACCCATCATCACTCGACGGCTTCGAGGCACCGGAGATGGCAGACTTGGACTCGTTTACACCACCAAGGCCATCGACGTCCTGAGCAGAAGATGTTTTCTCCTCAGGCTGATCGTCGAGGGTCAAGCGCTCAAGAATCGACGCCATACGCTGTTCACTAAGGGCAAGAGCGTCAAGAGAAGTTGGCGAGCGACGAGGAAGAGATCGAATGTTCAACACTGGATCACTATCATTCGACGGCGGGTTAGTCGGGGTATTAAATGTCTCGCCCTTCTTCAGTTGCATTTTGGAAGAAGAACTGGACTCCGCATCAGGGGCCAGCGACGTGTTTAAGACCGGCCGCCGACGCGGATGCACCCGACTGGGCTCGAATTGAGCAGACACCATAATGGATTGGTTCTGCATCGTTACCGGCGTTAGTACGACTGCATCCCATGCCCCAAAAGGACAGATTGTTTCGGATGATTGGCTAATTCCTTGTGACTCACCAGATGAATGGTTCGGCTGATTCGTGATGTGACGTACGGTCGAGTCAGAGACTAAGCCCGGGCTTCAGATTGGTCCGGCTGGCGATTTCGCAGCGGAACGTTATAGAGGGCACCGGTGCCCTTCTGTGTCGACAATATACTGAGCGTGAAAGAATCGTGATGATGGAATCAAGCCCCGGATTACAGGTCCAGGAACAAGAGACCACGGAAGGCGACACGTTCGAGCGGGGTTTAGCTATCGTCGCTAGGCAGGATGGCAGGATAACGGATCAACCGATCGAGCACACTCCCAAGGCCTTTGAGAAGCCTACACGAATCGAGGACAAAACTATGAGAGCGATCGATGCCGAACGGATTCGATCGACGTTCGCAACGGTCGGTGATGGAGAAACGGGGCACACCCTTATCAATCGGAGCGTTTCAAGGCGGAAGATGGGCAGTTCGGCCACCTGAATCGACAGATACTGGCGACAACGAAGTTCTACACAAAGCAGACGATGGCAGAAGAGGTGCTGAATGCGAGAAGCAAATACGACGAGAGAAAAGGAATCGTGGAGAGGGAGGGAAGATGACGGAGCAGACGGAGCAGAGGGACTTGCGCGTTAGATGTCTGCCTGATGGTGAAAAGACGCTAGCCCCGAAGGAGTATCGTGTGCGATGGCTGAGCAGATTGCAATTGCCGTTGATTGGCTTTTGCCAAGTGTTATGGTATTGTCACCGTCAGCGGTTCGGGCGGACACAAGGGCCAAAGAGCGTGGCCACAGTATGGTCAAAGGATGACCGAGTCCCTGCAAAACTCTACGGAACCCCAACCCTGTCAAACACATGGCCCCATCCCGTTACGAACGGTAAAAATACCAGACTCCACCACGGACTCCTAAATTGGAACACGACGGGATCCGCGGAGCCAGAATTGCTCCGATCCTTTTGGTTCTTGTGCATTTGGTCCTTAGGGTGGTGTCCTCCAATGCCAGAGCCTCAAGGCCCCTTCTAACAAGGTTTCCCTGCGGCTAGGGGTGCGCATTTCGTCTTCCACTGAAAACGAGTGAAAAAAATCACTGCCTGCGTCGTCAGCGTCTCGCCAGATAATCTTTTCTGCAGGGCGACGTCAGATATTCGGCCGCCTAAAGAAGGCGGAAATATTCTCCCACTCGAGTCCGTTCATCAAGACGGCACACTTGCGACAATAGAAAGCGTGGTCCAAACCCTGCATTGTTGGTCTTTAGCTTATGGGCTCCAACTTCCAAGCCTCCTTCCCATCCGAGCATGCATGCTTAACAAGTTAGCCCTGCCAGGCCAGTTGTCCGGGGCAAAAACACATCCGATCCGCTGATCTCCACCACCCACATTCCACACGGACGAATGATGGGCCGGAAAACATGCCATTGTTCAATCAAAAAAGACCCTAACGACCCTGAGCATCATAACCAAACGGATATCGCCGTCCGATGAGTCTGGATTTCCTGGGTGGACCCGCCACACGTGAATTTGAGCCTCGCGGATGGCTCGCCCGTTTGGCTGGTCCTCGTATACGGTATCCTCGTATCGACCGGCAGTTTTTTTTTTGGTGTTTCATTTTTCTTGTCTGCCTGATTTTGAAGCTAACCTGGCCATCCCTCCAGATCGTTGGGGCTGGGCATCCTGCCCTGCATGCCAAATGGTCACTCCGCCACAGCAGACCCAATCCGGCCCGCTGATAGGCTCGTGGTGGCTTTCAGATGGAAATGTGGCGGTAAGGACTCACCCCAACTGTGGTGTGTCAGCTGTCGTGGGTGATAGGACAAGTTGAGTGAAGTGGAAGATACAAATGAAGAATGTGGTCTCTACTTACTATTAAATATCCTCAAGAGGCTGTGACTAACCTCACGGGCGCCTACTAGGTAGAAGTTAGCCTTGAAGCTGTAGTGGGTATTTACTAGGCTCCCTCAAGGCGACCGTAGGCGCCAGCGTCTATTGTAGAATCTATACTCCACATGGAGGAGTCATAAGCAGATCGAGTGACATTTAGAAGAGATGCTTCGAGTCCGACGCCATTAAATGAAGCTCTTTTCGCCTATTCTCAAGCCTTTGCAAGTTATCGGTATACCCAACTCCAGTGGCTGCCTTCTACCTGGCTCGATCGGACGAATCTGTTGAGCAAAGACAGAGCGCAACTAGTTTCTCGTGATATCTCCTGGTTTATCAGGCCATTTTCCTGTTCAAATGATATCTGTGTGGACCTGAATGCAAATGATGCCTAGCACCGAGATCCAAGGTCACATGACCCGGGCACGTCTTAGGCGTGGCGCCCAGGCATCCTACAGGGTAAGATAAGAGTCTCTTAAGTCTATGGGTGTCCTTGCATCCATCCAATCTACCAGGGTTCAATATTCCTTCGTAGCAGAAGGTCTACAACGAGTAGAAGAGTCGCATCAGGCAAATCCAACCTGCACTAAGATTCCCTCCGTGGAGGCATTCTTCTCTTGGAAATCTGTCCGATGGTGGCACCGGACTGGTGTCAAAAGATCTTGATCTGTTCCAACTCACCGAGCATAGCTGTAGTCTCTCTCGCATTGTCTGGAAGTCGTAGTTTGTCTTGCCAAGATGCATATCCCAGATCCAATGTTCCGAAACCAGGGCTATCCACTTCGACCGTTGGCGTTGTGGAGAAGCCTCGGCGAAGATGTGCTCGACCACGCTTGAACTTGGTAATGCAAACCACACGTTGGCAACATCAGCACAGCGTGATTTGGATTTTTGTTAATTCTTTGACAGCTGGTATTTAGCTTGAATTTTCTTTCCCTCTTGGTTGTGCCAGGTTATTGCCTGTTGGCATCGGTCAAGTCGGGTGATGGTACTTACAAAAGCTGCCACTGCGAGATATATATTTCGATTCATCTCATCAGGACCTGTATGCCTGCTTGCCGAGTTCTGCCTGCTCGATGAATTCGGTATCTCTAATCGTCCGAATCCAGGATAAAATAAGGTTATCTTGAAGTATGTATATGTAACATTAAGGCACAAACTATATAGAATGGAAGGAAGGTACTCCGACAGAGCGCTGTTACATGTTCAGATCACAGGCCGAGAGCCGCCAACAGCGTCACTGACAGGCGACGAGTAGAATATGCCTGCACATAATAGCAACATAGCTCTCTATTATTGCCTTTCAAAAAAGAGAGCCAAATGGCATGATAATCGAGTTTTTAGGCCGATCACATAGAATGCGACCGACCCCGACAGAAAGCCGAGCACCGAACCCCCCTTAGGCGTTAGCCCACAGCGCATCATGAACCTCGGCTTCGGAACAGTCCAGTGGCAGAATGGCGGGCGGTGCCGAGTTGCCCGCGTGTTGACTTCCCCCGGATTCTCGATCCGGCGCATTTCGTCTTTCTCCCCGCGCTTCGACATTTGCAGTCATACATTCCTGGCCCTGTCGAATGATGAGCCGGTGGCCTATCTAGGCTTGCATACCTTTTCGTCGTCATCTCTTCTCGCCGAACCCCCCTATACCTTCTCCGCGCTCTTTCCCGACGGCAATTGGTGTCACCGCGCCAATGGACTTCGATCATTACGGCCAGAGCCCCCAGCAGCCTCGACAGCGCCGGAAACGTGTCGCTAAGAGGCGCCTTCGTAATAAGCCTCCGGTCGCTGCTCGTCTGGCGCTGGATGCTCAGCTTCGTGGCAATGTCGGCCTCTTATCGGAGGACTTGGCCAAGGACCTCTTTCCGCAGCAGTCGCTTCAGGGTGAGTTGGGAGAAGCATGACTTGGTCGAGCGATTACGATTGAAATTGAGTACTGGACGATGGCTAACCGAAGATATGTTTTATTGGATCAGATGTCGCGACGCATGACGGTGTTCACTATGTAGCCGTTTCCCCGCATTCCCCGACCTTTTCCTCGGTGGAGGACCAGGCATGGACCATTCTGCCTGTGCGAATTCACAGCTCAGAGCGCTCTCAAACACCAATCTCACATTCGACCGTTTTGTTCCCCGATTCCGCCGATACCCTGCAACCATTCCTCCAGGCGCTCGGAAAGCTCGACGCTTCCCGGAATTCACTGCAGACTCACCGGGCGGTGGAGATCCGGCTCCTCGATGTCGCCCCGCTGCATCTGGATACGGTCTTTGTGACCGTTGAGCGCCATCTACTGCGCAACCACGATGACGTGCAGAACAAGTTTGGCGGTGGATTCCCATCAAATGTTCACGGGCCCAATGGAGTGTGGTCAAAGGCTGGCAAGACTGCTGACACGAGAAGGCCTTCGAAAAAGGCAGCGGCAGACGCCGAGCAGCGACTAACTGCAGCCGTGCGTGAGGCCTTGGCCGCACAACGACTCGTCCATGTCGGTGACGTTCTTCCGCTTCCTCTTCCACCACATCCCATTACCTACGCGCCCGCACCACCAGCTCGAATTTCTTTCTGCGAACCAGTTTCACAAGGACTTTTGGGACCGACGACAAAGGTGGTCCTTGTCCAGGCTCGTCCGCAGCAGGGTAACCGGGTACCGCAATCACTCCCACCGCGACCCGTGCTTCTGAAACAAGTGGCTGAAGATGAAGCCGACGATACCTCCAACGAACAGTTCTACTCTGCGGCCGAAGACAAGGCCGGGGAGACTGAAGTTGACGCAACTTCTGCGGCCGAAGAATCCGAGACCGAAGGATCAGTGGGTTCAATGAGCGAGGACTCTGATGATTCCCTGGAAGATATGATTTCTCTTTCCGCGCCGGAGCTTCCTCAGCCTCCTTCCGGCGTTATGTCTTCTATGACTTCCGCCACGCCTCGAGCTGGCGGCCGACGGATGGATGGGATTCATACTCCAGGCTCAGTCGCCTCGAACTTCACATCGGCAACTATGCGACCTGGTCGCGGAGGTGGGAAAGTGTTCAAGGTTGAAGGACTTTTGCAACAAGTCCCCAATGAGGTCCTCCATCCCCGCCCACGCGATGACGAAGATGTGGACTCTTTCATCTTTGTCGACATCAGCACACTTGCCAAGATCGGTTGCTTCTCAGGCGACTGGGTTCGCATCGAAGCTACTGAAGAGCCTCAGCTCGGAATGTTCGCCTCGCTGAAGTTCGGTAGTTTCAATAATGATGCTGCTGAAGAGGCTGGAGATTGGCGGCCTGTCAAGGTCTTTGGCCTGCCCGGGCTTCCATCCGCCAAGCCCCGGTACGCAATCAACCACTCTGGCGCTCGGCGATCAAGCTTCTCCCAGTTGGCCCCGACGCGATTGACCCCTTCCGTTTTCGTGCCTCCATTGCTTCTGAGCAACATCGAGAACCCCAAGTACCTCCGTATATCGCCAATGACTTTTGCAGCCGCCAACGGCGTGTCAAAGCCTGGCCTGTTGCACCACATGAAGAATATCGCCGTGAAGAACCCTCCCCTGGCGAAGGAAGTCACACTGCTCAAGGTCTCCACGCCGCTGTCGATGGACCGAGTCCTCCAGCCAGCTCTCTTTGCCGGGCTCAAGCAGTACTTTGAGTCCCGCCGAAGAATCTTGAAGAGCGGTGATCTTGTCGGTATCAGTGTCGACGAGGGACTGGGCCGAGCGGTCTTCTCTGGTACCGCTGGAGGTGACGGCGCAAACCAAGAGGACGATATCACTTCTCGGTTAGGATTGGGATCCAAGCCGGAGAATTCGGAGGCTCGCAAGGTCGGTGTTGCCTGGTTCCGTGTCGGCAAAGTGGCTCCTACCAGTGTCGAGGAAGTGGAGGAGACAGGCGAGGATCAATGGGGTGGCGTGGCAGTCATCGACCCTAGCAGCACTCGCATGGTTCAGGCCGGTAGTGATGTTAGTCGCGTGCCCGGTATTTTGGGTAACGGCTGGGAATACTGGCTCGGCGTCAAGACAATCCCTAAGGCCGTGGGTGATGCGCCAGCACCCCATGGCATCGTCACAGAACCTCCAAAGTCGTTTACTGTCCCCTTGCAACAGCGTATCCGCGACTTGATGGCCGCAGCCACCAGTCCACGGGCCATCCAGCTGGGTATGAAGCCCGTCGTTATTCTTCTGAAATCACAACAGCGACACATTGGCAAGGCAACTGTCGCGACACGCGCCTGTACAGATATCGGCCTCCACACGTTCCCCATTGATGCCTATGATATCCTCACAGAAGGTGGCGCAAACGGTGGCGACGTCAAAACCGAAGCTTATCTCAAAGCCCGTGCGGAGAGGGCCTTCCACTGCGGTGCGAACTGCACTGCCCTGCTGATCAAGCACATTGAAGTTTTGACGGCAGACCGTATTGTGACTGCCATGAATGATATTCTCGGTGAAGCTCGGGTGGTTATTGCGACGACCACCGATGTTGAACAGATCCCCGAGGGAATTCGCAGCCTTTTCACCCACGAGTTCGAGATGGGAGCCCCCGAGGAGAAGGAGCGTGAGGGTATCCTGCGGAATGTGGTTGCAGAGCGTGGCATCAAGCTGTCGGCCGACGTTGAGCTGGGAACTGTTGCGCTCAAGACCGCTGCTTTGGTTGCGGGAGATCTGGTTGACGTGGTGGAACGCGCTGCGACTGCCAGGACTGCCCGTCTCGAGAAACTCGCAGAGACTGCCAGCAAGCAGCTGTCAGGGTTTGAAGTTTGCGTGAGGGACGTTCTGATTGCCGGCGGAGACGGTGCTCGGGGTGTCACCAAAGCCGACTTTGATTTCGCTGTCGAGGCTGCTCGCAAGAACTTTGCCGACTCGATTGGCGCACCCAAGATTCCCAACGTTGGCTGGGATGATGTTGGTGGATTGACCAACGTCAAGGACGCTCTCATCGAGACTATTCAACTACCCCTTGAACGCCCGGAGCTGTTTGCCAAGGGCATGAAGAAGCGCAGCGGTATTCTGTTCTATGGACCTCCCGGAACTGGCAAGACGCTACTTGCCAAAGCCATTGCCACCGAGTTCTCCCTCAACTTCTTCTCTGTCAAGGGTCCCGAATTGCTCAACATGTATATTGGTGAATCCGAAGCGAACGTGCGCAGAGTCTTCCAGCGTGCTCGCGATGCCCGGCCTTGCGTTGTGTTCTTCGACGAGCTGGATTCCGTGGCGCCCAAGCGTGGTAACCAGGGAGACAGCGGCGGTGTCATGGATCGCATTGTCAGTCAGCTGCTTGCCGAGCTGGATGGTATGAACGGCGGAGAGGAGAACAGCGGAGGCGTCTTTGTGATTGGCGCAACCAATCGTCCGGATCTGCTGGATTCAGCACTACTGCGTCCGGGTCGTTTTGACAAGATGCTCTACTTGGGTGTCTCAGATACGCACAGGAAGCAGGCGACCATTTTGGAGGCGCTTACCCGCAAATTTGCTCTCAACCCTGACGTGTCTCTTGACCGGGTGGCAGAGCAACTTCCTTTGACATATACCGGTGCTGATTTATATGCGCTTTGCTCCGATGCTATGCTGAAGGCTATTACACGGAAATCCACCGCGGTAGATGAGAAGATCAAACAGCTTCCTGGTGGTCCGGTGACCACGGCATACTTCTTTGATCATCTGGCTACGCCAGAGGACGTGTCGGTGACGGTGACGGAGGAAGACTTCCTCTCCGCACAAGGGGAACTCGTCCCTAGTGTTAGGTATGTATTAACAAACAACCCAGCCTGAACAAATAATCTTGGATGATAGAGTGAGACTAACCTCGTGCAGTGCCAAGGAACTGGAGCATTTCGAACGGATCCGCCAAACATTCGAGTCCGTGGACAAGAAGCAGGAGAATGGAAATGCCGGCTCGCAGACAATTGCTGAAGCAATGGAAGCGTTCAACCTGGGTGCCACATCACCATCACCCGTGGGAACACCCACAAGCAATGGAGACGCCTCCTTAGTCGGCAGTCTTCATGGCCGCATCAAGGGCTTGAAGCAGTGGCCTGGCGGTATTGTCCGCAGCGCCAGTGGTCAATCCACGACAAGCAGTAAGGGCAAGGGCAAGGGCGTCGCTGGGAAGAAGGGCAAAGGATCACCTGCTGGTGGTGATTCTGATGCCTCCCTGGAGGGTGATGATGAAGAGATGGTCGATGGTCGAGTGGAGGACGAGGATGAGGAGGACGAGGATGAGGAGGACGAGGATGAGGATGAGGAGGACGAGGATGAGGAGGACTATATCGTTCGCACTGAACACCTTGCTAATCCCATGGAAGAGGTTGAGTAGGGCATACTTTCATGATGCCTCGGTGATGGTCGACGTTCAATATCATAGTGATGCAGTGTTGTACATTAGATAAACTGCAGCTGTTTCAACTTATATCCACCCTAGAAATGATCTGTTTTTCTCTATCATATCCTGTTTAGCCCTTTGCCAATCTTTCTGAGCGTTCCTCTTTGCCTTTTAATCCGCGAGCAGTTGGGATGGTGCGGTTTCTTGTGGAAATTTCCATGATTCTAGGACGTTGTGTTTGTGGTCAACACATCAACACGTCAACAGGACTGTTTGTTGATACAAACATACTGCCTCTGTCCCCCATCCTCTTTTTTTTTCTCTCGTCTTTCCTTCCCAACATCACTACCAACCCCTTTCGCCTCCACGCAAAAGAATCGACCTCGATACTCCCTCTACACTCTGAACACAACCTATGCTGGCCAAGCCCCATTCCTCCAGGATGGCGGACCAGGATGACACTATCGACTATGACGAGGCAATGATCCTCTCCAAGGAGTGGGCCTTTGCCACGAATCCCTCCAACTGGGATGATGAACGGGAACTCCGTCGCACGGTTACCCTGGAGGGCATTGATAACTGGGATGATGAACGGGAACTCCGTCGCACGGTTACCCTGGAGGGCATTGATGACGCCTCGCGCCTGAAGGGTTTCAAAAAACGCGTTTCTATCTCCGTCGCACCTGAGACCATGCTCGCCGGCCCTGGGGCTTTGTCCGCGCTACCCCTCGAGTTACTGTTCCAGGTCATAGGCTACTTGGATGTTGACTCTGCAGAGTCCTTTGGCCAGACTTCCCGCCTCGCCCGCTTACTGCTTGAACAACACCCGTCCTACAAGCCCCTCATGCAGGTCGTGCCACCACTGCGAGCCTTCTATCATGCTCTTGGGATTAATCGCTGGGAGACCCTCGACGCCCTTGCCAAGGAGTTGTATCACCCATACTGCCGAGCCTGTGGTCACCAAGCCACACTACTCTTCCTTCCTCTCGGAGAGCGCGTCTGCTACAACTGTAGCACCCACAGTCCGGCATACTGGTGTATGGCCGTCCCCAATGCCAAGGCCGCCTTTTGCATAAGCGAGAACCAGGTCCGGAAACTGCCCATCCTGAAGATTCGCGAGAAGTACTGGAAACAGGCAGTTTTCCCACAGACTGTTACAGAGGAACGTCAGGATCTGGTCCCTGCTAAATCCGCCTTCCTCGCCGCAATCGAGGTTTGGGGTAACCGTCAGACTATGTGTCGCTACGCCAAATCCAATGACCCAGATCCATATCATGATTCATATCCCGAGGAGATGTGGCTAGGTTCTGCCTATCGATTCCTCCGCAACATGCAAATCAAAACCCCTGATGACCCGACCCAACTCGAAGGCCCCTCCCTCTTCATACGTCCTGAATACAACCGCGTAACCACTGTTCCTTTCCCGTGGGTCCCGAGAGGAAAGACCGAAATTGAACGCCGCTTCATGTGTCGCGGTTGTGATTGGCTTTCCAGGCAATCCGAGGTCTCCCATACTCTGCTCAAATATTCAGGCATCAATCCCAGGTTGCCTAATAAGCGGTTGGTTAAAATCTTGAGTGGCCGTCGTAATATCGCTCATACATGGAAGGAGCTGATGATTCATGTTCGGGGGTGTGCTGGAGCTGGAATTTTGATGTACACTCATATGGTCGAAAAGGAGTTTGAGAATGGACTGGGACATCCGAATTTCTGGGTTTTGCTTTAATGGCACTAGGGAAGGAACACGAGAGGGATCGCCTTTGTCTTTTTGCCTTCGTGCCTGGTCTTGCAGACTTGGGTCTGTGTACAGTTGCATCGGCGGGGTTTCTATCTTTTCAATTTTTGATGGTGATGCATATGGAAGGAGTTTATTGCCGTGAACTCTAGGCATATGAAGTGGACAATGGATTATCTGTGTACCTAGCCTGTTCCACAGGAATCTTCAGTCTAGAACTCTAGCATATCTGATCCAAATCCACAAATTGGACCCTATTCAACACGTTAAGTTCTTGTAGCATAAAACTAGGCCGGAGCCTCTAGAAGGAATATTGGTGATATCATTTCTCAGACTTTATAAAACTAGACCCTACAAGGATATTCCAGGCTTCCAGCCACCAGATAAGTATCGACAGATTCCCTGCTCCTCACATCTTTACAAGTATTTTTCTTGACATTGACCTTCCCAAGTCCCCGACTCTTTGAGAGCGGCTTCCATGTATTGACTACTGTTCCAAAGGCGTCATACACCTACGCACAAAAAGCAGGAAATAAGAAAAATGAGAAAAGAAGCTAGTTTTAATCTATTTATTCTCTCGAGGCAGGTCTATCTAGTCTGCATTGCGCAAGAACGGGAGCTCGCATCGCATCAAGCGGAAAGAACCAGCAAAGGGCCTGCAAGTCAAAAGGACGGAGTAATCCAGGCACATATAGAGACATCTGCTGCATCTCCACCATGTTTTATCATCACTGCCATCGATGCAACTACCAACTATCGCCTTCTCTTATTCATCTATATCACAAGGCAGTTATACCATAAGGCAGCAGTACCAATATTTCCTGTCGTGGCCGGGCAAGATCCATCTTACCCTTTTCAAGGTTGCGAACGTTTAAGAACCGAATCCTGCAATTCCATCTAAGATCAAGATGCGAACCGACTCGCAGAATCTGGGGTTCACCAACAGTAACGAGGGTTTCGGCTACTCAACCTGGGATGACCCGTCTGCCTTGATGATACGGACAAAGATGTACTGATCATACTACTCCCCGAAGGCAAGACTCCCACCGCCAAAAACCAAAACCATTCGATCATTCTCTCATCAGAGAAGGAAAAAGGCATCATCTCATTCCTGATTGCCAAATGCCATCACCAGTATAGCCTGCGCACACGAGGCTATAAGCTGCAATCTAGCGACTGGGCCAATGAAACTACCCTCAAAATTCGAACCTCAGCCCCGAGGGACATGTTCCGAATAACCCGAAGGGCCACCCCTGGCCAGATTCCGAGTTCCAGAATCACCGGCGCACCCCTAATCCGGCCTAGACAGGCAATCGTAATTGATTGCGAGATGGTGGTTTGCGGAAGCCATACGGAAGTCGCGTATCTCTGTGCGGTGGTCCTTTTGACCAACGAGGTCCTAATCGATCACCACATGCAGCCAACTGCCAAAGTGACGAAGTAGAAACACCTTCGTCACTGGAGTGACCATGGCAAGTATGAATACTACTCACCGCACTGGAAAGATCATCCATGGGTGGGAACAGGCTCGACAGCGCCGTTGGCGCTTCATGGGACGGCATTGTGAAGACTGAGTGTTTATACATCGAAATGAATCAAGCTACAGGATTCACCCCGCGAGACGATATAGATGAGCAAAGTCCGATGAGCCACCAAGCCAGGTCTACGCGGATGTGCTTAATGAAGAATCTCAGTAAACTCAGTTGCACCATGAAGTCTTCTAATATTCTTTGATGCAAAAATCGTGATTTCTCATTGCTAGGGTATAGTCTATCTTTATCAACCCTCTCCGAGCGACCTGTGCTCTAGGAGATCCTCTAGCCCAAACGTGAGATCTATACATGATGGGGAATCTGAAACCAGCAGAGTCAAAGTCATATCTGGCTAATATGAGACCAATAAAATCAAAATATCGTAACCCTCGTTCATGCCTTGATATCCTCCTTTAGACCAGCATCACTCGACCCAGTGTTTTCGCCACTCTCAGAGTGAACTTCGCCCACATGCACCTTTTGCATGGCACGGGCGATACGCGGCGGGTCAAAGATACTCTTCGACTGGGCGAAGATCTCATCGATCTCTTCCAATGACCGCCCCTTGGTCTCGGGGAAGAAGAAGTAGACAGATGGGACGATAGCGGCGTTGAGCACGGCGAAAATAATATAATAGCGATTCGAGATCGTGGAGAAACCGACGGGGGTGACCTGGGCGAGCAGGAAGTTAAATGCCCAGACGGTACTGGTAGACACTGCGCTCACAGCGGCTCGGATCTGAAGAGGTGCCATCTCTGCGGCATAGAGGAAGGTCAGGCCGGAGTAACCGACGGTGAAGATGAACTGGAAAGCATAAAGGAAGATCACAGCAACGACAAGGGCGCCGGTGTTACCCTTAGCGGATGTCGTGCCTGCCAGACCAGCCATGCAGATGGACATAGCTCCGGCACTCCACAGCATGAGAGGTCGGCGACCGAGGCGATCGATGGTGAAAAAGGCCAGGAAGCCACCGAAAGGCTGCATAAGGCCCATGGCGGCAGCGAGGACTCGAGCCCGCACGGGGTCCATGCCGAGATATTGTTCGAAGATCGTGGTAGCGTAGTAGGTAATGAGGTTGACACCGCACATTTGCTGGAACATCTGGCCAGTGGCAGCGAGATAGGTACGGTGGAAAAGGCGTTGTTTTCCGTTTGTGAACATATCGGTCCATTTTCCGGAGCCACAGTAGGCGAGAGACGCTTCGATAGCCACCACACTTTCGTTGACGGTGCTAGAATCAGGGTCGGCCTCGAGCAACGCACCCAATACATGACGGGCCTCCTCAATCTGGCCAGTCTTGATCAGCCAGCGAGGTGACTCAGGCATAAAAAAGACGAAAATCATGGCGGTCGCGGAGAGAACCACTTGGAAGGCGAGAGGGAATCGCCATGAGACGGAGCTACCCTGCACAAAGTAGAAACCCAAGTCGATCCATAGCGCAATAGTAACACCCAATCCAACAAAGATACCGTCAGTAATAACATTTGATCCTCGCTTGTGGGCTGGAGAGATTTCTGCCTGCCAAATTGGAACGGTCGCAACATAACCACCAGTTCCTAGACCAAGCACTAGTCGGGCAACGATGAATTGAGCAAATTTGAAGGATGTAGCCATAAGAATAGCACCGATAATTGAAATAAGGTTTGTAAAGAAGATGACCTTGCGTCGGCCAAGGAGATCACCAAGGTAGACGCAGGAAAGGGCGCCGAAAATACCGCCGACCGTATATAGAGCAATCACAGTGCCTGTGATAGCAATGCATAGGTTAGAGAGACGCGTCAATGGGAGTTTTAGGTGGTTGACAATGCATCATGGACGATGTGTATAGCTCGGATTGACTCACCTTGTATTTGTGAATTCTCCTCTTGCTGTGCACCAGTGGTGTTGATAGTGTCCATCCGTGGAAATTGTGTATTGAATGCCGAGAGTGTCAAGAGACCTCCAGCCACACTCATATTGTATCCGTAACAAGTAAATGTCGGACATACTACCAGCATGACAGCTGCCCGCAGCAGTGCATTGCCCTGTAGGCCGAGATATGGTTTCAATCCCATGGTGGCGATAATATTATAGAGTCCCCAGCTTAGAATCCCTGGAAGCCGGGAATTGTTCGGTCGATCTGGGTTTTTTGGGATTCGAAAGTGGAAGGCGAGAAGATAGTTTGATATGATATTGTGTTATTCTTTCATAAAGAAATGGCTGATGACTGTATATTCTAATGGCTCGCCACCGTTGCGTTGAGCCAAGTCTAAGTACGACTCCAGTGCCTTTCGGTGCTCGCCGGTCCCCGTTGATCTTCAGAATTTGGCGAAACTTTTGGCCCTCGGCGGACCAGCCATTTTACCCCACATAACATCGTTGAGTCCTTGACTAGGACGCCATGCGGCTACTTGGGCGACTTGGCGTGCAGGAAACCCGATGTTCGACATGAGATTAACGAATGAGATTCCGGATCTGAAAAGTTCAAACTTTATACCAACAGTAAAAAAATGCTTGACAGTCATCTGGAGGCATAGAATATGCAAGGGAAAAAACCGTCCCAGCCATTTTTCTCGAGCGTTGACCGTGCTTCCCCACAATTATCGCTGTGGGGAGTGGCGGATACCATTTGACCTCGGTAGAGTAAAACGATTGAGTAATAGCATGGAAATCCGGGGATAGAAGGATCTCGGAGTGATTCTTTTATGGATACTACAATATCAACTTGGATCCCTGTCTGTAGACGACGCGCATGTATTGTTTAACAGTTCCAGCTAGGTTCCTGAATAGACTTTTTAACATCGACGCGAAGAACATTGCCGGAAGGTTATTACTTCCACTCGTTCTCGGCACATGCAAATCAGCCGCTTAACCGAATTAGGGTCAGCCACAAGCCGCCGGTCTCGGCGATTGATAGCGAGTTCCGGTTTTCCCTCGTCTAATTTGTGATACGCTTGACTCATGGTGGTGATCGAGGTCTTTGGGGGTAATGTGATGCTACAGTAACCTGATCTTTCTTAACATGTTAGCCTGAAGCAGCACTTGCGCTTTTCTATCCATTGAGTGTTGTTTTTGAATTGTGCGCTGCCCAGCACTCAGACGAAGGGCCGACCGATCGACATGTTCGGCTGAATTTTGGAGATAGTTTGATCTAGTGATTTTTAGTACATACTTGTACTCTCATGGATGCCGCTTCTGCAGGATGTCATTGCTATCGTGCATTATTCCTCCGGTTCATGACCAGATTTCCTATGGAATACATTGTAGTTAGGACTACCTCCGGAAAATGGAACGATTTATTCGGGACAAAAGGGCGAGGCTGCTAAGTGCGAGCAATCGGAGACTTCGGCATGTCCGGCAGCCACCATTAATATTACTATTGAATATTGATCGGGATAGCGACAGCCCGAGGCAATTATAGAGACTAATTGAATATATCACGAGGCTTTAATGCTGTCCACTCTTCCGGGGATTCCGACTTCATTAAAAGCATTTACACAATATCTGCTAGCGTGGACAGACTGGAAATTGAAGACAATGTTGGAGGCATAGCTAGTTGTGACTGAGCTACACGCGATGACAGCGCATGCTGATGATCATCCTTAGCTTTTCAGCCATACATTCTGATCCGATCCATAATCAAATGGAATCCATGAGTCGTCGAAATACTTTTGCAAAACAGTCTGGCCGTAACTCATGTCATCCACGCAGTACCCACCACCAGTTGGTCCGATATGCGGGCAGTGGACGTCCGGGTGGAACTGCACCATATGCTCATGCACCTCGCGACACAGCAACGTATTCCGTCCAAGCTCGTAGCTCTTGCCAAATCGAATGGACTTGGTTAAGTAATCATAGCATGCGTTGCTGTCACTGTATTGTTGGTCCGATCCAGTACAGTACTTGTCATGGGTTGCGCAGATAGTCTTGGCCAGTATGTCTGAGACGTAAGCAACAGCTTGGTCCGGGGAGGTTGAGTTCATCTTTGTCGCAACCCCCTTGATCAGGAAGTCCAGGAGGTACTCGAACCAACGGAAGGTGGCGTCGTATTGAGTGATCTTTCCATCCGTGTTGAATTCGATCCATGTATCAATTGTGACGGGAACGAGGACTCCGAAAGTCGTCGCGTTGAACGTAACTACCGTCGTGGCACTGGCAATGTTGTCGTTCGCGGTGAATTGAGTAATGCTATATGAGATCGGAACGCCAACGAGACTGACATGCGCGGGGTCTGCGAAAAGACCGAAAATGTACTCGCGGTTGAGCTCGTCGCCATCAAAGGTACGAGTTATGTCCACTCGACCTTGCACCTAAACATCATCAACATGTTTTAGTGGCCTGAAAAGAATAAAGTTGGTTTTCTTACATCAGCTGCGAATATGGTTGACTGGTTGCCTTGGGTCTGTCTCGTGTTCGCAGGGTATAGAAAGGCATCCCAGAACCCCCTTTCAAGCTTCCATAGCTGATCGAATGTGTACAATGGTTTTGATGGTCTATTATCGACTGGCTTTTTTGCCGCTGCTGTTGATAATATAGTTGTAAAAGAGATCCCAAGTGCAAGGCACCAGGAAGCCGAGAATAAATGCATATTGACTATACCCCAGCACCGACGAGTACCAATTTGTCAAAGCTATGGAAGAAGAATTTCACCCTGGCCGAGGGAATCTGGCGTGATTATAAACATTCCACTCTTCGATCACTGTGAGCCGCTGTGGTTTACCCTCTTGTTGTAAGGCCTCCAATAAGCTTGGCCCAGTCCGCATTGCAAGGAGGTAGATGATCGCTACGACTGGTCTGTTAAGAGAAAAGTAAAGCCTCGATACGAGAATCTCGGAGTCCGACACATAACTTGGAGGGGGATGCCATATCACTTTATTTGACCGGATTATAGCCTCTGACTTGCAGAGAAAGCTCAGCTTGTATGAAACCGAACCAAATGGGGATATCCTACCCCGGTATTCCAAGTAGCCACCAAGTCGAGAGACCACAAAATATGGGGAGAGGGAATACTGTATGTGGATAATTCAACGCACAAGTCAAAGAATGCAATGCTCCAATCAAATTGGAGATATGTAGAGATCTTCGAGTCCCACATACCTGAGCCGAAAGTCCTCGTCTCCTTGCAGAAATTGTTCTAGTGGAATGTGGAAGGCTCCACGCGAAGACCTAAATATGTACATACATATGGGGTTTGCATATATGTGAGTAACAAAAGATTTAGACGCGTCAAGAAGAATCACACTGTCAGATCCTGTATAATATGTGAAGTAGTTTAAGTGGCCAAATCCGAATCTTATAGTCACATCATCCATCGTCACTGGAAATCCAGGAAATTCCTGCTAATAGAGGACAGGAAACAAGACGAAGTGACTCCGAGGTTCATTCATGAGCTGGGTGTAAATGCGGCATGCTTCCGTTTATTGATGCCTTGAGGCCTTGGGCTCTATCTGGGATCTACTCCTGCCTATCTGGGCATTTCTTCCTCTTTCTCTCCCATATCTCTACTCCATCACTCGTCCGCACACATCATCTATACTCTTCATAATCCCTGCGCGTTTTGTTACCGCTCGTCGCTGCTAGTTTATTCTACTCGCATAGAGAACAACAGAATTAGAATTTCTAGCTCCACCATTTATCTCCAGGACGGGAAAATAGATGACGTCATTGGCAGGGCTGACATGAGTCCAAATGCCAAGTAAACTGAATATGTGCTTTCACCTTTTCTTCCCTGCAGAAATTTCTATCTGGATGGAACGAACTCAAAAATGCGACGGTTTATAATCTGTGACAATGTTCAGGAGAGCGGTCTGGGTCTAGTCCCGCCCGGTCCAGCCGCACCGGATCGTAGCCTTGCGGATGAAGCTGAGAAGTCAGAGAATAAGCACTAGAATCCACAAGCGCTTCAAGTTATCAACGGCCCAATAGATGCTTGGAAATCTTCGGTATCTTCGGAAGAAATTACGTGGCATGGTGAGCGATAAAGGTCGAGGAAATCCCCACAAAATTCAAGTTCTTTGTGAAATCCTCCTCCGCTGACAAAAGACAATCACCCAAAATGGCTGAACTCGAACACATCGCTCTCACGACTAAGCCTAGTGCCAAGATTAGCTACACTTTTCATGGACCTACCGGCACATCAAGTCCGGCACTGATCGTCTTTTTGAACGGTTTGGGACTCCCACAGGCTGCCTGGGGGCCAACGATTGAGTTGCTCCAAGAGAATCATAAGGGAGCGGGACTACCAGCCATCCTCACATATGACCGGTTCGGGCAAGGACAGACCACCGATTCGGATCCTGCCGACGAGGGAGCCGCAGACCCAACACATGGCCACGACTGTCTCGAAGTTGTGAGAGATCTTCGCCAGCTTCTCTCCCAAATCACCAAAGACAAGCTGGAAATTTCCGATCTCGGTAGTCTACCGCTGGTGCTGGTGGCAAACTCAATCGGCGGCGCTCTAGCTCGTCTATACGCGCAAGAGTTCCCTGGTACAGTCGCTGGTCTCTTGCTCCTCGATAGCGTTCTGGCCAATTCCGACTTTGTGTCGATCTTCCCCGACCCAGATGCCGAGGGCTTTGATGCTGGCAATCTCCCCTCTGATATCACGGCTGATGGATTGCGCGCGGCTCGTGAGCGTACTCGAAGGATCTTCCATCCTGATAATGGAAGTCAGGAGGGCTTGAGTCGAAAAAATTTGAGGACTCTTCTCCCAGCAAGTGACGGTCCAGTTCTGCAAGGACCCAATGGTCATCCATTTGTTACCGTGGTCGGTCATGACTTTGAGACTTTCGCAGAAAATTCATCTAGGATGGGTCTTCCGCAGGTGTATTCTTTGAAATATACAAACCCGTACTGGCATAAGTACAATGAGGGTTTGGTCAAGATTACGGTCCCGGAGAGAAGCAAGGGTCCCCTGATTGCGCCTGGAGCAGGACATTTCATTCAACAGGATAACCCCAATTTTGTGGCACAGGAACTCGGTGAGTTGCTCTCAAAGGCCCTGTGAAAGAATTCGGTGGCTTTATGTTCATTGTGACTTTCTGCGTGGCAAACGAGAGTGCGCTGGGTTAGAGGTACATCCTGAGTGGGGTATTGAGGCTCTGGGGTGATGCAAAGCTAAGCATGCAGGTGACACGTTCTTAGGCAACCAACCTGGAACTCCTGTCATTTGCAGGGATAGAATTAGAGAGGAATAGAAATATAAGTGTCAAGCTAGCGTCGACATTTTTGAATTCGATCTTCATCAATATACCTAGTCTCCTCATTTGCAAATTGAAAATGCGTTCCGACATCCTCGCACCGCTGGCCACGTTTTGTGGAGATCGCAGGTTCAGAGACTATGTCTTGAATATGAAGAATCTTTCAGATTCGGGAAACTCTTTCGGAGAGATTGTTTCGACGTCTTCTGATCAAAGTTTGACTGTGATTGAGACGAGGTTCGATCTGACTCTACAAGTCATGCATGGTCCGGACGAACCAACTACAGTGGCTATGACTACATGCACGTCTCGGGAGACTCCTAGATCACAGAAAGTGCATGATGAACTTCTCCAGTCTTACAAAATTCGCCCCGAATATGGGACCACTTTCATTTCGGAAACGATACCTTGTTCTCCCGACTTCGTTGGCAGTGAACTTGATTCAATTGAGATTCTCTCTGCTTATCCACCTGCCGTTATGGAGTACTATATGATGTGGGTTGCGGAATACAATGAAGCCTGGCGAGATAGAGGCAAACAGAGTGTGAATATCTGCGAGAATGTCTTCTTTTCTGCTGAAGAAGAGGTTTCGTGGAATGTTGCTGGTTATCTGCTGGCATGGCGTGTTGCAATGGCACCGGAGGTTGGGTCGGTGGAGTACTCGACACGCCAGTCTTGGTACATATTGAAGACTGGAAACGAGACGGATATCACGATTCAATTCTTGAAAGAGCAGTTGTACCTATTGGAAAAGGGGGGTTCATCGTAGTTCTTGTTTACCTTCTCTTGCATTGATCAGAGAGGTGATAGACACTTGGCTTTTTCCTAGGACATGATTCAATAATGAAACGTTTACAACCACCAAACCATGGTAACTAGTGAGCTTTGACTATTTCTCAACAATCTTCCCCTGTCAAATCCCTTTACCGGAGGATATTAGTCCGCTCCCAAGCTTCCAACCAGCCCATTAAGCTTTCAACCCCCACTTTTAACTTGGTGGCCGAGTCCACTTGCTCATTTACCAATCAATCCACACGTGATGGCGCGACCGCGCGAGAAGAAAAAAAAACTCTGCCAGACAAGTGATCCTGAATTTTCTCTTTCGCAAAGTTCTCGTCGCTGGAAAAATCCAAGGGAAAGATCCCCTTTCGCTGTGATATCCGCGCTAATCGTTCGCTGTAACGCTACGATGGTTTCTGCAGATGCTATGGCTGTCTCGGACGCAGCCAAGACCGAGCTTGATGCTCAGAACACAGACCACCTCTTGTCTGTGACTGAGGAGGACGATCGCGATTTGTTGAAGCTTGGCTATCGTGCTGTTTTGGCGCGTGGTTGGGGCACTTTTGATAATTTTGCTTGTTCGTTTTCGGCTTTGTATTGTATTGGTGGTATTCGAGTTTTGTTTTACATTGCTCTTAGCAATGGAGGACCTGCTGCTTTGTAAGTTTGCTTGAGTTTTTGCCGGAGACTTGGTTATTCAGGTGCTAATAACATTTGCAGGTGGAGCTCTTGGATCTCGGGTAGTATTCTGTCTATCATTACAGCTGCCTGTCTCGCCGAAGCGTGTTCTGCTTACCCTGCGGCTGGCTCTATCTACTACTGGGCCTTCCGATCCTGGGGCGGTGGTCGTCTTGGACGTTTCGTCTCATACCTGATCGCTGCGTGGACTCTCGTTGCATGGACTGCTTTCCTGGCGAGTGACTCGTTCGGAGTGGCCAATTATCTTGTCTCGGAGGTCGTCATCTTCAACCCAGATACTACGTTCCCTTATAGTACCTCCGATGTGAAAGCTCGCGCGGTTGCTTGGGCCTTGTCGCTGGGCTTCCTGGCTTTGGCTACAGCTCTGAACTTCCTACCCCCGCGTATGTACGCCTGGGTCTTCCGTACTGGATTCGCTGTCATTGTTGTCGATATGCTCCTCAACTTTATTTGGCTGCCCATCGGCGTGTCAAAGACCTATGGTTTCCAGTCTGCGGAGTTTGTTTTCACTTCCGTGTATAACGGGGAGGGGACTGCTCCTAGCTTGAATTGGGTGCTGTCTTGGTTCCTGGTTTCTAGCTGTCTCGTCGGTGAAGATGCGTCTGGCCATGTCGCGGAGGAGACTATCTCGGCGAAGAAGGCTGCTGCCAAGGGTGTTTTCTGGTCAACCGTTGCCTCTGCAGTTTGTGGTTTCCCGATTATCATTCTGTTCCTGTTCTGCATGCCGTCCATCGAGACCTTCTACGATACCACCGCGCCCCAGCCGTTCATCAACATGTATGCGCTCGCGCTTGGTCCCCATGCCCATGTTGTCATGACTATCATTTCCATGATTGGCGCTATTTTGAACACTTCGATCTCCCTGGTCGCTGTCTCCCGTCTCGTGTTCGCCGTTGCCCGTGATGGCGTCTTCCCATTCAGCGATGTCCTCTCACGCGTCTCCAAGGACAAGCAGCCTCACAACGCGGTCATTTTCATTGCGTCTATTGCTGCGCTCCTGCTTTGCACGCAGCTTCCGTCCCAAGTGGCTTTCGCCAGTCTGGTCTCGACGTCCGCCGCTGGATCTATTGCCGCCTACGGTCTCGTTGGAATTGGCCGCGCCTTTATTACCCGCACGTCGTTCCGTCCGGGCTTTTGGGACATGGGATGGTTTGGTGCCGTCGCTGCCGTTGTTACGTTCATCTGGAACACTTTCGCATTCGCCGTGCTCTGTGCGCCGCAGTATTCCAATGCTGCGATCGATGAGGAATCTGGTCTATTCAACTATGCAATTGTCATTATGGGCGGAGTCACCATCATCGCATTGTTCGAGTGGTGGCGCAAGTCGAAGGATGATTGGTTCCAACACCTGAAGGGCAGCGACTCTTCATCCGGAACTGATACCCCAGTTGAGCAAGATGCGACGATCAACGCATCGGGCAAGGAGGTTGGTGTCTAAGGGACGGTGGGTTCCTTCTCTACCATGGACCGGGGTGAAAAAGGTGCCACATAATCGTTGGTACAGAACAGGGTATGGTGGATATACTCGGCTCCCATCTACGTGGGAGGCCTGGGTAAGTATTCCTGTTAGGAAGCACGCATGACGGGTGTTCGAGGTTTCACTGCAAAGTAAACCTCGTTCTGAGAATTACCGTTAGAACTTGATCTGGACAATACCAGCGAAAGGACATGCCTGCCTCATTTTCCCTTTTCTCTTTTTCTCTGTCACCGTTTGTGTCTTGCCTCATGCCTAGGCCTTGGGCAGATGCTACTGACGGGACTTTCCATCGTAGGTCGTGGTTTGCTGCTGACCGAAGGTGAGTATCGTGGACCATTAGTCCATCATCTGTGCATGCCACCCTCATTCTATGAGGATTGTGTGTATAAGTGTGTATGAGGATGGTCTACGACTGAAACTCCTCTCTGCTTGATCCAACCTGTTGGGCCTCTGCGGTCGGTCTATCATTGCAAGGGTATCGTGTGCTCCATTTCTCGTCTATCTCTAAAGATGTCGAGAGAGCACATCACCTTCGATGATTAGGTCGTTCAAGTGAGAACCCACGGTCATGATCACTATCGTGAGTCTACGTAGCGAGGGTCAGCAGCAAGCCGCCGTAGTTTCGTACCTTTGATCGTAGTTGGAGGTTGTCGTGACCTCTACCGGTGCAACCAATCCTCTCATGACTGACTGGTCTGGCTGGCTACCTGGTAGTGCTAGGGCCACCTTTGACGCAAATCCCCTCCCCTAATTTCGTAGCGTATCCAGGAATGTGCTGCTGAACACCAAAGACATGATGTGGGGATGTTTGACGTCAGATGCCGATCCTTGCCCGCAATGTCAGGGCGTGAGGGGAAGACATCTTGGCCAAAACCTCCGTCGTCAACGAATATATCTTCTCAAGATTGACGTTTTCTGTTGCGAGGCTCTATAATTTACGAGTTCTATACTTCTACCTCTCAATTCAATAAATATCCCAATCAAGATGGCGTTTGTGCGCAGGTTAGCGATTCTCCCAGGTGGTTTAGGTAGGAACGAGATATCATCGTCAACAGGAGAACAATTCAAGCAGATTTAACAATTATCTATTCTTAAGGCGGCCTTGGATCCAGCATAGGCAAGAAACTACAACAACAAGGCGCCCGTCTCGCAATCCTCTACGCGCCATTCGAAGCGTCACGCCGAGATCAACTCCTCGAATCCGGGTATGGCAGCGGCACGAATATCAATGAAATCCACACATACGAGTGCGACATTACCTCGCCAGACTCAGTCCAATCCGCCTTTTCCTCATTACACAAAGACCTCGTGGAACCTCACTCTTCACCCTTATCCGAGAGAGTATTCCCCAGCATCCTCATCAACACAGCTGGCTACGTATCCCTAAGCGACATGGAATGCACCCCACCGCAAGAAACAATGAAACATCTCACCACCAATATCCTCGGCCCAATGCTCTGTTCCCAAGCCTTTGCGAACATGTACTTCTCGGCAGCTGAGTCCTCACCTACCCCTTCTCCTCCCCCTCCGGGTAGAATCGTTAGTATATCCAGTCAAGCCGCGCATGCGGCGCTACATCGTCATGGAGCGTATTGTGCTTCCAAGGCGGGATTGATGGGGTTGACGCGGAGTATGGCGTCGGAGTGGGCTGGACGGGGAATCACGGCGAATACGGTCTCGCCAACGGTGGCGTGGACGGATTTGGGGAGGAAGGCTTGGGGCGAGGAGAAGGTGCGAGAGGCATTTTTAAAGACGATTCCTACGGGGAAGTTTGCGCTTCCTGGGGAGGTTGCTGATGCGGTGGTTTTTCTTTGTCAGGTATGTTATTTTATGGGGAGGAGGGGTGTGTTTTTTGTTGTTGATGGCTAATATCATCTTTGGGCAGGATTCGAGTGGGATGATTAATGGTGCGGATATTCGAGTTGATGGGGGATTTACTATCAGGTAATTAGTGTTATTGTCATAGAAAGAAAGACCTTAGACCATTTTCATGGTATATTCATGCACAGTTTAGCATCAGATCGTATCTTATCAGATGTTCTCCTTGTAAAGATTATAACTCCGCGGCCCGCGGGGATGTCGATAACAGGTGGGGCCTGATGAGGATTTATCTTGTGTTGCATCATCTGTCAGGACCCGAATCCTGAGAGATTCAGCTTCACTTCCAGCTGTTGTGGCTTCTCCATGCAGTGTAACTGGATTCTCGTGATTTCCAGCCCAAATCACAACCAATTGCATTCCAGCCTGAGCTGGACCCCGTCAGCCGCCAGTCACGGCTCACGACGGGAGTCAGTGACCGTCACCCCGCAATTTGGGAGCGGGTGATCCTGATAAGCTCAGGCGCACTTTCTACTTTATTATTCCTCGTCTTCACCTCTACTTCCTCAATATCAGGCGTGAGCTGGCCCTGATTTGAATAAATGATATAAACCAGGTCTCTCAGAAATTCAAAATGACAGCCCAAACACTACGCGAGATCTCCGCGCACAACCTGCGCACCTTCAAGCGCAACTATGTCTCCGAGATCTCCGGATCACTAGGCGACTTGGGCACCTTCCTACCCATCGCGATTGCACTGGCCATAAATGGCACCGTGTCACTAGCCAGCACGTTGATTTTCTCAGGAGTCTACAATATCCTCACAGGCCTATTCTTCGGTATCCCACTCCCCGTACAACCTATGAAAGCCATCGCCGCGGTCGCGATCGCCCGCAACTTCTCCAGCGGCTCGATCGCTGCGGCGGGAATCTTCGTCGGCATTTGCATTCTTATTTTTAGTGTTACCGGCCTGCTACACTGGTTCGCTAATGTGATTCCTATCCCGGTGATCAAGGGTATTCAGGTTGGCGCGGGCTTGTCGTTGATTATCTCTGCTTGTGGCAGTATGCTCCGCCCGTTGGGTTGGATTGGGCCATCTTGGGCGGATAATCGGATCTGGGCTATTGTGGCATTCCTCGCGTTGATTGTTACCAGTGTTTATCGCAAGGTTCCATATGCATTGATTTTGTTTGTCGTCGGTCTGGTCTTTGCTATTATTCGGACCGCGCTAGCGGGCCATCTTCCGGCTTTTAGTATCTGGCATCCCTGGCTGGTGGTTCCGACTCCCCATCAGTGGTGGGTGGGTGCCGTGGATGCGGGTCTTGGTCAGATTCCTTTGACGACGCTGAATTCCATAGTGGCGGTTGTGCATCTCGCGAATGATCTGCTACCCAACGTTAGAACCCCATCTATCACCCATATCGGGCTCAGTGTGGCGGGTATGAACCTGCTTGGATGCTGGTTCGGTGCGATGCCTGTCTGCCATGGATCCGGTGGTCTGGCAGCACAGTACCGCTTCGGTGCTCGTTCGGGTGCGAGCGTGGTCTTCCTTGGAATTCTGAAACTTGTCATTGGTTTTCTGTTTGGAGAGACTCTGGTCGATCTGCTCAAGCGCTTCCCATCTGCATTGCTGGGTGTTATGGTTATTGCAGCTGGGCTGGAGCTTGTTAGTGTTGGCGAGAGTCTTAATACTTCAGGGGCTCGGGACCTCAGTCAGGCTTCTGGCGTATTGGGTGCTGCAGAGCAACATCTCGGCCCTATTTGCACTGATGAGGAGCGTAAGCGCCGCTGGACGGTCATGATGGTGACTGTTGGACTGTTGATCGGGTTTAAGAATGATGCGATTGGCTTCATCGCTGGCATGTTGTGCAATTGGGCATATGATATTCCTAAATTGTGGGAGAAGGCGCGTAGTCGCTGGTCGCAGGGACGTCTTCGTCTACGATGATCAGGCTACTGGAACTCTTTTCTTAGGAAGTATATACTTCACTTGGAAATTTACCTACACAGACAACAGGGGAGTCTCGCATATCTCATCACCCCATATCAATTTTTACATACCTTATATACAGCGAATGCAATTTACATTTTCCACCACCACCACATACAATCCAAACAAAACACCTAAATCACCTCCGAAACCTCAACATCATCATCCTTCTCCACCTCCGTCCCCGTCTCCGGATTCTCAAACCTCCTCCTCTCATGCGCCGTCCCACTCCTCCCTGACGGATCAAAATCCACATCCCTCGTAAACTTCCTCCCACTCGCATCCCTCAACTCCCGATGATGTCTCATCGACTTATCCCCAAAATAATGCATATGCTCATCATAAGCACCCGTATCTACATCCACAACCCTCGTTCCAAACGGCACGGCCGCGCCATCAAACTGCGGCGTGGCGCCACTGCTAAACGAAGCCTCCGCGTCAAAGGCTGATAATTCGGACGACCCTTCTTCGTCGAGGTCTGTTATGCGTCGGACACCGCCGGCGGAAGATCCGCTGGGTCCGGGGAGGGCGAGTTGTTCTTGGCCTGTGCTGTCGTAGCGGTGTTCTTCGATTATGAGCGGTTGGCCGAGGTCTTGTCTCGCTGTGCGGACGATGGTTGTGCCGTCGGCTTCGGTTAGGGAGGTTGTTGTGTATCGGTGGCCGGTTGTGGTTGAGGTGCCGCTGTCGCCTTTGCTGGTGGAGCTGTAGTAGTAGGAGGAACTGGTGTAGGAGTCGGACATTTTGGTGGATGTGAGAGGGTTGAGGGTATTAGTTTTGGCCAGTGATGGCTTGGTTGGATATATTGGTTCAAGATGCGATGTGCTGCGATATTATGCACTCGGTCATAAGTCGTGCTATCTAGCAAGTGTTTATTGAAGTCGAGTAATCTCATTTATATATGATTCCTTTCGTGGCGATATCCCCTAAATAGAGGCAAACTTGACATCATACCCTAAAGCGGCAAGCGACTCAAGTGGCCGGGGCAAAGGTGAATTCTGAATTCTGGGGAAGAACCAGGGCAATGAACCAGTCAAAAGGAAGGAGCCAATGACATGGGTCTGTTCTTGAAATGACATCGAATCAAGATCCATTGTGCTCGGTCTTTGCATCGGACCCGACTCGGTTATGGCGAATGTTTAGATAACATCAAGCGCTCCTGGAACGTGGAGATTGAGGCCAATCATAGAGGGCATTCATTTGCTAATCGAATTTAAAGGGGAATAAACGTGTAACAATTCATCTTGTTCCCATGGAACTACAGGACTGGTTAATGGTGGACGCCCAAGCGAGGATGATGAGACATAACCTAACGTCACTTAAGGTTAGCCTCCAGAAACGTGTGAGATTTTGATAATAAAGTAGGAAAGAAGATTACCATTAAAGTAGACCATGGGCAATGCTTTCCTCTGTATCGTATCAATGAGTGTAGCGCACTGAATGCCTCAGGCACTCGATTGCATGTTACAAAATAGTTGCGTCATACCGAGCCCGACGTGTATACTACGGGTTGCTTCCGCTCTAGTTTTGAATACAAAGAGCATGATCTCATAGTTAACCTCCATATTATCTTGTTTAGTGAAGCATAGGGCACCTGAACTGAAATACTCCAGCATCTACTACGTGAGGTAGGTGTCCGGTAGTTGGTGCTACCTATCCGCCGGAATAAATGACTGTCCACCAAGGTAGAAAGTCATCCACCCCCAACTAACTTAAGGTATGATATTCTACAATTTAAGCACCACAACCATAAAACATCTAAACGGGACGGAAGTATTTATTCCAGATATGCTTGATTTTTTGTTCATTGCTATTATCCCATGATAGCCTCATACTATGTAGAATTTTACCAAAACGCCATGCCCCCAGTTCTATCAAACATAGAACCCCGAGATTGAATGCTGAAGCTTTTTGAATGCCACCCGCTTTTCTGATTGACATCCCTCACTCATCACTCTGGTCATCCGACTCACTAGTGAACATACCATCGTCAATCTCCATCTTTTTCATCACAGCATCACCATTGCGACCCTTCTTCTCCGCAGCGAGCCAAGCTTCACGACGCTTGGTTTCGCGCTCCTCCTTCCTGGCCTGACGCTGGACCTTATCCTGATGAGCTGCCTCCTGCTTCTCATGCATCTCATTGATGTAATCCTGCATCTGGGCAAGATCCACGCGCAATTTCGTGACCTCGCTGGCGTTTGCATGGCGCGCGGTATCATTCACCGCGACCTTCTTCTTGAGCATGGCAATTTCGGCTTCGAGGTCTGCGACTTGGGTGTCGTTCTGCGTGGTCGTGGGGGTGGCAGCTGTGGACGCAACGCGGATGATATCACTTCCACCTGGTTGGCGCAATGCAGATAGTTCGGCAAGGCCTTCCTCGATCACAGAATCGGGGAAGTATGCATGGGTAAGAGCTTGGGAGAATTGAGAAGGCTTGCGGGATTTCGTTTGTGATGATGCGAGGACATGTGTGTTGAATGCATATTCGGCTGGGACGGCGCCTGGGGCATGCGCTGGATCGGCAAAGGCACTGTCATGGCGTGGTTTCACGATTGTATGTATCGTGCGCTTGAGGTCCTGCGATGGGGATGACAGGCCGCTTGGCGGCAACATGACCAAGTTTGTGACGGGATGAGTGTAATCGGCGATGGAGGCGGTGAATTTCCGACGCGCGATATTCCATGACAACACTTTACCACTCTCGTGGGCAGACAATAACGTGGTTCCGTCGTATGAGAGGGCGATGGCCTTGGCGGCACCCGAGTCGGCGGCGGGAGGGAGCCATCTGTCTTCGGTGGACACCTGAGCGGGTGTGGACTGTAGAGACGGTTCATGGAGAGGATGCTGTGTCGAGTTGCTGCGGTAGAAGTCTACCGATTGTGCGCTGCCGTCCTCGTAGCCCACGTAAAAGGCCCGATCGACGGGATCCAAAGCCACGCATGTCGCGGAGAACGGAAGGAGGTATGTTCGGAGGACTCGTCCAGTCTGATAGTCCCATGCAATAGCAGTGTTGTCCTTTGCAGTCGACACCGCGATATTGTTACGGCCAGCGCTGTGTCCAACGGCGAGCGAAGTGATGGCAGCGCGGTGGTTAGAGAAGGTGCGGATAGGTGTGTTCTGAGGCTGGCGATCCCGGCCTAGGGTGGGCTTGGAGAAAGAGAGAATGTTGGGAATGGACCAGACGTGTATGCTGGCGTCATCAGAGCCGGAGAGAATGAAATTGGAGGTGGGGTCGACGACGATCGAGGTGACGGGCTGGAGATGAGAAGCTGTGGTAGCCACTTGACGTCCGGTACATGTCTAAACTCCAGTGTGCATGTTAGCTGGCCGTACTATGATAGATCATTCACCTAATCTAAAACCAGAAACATGGATCCATTGTCGTACCTCCCATAGGATCAATCGGCCGCCCTCTGTTCCCAGCACCAGGACATCTCCATACTTTGCACTAGCAACTGCAATGCTGCGGATTCGCTCCGGAAATGGCACTAATGCCTCTTGGTTCCCCTTTTCCCGACTGTATACATGGACCACGGCCTTGTCAGCTTGGGCGGAGAAGATATGCGACGGAGTTACAGCGAGGCAATTGGTGGTGGTGGAGCTCTTCTTGAAAGTCGATCGCAGCTGAGGGGAAGGCTGGAATTCCTGCAAGCAAATGCCGACATCACGCAGTGTGGCGGTCGGAGATTTTGCAGATGACAACGTCGACGCGACGAAGGATTCGGACAGCATGGAGAATGGGGCGCAGTGCATGCAATGGGGATTGAGTAGAGAGCTGTCTGTTCTTCATTCTCCCCAGCCGCGTCCAGTTTTTTTTCTTCTGCGATAAATCCGATTGATAAGGGACTGTTTGTCCTGTTTGCACTGTGCCCACCAGGAAATGCCACCCATTACTAAGTTACTCTCCGCGATGTGATCAGTACGAAACTTTAGTCGCAACGCGATCTGAGAAGCAGCAGATACTTTAATTTCTTAATCTTACATAGCGAGAGGTGGATGTCGCGTCTATCATTTTGGGATGCCGTGTTGGACATGTCACTGATTGAAGGGAGCTACACCATGGAAAGTGGAAATTAGGGTTAGACTAGGGAAGTATGACAATCTACTGAAATGAAATCTACGATCAGAGAATTTGATGGCTTACACCAGGCACCTCGATGATGCAAAACCCAGCTCATGAGGTGTGGACTGAATGATGCAAATTGTTGGACAAGAGCGTCTTACTGGGCCGAGCCTACTCTGCAAAGAATTCTCGCCATGGCGAAGCATTTTATATTCAAGTTTCAGACTGCGCCCAGGCATGAGAAGCTCCGATGCAAGGGGCATCCCCCTTCTCTTGTTGCGACGAGACACAACATGCAATACATCCAATGGGGGCCCGCTCACCAACACCCTGTGGTCGATCCTATTGCCCTTCTCAAGGGCGCTGATTCGTCACGGTCGCTCTCTCCCCCCTCTCTCCCCAATCTCCATCCCAATTGTCTCATTCCTGGACTCCACTCGACCACCCAACTATGACGGTAGTAAGCGACGAGCGAGGTTCTTTTCCACGTTGACGGGCTCCTGCAGACCCTTGGCTTCCATGGATACTAGATCTGGAGCCAATCATGGAGCCTCGCCGCCTTAGATCTCACCTCTGCCGGGAATGCAAGGACGACGTGAGCTCATTCTCACTATTATTGCTATGGCCCGTGCCTGGTGTGAGCTGAGATTCGTGCCAGAGGGGAGAGGGGGAAACCGTTTCCTAGAAGAAGGGGGGCAACGCTGCACTGTCCACTCTGGACGCTGCTTAATGTGCCCGGGATTCTTCATGACAGGAGTGCGATGTTCTAGTCCTGTCAAGGGGGATGTGCACAGTTTCAATGCCCTGGTGACCCTTCTATCCACCGGGAGACTTGTTTCCTTCGTGCCTTAGCGCCACTCTGGTTGTATAAGGACATATCGAGCCCCTGCATAGGCAGAGGTTTAGCATTTGCTTTTGTTTTGATCCTATATTCTTTACAACATACGACGGCCCTGATTGTTGCAGTATCACGATCTCATCTGGGTCACTCTTGTGCAACCACCGTTTTGCTTTTTGGGACTGGCAATTCAAATTCAATTAGGAACTAGGGCTTGCCTTCGCCTCATCAAGGAACCGGCGCCATGGCCGCCATGGACTGCGGTCCTTCGAAAATGCCTAATAGTGCATGTTTTCCAGCCCGAATCCAAACTCATATCAGGAACAAACCATCCACCTCGTCTTCGCTCAGCCACGACGCAATGACTATTCGGGATGCCATTGCGGAGCCCATCCCGTCGCCACGCCGATGGTCGCCCACATATCAACCTCGTCGCAGAACAAGTAGGCATTATCCGACATCATTGTCATTCGTTCCGGCTCCCACGTTGCCCCGGGCCGAATTTCATGACCATTCGATGCCTCCACCACGTCGAACAGTGGACCGTGGATCATCCTGCATCTCGCCCTTTCGATCAGTCCGAAGAATGAAGGAGCCTTTCCAGTTGATGTTACCGACATCCCCAGTATCAGCCTCATCGCCTGTCTCTATATCATGCGACGGTGCACCACCATCTCTTACAAGACACAACGCTCAGTCTTCCAAACCACGGGCCGGCCGTGCACTGAGAACGTGGCGATCAGACCAGAACCTAACATCAGCAAGCATGGCTGCATTTGGGCTGCTTCCCAGTCCTCCAATTTCCGAATCCAGGCCGGCAAGCACTGGGCCCGAGGCATCATACTTTGAGTGTAAAAGCGAGGAAAAGTTCGCCGAACAGGAAAACGTGGAGAGCACTGAGATCATATCAGAAGTGACCAACAGCACAGATCATGTGGACTTGCCTCCGGACCCCACAGAGGAAACAATTACTGAAGAGACATCTCCTTATCAAGCCTACCGTCCTTCGGACTGGCAAGTGAAATCGCCCGAAAAGCGGCGAACAGATGTGACAAATGTCCACGAGGCACACTCAAACCTGATTCGACAATGCGAAGAGACACTTGCCGCATCGCCAACCGCGAAAAAGCCTGATAAGGAGGAACCAACGCCCGTTAAATCACCTGCCTCACTACACAGTGCAACGGCTTCCATGCCTACTACCTCCCCGAGACCGCAACGGCCAAGGGCAACGACTGTCTCGAGTGAAGCCAGTTGGATCCCGAGCAACTTCTCGTATTGTGAGACATGGTTGCAAGGTGTGCCACTAGATCCGCTAGATAAAGACGACAACCCCAAAGAATTCAATCGACGGAAATTCCAGATTATCGAACAAGATCCACCGATGCCGAAATTGGATATCATTCCTGGTGCTCGAACCTTGGACGAGCCTGTGGTGAGTTTTGAATCTACTCCACACCAATGTGTCTTTGCATTGCATACTGACCGTATGACAGCGATTTGCCGTTGCTAGCAAGCCAAGGCTTGTGGATATTGCACGGCAATCATCACCATCCATGGGTCCCATGGGGCCACCTCCTCCCCCGCCTATAGTTCGTCAGACTGTGTGCGTTCCAATGACGCCTGACCAACGCCAGGAGGAAGTCTCCGCATTCAGTCCTGATACACCGCTGGACACGCCGATGGACATGTCTGACAGTGGCTATGGCACACGCGAGTCCGGCTACTCCATGGATAGCTATCAGGATAGCAAGGATGATGATACCTACTCCGATCCCGGATCATTGACATCAGACAGTTTCACGAGTACAGTTATCGGAGAGAGGCCTGAATCAACACTTGGAGAGCGTGAGATATCCCCGCAACCTGAGATCCGATCAGGCAGTGTCAGTCCCAACGCATCCCCATCCCCATCCAGCCACTCCCCCGGTCGAACATCTCACACTTCAGAAGAAGAGAAACGTGACAAGCAACCATCATGGGACCACCAGTGGACTCTGGATGATCATGAGTGGACCCTGGGCGAGCTTGATCACTCCGTCAAAGACTTCCCTCGCCACATGCTTCGACTTACATCCCCCGTCATCGTCTTTTTACGGAAGAACGACGAGAAAGCTCTCTTACGACCTTTCCGAACCATTTTCCCCACAGTCGCAGAGAATCTACTCGACTGCCTCTGCGCCGCACTCATTGCCCGCAATTACCTTCTTTCTCTATCCAAACTGCAGCGCCGCAGGCCTTCCCTATCATCCCGAAATGACGTGTATGCCGTGGACGCTGTCCCAGCCAAAGCATACAGTACATTAGGAATTCAACTCCCAACTGCATCACCCGGTCGTATCAAAGATCGTATGCTGGATTCACACACCTCCGAGCTGCGCCTGGATGTCGAACGAATCATCGACAACCTTCTCTTTGCCATTTGTGGCCGATCAGACACTACTCTCAAAGCAGCCATCGAAGTTCTGGCTCAAGTCCTCGAAACCAACGCCCCTCATTAAACATTTTGTTCTCATCTGAGTTCTTCTTGCCTCGATCCTTCTCTCCTATCACATCAGAACCGTCTCCCCTTTGATGGTTATACCTCTTTCATTGATAATTTTCTTTTTTACCTTCATCCACCGATGACCATCACCTCATTTCCACCTCTCAGCAATTATTCCCAGCTTTCGATTGACTCGAACATTTCCTATCTTGTTATCGCCGTCGTGCGTTTTTGTCGTTTACCTTCATACCCTTGCATTGCGATTCGCTCATTCGGAAGTATTGCTTCTTGTGGTTCGTGGGAACTGTACAATTAGCTTGGTAGAAGCACAGTAAAGCATAATCATAATGGCTTTCAATTTTCACTACAGTATACGGTACTCCGAGGGAAGTCCAAGTAAAGGCTCCGGATGTACGGAGTAGATAGGTCAACTTTATCAACCTTAATCTCGGGCTCGGCTCATCTCACCGAAATCGGGTGGAATAATAATATCCCGGCCGGCGAATCTTAGTCATAACGGTTTCCCGCGGGATTCGACTGCCCGGCCGCTATCTTTCTTTCGCGGACGGTCTGTTTTTCGATCTCTCGGTCTTAACACACCCTATACATACACACACCTTCACAATGGCAGTATCAACACGGAGCCTAAGGCACTTGTCGTCTGTGCGAGCGAAAATTTCACCCCCCTCGTCGGTCCTCCCTAACGCCTATCGCACCTACGCTACAACGGATGCTTCTTCCGCCACCAACACACCCGAGGGAACTACCCGGCGGCGCACGACAACCTTCAAGGACAAGCTGAATGCTGGTCCTTCGTTCTCCGATTTCGTCTCCGGAGACAAAGACGAGCCTCTCGACGCTTCCGAGGCATATGCTCTCAAGACCGCCATGGTCGGACCGGCCGGCCGCAAGAAGGAAATGACCCGTTTGCCCTCGTGGCTGAAGACGCCTATCCCGGACTCGAAGAATTACCAGCGATTGAAGAAGGATCTGCGTGGATTGAACCTGCACACTGTTTGTGAGGAGGCTCGTTGTCCTAATATCTCCGACTGCTGGGGCGGTAGTGATAAATCTGCTGCGACGGCTACGATCATGCTCATGGGTGACACTTGCACGCGTGGTTGCCGCTTCTGTAGTGTTAAGACTAATCGGGCTCCGGCTCCGCTGGACCCGCATGAGCCTGAGAATACTGCGGAGGCAATCTCGCGCTGGGGACTTGGATATGTTGTGTTGACGAGCGTGGACCGAGATGACCTGGCAGACGGTGGAGCGCGCCATTTCGCCGAGACGGTTATCAAGATCAAGCAGAAGGCGCCCAACATTCTGGTCGAGTGCTTGACGGGTGATTACTGGGGTAACTTGGATATGGTCGCATTGGTGGCCAAGTCTGGCCTGGATGTCTATGCTCACAACGTCGAGACCGTTGAGGCTCTTACGCCACATGTCCGTGATCGTCGCGCTACTTTCCAGCAGTCGCTCCGCGTTCTCGATGCTGCCAAGAAGGCTCGCCCCGACCTTATCACCAAGACTTCCCTCATGCTCGGCTTCGGCGAGACTGACGAGCAGCTAGAGGATGCCCTTCGTCAGCTTCGCTCGGTTAATGTCGACGTTGTTACTTTCGGCCAGTACATGCGCCCTAGCAAGCGCCACATGGCTGTCCATGAGTACGTTACGCCCGACCGCTTCGAATTCTGGCGCAAGCGTGCTCTTGAAATGGGCTTCTTGTACTGTGCCTCCGGTCCCCTGGTCCGCAGCAGTTACAAGGCCGGTGAGGCGTTCATTGAGAATGTTCTGAAGAAGCGGCGTTCTGGAGCTGGTGCCGCGGAGGCTACCGTTGGTCAGACCGTCGCTGCAGCGGATGAGGTTGCCAGGTAAACAATCATTTTTGCCTTGACCTGGAAAAGAAGAAAATCTATAATATGTGGCATGTCATTTACTTCAACCTTGGCACCATTTCTTTGTGGATAGTTTATACACTATTCCTTCGTTCGGCGTTGATCTTGCATTGGTTTGGTTGGGGTCTGGGGTTTACATCTGTCTGATTCAACATTTCAACGTTTTAAATGGCCCTGTTCTTTTGTATCACCATCAGTGGTTTTCCATATTGTACATTCATGCTGCTTTGACTCCCTAGACTGCTTGGCTAGCTTATTACCTTTGAAACGAACTGTCTATATGCCATATACCATACTAAAACAAAGTCATCGGGTCTTCTGTTCAATTCATATCATTTCTTAACTACGTGTCGGTCGTGATCTATGCGCGCTGCTGGGCTGTACGCCTCCGCCACTACCTGATTTTCTCATCCCCAAAGCAGACTATAAACGCATCAATGCATCGTCACACTAACTCCAAAGCCCCTTCTCCTTCGTAGTAAAAAAGTGAATCCAGGTTATTCGTATATCAGAAAGAAATGCAAGTCAAAATTGTTTCCGCAAGACTAGCGCGTTTTCAAGCTGCCCCAAGCTCCGTAGAAGTGGATATCAAAGGCCCACTCAGATAGGCCGTTATGTAATGGGTATTTCGTTTGTGTTGATTGGCAGAGAGAGAGAGAGAGAGAGAGAGAGAGAGAGGGAGAAATCAAAAACTCCCTCTCACGTAAGATACTGCTGCTGAAAAGCTATTCACAGAATGAATTTATTCCGCGCTTTTGCCCAGCTCGAGAATGTCCTCGTTGCCCAGGCCCAGCAGGTAGAGTATATCGGTGAGGCTCTCGCCGTTCACGCGGGTGGGGGCTTCGAGCTGGACCTTGGTCTTGGCGCGCCAGGCGACACCGAGGCCTGCTGCGTGAAGCATGAGGAGATCGTTGGCTCCGTCGCCGACGGACATGGTCTGGGAGAGGGGGATGTTGTTTTCGGCGGCGATGGATTTGAGGAGGGTGCGCTTTTGGGCGGCATCGATGATGGGCTTGGATTCGACTAGCTTGCCGGTGAGAGTTTGGGTTACTGGGTCGATTTCGAGCTGGGAATAGGGTTAGAATGGGCCATGGATTGGAAAGGTAGGTAATTGGGCGGCTTACGTGGTTTGCAACTGCATAGTCCAGGCCCAGCTGACCAGCGAGCCACTCAGCAAGAGGCTGGAAGCCGCCGCTCAGCACGGCCATCTTGAAGCCCAAAGCCTTCAGAGCACGGCAAAGCTCACGGGCACCCTTGGCAATGGTGATTACAGACTTGAGTTTGTCAAACACATCCGCTGGGACACCCTTCAGCAGACCGACGCGCTCCTTGAGAGAGGCCGAGAAGTCCAGTTCGCCATTCATAGCGCGTTCAGTGATTTCCTAGAGTACTACCGTCAGTACGACCCTATTAGCTGATTTCCAGTGAAACCTACCGAAACCTGCTTCTCTACGCCTATGAACTTGGCAATCTCATCAATGACCTCGTTCTCAATCAGAGTACTGTCCATGTCAAACACTGCTAGCCGCTTATGCCGGCGGAAAACACTCTCCTGCTGCAGAACCACCTCGACATTCCACTCGCGCTCAAAGCGCCAAATGCTCTCATGCTTGCGCAGATCGCTGAACGAGAGGTACGCCGGGTCCGGCGGCGGGGAGAAAGTGACTTCCACGACACGGGGATGTTCCTCCCGATCCAGGCAGCGGTGCGAGGTATTTGTGCGCTGATAAGGAGTGGGCAGGGACTCGAGAACCTGGAGGAAGTTGGTCAAGCACAGCTGCGAGACATATGGCCCGTACAAGTGGTCAAGCGGTTCAGGCTCTGGCGCAGGCGGTTCACGAGGAATCTTCTCAATATCAACTGTCGGAGCTGATCCCGCTGGGATGTGCGGCGAGGGCAGCTTATCGCCTGGATGCAAAGCGGGCGAGGCATCGGGGTGGTAGTGGGGGTGGATGGGATTGGCGGACTTGTAGAAGATGGTCGCGACAATGCGCGGGGTACCCTGCGGAAGGGTGTTGGCCTGGTGGTTGAAGATGCTGTGAATGATGCCGCTATCTGTGACACGCTCTGGGTCGGGCTTGATCGGGTTGCTGAATGTGACCTCGCCCAGTTGTGCGCTAAGGACCTCTCCAATTGTCTGGTTAATTGGAGGCTTATACTGCTGATGGTCCTGCAGGAAGGAATTGCTTCGCATCTGGCCAAGCGAAGGTCGCTGGCGAGTATGGGTTGAGACGACCATGATGGAAAGTTTACAAGAAGAAACACAAGGGCCCCTGAGGTGATTCTCCTCGATCTCTGCACTGTACAACACTTGAACACCTCACCGTTCACAAAAAATGGCTGGTGATGGCACGTGGGGCTGGACTGCCGCCAAAGTCACATGACTCTACCATGATTGCAGCTGTTCAGAAAGTCACATGATTGGCTGCATAATCGTCGCGGGGCATAGGATGATTATTCAGGTATGGCAACTTGGAAAGCCCGAGGGCAACGACATTTTGAAGCTCCACGCCCGAGCTTTATTCATGATGACGCACATCAACCTACGAGAAAGCTGGTTTATGGATCGGGTAACCTCTAGTACTTCCATCGATCTTCTGGAATATGGCTAATATCATTGATTAGAGAGCAAATTACGATCCTGCATTGGAAAAATGCATTGGTCAGCCGCGGAGATCTCCATGAATGCTCGTATGAGCGCACGCCCTTTCTTTCCTTAGTCCAATGGATTTATCAGCCTGCAGGGCATCTTTTGAAGGATCTGGACGCTATGCTATTCATAGCTAGTCGAAGCTCCGAGAATCGCCTGCGAGCCATAATGCGAACACCCAAATTGGCTGGTTCGGTGGCCCACACGAACCAACTGCGCATCAATTGCGTGCTCAAAGGCGGTCAGAAAAATTGCGTGATTGCGTCTCTGCAGCCATGGCAGAATTTGACGGCACTGCAGCCGGATGAGAAATGCCAGGCGCTCAAATGTCTGTCCGAGATGATGTCGTGCTCAATTATCCACTTGCTCTTCTTTTATATTCCTGCAATCGTTCACTCCATTCTCCCCCTCCACGCTTCTTTATTTGCCCCCAAACGCCACCGTCTGGTGTAAAAAGTCCTGTGATTTGAGTCTTGCTTTGCATTCCTGCATATCATATCCTCCCCAACCTTCACACCTTCACACACACACACAATGCCCGGCAAGGACTATCCCTCGGACCTGGAGAATGGCATCGACTCCAGAGATGCCATGACTGAGTCTGGTTATGTGAGCGGTGGTGGCTCCAGTGATGACTATGTCCCAGAGATTGTCTTCACCAAGCCTCACCTCCAGTTCCTCAACCGTCAACTGCAATTCCTTGAGCCACAAGGTATGTTTAACATTGCTTTTTCTTCCAACCTGGAACCCCGCTTTTGCCGGAAGATCAGGGTCTGACTCGAGACCCCCTATATATAGATATCCTGAGATGGTGCATCACATCACTTCCTCACCTCTTCCAGACCACGGCCTTTGGCCTCACTGGTCTCGTCACCCTGGATATGCTGTCCAAGTTGGAGGTCCCCCGCCCCCAGATGGTTGATCTGATCTTCCTCGACACACTGCACCACTTCCCCGAGACTTTGGCTCTCGTGGACAAGGTCCGCAGACGTTACCCTCTCAACAACGTGCATGTGTACAAGCCACTCGGTGCTGACACTGCCGCTGAGTTCGAATCCAAGTATGGCTCCCGTCTCTGGGAGATGGATGACCAGCTCTACGACTGGGTTGCCAAGGTCGAGCCTGCTCAGCGTGCCTACCGCGAGATGAATGTCCACGCCGTTCTCACTGGCCGTCGCCGCAGCCAAGGTGGCAAGCGTGGTGACCTCGACGTCATCGAGGTCGACGAAGCTGGCCTCATCAAGATCAACCCCATGGCCAACTGGTCCTTCGACCAAGTCAAGGCCTACGTCAAGGAGCACAACGTCCCCTATAACGAGCTCCTCGACCGTGGCTACAAGAGCGTTGGTGACTGGCACTCGACCCAGCCTGTTGCTGACAACGAGGACGAGCGTTCCGGTCGCTGGAAGGGCCAGCAGAAGACCGAGTGCGGTATTCACAATCCCCGCTCCAAGTACGCCCAGTATCTGATGGAGATGGAACGCAAGCGTCAGGAAGAGGCCTTGACTCAGGCACTGCAGTCATCACTTGCCTCTGCTGCCCAGTGATTGATTTGCTTCCCTCGCCTCGTTTCCCACTTCGTTCTTGCATACCCTCATTGGCGTTCTCTGGATGATACCTTTCCCCCCACCTTTGATTGTTATTTTAGCGACATTTCCCTTTCCCATACACCATGATTCTTCCCCCCATGATAAAAAATAGGGAACGTTGAGATCTACTTCTCTTGTTCCCTTCCAACTCCCCCGCACATATTCCTGTCGTCTGTGTGATTCTGTACATATGGAGTTGGACTCTGTTCCACGATAATGACCTTTACATGATAGATTAAAAAACACAATATCATCACTGCATTAAGATCAATTTCTCCGATGTAGTCTGTAGTCTGTGTCCATAGTGAAACTTTAAACTGCATATCTTCGTTTACAGGAATCATGTTCACGTGACACCCTAGCCCTAAATGTCCGGTACAACTTGAAGAGAAACACCCTTCTCTTGATTGAACCTTCATTCTCAATCAGCATACGGTAGAACAAGAAATATCATGATTCCACTGAGCGAGTCCTTGTATTGAAATCAAAATTCAATTTTATTTCGGTGGGCGATGTTCTCTCCTCATTCCCCTAGTAGTAGCTCGGTACATCAAGGCCAACAAAAGACGCTGATCTAACCAATCGATCGTATAACATATCCTATCTGACAATCACACCGCAGGAAGCACCCAAGTAGTAACAGACTCACTAGGAATATTCCCGCTCCACTCCTGCCCACTCTGCGTCGACACCGTCACATAAACATCGTTACTAAAAGTATTCTCAATAACCACGGACCGGGTCCCATCAGGATTCAGCGACGCAACAGACTGCACACCACCACCATTAGAGTAAGTATAACTACCACTCCCACTCAACACAATGGCACGAGGCGGCATAAACTTGCTAAACTGCGCAATCATGTAGTACGCCGGATTGAACTTGTAACTGCCACCGCTGATCGTGACCAAACCTTGGCACGTAGCGCAACCACCGCTGGAAAGATGCGGACCGTCGGAACTGTCGGTTCCAAGGGTCCAGGCTGTCACTCCGGAGGCCCAGTTCTGGAGGGGTCCCATTGTGAAGTCGGCGGCTTGGTTCCAGGTTCCGGCGGGTGTCCAGCATTCGGTCATGTATTGTTTCACGGAGGGGTTTGTGTTGTGGAAGTCGGTTAGGACGGTCCAGTCGACATTCGAGGCGTAGCAGTGCCATGCGACGGAGTCGACGTATTTTCCGGCGGTGTTGATGACGGTTTGCGGGTAGGAAGGGACGTCTTTTGTTGGAATGTTAGATTGAGCTCGTGGTTTGCGCAGGTGCGTGGCTTACCGGTGTTATGGTCGTAGGCCCAGATATCCGTGTTCAGACCGGCGTTTGCAATAGCAGGACCGATGTAGTTTTGGATGAGCTGCGCAGATTCGTCTGCAAAGACATACATGGTTGGGTAACCTCCTTGGCTATTTAGAGGCTCGTTCTGAATAGTGATTGCGTCGATATGGGCACCGAGATTTGCGTAAGCCTGGATGTATTTCACAAAGTAGTTCGCGAATGCACTGGCATATCCTGAGCTCCCGGTGCCACCGCTCAAGTACCCATCGTTCAGATTGTTGTTGGTAGTAGTCCCATCAATGACGCCGTTCAGCTTCATCCAGCCTGGAGCGCTCCAGGGAGATCCAAAGATCTTCAGCTTGGACTGCAGCGACTTCATCGTGGCCAGCATCTTTGCCATCGCGGTCCCCCGATCTCCAAGATTGAAGCCAGACATAGACGGGTCCGCAGAGCCTCCATTATCATCATATGTGTATGCAGGATCTCCAGATAAATCCGAGGCCCCGATGGTATGACGCATCAGACTGAAATCAGCACCAGAGCTAGTCATGAGACTGTTCAGAAGGGACTGGAGATTGGAACTGGAGAGTGTGTTGAAAGAAGTCACCGTCGCATCGGTGACTGCCGCGCCAAAGCCGACAATGGTCTGCTTATGACCGGAGCTTGTATCGTCAATGCTGAGTTTCCAAGTTGACTCTGATCCTGGGCTGCCGCTACCCTGGACGGGAGCTGCGATGGGAGAAAGTTTGTAGTTCCCGGCAGAGTTGGAGCTGTATGCTGATGCTGAGCCGGCTCGCTTCTCTGCAGCATGGCTGAGAGCCGCGAGGCTGAGGAGAGTCCATGCAGTGTAGACCATGGCGAAAGTATCTACAATAAGCTCTGTGGTGTGGAAGATGAGCTGTTGAGAGGATGTTTCACAAAATTCCAGGCGGCAGAAGCTGTGGCAATTTATACCTCTGGACCGATGTACCTCAGCATCAGCGATGCACACCGGTCTAGTAGTATTCAGCTAGCATCTTGTTTGTTCGGGGTACATCCTATACGGTAAATCAATAAGCGGGCCCCTCTCATCGGCATTATAATGATCCCTCAGCAAAACCCGGCGTCAGAATTGACGGGCCTATTTCCCTGCAGGGAATAGCGTGGCAGCGATCCATCACCCCCGCAATTTCCCGTAACCCGACAATACTACTACGAGCGGGAATTAAAGCCACCCAGAGCTGAAGAATTCTATCTCGCCCCTCGGAGATGAGTTGCCGTGAAGTATGATTGTTGAGTTCAAACCGACAATCCGCGTAGCTTCTACCATAGCCCGAAGAGGGAAATGGTCAATATGAGCTCGTTCTCGTATTGGACATCTTTTCTCACGTCACCAAGCTGAATATCTGCAGGACTAATTCTATCGGTGGATACTGCTAAAGCGCTAATAAGTTCACAATTTCCTTCAGCTTCTTAACCTGGCGGGGATTGGAACCTGCAATGCTGATAAATGATGACAGCACGGAATGCATGTCAGCTCATGGCATACCCAGCGAATCTTACTTTGCCACAACAGTTTCTTAGGTTGCGTGACGAAACAGTTGCTGTGTCTCGTTAATTGTCTGATATCTATACCCATTTCATGATGGGTGGACGTTTATTCTACTATCGTGATTCTCCTAGAAGTCAATTCGATTATGTGGCCAATTTCTTTCTATTCTTCGGCTTCTAGAACTATACCCCGAAAAAGATGACCTCCGATTGGTCTGTCTACAGCGGAGATCACAGAACGGAAACTGATCTCCCGTTCTTGGCTACACTGCTAAGCTTTTTTTGCGTAATGTCAGCCGTGTCATCTATGTGACTGAGGTCGTTGATAGTACCTCATAAATCCTATCGAGTAATTGTCAAAGCTTTAAGGTAGAATGGTGAGCTTCTCTATATTAGCCAGAATGCTAGAGAAGTCCTTGAGTAAGCAGGACAAAGGGAGAGAGACAGTATCCAAAGACTTCCTTCCAAGTCCAATGAAGCCAATTGACCGGGGTATAGGCTTAAAAAGGGCTTCTCTTCGCGATCTGCAAATCTGCCGTAAATTGGAATAGCTTGCGCGTCTGGGGTATTTGATTAGTTGTATGGGAGTTTTCGAAGAGATCTTTCGCATATTCGATGACTTGAAGACCAACTGATGATAGGTTCGAAGCTCAACTATGAGAATCAGATCTTGTCAGCCATGCTCATTTACTTACAGATAACAGCAGCCCGAGGTCTTGTTATATGATCTTGTCATTGTTTGAGAAGAAGCTTTATCATGCTGCCATCCTTTCCGGCACGATGGCATGTTTTCGAAGCAATTGGATTCTCTGTAGAGGGCTGGGCTATAGGAACCTGCGGATATCATAGCATCATCTGTAGTCGGTTCTGGGCGAATCGAAGCACCACAGAGACCGGTAGTTTTCGGTCCTGTTTCTGATTCTCGTGCTGGTAAGGTTGTATCTCTAGGCTGGTTCTTCAAAGGTAGTATCTAGCCCCGTCTTTGATGCTCGTGCGGCACGAGAATATTCGTCAAGGCACCCACGCAAACAAACCCAATTCGGAAAAGGTGTTGCCAGCTTAAACGGTGCAGGAAACTTCCGGCAGCGTGTCTGTCCCCCGACCTCGAATATTTCTTCCTTGTCCCCTCTCTTCTTTCCCCATCCTTCTCCCATCTCCAGCACCCTCTCACAATTCTCCCATCTTTTTTCCATCTCCAATCACACACAGAGAGACACATACCTTATTGATCTCACCCTTCGTCGCAACAGCAATGTCCCCACCCCCGTGGAAGGGCCAACTGCCTGGGGTCCCGGACTCCCAAGTTGGATCTTCGGATTTCTCCAGCCAGGACTTCCCTTGGAATCAGCAACCAGCATTCCCTACGCCGGAGTCAGTCGACAGACATGCCCCTCATGAACCTATGGCGATGGACCGTACCATGACCAGACAAGGGCAAGAAAACCCCTTCAATCACCACGCTATCATTGCAAATAGCGCATCCGAGTCCCTCTCCCCAGAGTCACAGGGTGATCTTCCAATCACTCCAAATCATATCGACGGAAACATGGTAATGCCTCCGGGACGTTGGGTCTGGCGGCCAATGGACTCATGCCAAGACTCGTTCCAATATCAACTCCCTCCCATCAGCTCACTTGACTTTGGTCAGTACCTCCCTGACACTTGGAATCCGACGACTGCTTCTCAACTTCCTCCTTTCCCATGTGGTGGCCAGCCCACATCATCTCCGACCCCCTTCGATGCGGCCGAATTTGAACGTCTTAGTGGTTGCATCCACGATCATTCTCTCCCTGAAACAGCTAGCGAGTCACTAGAGCCACGTCCTGAAGAAAATAAGGACGTCGATTGTGAGCCTCATGGATTTGCACCGCTGTGCGAGTTCTCCCGCCCATGCAAAATGTCTCCCAGCCCTGATGGAGTGCATTTTCGGAAGATTGTTTCCCATCTCTTCGGCCGGAATAAGGCCTCAACCAAACTCTTCCCAGACTATGTTTGGGTGTACTATTGTCGCAAGCACTACCAGCGTGCGCGGTATCGGGCCGAGCAATGGCCCTTTAACCAGTGTGAGTTGCTGCTGCAATCCCTGGACAGAATGGAAGAATGGGGAAATGTCCTCTTCTTTGAGCTGCGCCTTCGCCGCCGAGAGGCGTTGCGCGCTGATGGCCAGGACGAGAGGCCCACCCCTACTGGCCTTCTTCGCAACGGTCGTCGGCACCCAACCGCGATCACCGCCCCGGTCCCAGAATGGCTGCAGCGTGAAGTTGGAACGGAGAAAAGTTTCCATGACATTCGCCAGATCGTGCAGCGAATCCGGAGGTACCTTACCCACCTAAAGAGAGAAGAAGACACTAAGAAGACCGCACGGGGTAAACCGAGGGGCGCCGCAACCCTGTCTAAGGATAGCAAGAAGCTCGCGCACAATGCCGCCTACCGCGAAAAGAACAGCCTCGTCCGTTTCCCGGATATAGAGATCCTTCCAACCTTCCACCCAAGAGCGTTAGAAGAAGCCCGCCAGCGCGCTTCTCAGAAAAAGCGTGGCAACAAGGATGGGGGCGAGGGCGCCAACGACCAGGAAGAGCCACATGCGCAGGAGGAGTACTCGGAGGATGAGGGCGAGGACATCAATAAGAACGATCGCCAAGGTCAACGCCGCAAGGGCATGAAGCTGGTCACTCGTGTCTCTGCGAAGGGTGCCATCAAGAAGCCTGCGGCTAGGAAGAGAAAGTGATCCCGCAAGCAGGAACAGATTGTGATGGCTGGCTTGGACGAGCAGTGGCGGGTACAAGGACAGATAACTATGTCTTTGGTTGCCTGCTACAGCTTGGACTCGAGCCATGCCCAAATTGTAACTGATCAATGGTTTTTCACGCAACGATCAGTTCTCATCTAGATACTGAATGAAGATTGATTGAGTTTTGAAGCGTGTAGACCTTACTGGTTCCCCGGAAGAAATCCTTGCCAGTACAGAAGTTGTAAAATCCGTGAAATTCACTTGTATTGTCTTGATGCACGATTATGCAGCCCACGTTCATAACTTCATGGGCAGTGTGGTCACTACGGTAATAGTATGCGGGTACCCGATGAAGCTAAGCGGTTTGTTAACTAGTCTAGCTAGTGCCCGGTTGAACAATACACAAAAGCCACGTCTGAATATTGCACGTTATTAAGGTTCTTTCTCCGATGTTCAGTCCAGATTACAATTATTGTGACGTGTCAGCACTAATATTCAATCACCTGCATATGAGATCACGCGCGAACGAGGATCTGCATTCCCTATGAGGAGAGCCTATCGCCTGCAGTCCATTATGTCCTAGACCCAATGCCGTGTGCGACTTCAGCAAGCCACCAAAAGCTCGGTCTTTCGAGTCCACGCTAAGAAAAATTCTAGGCACGGCGCTTATAAGACACCAGGCTCTCCTCTCAGCTAAACATCTGCCTTTCATCTAATTATTATTATCCTCTCTCCACACAGTTTCTGTCAACTAGACCATGTCCTCCACGATACCCCAACCGCCCGGCATTCCCATCCTGGGAAACCTCTTCGCTGTCAATCCCAATGAAACCTGGAACTCACTGATCAAACTCGCCAAGGAATACGGCCCAATCGTCAAGATCAAGGTGTTGGGAAAGCAAATCGTCTTCATCAGCAGTGTGGAACTACTCGAGGAAATATGCGATCAGCGACGGTTCAGAAAATGCGTCACGGGCCCTATTGTGGAAATGCGCCATTGCGCGAATGACTGCCTGTTCACCGCATACGACAATGAGGCGAGCTGGGGAATTGCGCATAGAATCATGAGTTCCCATGTTACTCAGGCTGGGACAGATGCTTGTTTCGACGACATGGCGAAAGTTATCCCAGACTTGACGTACAAGTGGACGTTGACAGACAAGCAGCCGGTTCTTATTACGGATGACCTGGATCGTCTGCTTATGGCCTCAGTTATGCAATGTTTCTTCAATCAGCGCGTTGAGGCCCTGAGGGACCCTGAACCTGTGATCATTCCAGCTCTGCAGCGCATTACGATGGAAGCAATGAAACGGCCCACGCGCCCGAGGCTCCTCAATTGGCTTTGGTATCAAAAGGGCTTTGAGAATGATATCAAGACTATGCGTGATTTCGCGAGTGAAATCATCAAAAAACGGGAGGGAACGCCGGAAGAGTCTCGCAATGATTTGCTGGATGCAATTCTAAATGGTACTGATCCAGAGACTAGAAAGCAGCTCGCCGATACGCAAGCTGTGGATGAGGTTGTTACTATGTTCATTGGAGCCGCCACTAGCTCTAACCTCGTCTCTTACGCCCTGTACTACCTGATGAAAAATCCCGATAAGCTGGCCAAAGCACGCGCGGAGATCGACTCAATCATCGACTCGGATCAGATCCAGCTCGACAAACTCAAGGAATTGAAGTACTGCGAAGCCATCATACGAGAATCATTGCGCTTATGTGCCACCGCTCCAGGATTTAACATCGAGCCCGTTCCGAAGCAAGACAAAAGCCCTGTCATCCTTGCAGGAGGCAAATACGAGATTCCACACGACCAAGTCATGATCGTCGTCTTGCATGCTGTCAACCGCGACCCGGCAGTCTTCGAAAACCCTGAAGCCTTCATTCCAGAGCGCATGCTGGGTGAAAAGTGGGATAATCTCCCGAGCGCGGCAAAGAAAGGCTTTGGGAATGGTAAACGCGAATGCTTTGGAAAGATGTGGGCTTTGCGCTGGTCTATTTTTGTGCTTGCGAGTATTTTGAAAGATGTTTCTTTCGAGTTTCAGGACCCGGGTTACAAACTTGTTTCGAATGGGGCTTTCAGCGTTAAGCCATTGAGCTTTTACGGCCTTGTCAGTCCACGGACAAAGTGATCCGAGGATTGGGGGCAGAATTTTTCTTTGTTATCTTATTACAGTGTCAAGTATATAGGTGGGCGAACAATGTATGGTTGATTCCTTTGGTTTTCCGAAAGCCGTTGTTACACTCTTTGTAACTTGACTATTTCCAGGCTCTGCTTTGACTGTTATTTACATATTGACTTTCTCTCTGGGCCATTTCTTCCATGATCGATTGTTAATAGAATCTCTCTTCAATGGGCTTTCTTAGGATGGAACAATGAAATTGTCCAACTTTTAAAAAACCATTGATTAATATACAGTTTCTCAAAGAATGAATGCAACTCGGCCCCCTCGAGTCAAAAAGTTGCATTAAAAAAGCAGTCGCCGCAACACAAGTAATCGCTCACTCCCTCACTCTTCTGAGACTTCAGTACAGGCAACTAGCGCTTCCTAAACCTCACTTACCAACCCGCCTCAAACCTCTAAACATTCAGTCCTCATCCCCATCAGCATTTTCACTCCCTTCCTCCTCCAACATGCAGCCCCGCGAACGATTCCTCGAGCTACAACACGAGCTCATCGACACTCTTACATCATGGATAAACGGTACTTTCTACATGCCACCTGAGGCAATGGCGTCGGTTCTGGAACATGCGACTCACGATATTGCGATGTATCGGTCATATGGATTGGGAGGCTGTTACTTTTATTTGAAGTGCACCGATGTCATTGGTATGATGTCCTCTGCAATCGGCGAGCTTAGGAGCAAGCGAACATTTACTTGTCAAGTTTCGCAGGCTATGGAGGATGCGGTGCGTGCGCTTGAACAACTCCAGGTTAGTTGATATCATTGATTTTGTTAATCTCATATTTTCAAGCTAGGTCTGTTCAAAATTTTGCGGCGATATGGGGAACGATTCTCAGGCTTTAAGGTATGGGTTGGTCTTTGGATCACCAGGTTAAACCTCGCTATGAATGAAAAGGTTTCTTAACGATCTCAGGTTTATTCCACCTCTTTTTGTAATCAAGCTAAACCAAATTACCAGATATGTGTTTAAAACTGGTCTGTGGCCAGAAATGAATTAAGGCGTACCTCATCCTCCTAACCAGTACGCAGGCACCTCCTCGCACCCACTATCCAAGAATACCACGGCCATCAATGAAGCTGACAGACAACTCCAACTACTGCTAGAAGAATATCACGAGCAATGCCCAAAACCGACAATCCCCACCAGCTTAGAATCCCCCAGCCTCATCAAACCCCCAACACAGAATCAGGTACTTGTATCCTCCAAAATCCTAACGAATCCCCATGTCCAGGGAAAATCTCGAAAGCCGTGGCCTTGTATTTGGACAGCACAATATTACATCGCGGGACCCGGCAGGTACTAGGACAGCACCCTAGCGTCCGTCCCCAGAACCCTCCGCTCCATGCAAAGAACCCCAAAGTCTAAGATTACCCTCCCGAACACGTTCCCTCGGACGGACAGAGAAAACAAAATGCGATATACCGCCCCAATTCTCCAACCTTGTCAGCGTGATAGGAAGCAGAGCATAATGAGACACCCTCTTCAAGATGACGCTATGTCTTCGGCAATAATGGATCCATATATCCCGAGGAATCCGGCTACACAAGTTTGCCGGATTGGAAATGGCCTTTACTCGTGTTCGAGAGGTGATTGAAGCGCTCTACAATCAAGCGGGATGGTCTAAGACCGCTAGGATTCCAGATATTATGTTTCGATCTGTTTTTAAGTGATTATTTAGTTACTTTGGTGAAATATTTGCAAGTTGAAGTTTAATCTACCAACAAGAGGTTTGTTTTGTATACATCCCGATCAGAAGTATAATAATTTATATTGAAGAAGGTAAATAACCTTATAGAGCTATCTAAACTCCATAAAGTGAAATCTTGCCAACCTGTAGGTTCCTGGCCACGGCATACGAAGCGTTAGCAATATTGCAGATTCAATATACGCATAATAACACTTAGTACGAGATTACTCGCTGTCAGACAGGGAGACAAACCTCTACAATGGAATTCTTTGAGGGTTATATTCAAAGAAACTTTAGTGCAAGCAAGGTTGTTCTTGGAACTACCGTAAACCAAGGGACATTGCGTCCAAAGGGGTTACAGATTCACGAGAGATTTGTTTTTCATTGATGAATTTCTTTGCTGATATAAATAGAGCTCTATTTTTATTCACCATGCTTGTTTCAACTGAAAAAATCGAGACTGAAACGCACTTCTTTCAATGGCTATATTATTGTCCTCAAAGGATGTCCTCCTCGATTGTTCTATCTTTCGACAAGTAAGGAATAAAGAATAGTCGATACATAGCTGGCAACCTCGAGATAAATACCTCGTCCTCGCCCTTGTACTCTCTCGATACCTATTACAACCCAGAACATCAATCATGCAGCCTCGAGTTTATTCTTAGACTTCACTCATTTGATTTTCATCTCTACAACGTTCATCTTGTTTCCCAAACTGTGAGTTACAAAATCATAGATCGACAAGTGTCAAACGATATGTCTCAATACGTTCACACAGCTGCTGATCCCGAGTCGGTGAATTTACCCCCATTGCAACTTGGGCCTTCTACCCAAACTCGCCCCTGCTTACCCTCTATTCACGATACTCTCGGTGATATTCTTACCTCGCCACAAACACAAACCACTCAACCTCCTAACCTGTACGAGTACGCCGGTACCTCTTCACAGAAAACCCCCCAACAACACCAAGACCATCAATGAAGTGGACTATGAGCAACCCGGGACTTGTGTCTTTCAAGATCCTAACGAACCCCGATGCACGGGAGAACCCCGGTGCGTAATGAAAAAATGCTTTGGACAAAGCGAGACGTTCAAGGCACGCATGGGTCTTGTACTGCCGGAAACATCACAACAAGCTGCCCTCCAAGTACGAAGCATTTCTGACCACGTTGCAAAATATGGAAAATTGGGGCGGAATATCTCATTTTGTCCTATATGTGAAGCCAATCTTTCGTTTTAATAAGGCTGGGCCTGAAGAAGAAGGTCCGATGCCAGTACCGGCCTGGGTACAGAAGCTGAACGGAAAGACAATGTGCTTTGATAGTGTTCGAGAGGTGGTCGATGCGCTTTACAAGCAAACGGGGAGGCCTATGACACCTAGGCGTCCAGATGTTGCGTTCTTGCCGGTCCTTTACTGATAGCGCCGACTATGGAAGAGGATGATGTTTCTGAGGTAAGTACTTAGTTTTCTGTTCCGGAGGAGATGGGTTCGATTTTGCAATTTGAAGTTTAAACTGCCAATAAAGACGTGGTTTTGTGTTTTGTGTACATCCCGATCAAAAGTATCATAATTTATATTGAAGAAGGTAAGATAATAGAGAAGAGCAATACCTAAACTCCACAGAATGTGAAAAGTCACAGAAGAAAAGAAAAAGACACGCTTGCTTATGGAAAGATTCGAAAAATGACACACCAAATGCAAAATCAAAATCCATGTACACAATCATACTCCACTCCACACAAACACACACCAGCAAGAGACATTAACAAAGATGAGCCCAGGAAAACAGGGGTTGAGTTTGATGGAAAATGTCATGATCATAGAGATAAAATGAGATTCAAGGAATCTAGCTAGCCACGGCCAGCTGTGCCACAAGATCCGATGCCACATCAAGGAATGGGTATGGGCTAGTGACCTCCTTCTCCTTGTTCATGAAGCGCTTGCTGATCGGGTGCCACTCCGTATCACCATGGGCACGAATAACGTTTTGGTATCCATCACACTTAAAGTCAACCATGTAGTTGTTCTCCTCGAGTTGGTAGAGCTGGATATCGACAAAGACCCAGACTCCGTGCGAAATACTGGGTAAGCCGGTATTTTGCGAGGCGGAGGAGGGGGCGGATACGCCGCCGTTGTCGGATGTGGGGGATTTGATGTCTTTGTCCTTGTCCTCGGCGGGGGCGGAAATACCGGAAATGTTGAACCGCCGACGGAGCTCTTCGAGGTCGCTGCGGCTGTTGTAGACACTGGTTGATGCTCCGGGGGGTTTGACGCCTTCTTTTAGCAGGCGGGCGCGGATAAACCAGGGATCCTTGGGAATGTAGTAGTCCGATGGGAGTTCAGGGTATTTGCTTTGCAGAGGCTTGGGTTTGTCTGATGTCGCATCGGGCCCAATGGTTGTGCCGGACTCAACAGGCTGAATATCCCATACTCCACCTTGAGCAGCAATCGCGCGGTAAAGGTACAGCATTGCCTCGTATGGCTGATTCCGGGAGCGAATACCAAATTGCCATTTGCGGGATCTCTTGGGCTGTTGTGTGATGGGATGGCCAATGGGCGGTTCAAATCTCAACTTATCCAGATCGACGACACTGCGAGAATGAGGCTTCAATGCACGAGCTGTGGCGGCCTGCTCTTCCGGAGTCAGTTCTCTGCGTTCAGACCCTGAGCGGTCCTCCTCGGCACGAGCTGCTTCCCGTCGGCGCTCTTCGAGACGAGCTCTCTGTTCTCGGTCACGTTGCTCCATGAGCTGATCGTGGACGTAGGGCAAACTTGTAGGCAGAATTCGGACATGGCTGAGACGCAGGGGCTCAAATTCGTCGGTGTCATCTTGTTGAGTTTCCTCTGGTCGTGGGCGGCGTGAGACACTTGGGGTTCGGGCAGGTGCCGCAGCTGGCTGTTCTTGGGATCTTGGAGCTGCGGGGGCTCTTTGGGCAGGAGCTGGTGCGGTTATTTTCGACGGGGGTGATGATACACTCTGAGCCAAGATATTGTCATCGGTTGGAGCTATGAGGAACATAGAGTTAGCCAGCCTGCACCGACAGGAATCAGAACAATAACTTACAATTGGTCTGCATCATTTCGTTTTCAACGACAATCGAAAAGGCATCCTTGATCGCACTAGGCTCCGGGTGACGTAGGGCATCTTCAATATCTTCCCGATCATATCCCATGCTCCGCTCCAGCTTGGACACAGCGATTTGGTGAATCTTGTGCTGCACAGGGACTGGCTTTCCAGAGCCGACCTTGCGAGGGTCAATCTTACTCAGATCCACATCTGTAGCAATGAACTCCTCCGGTGGAGGCTCGAGGTACTTGGGGAGGTTCTTGGTGAACCATGGGTCTTGTCGAATCTCTGGAATGGTAATTCTGTGCACCGGGTGGACCTGAAGCATGGCGCGAATGAGCCGGGCTGCTCCAGGCGAAATGTACCCGGGAATGTGGAAGTTGCCAGCAGCGATCTTTTTGAAGAGAGCGGGAATATAATCATCATCAAAAGGCAAGCGGCCCACCAGAAGCACGTAGAGAATAACACCGCAACTCCAAACATCGACCTCTGGGCCGGCATAGAGTTTTCCGGAGATGACCTCGGGGGCAGCATAGTTCGGACTTCCGCAGCTAGTCTTCAAGAAATTTCCGTCCGTCATAATGTTACTCAATCCGAAATCAGCAATCTTGACACTCTTCGTGCTGTCGATGAGCAGGTTCTCGGGCTTTAGATCACGGTGGACAATCTTGTGTCGATGGCAATACTCGACGGCGCAAATAATCTGCTGGAAGAACTTGCGGGCCTCATCATCACCACATTTTCCCTTTCGAACCAAGTAATCAAACAATTCGCGTTCGGCGTACTCGAGGACCATCACAATGTCGGTTTTGGTGGCGATCACGGTGTATCTAGTGGGAGAGGCGGGGCAACTCGGTCAGTCAACCAGTACATACCAGTACAATTGTATAAGTGGGGGAGAAGGGGAGAAGGGAGAAGGGGGAGGGATCAATTCCTCCTAGGGGTAAACAGAATGAGAGAGGAAAGGGAAGCTATATCCTACAATTTAATGATGTGAGGGTGTCGTAGCAATTGCAGATACTGAATCTCTCGCTCCACGCGCCCAACCATGTCCCGAGACAGCAGCTTGCGCCGTGAGATGATCTTCAGGGCCACTTGCCGTCCACTTGGCTGGTGGATAGCAAGCTTGACCTTTCCAAACGATCCCTCACCTAGTATCTTGACAGTCTGATACTGATCGAGGCGCTGCATATCCCGCATAGTGGCCGGGGACTGGGTCGTGGGGTCGGGGCGACCGGTCGGGCGCGAGGGCGGAGGCATTGCCATCGCGGAGGGGTTGGAGCTGGTAGCCTTGCTGGTACGTTCACGTTCTCGATCTCGTGGACGGTCGCGGTCGGTGGGAGCGAGAGGGATCGAAAGATCTTCCTCGTCGAGGGCGGCGGCCATGATGAAAGGACAGCGTGACAAGCGTGACGTGATTGATTTTCTGGGTCGTCCCAAGCGGAGGCGGGCTTGCTTACTACTGCCCGTTGGCTCTTCTTGGGATTTTTTTTCTGCCCTTTTTCCTTTCCCTTAGAGCATCGCCAATCAGTCGGTCTCGACCCTCCCCACAATAGAGCCGAAGGTGGAGCTGAACAGTTGGTTTTGCTGCTCAGGTGGTCGAGGGGCGGGGCGGATGGAGGGGGTGGAGGGTTGGGCACGTTGCCAAGGGTTAACCGAGGGAGATATTGTGAAGGAAGCGTATGTCCTGACGATGTCGAGAATTCCTTTGAAGAACTTGGATCTCGGGATCTCTTTGAGCGGGGAGAAAGATGTCAAGTCCGAAAATTCTCTTGTCGTGGGGGAAAAGACAGAAAAAGAAACGGTGGACTGGCCGATCACGGATTGGGGACCTGACGTGGTGGCTGAGATCGCCGGGACGACGTTTGGATAAACTCGGCTTACAAAGTACAAAGTACCTCCCAAGTACCAAGGAGTGTCCCGTGCACCCTTACCTCAAGTACAGCACTTCGATTAGATGGACTAGAAGAGTTGAAGAGTTCCTCGTACGATTCTGATAATTAATCGAAAATTACCTTATTATTCAACTACAATACAGGCCGCTTTTGATCCAGACCGCTACTTCAAAGACATGTAGTATCTAGAACACGGGTCTATATGATACGGGACGAGTTTATGCTGCGCGGAACTACATAGATGTACATGGCCAGTGATTCCCCTTGAATTTAGGCAGTTTACACTGCAGTCTCTAGATTATCAATCCGATACTTCACACAGACTCGGAACTAGAATCATCCAAAGATTTTGAAATGTGGAAAATGGTCGACTTTTATTTTCTATGCAATATACAGAATGCTCAATGGCCCGCCATATACACCAACTGAAAAGAAAATCCAAGGTCCCAAGAAAAGACACCTGCCCAAATATTAAACTCCAAGCCAGTTTCACATGAGAGCTATGGTCTCGCTCAATTGACCTTCAGCATATCCAGCATGCCTTTCGTTTGGCATGCATGCTGGGCCATCTCGACCTCATCCCGCACTCGCTTATGCAGACGCTCCACCTGCTTGTCAATCTGGGCAGACTGGCCCAGATTGCCCGAGTAGATGTCGAGGACATTCATGGCAACTTCGACACACAGATCTACTAGACGGGGTTCGCGGATGTGCTTGTAGATCCAGTGCAGAACGGGCTGCAGAGTGACTTCATCGCGGTCTTTGAGCGAGGAACGGAGAGCGGAGCGGTGACGGAGGGCTGTGAAGAGGGTGAGTTGGGCGGTCTTGTCGGTAGATGAGAGGACTTGGTCGAGGGCAACGGAGTAGCGTCCCTTGCGGAGATCATTCTCCCATGGCTGCTCCTTCTTCCGTTTCTTGCGATCCTGGCCTTCAATCACGATATCCACTCCCTCGCCGATGAAATCACGTCCACGAAGGCGCTTTTCCCAGCCGGAGCCGCGCAGCTTCTGCTTCTTGGCAACTTGCCGATCGTGCTCCTCCAGTTTGCCCTCCAGAAGAGCTTGCATCTCCTTTTGGCGTTCACGCTCCTTGACCTTTTGTTGGCCAGACAGCCGGGTCTTGATCGAGAGAAGACCTGACTGCATACCCACAGCAATGTGCCTATCCTCATACGCTATACCAGAGGTGATAACCTTGAGCGACAGAATAGGGGAGGGGTACTTGGATCCGGAGACGGGGTTCCACCCGGTCGTTTCAAAGACCTTCATGTGGCCATCCAGCGCACCACTAATAAGGCGCTCTCCGTTTGATGCCAATGCAAGAGACGTGACCGTCTTCTGGTGGCTCTGAATAATGTGTAGCGGCTTTCCAGCAACGATATCCAGCACGCCGATCTTGTTGTCGGCAGCAGCCAGAACCGTGGTACCCGCCGGCATTGGCAGCACAGTCTCAATGGGAGCGGCCATCTTGAACGTCATAGCCGCACGGCCTTCAACACGCGGGTCCCAGATACGAACGGTACGATCGTAAGAACCAGAAACCAGCAACCCAGAGGAAGACATCGAGCCCGGCATGTAAGAACCGCTTCGTACGTAGTCAGTGTGACCGACAAACGTCCGCGCACTCGAGTCTGACGACAAATCCCACAACCGAACAGTACGGTCATCACTGGCCGACAGGAGCGCTGTCGGGTCGCTGGGCGAGAACTTGCTCACCCACACCGGCTGCTTGTGATCCGTCCATGTCTTCAAGATGGCACGCGAGTTCACATCGAAGACCTGCAATTTACCCGTATCATCACCCGCCACAAAGATACGACCATCAGGGCGGACATCTGTGCCGCGAACTGTGTCGTCAAACCGAGTAATCGTCCGCAGAAGCTTGCGTGTGCGAATCGAGTAGATTTGTACTCGCGCACCAGTGGTCACCGTGAAAACGTCCGGAGGTTGTGTCAGAGAATGGAATGCGGCGGAGGAAGATGGGGCGGAAGGTTGAGTGATGAGATTGACCGGGCCATTGGCCGGCGAAGGAATCAACAGAGGGTTCTTGAAGGTGCGCCAGTATTGCTGCTCTGGAGTAAGGCGGGTTGAGGGCAGCGAGGCGAGTTTCACCTGCTGCAGAGGCAGGACGGGCGCCGCCATGGTGATGTGTTGGGTGCTATTTCAAGCGCCGGGAGAAGGCGTAAGACTCAATGAATAGAACCAAGAATGCCGAGACAGAACCTCGTGGCGCGCAGAGGTGTCTGATCGTAAAGGCTGGAGGATCTTTTTTTCTGCCGATCAAAAAAGTTTCGCACTGATTGGGAATGGCGGCGAGAGGTGTTGTGGCCTGAGGCAGATCTGATCGGGGCCATTCTCAGGCCACAAGGCTGTAAGGCCGTAAGGCTACCAGGCACTCGTTCATCCCGCATCATCTCGATTCGGCGGGGTGCATTCATGGACAGCTGCATGCTGTGCACTGCGATCTGCAGGAGTTGTATCATTGTTGAAATATTGACAGCTCGCAGATAAAGTTCCAGTTTCAGAGATGGCATTCACCAGTCTACCTGGAATAGCGATAGCCTCTTCTTGACGCTATTTCTAATGATGATCTATATCTGACATCTCAACTCCATGATAACCAACATCTTCCTCAAGCTTGATCTATCTTTGGCTACAAACTTCATACCTTTGTGTTATTTTCTTGCAGGCTCCCGGGTTCTTCATCTCGATCTCTCTTTTAATAATAGAAATGGCCCGATGGGCAGTGATCGGAAGTCTCGGCGTTGCCCCATCTACTGGGGCAGTGAGGCAGGCAACAGCCAATGTGTCTGACATCGGAAGCAGGGAGAGTTGTACATCATCAATTATCGAGAACTGTCTCACTATGAAGGGAGGAGGTCAATGATATTATCAATAAGATCTGAAGAGTATTCAAATTGTCTGGCATAGGACTCGTTTCGTTGACTCAAAGCGGGGAGGAAGTGGTGTGTTTTGCTCGTCGCCATGGCAATATTTACTTTCTACTATCTTGTCAACCTTACAGGTGGAGAGCTTGTGCCTGACAGGCGTGTAGCAGATCGAATGAAACCGGATTCACAAACGACGCTATCGAAGGATGACGATCACGACTCTGGACCAGTCGCCAATCGTTGCACCTCCTGGCGGGGTGAGATGCCCCTTTGTCCACTTGGCTGTGGTCGCGGTGGTTGCGGTGGCTGGGGAATCTGCGAGAAGCTGACGCCGCCGATCCACCCCATTCTCGATTTCTGGCTGGGGTTGGGTGCAATGAGCGAGGATGTGGAATGAAATGGGGACACTGTAATCTATCTTGCATGTTGGGCTTCATGTGCTGAGCGAGGCTGGAAAAGATGTGTAGTTTGAAAAGTAGAATAAGTGTCAATAGGGCTGACGTAGTTGTGAGGCACAGTCCATAGTCACTGGAGTCATCACAGACTTGTTTATCGATAAATCCCGTATCAGTGTATTGTCATGTATGGTCATATCGCCCGGATCCACCGGGGTCGAGACGCCTGAACCAGGCTGAATCAGGGGTTCTGTCCAATCAGACCAGTCACAGCGTGGATCCCCCAGCCCCCTCAATACAGACCTTGACATTCCAGAAGGTGGGCGTTTATCTTTTCCCCCTCCTCACTCTTCTCTTCTTTTCAGATATCTTCAATGCTGGTTTGCCCTCTTTTATCCCCTGGCTACTGAGCTTGTTTTTGCATCTGGTTGAAACAGCGAGCTTCTGAGCAATCGCTCCTGCAACCATCATGTCAAAGCTCACCAAGATCAACCATGCCGCAGGCATCTTCGCCGATATGTCTGTTGATGGCCCCCCCATTGGCACCCTGGTCGCCATCATTGATCGTGCCAAAAACCTGCCCAATCGCAAAACCATGGGCAAGCAAAACCCATATTGTGCCGCACGACTAGGCAAAGAAGCAAAGAAGACCCCTACCGACCTGCGTGGTGGACAAACTCCCAGATGGTACGTTGATACAACACTCAAAACAATCCCCCTCTAAGCCCAACATTGATTAACATGTTGGAATATCTAGGGATCACGAGCTCCGCTTCACAGTACATGAGTCACCAGATTACTTCAAACTAAAGGTGTCCATATTCAACGACGATAAAAAGACAGACTTGATTGGAGAGACCTGGATTGACCTGCAGAACTTGATCATCCCCGGAGGAAGCCAGAACGACCACTGGCATCCACTCCAGTGCCGAGGCAAATATGCTGGTGATGTTCGGATCGAGATGACCTACTACGATACCCGCCAACAAGACGAGGCGGTCATTGTGAAGCGGAAAGAAGCGGCGGAGAGGGTTCAAGGCAAGGCTGCTGCTGTCACTGGCCCATCAAGCTCGGGACTGTCTGGCCCACGGTCTTTGGAGAAAGTCAAGAGACGGCCTCTACCTACCGATCCATCTGGAGCTGCGCCTCCCCCTCCGAGGCCCTCTATCCTAGAGCAGACTCAATCGGCTCCTCCACCGCCGCTGCAACACCCCCAGCCGTCACGACCGGCCATGCGTGATCATGCTCACACCATGCCCGCACCCACCCCGGTCACGAATCCTGATGCCCTCCCATACCCTTCAAATCAACCCGAACCTTCCTATGACAATCCATCTTACAACCAATCTTACAATGCACGCGCCCCGAGTATGAAGACTCGAGGGACATATGATGCCCATGATGCATACCACAGCGAGTGGGACAATCCAGCTCCCGCTCCCCTTCCACCCGCTGGCACGATGAGACGAAATGTCCACGAATCGAAATATCCTAACGAAATTTCTCAACCTCAATATGAAATTCGCCCTGTTCCTACGATGCGCAGCCACGTAGACTATGATCAGCCTCGGGACTATCGTTCAACATCAGAGCCGCCGTTCGAGTCCGATCCACATGGGAGTCCACTGTACGACCGGGCTCCCCAGCCACAAGATGCGTACAGCTCGGTGGTCTCTCCTCAATACAGTGCAAACCCCATGACATTTGGTCATGTTTCCACATTCACACCACGAGCACCTGGTCATGGCGATGAACCCGCCCCCCTGCAGTATTCACGTCCAAGTTCCTCCTCCGGGCCAGGGGATGATCTCCGATATCAACCACGCACCATGAAAGCCCTGCCGGCTCCTCGAAGTGATCCTTATCATCCAGAATACGCCATGATGCAGCCGCGTGTGGAGGATGAGAATGAGGATGGTCCCCCTCCTCCACCGCCCGTTCATAGGTCTCGCATGGCCCAGCCACCATCACCCGTGAAAATGCCCAGTCAACCACCCTCGCCTTACACACCATACAGCCCTGGGTATGTGAGCCCTGGGTACGCGAGGGATCCCTCTCCGTCCGTGCCAGCGAGTTTGGTGGCTGGTTACGAAAGTGAAGAACAAGATCGGGTGTTTGAGGGACGAACTAGCCGCAAGGGCAGTACCAGTCACATGGAGGATGAGATGATGATTCCTCAACCATTGTCAGCATCTCTCAGCTCGGCCATGGTCCCGGTATCTAAGCCTTCGCAAGCCCCCGTGCCAATCCCTATGCCATATGAGGCCCCTATCTATCCGCTCCGAACGTCTCCGCAGCCTATGGATGATCGAAGCTCTATCAGGAGTAGAGGTGGTTCTGTGAGCCCGGATACACGCATGGTCACTCGCAAGTCCGTCAGCCCACGTCCCTCGACTTCTCGAGGCTCCTCCGTTCCATTCTCCCCCGACTCCTACGATTCGTACAACCCACGGTCGTCTCGGTCGGTGACGAGTAGGGAACCATCGCCGGCATACGATTCTCTCTCTCAAGCGCGAGATGCAGCGGTGCGCTCGGAGGTCGAGCCTATCCGTGACCCCGATCAGCCCATCATCGGTGATGATGGCCGTGAGATTGATCCGTCTGATCACCTACCTACAGACACTTGGGCACCTGAGCCAGAGAGGAAGACTCCTCGCAAGCCTGAGGTGATTATCCGGTTCAAACACTCCCCACGACCTACCTCTCGTGGCAACGACTCCTCTCGCCCCGCCGGCCCACCTCGAGTGGGATTTCGCACTGAGACTGATCGCCCGAGCAAGAAGTACACGCCGACCCACGTTCACACTCGTGAGCCTGTGGAGCGAACTCCGCCTCGCGCGGACCGGGGCCACGATAGCTACGGCAGCTACTCTCATAGTCGGGGCTACAGCACCCCAACCTCAGTAGACCGCCCACGCTCCTCGCGGGGCTCTGTGTCTCCTTCTCCTGGCTCTCGTTCGCCGCTGTACGATTATAACACTGGTCCTCCCATCCCATCGAAGGTGCCAATTTCCCACGGGTCTCCAGGATACCCCGTTGCCGCTAGTCATGTGAGCACTGGCAACCCAGGCATGGACGCCCTGAGCCGGGAGCTCAAGACCATCGACATAGGCTCTGTGGCATGCAGCCCAAGCCGAGCTGTGCGCAAATATGCGCCTCCTCGGCCATCGGCTACCATGGGCTATGCCAGCTGATGAGAACCGACCAAAAACAATAATCTTTGAATTTTGCATATGATGATTTTATGTACGGTTATGTATTGCCTGGGTGGTCTCCTTCGATTTTATACCAGGACTTATGGTTATGATTCAAATTGTGTATTTACTGCTTTGTCTTTCTTTTTCGAATATCCGGCATGGCGGCGTTTTTGGACATTGCCTTTTGATGCACTGTTCATCTAGTATCTGCTCTGTACAACGAAGACAAATGATACCTACTTTGACTTTTGATTGCCTTTCGTGCTGTTAGTTTCCTTGATAACTTAGATTTGTCTAGTTCAGGGGAGCAAAAATAGACGCATCAGCATTTCGCTTAATGTCCACTGATCTCTCTTATCGCAACGTAGCAATGGGATCCATACACCTCTGATAGCCGACCCAACCCAACCTAATCTCGGCAGATCGATATCGCTTATCAACATTCCCCGCCTTTTAGGTCAACTTCGTGACTTCTCCAGTTCCTGTTCCCTCTTCTCTCTTTCACACCACAATCATGGCCGGCCTAACTGAAGCACAGGTAGCCTCGTTCCACGAGAACGGCTACCTGGTCGTCCCTGACTACCTAAGCCCAACTGAGATCGCATCTCTCTTGGCCGAGACCAACACTCTACTCAACGACTTCTCGCTGGACTCACACCCGCTCACGCAATTTACCACCGGTGATGATGACCAGGCCGAACATGTGGGCGATGACTACTTCTTGAACTCGGGCGACAAGATCCGGTTCTTCTTCGAACCGGACGCGTTCACCACCGAGCCTGATCCGCTCACAGGTCGCCCCGCACTGATCAAACCAAAGCACCTGGCCGTCAACAAGATCGGCCACTCTCTGCACACGCTCTCGCCTCCATTCAAGGCCATCTCTCTGAACGAGCAGAACGCCGCCGTGGCCAAATCTCTCGGCTTCGTCGACCCGCGCGTCCTCCAGAGCATGGTCATCTGCAAGCAGCCCTCCATCGGCGGCGCGGTCCCATCGCACCGCGACTCGGAGTTCCTGTACACGAACCCGCCATCAGCGGTCGGGTGGTGGTATGCCTTGCAGGATTCCGGACCTGGCAATGCGACACTGGGTATGTGGAAGGGTTCTCATAAGGGTCGGAAGGGCGGACACATCGCCCGCCGGTTTGTGAGGAGGGCTGATGATAAGGGGACGGAGTTTGTTGAGAATGATGGGCCTTCTTTGCCGAAGGGTATGGAGGAGGAGAAGGTTGAGGAGCCTTCTGATGAGGATTTGGAGATCTTGACTGTTAAGGCTGGGTCGCTGGTTTTGATTCATGGGAATGTGCTGCATAAGAGTGAGAAGAATACTAGCCCGAAGAGTCGGTATGCGTATACCTTCCATGTTATTGAGGGTGCTGAGGGGTGGGAGTATGATAAGAGGAATTGGTTGCAGCCTCCTGAGGGTGGGTTTTCGAGGTTGAATCAGTCTTAAATTGGGGTTTCTCAATGGGAATACAGCTTTGGGGTTGTAGTTTGAGGATGTATATACAAATATCATCACTTCATACAAATTATGATTGCGTAGACTGAAAGTTGCTTTTCCAGCTTCCTGTAGTATACGGTAGATACGATTAGTGGCCTGTGTAGAGCTATCTAAAGTTTTGCGTGCAGTGGAAGTGGAAGATACCTATGACTGACAAGGAATACATAGTACGTTTGATTTTGTACTCAGAATCAAACGAATATCAAGTTTAAAAAGCTGCTTTGGACACCCCAGAGGATTGGCTATACAGATCTTCACGACCATCACGACCAACGGATGTCATAAGAAGTATGCAAGAGCATAACTACTTTCCATTGATATGATTGGTTAACTGGGTGCTTGATCCGTGCTTCCAGGCGGTGGGAGCTCCAGCGGCAGAAAAAAAGTTCGTGGCCAACCCCGCCGCGGTTGCGTCCTTCATTCCTTTCCGGCCAGCGCCATTCTTTGTTCCTCATCTCTTTTCCTCAGTATCTTACCGGATATTTCCATTCTTAGCCCATCTTCGGTCACTGCTGCGTCGAATTTGGCTATCTGTCCCTCGTTGATTCCCGTCGATCGCGGCTGACACCCGCCTGCGACGATCAAGTCAGCTTTGAGTCACCTTGCCATGTCCTACCCTTGACCACGGCGCAATGCAGCCCCCAGAGAGCTCTCAGATCGACCTGGGCAAGGCCCAGGTCATTGATCGTGTTCCTAAAGTGATCAAAGAACTGAAATTTGGTGTTCTGTATGTGGACCCACTTTTATTCTCGGCTTGAGGTCCAAGCTGTAGTGATTTCGCGTGAGACCGGTCGCTAATTACTATCTCTCTTACAGGACCAACGATGATATTGTCAGTCAAGCTGTGGTCGAAGTTTCGGACCGCAAGTTCTTCGACCTCGATCATGACAGAGCGGTTGTTTCCAATGGTCCGCTTGATGCGCGCATGGGTATTTCCAACAAGACGGCACAGTGCAAGACCTGTGGACACATGTTGAAAGAATGTAACGGTCATTTCGGTCACGTCAGGCTCGTCTTGCCTGCCTTCCACGTCGGTTACTTCAAGCGCGTGATTGGAATCCTCCAAGAAATTTGCAAGGAATGTTCTCGCATCCTACTCCCCGAGACAGAGCGCCGTGCCTTCCTGCGCGAGATGCGCCGCCCGGGATTGGATAACCTCCGACGAATGCAAATCGCTAAGCGTATCAATGAACGTTGCCGGAAAACTCGACAATGCGAACACTGCCAGGCGATCAACGGTGTTGTGAAGAAGGCTGGTTCGAGTGCTTTGAAGATCACCCACGACAAGTTCCGCGCATTCAACTCCTCCACTTCGGTCAAGAAGCAGCCTCCGATCAGCAAAACCATCTTTGATGAGTCCTTCGCCGAAGCTCGAAATGCCAACTCAGAAATCGAGAAGCATTTCAAGAAAGCGCAGGATGATATGAATGCTCTGCGCGTGTTGAAGCTTTTCAAGAGAATCTCCAACACCGATTGTGAACTCTTGGGCTTGGATCCAAAGGAGGCCCGACCGGAGATGTTCCTCTGGCAATTCATACCAGCTCCTCCGGTCTGTATTCGACCGTCTGTGGGCCAAGAAGGTGCCTCGACAGAAGATGACCTCACTGCCAAGCTTGGAGATATTGTGCAGTCGAACATCAATCTGAAGAACGCTCTGCTGAAAGGTGCTCCGGTGCAAACCATCATGGAATGCTGGGATTACATGCAACTGCAAATCGCAGTCTACATCAACAGTGATGTCCCCGGGCTGAACAAGGCTGATCTAGGCAAGCCCATCCGTGGTTTTGTGCAACGACTCAAAGGAAAGCAGGGTCGATTCCGTGGTAATCTGTCAGGAAAACGTGTCGATTTCTCCGGTCGTACAGTCATTTCGCCAGATCCGAACCTGCGAGTCGACGAAGTTGCCGTTCCTGAACTTGTGGCCAAGAACATGACATACCCCGAGGTTGTGACTCGTTACAACAAGGAGAAGCTCCAAGCGCGTGTATTGAATGGATCTAAGAAGTGGCCCGGAGCCAACTATCTTATGAAGAAGGATTCAACCTTCAAGATGATGCTGAAGTATGGTAACCTTAAGCATGTTGCCAATGAACTTCAGGAAGGTGACACAGTCGAGCGTCATATCGAGGACGGTGATATCGTTCTCTTCAATCGACAGCCCTCGCTGCACAAGCTCAGTATTCTTTCCCATTTCGCCAGAGTCCGGCCGCATCGAACTTTCCGATTGAACGAATGTGTCTGTAATCCTTACAACGCTGACTTCGACGGTGACGAGATGAATCTGCACGTCCCTCAGACAGAAGAGGCTCGAGCCGAAGCTATGGAACTGATGGGTGTGAAAAACAACTTGGCAACTCCCAAGAACGGCGAGCCTATCATTTCTGCCATTCAGGATTTCATCAGTGCTGCCTACCTGCTGAGCAGCAAGGACAACTTCTTCGATCGTCGATCATTCACCCAAATTTGTCTCTACATGCTGGGTCATGAAACGAAATTCGACCTCCCGCCGCCCTCCGTTCTCAAGCCCCAGATGCTCTGGACCGGCAAACAGGTCTTCAACATTCTGATGCATCCCAACAAGGAAGATCCTGTGCTTGTCAACTTGGATGCTGCTTGTCGTGAATTCAAGCAACCCAAGGATGGCCGGCCAAAGGATCTGGATCCGAATGATGGCTGGCTAGTGATCCGTAACTCCGAAGTCATGTGTGGTGTCATGGACAAATCCACTATTGGTTCTGGAAAGAAGGACAATGTGTTCTACATTATGCTTCGTGATTATGGCCCACCAGCTGCTGCTGAAGGCATGAATCGTCTGTCAAAGCTCTCCGCCCGTTGGTTCACCAACATCGGCTTTTCCATCGGTATCGGTGATGTTTACCCCAGCGCTCGACTGGTCCAGTCCAAGAATGATCTGGTGGAGACGGCTTATGCTGCTTGTGACGAGGTCATTGCCAAATACAAGGCTGGTACACTGGAGAAGTACCCCGGTTGCGACGAATTGCAGACAATGGAGAATCAGCTGTCCGGTATCCTCAGTAAGGTCCGTCAGCAAGCTGGTGACGAGTGTATTGCCCAGCTTAGCAAGTACAACTCTCCCCTGATCATGGCTACATCCGGTTCCAAGGGTTCCAGTATCAACGTGTCCCAGATGGTTGCACTTGTGGGTCAGCAAATTATCGGTGGTTCGCGTGTCCAGGATGGTTTCCAGGATCGAACGCTGCCTCATTTCCCGAAGAACGCGCGCCAGCCTCCGTCCAAGGGTTTCGTTCGGAACAGTTTCTTCTCTGGTCTTTTGCCTACGGAGTTCATTTTCCACGCCATGTCTGGTCGTGAAGGTCTGGTCGATACTGCTGTCAAGACTGCCGAAACTGGTTACATGTCTCGTCGGTTGATGAAGTCACTTGAGGATTTGTCTACTAGATACGATGATACAGTTCGGAATTCGTCGGCTGCTATTGTGCAGTTCCAGTACGGTGACGACAAGCTGGATCCCGTGGATATGGAGGGCAAAGCCAAGCCAGTCCACTTCGACCGAACCTTCATTCACTCTGAGTCGACTACCTACAACAATGACGAGCGAAGTTTGTTGCCGCAAGAAATCATGGAAGTCTGCGCGGAGATGCTTGAGAAGGAGCGTGCTAAGCTCGTCCGCTTTGATCTGATGGGCAACGAACTGGGATACATGGATCGCAGCGACCATGGTGTCGACCAGTTTGAAAGTGCCCGTGACTTCCTCGACTCTATTGAGCATTACGTCCAGGATAAGGCCGAGAAGCTGATCGCTCATGGTGGCGACTACGATCCCTCCGATGCCAGAAGCCGAAAGGGCTTGGACCATACCGGCAAGTTGACCGAGACCACTCTCCGGGCTTTCATCGCCGCTTGTCTATTGAAGTACAAGAAAGCCCAAGTCGAACCCGGCCATGCCGTCGGTGCAGTCGGTGCCCAGTCCATTGGTGAACCCGGTACTCAGATGACCTTGAAAACTTTCCATTTCGCTGGTGTTGCCGGCATGAGTATCACTCAGGGTGTACCCCGTATCAAGGAAATTATCAACGCCTCCAAGGAAATCAGTACTCCGGTCATTGCCTGCGAGCTGGTCACCAAGGATCAAATTGCTTCGGCTCGCATTGTGAAGGGTCGGATTGAGAAGACGTATCTTCGCGATGTGATTCACTCGATCACAGAAGTTTGGACAGGCAATGAGGCCTACATTACTGCCAAGATCAACCAGAAGACGATTGACGATCTGCAACTTGAAATTACAATGCCCCAAATTCTTGCCGCCATCAAGAGCCACAAGCGATTCAAGGGTGACGACCTCAAGTTCCGTACCACCCGCAACTCCATCACCCTTCTGATCGACCTTGACCCAGCTAGCAAGGCAGGCCTGTCGAAGACCGAGATTGCCGCTACCAGTGCCGATCCCTTCTTGCGTCTCAAGCATCTGAAGCGCATGATGCCCAACATCCAGATCATGGGTCACCCGCAGGCTGCCCGTGCCATCATCCGAACCGATGAGAAGGGAACCACCAACACCCTTCTTGTGGAAGGCTACGGTTTGAGGGATTGTATGACTACTGCTGGTGTGGATGGTCTGCACACTAGAACCAACAACGTCATGGAGGCTCGCGAGGTTCTCGGTATCGAGGCCGCCCGAAGCACAATCATTACTGAAATTAGTGAGGTCATGAAGGACATGGACATTGATCCTCGTCACATGCAGCTCCTCGCCGACGTTATGACCTACAAGGGTGAAGTACTGGGTATTACTCGTTTCGGTCTGGCCAAGATGCGTGACTCCGTTCTCCAGCTGGCCTCGTTCGAGAAGACTGCCGATCACCTCTTCGACGCCGGTGGTGCAGGCCGCACTGATCTCATCGAGGGTGTGTCGGAATGTATTATCATGGGCAAGACAATGGGTCTGGGAACCGGTGCCATGGAAGTCGTCCGCAAACTCAACTTCTACGAGGGACAGATTGGCGCGCGGAAGACTGGCTTCGAGGATGCTTGGACTGAGCTGTGCGAAGCGCCTCAGCCAACCAGAGGCAAGAAGAGAGTCCGGTAGTGGTGATCGCTCCTGCCGTTATCCACTTGCTTCTTGCATCAGCATTGTTTTCCTGGCGTTTCTGAGGGGCCTTGTTTCTATCATCTGCTCGGCTGTCTGTCTTTCTCTCTTCCTGCTGAGGCAGACCCCCATTCTGTACATGTACATCACCCACTAGCGCCCATATTGGCGGCTGTTTTCTGCAACGTTAGCGATAGTGACGATATGGAAATGACGAATTCTCTTTCTCTATGCAAATTGAATTTTAGTAGAATGTAGAACAGTCAGTGGTCGTTTGCTCTTGTAGGTCTTCATGTATTCGTGGGTTAGGAGCAAACTGAGGACTGTCACTCTTCCCTTTCTTCGCGTTGTACTTTTTCGGACCACCCCCGTCAGACGTTTATATCGAACTCGCCGAGGCATCCTTTCATGCCGCGAAACAGCGTTTCGGCTCGTTACATACTTCGCCTACCGATATCTCGTGTTTTATTCTGGCGGTACAATATCATAGACATGCGATACGTCCATTGCAAGCTTGGTTTTGCTTCCAACAGGCCTCTTGCAGATTGGAAGTTCGTCTACGGCCCTTGTGCAGAAAACCGTGAACCGCTGATGCGGACTATCATAATCTTGAATCACGGTTATATTGGTCTTGTATTCAGGCAGAACAGTAAGTTTTGAAACTTTGACGACTCCTTCCAGATTGACCAGATTGATATTAGTATCCAAATTAACCAATCCGAATTAAATAGTGAAATGCAGAGCGAACTCCCCTTGTGAAGTAGTGGATTGGAAAAATTGGGCTACTCCGATCCTTTCCCTTCGAAGACTTGATAAGATGATGGAGGATATCAATGATAGCCCACCCAAGCCACCGAACACTAACGAATCAGACGACGAAAAGGGCTGGATCCTGTATATCGGACCGATATACAACCGCCGAACTGTCAACGACATCCTCATTGATATGTGGCGTGGTGGAGAAGACGAATGGATCACAAATATCGGCGGCGTAGTCCAAAGAACCGCCGATGCAGTCCAAGTAGTTGATTTCTGGTATGTCAACCCAAGCTAAACCTATTTCCGTACATGAGAACCACCTCATAACCTCCACGAAGCTCCCCGATTGGACACACTCCCACTAGCGACTCCTCCTCTAGGTTCGAAATAAGGCGCGAGCAACTATCCCAAGCCTCCCCTGACCCATCCCCCGATAACAAGGGTCTTCAATTCTACCTCTGGGGCCGCCGAGCCCTCTGCTTCGAAAAAGTCTACCGCTCAATCCTCTACCTAGCAATACACCACCACTCCCTCCCATCCTACCACCAAAGCAACACGCAACTCTTCCGCGAAATCTTCAGCCAGGCCCAAAAAGCAATCGACAATTGCGCAGAACTCATCCCGCGCTGGTGGTACCACCACCGCCACGGGTATATCTGGAATATCCTGCGGAGCACGTTCGGCGCCGCGGTGCAGATTATCGCCGCCGTGTTGGGGAGTTTGAATGTTCGCAGGCCCGGGGGTGGATGTTGGAGCCACCGACGAATTGGGCCGCGCTTGTGAGGACGTGATTCGCACGTTTGAGGTATTGGGGTGGGGAGTCGATTGATGTGGATTTTATGAGGGCGACGTTGGAGAGGATGTATCAGGGGACTTGTCGGTTGGCGGGGGTGAGGGCGGATTTTGTGTTTCATTCGTGAGAATAGAGGATATGGGTGTTTATTGGGTTGTATTGGAAGGTGGATGCGAAAAGTGATTTATGAGTGACGACTACATGATAATACGTTAGAGAGTTACAGGTACGAGGTCTTACTGTGTTTGGAAGATATTGGATCGAATGTCCATTGTGAGGCTGTAATTATCTAATGTACAAGGTTATACCCTCCTTCCCCTGAAAGGAAAATCAAAAATGAGAAGAACTATGCGCCGTGATATGACATCCGCAGCTCGCTCCGGCTTACCGCCCTGCTAAGATCTCATCTCCACAACCTAGGATAGGATAAGGAAGGAAGATGCCATCCATGGCAGGGATCAATCAGCCAGGAGAATTGCAGAGGTGGAAAAAACGAAACAAATAAAAACGCCTGGTGCGACCCCCAACCCATCATCCAAGGACAATGGAAAGGGGGTAGCCATGCAAAACGTTGCGGGAAATAACCGAAGCAACGCCCAAGAGGCACCTTAATCCGCCAGAAATGTTTCCACCAACCCGGAAGAGACTAGCTCCATCCTGGGTTAAAATGTTCAGCAGAAAAAACTTCCCTAGGGGGGTTGCCATGCATTGTCGTGATTGGATAGGGTTATGAAATACAAGGTGAAAGGGGTGAAATCGTCATGCTGGGGAAGACGTGGCGTGGGGAACAGGAGGAGGGTATTTATCGAGAGACCAGATTATAGTATCTGGTTGGATCATCGGAAGGTATTTAGGGGTCGTGTCGGAAGGTACAGTTGTCGCCCTTCCGGCACTTGCCTTCCTTCCAGAACCGGCAGGCAACGAGTCCGACCTTGTACTATTTTCCAAATTAGCATTTCGGATTGAGCAAAGCATAATGTGTAATCAAAACTTACAGGCTTGAGATCGTTCGCCTTAGTCCGCTTGCCACGACTCCACTGGTTGTCGTATGGGTCATCATAGTGACCACTGTCACGGACTCGCTTGCGCTCGGGATCCTCGTAACTCTGGGTCGAGTTCGAGGGACCAGCTTGCTGATTCTGTCCGGCGAATTGCGAGAACATAGCGCCCAGATTAGGTTGCATCTGTGGCTGCGACTGCACCGGCTGCTGCTGAGCGAAGCCAGTTCCCTGCTGGAACTGCTGCATCACGCTCATGAGCTGCTGGAAGTCCACACCCCCTGGCACAGCTGGTGGCTGAGCGATAGGCAGTTGTGGAATCTGGGGGACCAGAGGGACCTGAGGCTGACCCTGCTGTTGGCGGAACATGCTGATGGTCCGCTCGAGGTCGGACATGGGCGCCTGCTGGGCAACTGGCGGAGGCGCAGGTTGCTGCTGCGGGGTCCCGGCCTTGATGATTTGCAGTAGGCTTGAAATATCAAATCCAGGGTTTCCCACAGCTGCAGCTGGCGCTGGCACTGGCGCAGAGACAGTGACGGCCGCGGCAGCAGCGGTAGCGGCTGCAGGCTTGGGATTGACATAGTCAAAGTAACGTTCCTGTCGAGCCTATTGCAATGGTTAGTTAGTAATCAGCCAACGTCAAGGTTCTTTTGATTCAAAGGTAAGCCGGACATACCTTGACATTGTCAGGGATTTCGCCAAAGGGAATGACTTCAGAAGCGTTTTCATTCGGATCAGCACCAGGAGGTTCCTTCGGAGTAGGCGGGACATCAGCAGGAGAAGCGTGGAACACCATGAGAGTGGTCGCCTCGCGCTGTTCTTGAGCGGTCTTCTCATTGCTGACAGGAGGTTCATCACCGCCACGCTTAACAAAGTTGGCGCTTTTCATGTCCGCGGACTCAATGAGAATCTCAGATAGCCCATTGTAATCATTAAGAGTAGTCTCCCGGATGCCACCAAGGTCATCTTCCTCAAGTTCCTCCAGATCCTTGTGAAGTTTGAGGACACTACCCTCTCCCTTAACATCGCCCATACCGCGCATAGATCCATCGCCGGGACCAAGCTCTTCGTCCGGATCGTGAGTGAACAGCCGAACTTCAGTCAGTTGATCATCCGGCTTCCACGTAACACGAAGCTTGCGCCGCGCTTCCTTGCGGAGGCGCTTCTGGCGCTCCTCTTCAGTCTCCGGTGGTTTGTCTTCTGCAGGCTTGGCGACAGCCGCCTGCTTGGGCTTGCTAAGGTCCGCCAGGATGTCGCCGAAGGAGAACGCGGGCTTCGGAGCCGGTGCAGTCGGTTTGTCTTTGCTTTCTGGCGGCGGCCTATCGTGAAAGTTAGTACATTCGTGCGTCGATTCAAGTGCAAAGCGGGAAACATGATATAACATACGTTGGCTTCGCAGCCGCTTGAGCTGCTTTTCGTTCCGCGTTGGTAGTGCCCAGTCTCTTGGATGCTGAACTGAGTGCCCCAAAGATGACAGTCGGCTTGGGGGCCGCGATTGGCGGCTTTGGGCGAGGAGCAGCCGGCACAGGAGCAGACTTACCGTTCTGGATGCCCTCTGAAGTACGTTTGATAGGACCGTTTGACGCAGAGGTCGGCTTAAGAGTGTCCTTCAGATTGGAAGTAACAATCATCCGCTTCGTAGCGGGTTGACCATTGCTCTCACCATCCCGCAAACGTTTGGCGCCCACAATCTCTGCTGACGGCGAGTCTCCTTTAGCGGGTGACTCTTCCTTGATTGGCTTCGCATTACTCTGCTTCCTTTTGGTAGATGCGGCGGCATTGTCTAGGATAGTCTGCGCGAGGTCCTTGACGCGGGGTGTTCCCTTCTTGAGGAATCGTGGAAGCAGCTTCGCCATGTTGGTTTTCTGCAGCAATTCCTCGTCTACAGTCACAAATCGTGCAAGAAGCTAACAATTGAGTTAACATCCAAGTAAGAGTCTAGTATATGGTTGAGATTCATGTTAATTCTTGAAATAGAACGCACCTTCAGCAAGTTCGATGTCAACGAGCCTTCCAAATCAGCGGCCTGGAACCGATCCGCCAGGAATGAGTAGAACACGGACAGTGTTACCGGATGTTCGCCAAGCCTGTGTTATTGCGATAATTAGCGATCTGAATGAAACGAATGAGACGAAACAAAGATAAGGTCAAAATGTAATTGGTCAGCATGCAAGATGGTAGAATCTTTGTAGAACCGAAGCATTGGCAGCCCTTCCATTTCGCTAGACCGGGGTCAAATTTCATTCATCCGGTCTCGCGGGATGGCATAGAGTAGCTTTTCTGAAGGCATCCCTCACGACTGCTTAGTCGTAGCCACCTGCAGCTTTGACCTCTCCGGCGGACTTGGGCACGATCTCACAAAGTAGTGTATTCGGCCTCAAGACAGCAAGACGAAGCCTTAAATTCTAGCCAGGATCATTGGTAATCAAATAGAAAAGTTCATCCAGGATCACAAAAGACAGGATTACGTGGGTCTTGCTCTTAATTCCCTTCAAAAGTTTTATGGCCATGCCAACCACAGGAAGAAAGTGCAGCAGGGGAAAGAAAAGGATCAAAGGGAGGAGGGGGTCATACTTCTCGACGATGACAGGGTGACCTGTTTCTAAAGTGGCGGAGATAATCTTCTCCATGGTGCGACGCTGGAGAGCCACGGCTTGCTTAAGTTTGGTTGCCTTGTCATTGTCCCCATGGTTCTCTGCGGTTTTCATTGCTTGGACTTGGTCTTTCCAGCCATCACGGAGCCCTTTAACAACATCCTTGAATGCAACCAAGGAGGCCTTTACTTTCTCGGCAGGGACGCGCAGATTACGCGGAGACCAAACCGCTTGTATTGTGTCATAGTGCGCAGCTTCAAGAGGCTCACTTGATCGAACCGCAGGAAGGGGAGACGGTTCTGGGTCAACCTCCAAATCGGACTCGTCAGAACTTCCACTGTCCGACTCTGTCTGCTGCTTCTTTTGTCCCTTTATACCAGTCTTCTTGACCTGTGGGGCCTTCTTAGCTGGGGCCTTCTTGGGTGCGGGGGCAAGGGCAGGTTGATGGGGGATTCCAGCAGGTCTCGGAGCAAGTCCGCCTAACTCAATTAGTAAAGGTAGAAAAAAAGACATAAGGGTTATCAGATATAAAATTCGTACCAAGTTGAGCGACACCAGTATTCTGGGGTGTGGTTAGTTGTGGCTGAACTGAGAGATCGTTCTGGAAATAATTGAAAAGCCCATCGGGTCTTTCAAAGTCCACCGAGCCTCCGAAGGAAAAGTTACTAGGCAGAGGGTGCGACGCATTCGACGACCGAGCCATCTCATTGAGAAATGACGGGTCGATTGTTTGATGGGAAACTCCGGACTCAGTACTCGGGAAGTCGTCATTAGTGAGGTCGATGGTGTTTGACAAGAGGTCCTGGGGAAAGCTCGAGGGCATAGAATATTGCATAGAGGACTGTGGGGCACTGGTGGAATATTCCGGTTGCTGCTGTCTTGCTTGTTGTTGTTGTTGATGTTGAGGTTGGTGTTGTTGGGGGGGCGTTCGAGATGGGAAAGAGTCTTGGAGAGGAAGTTGTTGCGGATGGAAGTAGCCCGGCTGGTATGAGTATGAGGGGAAGTTCGAGCTCTCGGATGGATTGATCGAAAGAGGATCGAACGGCATTTGGCCCTGCTGATACTGCGAAGTTTGTTGTTGGGTTTGGTATTGAGGGGAATTTGCGTATCGAGCTGGAGTCTGCAGCGGGTTTGATTGCCAAGAAGGAGGAGGAATTGAGGAGTAAATGCCGTGATTGGGGTCGGACTGAGGGGCGAGAGGGTTCTGATGCTGTTGCGCTCGCTGCTGCTGTTGTTGGAATACGGGATGATCCCAGGTGATCCCCATTGGCGCTTGCTGCTGTGCAGACGGATTCTGTTGCTGTGACGGCGCAGCTTGAGGTTGGAGCTGAGGATCCTGATACAAAGCATCGATAGAAGACCAGTAGTCCGCCGACGGGACCCCCTGTGGAGCTCCCGCATGGGGCAGACCCGGCATCTGATTTTGTGCCGATGACTGCTCCATGATGGTTGGCGTCCACGAGTGAAGTCAACTCGTCGAAGAGACGTTTATTGCTACAGTCCCAGTATCACGTGTATCCAATAGTTTGAGTTGCTGACCGCCTGCCGGGAATGGAGATGGCGCGGGTAGCGGAGAATAGTTCGACCGAAGGGATTTTGCGGGGGATCAAAGCTGTGTGGATCAACTAAAGTGTGGAAGAAAGCACCATGAGAAGAGAGTCCAAAGTGATCAACGAGGATCGAAAGCTGATCGAGCTGATGCAGCAGAATAGTAATAAGAGTTTTTCTTTCTTTTGAATACTGTTCTTTCGTACCTTTTAAACTGCAGTTTCTGCTTGGCTTGGCGTCTTAAGAAAAGTGTGGTCTTTCTGCCTCAGGCATAAATTGCTGATTTCTGGTTGCCAAATTTCTCAGGCTGTCAGGCTCTTTTGGCTCTGCAAGTTATGGGTTGTTCCCGTGACGATAAAGAGAGACCCCCTGGTCTTCGCTCAGCGTCTTAAGCGACTTAGGATGACGCGCCTGCAGCAATACACTGGAGAAAAGAAATGGAACGACCACGAGATCTTCAAGGATCTCGAGAGCTTATGTCTCTCTGAACTGGGCGTCTTTTCTCCGTCACGTTTGTACTTGTTCCAGTCTGTTTCCCGTCTTCTGCAGAGTCTTTTCTGCTCCTGCCACGCTCCTTCAAGACTTGTCTCAGAAACCCCTCACTTGAGTGAGAAGAGTCAGGCTCCTATACAAAGAGCCAGTCTAGCAGCATAGCCATTTGCTTTACGTAGAAGGAAAAGGGGAAATTGGGGGATGGGGGAGGGGAGAGGTGGTAGTGACGGATGGTTGACGGAAGGGGAGTTGAGGTCGAACGGGAATAATGAAATCCTGTAGGCCCACTGAACGGTAATGGGCAGAACGGGATGTCCGCCGTACAGAGCGCGATCCGAATCCGTAATCAGGCACGCTAGGCGTACGTTACAGTATTTCTATTACCAAGCGCCTTGATGGAGAAAGGGCGGCTAGACATGGCATGTGATCTCCAGGTTTGCACTATTTGCTCTCTATATTATGTCAGCCTCTCCGTGGATGCGGCCAGGTGGAGCGACTGGAGGGAGGCGATGTCAACAGTCGCAGAGTATCCACGCCGTCCAGTTAGGGACCTTTTCTAAGCCTGTCTCTCATGTCGTGAAACTGCTTCAGCTGTGACTGTGTTCTCGACTGTTGTCTGTGGTGTTCGCCTTTGCCATGGCGCATCCCATGTCCCTCCGAGACCGACAGGTCGGTAAGTGGCCGCATACTCCTCCCCCGCGACATATCGACAAATTTCCGAGGCTGACTGAACCCCCTATGATCTAGCGTCAATCCAAAAGCTGCTGAATTTGAATCATGATCCAAAGCCCGCAGATGACAATGCCCATGAGTCGTCTACTCACGGGGGCCTTATCTCCCAATCCACCCCGATCTTGAATGAAGATGGCGATCCGATCTGGAAGGTCCTGGTGTTCGATGGCATGGGCCGGGATGTCATCAGCAGTGTGCTGCGAGTTAATGATCTCCGAACTTGGGGAGTGACTATTCACTTGTATGGCATGCTCTCAGCCCCTATGTGATCTTGAGGAACCCGAACCGCTAACCAACAACGCTTCCAAAGGAACATCCACTCCCAACGATACCCCATTCCCGATGTCCCGGTTGTCTACCTTGTCGAGCCCAATGAGGCTAACATCCAAGCCATCACACGCGATCTCTCCCAAGGGCTCTACTCCCCAGCCTACGTGAACTTCCTCTCCTCCGTCCCTCGGCCCCTCCTCGAGGACTTTGCTTCACAGATAGCCGCTTCCGGTGCATCGGAGCACATCGCGCAAGTCTTTGACCAGTATCTCAACTTTATTGTCGCAGAACCAGATCTCTTCAGCTTGGGCCTTGGAAATGATGCATACTACAAGATCAACAGCGGGAAGACCAGCGACGAGGACTTGGATGCGATCGTCGATAAGGTCGTCAGTGGTTTGTTCAGCGTGAGCGTTACTATGGGTATGTGCAGCTTGCTGACCGACTTGAGTATCATGCTTTCTTGTTTTGTCGGGTCGCTGACTGATTCTACTAGGAACGATCCCCATCATTCGATGCCCCAAGGGTGGTGCAGCCGAGTTGATCGCCACGAAGCTGGACCGCAAACTCCGTGATCACATCCTCAACTCAAAGGACAATCTCTTCTCAGGCGGTCAGAGAGCCTTGCCTGGAGTACCCTCGTCTCGTCCTGTTCTGATCATCATGGACCGCAATGTCGATCTGGTCCCGATGCTCTCTCACTCTTGGACCTACCAATCACTGGTGCAAGATGTACTTCAGATGCGCTTGAATCGGATCACGCTGGACGCGGACGAGCAGGGCTCGGGCAAGGTTACAAAGAAGTCGTACGATCTAAACAGCAACGACTTCTTCTGGCAGCGAAATGCCGGGGCACCATTCCCTCAGGTCGCCGAAGACATTGATGCTGAGTTGACACGGTACAAGGAGGATGCGAATGAGATCACAAAGAAAACTGGTGCGTCTTCCATTGAAGATCTCCAGAACGATACTAGCGCTTCTGCGCAGCACCTCAAGGCGGCTATCACGCTGCTCCCGGAATTGCGAGAGCGTAAGGCCGTGCTTGATATGCACATGAACATCGCCACTGCCCTGCTGAAAGGTATCAAGGACCGCCAGCTGGACAACTTCTTCGAGCTGGAGGAGAATATCACTAAACAGTCCAAGTCACAGCTCTTGGAATTGATTAATGACCCCGCCAAGGGTAGCAACCCGCTGGACAAATTGCGTATCTTTGTCATCTGGTTCCTCAGCACAGAGACCGAGCTGAACCGCGCGGAAATGACCCAATTCGAGGAGGCCCTGACCAAAGCCGGTGTAGAGGATGTCACCCCTCTTTCCTATGTTCGACAGGTCCGTGAGATTACTCGGATGACCATGATGACCACCGCGGCCCCAGAGCAGCAGTCCTCCTCGGATCTGTTCCGTGGATTCTCTTCGCTTTCCAATCGTCTCACCGATCGCATCACCTCTGGTGCCCTGGGTGCCAACTTCGACTCCCTCATCTCCGGCGTGAAGAACTTCTTGCCCGCAAACAAGGATTTGACCGTGACCAAGATTACCGAGTCCATCATGGACCCGTCCGCGGCGTCCAGTTCTGCTATCGCCAAGACAGAAAATTATCTCTACTTCGACCCACGCAGTGCCAATGCTCGTGGCGCCATGCCCCCTGCCTCCGCGTCTCGAAATACTCAAATGCCCGGCGCAATGGGTGCCTCGGCCCCTGGCATCAATGCCACCTTTGGCCAGCGCCGGCAGGCCTTCAATGAGGCTATCGTCTTCACCGTCGGCGGTGGAAGTATGGATGAATACGGCAATTTGCAGGACTGGGTACACCGGACTAGTGGCCAAGCAGGCGCGGATGGTGCGACATCTGCGAATCGCACTACTGGTCGTCGCCGGGTCGTCTACGGCAGTACGGATTTGATGAACGCGACCGAGTTCCTGACAGATTCGTTGGCGCCTTTGGGTCGGGAGAGTTAGATACCTTATTCTTCTTTTCCCTTTGCTTTTTTGGATAAAAGATATCTTTGGTAGCCAGGTCGGCGAGGTAGATTTGATGGTTTGTAAAACATATTTATAATGCAAGCACAAGCAACCCAGTGCATGTCTACAGATTCATCCCAAAACTACAAATAATTACGATATTGTGAAAAGCTTTAAGATACGGTTGGCGAATAGGCGAAACGAAATCGATTAATATGAAGTTAAGGTGAATTGAACGCAGACAAAAGTGGATTGGCCACGACCCTAACTATTGTAGTGGTAAGTTACCACTCTAATTTCCGAGACAGATATTTACAATTTGATGTTTCCCCTCTCTGAGAGATCGTTCACTGTGTTTCCAATCACCTCTGCTATTGCGAGGACTTTCTCTTCTTGTAGTCTTCGTCCGACGACTTGAATGCCGACTGGAGTCCCGTCTGAGAGCACTGGATCATCTAGAGTCATGTGTTAGTTGAAGAAATAGCACTTTCGATGAACATTCACTTACAATCATCGTGAACTAGTTTATCCAGCTCATTCAACGGCACGTAGTCCTCGTCGTCATACCGATCTATATCTTTCTGGACCTCTGTGACGGGTATACCACAAGCAGTGAAGTCAAGGACATTGGCAAGGGTGGAATATCCTAGATAGAATTAGTCATTGTCTTTCTCCTTATTGATAATTCTTGTGGGTTTCTCACCAAAATACCGTACTTTCCCACGCACAGGGGCAGGCGTCGGAGCCACAGGCATCAGGAATACATCCACTGGTCTCCCAGTGCCAGTAATCTCAGCAGTACTATTCCAATATTCCAGATATGACCTTCTGTAATCGCGAATGGCAATATTGATGCCATTGATTTCGGTTGCGCTCGCCTCCGGCTGTGGCAACAGACCGAACACGGTTGCGGGCACGGGTTTTGCTGCATCTACCAGCCCGAGGTCGACTCTGTGTGGTGGCTCTCCGGATAGCTTGATTGCCTCATGGAAGGCTTTGCCTCCATCGATGGTTACGGCTCTTTTCTGTGTCCGGGGTTAGTGTCTTGGGGGAAATGGGGGACTCGGGGTACATGCCCACAATGAGAATGTCTCTCGGTGACTTGGGGGATTCCAGTCGATGACCTGCGCTTGATTAGTAAAGAGATATAGATGACACGCTGTAGACATGATCATACCGAGTGTCCCAAGGATTTCAGTTTGTTCACCACAATGTCCATCGCTCTTTGCACCGGTGGCTGGACATTCACATAATGATCCGTTCTCATAATACCGAATGAGAGCTGAAAGACTCCGGACGCACTTTCCTTGAATTGGGTATAGATTTCCTCTCGCCAGGGTATTTCATGGACGAGCGGATCATTCATCCAAGGGCTTAGACTAAGCAAGCTTCTCATCGCATGGGTAATGGCCTCAGGTAATGGGGCCATAAATCCAAGTACGAAAGGGATAGCTGTCTGCCCATCCACTAAAGATGAAGTCCCTTCATAGGGAACTCGTCCTGTCGAAGGTCGTATTCCATAACATCCATTCCATACTGCGGGCACACGCACAGAGCCTCCAATATCGGTACCCATGCCGAGTGGGCTTCCCTTGAGAGCGAGTAACCCCCCTTCGCCACCGGAGCTGCCACCAACGTTGAAACGCCTGTTGCATGGGTTGGCAGTGTGTTCTATGATGTTGTTAAAGGTGTCAATCGTGAATGAACCAGTCGGAACACTTGTCTTGACGAAGAGAACTGCTCCAAGTCGTCGAAGCAGAGTGGCGATCTGGCTTTCACGGGAGATGCTTGTGGCATTGCCCACCAATCCAACAAACCCCATAGTTGTATCAACATCTTTGATGTTTACCACATCTTTGAGGCTGACAGGTAGCCCGTGAAGGGCTCCGATGGGCTTTCCGTGTTTCTTAATGTACAAGTCACACGCATCGGCGTCTCTCAGGGCTGCTTGGAAGAATATCTCGTGTAGACAGGATATCTATGAAAAATGTTTATTAGCGCTCTGGGTGTCTTGAATGTAATTGACTGACCATCTGATGTGCTAGTGCCGCTCGATGACAAAAAGCCATGGTTACTTCACGAGAGGATAGCATGCCGCTCGCTAACTGCTCCAACAAGGAAACACAATCCATTTCTGTGATCATCACCTCTCGGCAGGAGAGGTAGCTCTGGATGGTTCCTTTTCGTAGATCAGGCACATCTTCAGGTGAGGGGAGAGGCTGTGCCAGGCGCCATTCGGATGGAATCAAGGCTAGCAAAGCATTGCGTTTATGCTCGCCAGCTAGTTTCCAGGATTCTGTTGCACCCATTTTGATTTCAAATAAGACAGGAGAGAGTTCAATGTTTTGCTAATAGACGAAAGTTTTTCAGATTCGACGGAGACACCAGGGTCTTTATACCCAGACTCGACCTTCGCAAAAAAGACTCATGATAGAACATCTAAGAAGATGTGAAGCCAGCATAGTCCTAGTCCAGACTTGACCAATCACGATACAATCCTTTGAGAACCCGTTTCGCAAACATTGACTGATTTGGTTAGCCTCCGTCCTGGCCGGCTCCCGGCTTACATAGCGGGGGATAAGCCATGTACTTCCAAGTCCATAAGATCATCCATTTCGCAAAATTCTCTGTATCAAGTCTCGGTTTCTGAATAATGCCGTCCTGATAGGCGTCTTTCTTGTTGTAAAATCTTTCTAGCTTGCTAATCTCACTGCCAACTTCTTGATCAGTGATGGTTCGTGGAGCAGGCATGAGCCGAGGCTGTGCAAATTGTCGCCAGCGGAAGGTCAAGGTTAGTGAGATATGTTGTATTCGGTCCAGACATCTCCGATCCTAAGCTCCTTCAGTGTGATGAAAGTCAACCGGAATGTGCTCGATGCCTAAAGTCTGGGAAAAAATGCCCTGGCTCGGTGCTTGGTTTGGTTTTTCTCGCGTTCAATGGTAGGGGTTCCACGAAATCTAAAAGAATCGAACATGACTGTCGAGACACGAGACAAATCTACCAGCCACTTATTAAGAGAGATTCAACGACTACTTTGCAGCAAATATCTTCTACCTCCGCGTTGCCAAGTGACATCCACACCCCAGACCCAAGTGACTTACTGGAGACACAACTCAGAGCATCCTTCATTTCCTTCTTCATCCGATCAGGGCCAAATAAATCGCGCAGCCAATCATGGCTCGAGTCTTCTATTCTCAGAACAGAAAATATGAGCATCCCTGGATGGAGGGAGTCAGTACTCGCCGCAACGCTAGCGCTCTATGGGACCAGTGAACAAAACCCAGGAGCAATCGCAGCCGCATACAAATGGTACAACCATGCCCTGTGCTACCAGCGTCAAAATCTGAGGCTCTTCATCGAGAATCCATCCGTTCAAGTCAATGAGATGCATGTATCAATGGCGGTTATCCTAGCCTACTCCGAGGTCGTTCTTCCGTCCCATACTAGGGCTTTTTCTCAGCATATCAAGGCGGCAGCTACATTGCTCCAAATTGTCGGTCCAGAAGCATGTATGCATGACAATCTTCACCAAATTTTTCTTACTATTCGACTATACATGGTGAGATTTCCATCTCTTTTCATTGCCTGATATTAACCTCATCTCAGGTCTACGAGTCGTTTGGGGAACGAAAAGTGTCTATCTTCGCATCCAACGATTGGATTGATGTACCGTTTCAAAACAGAGAGAAAAGCTCGTTGGACCTCGTGATTGATTTGCTCCTTCAGATCCCCGGAGCTAGCCCACGCATGGCTGCAACCCTGCTCGAAGGGCTATGGCGTCAGCTCGTCCAGAGCAATCCTGACTTGATATCTTCGCCTCGACACATCATGCTTAAGCAAGTCTTGGGGTTTCGGGACCTCTGGGATTGCGTACCAGATAGATTCCGCCACTCAAGCTCTGAGGCTGCCATTGCACTCGCATTATACAATTTTGGTTGGATAACCTCTCTCTCACTGCTGAAACAATGTGGCGATCATGCGGCTGAATACGCTGAGCTCATCGATAGCCACTGTGGGACAATCCTAGATGCAGCAGCTTTTGTGTCAACCATTGAGGATGGCTGTAGTTACATCCGGCTAACACCACCCTTGAGGAGTGTCTTGCAATACAGCAGCAACCAGGGCCAACGAAAAAGCGCGCTTTTATTTATGCGGGCGTGGGGAAAGTCTATCAACTTGCTGCAATTGTCTACTGGCCCGTTTGGCCAAAATTGGCAATTTCATGATTCAGATTGAACTAAGTGTGTGGAGAAAACAATAGATAATCCTCAATGTCCCTGTCGTTCCTATGAATTCCGTCAAGTATTCTCTACTATTCCAGCCTCCTATGAGATGAGACAAGAGAAGAATCGAGATTTCAGATGTTGTAACCAGTTTCAACATAATTTTCTCGAATGAACTAATGTTGCCTCTTCAGGAAATTTTCCATCTGTCTAATTGCCAGAGATGTCTCCACAACCGCCGCTCAACACTTTCGCCTTCCAGGGCGACAGCCTAGAACCAAAAGTTCCAGAAAAATGAGCTAACCATTTTGGCTCTCCAAATCACTTGTTTGGCTTGCCATTTTCCTTCGGCCGCCTCCTTTGCCCCCATGTTGGCGATTTGCTTCTTACAGAGGGGAGTGATGTCAGTAGATGATCATGCCCGTGGTGTCGAATGCACCACCGAACGCCACCAGAATCAATTATAAATATTCAACATGAATAAGCCTTTGAGGTTGTTTTGAAAATCAGATCAATCAAGTGCCTTGCAACAAGCAACAAAAGCAAAAAACCGACTTCCAAGGAAGTTAAAAAGCACATTCAAAATGACAGACCGCCGCTACGGAAGCCGTGCCCTCGGTAGCACCTACGATTACGACACTACCGGTACGACCTACGATACCACTGGAACCAGCTATGATCCCACTGGCTACAGCACCTACGGCACTGACGGGTACGGTTCAACAGGCTATGGTGCCGCCAACACTGGCTACGGCACCACCTACGACACGGGCTATGGCACCACCACCTATGATCCCAGCAGCGGTGCCTACGATCAGCATCTAGATTACCACACCGATGGCTCTCGCCGTCATCACCGTGAGCGACTTGATAATAGCGGCGTCTACCGCCACCGGGACGTGGACCGTCGTGACGATGGTACCACTCATGTTCACCGCGAGTACGATAACCCCAACACTGGTACCAGCTACCACCGGGACTACGAGCGGTAAACTATGGGGAGATGAATAAAAGGAGGAATCCCGTCTTAGATTTGGATCTAAGCGTGTGTATAGAGGTTCACGTCTTCATGAGTGATGCGAGAATGAAGGGGGAAAACTACGCCGAAAAAGGTATAAAATGGTCCTGAGAGGCCAGAACCCAAAAAGAAAAGAAAAAATCGAGAAAACCGCAAAAAATGACAAAAAAGATGCCCCTGTTTTCTATGGAACTGTCTTAATCGACCAAGAAAATATCACGATCGTTAATACACACTCGTTTTATTCGTTTACGACTTTTCACAACTAAGACTCGGAGAGGTTTGTCGGTTGTATGTTTACATGTACAGGAGCAAGTTTGAGTAGGAAAATTTTACTAGCACCTTAGCTGGTCTTGTAGACTTGCCTGCGTTATATAGATTTGAATTCATTATGCAAGCGTTGTATGAGCGAAAACTAAGTTAGTCTTGGGATCGGCATACCTGTCTGTACCTTAGTTGCCTCCCGCGTATTTGTATTAATTGTCATTTTATATGGATTTTAAGGCTAGGCCTATATACAATGAAATATGTTTAGAATCAGTGTCACTTACTTTAGACATCTTCCCACTATGAATTAGAGAGATTTTGTAAATGTGTATAGTTAGTTCCATGCGCAAAAGTCCCGAAACTGATCGCCCCGAGGCTGAACGCCGCTGATGCCTGAGGCACCAGGCGCAGCAGCAAGGCTCCACCGCATCGTCACCCCCCAACTTACGCTCCAACTGTTCCCTCGGGCACCTCAACCTGTGTGCAGCCAGTGCCTCGAGTTGGGCTGAAACAGATTTTTCTTAACAGCGCTTCTCATGTCCCTGTGATCATGTCCAGGAGGACGCTGGGTGGAGGTCGTGTTCTAGGCACTCCGAGCGCACTCGCATCAGCCCCATCCCCGCAGCCGAAGCCAAGGGTGCTATCGCCAACCACCAGCAGCGTTTCCCTGAGCTCCCAAGCTTCCGCTTCTCAATTCTCAGCCGAAACCCAAGACCTTACTTCACGCATATCGCTTGAGAATGGCGACACTTCAATATCTGCAGCTCCGGCGGCGCCCGGAGCTCAGCTCTCGTGTCCGATCTGCAATGAGGAGATGGTATGTCAATACTCGCCTCCGCCCTGGAATTTCTCTTCGAATGTCGATGAAAGGATATACTGACTGTCTTGAAGGTGACTTTGCTGCAGCTTAATAGGTAACAAACATCCCCCGGTTTACCCTTTATCCCCGCATCCCTCGCGCGGCAATTGATCCATCGGCAGGCATCTCGACGACATTCACCAGAACCTAGAAGACGACAGACAAGATGAAGTCAAGGATTGGTTCAAGGTTCAAATGGAGAAAGCGAGGCGCTTCCAACCCCTTGCCGTGCTAAATCAAAAGCTCAAGGGCCTGGACGTGTTCGAGTCGAACGAGAATCAGAACCCTTCGGTTCCTAGTCGCCCTGTGGCAACTCACGCAGGACCACCCGAGCCCTCGATTACCCCGAAGCTATTGGACCCGGAGGATCTGATCACGAAGGAACATTGGCAAGCTCCCGGTCTCTATGACAGTTGCTTGGAGCCCTCATGCGGGAAACGACTCAATACGACCAATGGATGCGTGAACTGTCGGAAATGCGGGAAGCTTTTCTGTGAGGAGCATACAATGTACCAGATCAAATTATCGAGGTCGGCACAGCACGAACCAGTGAGAGGAATCTGGGCTCGAGTTTGTGAAACATGCTACAAATCGAGAGAAGGCTACAATGATCATACAGGTGAGTGTGCCGTGGCCCTAGCAGTTCATTTGACGGAGGACCAAAGCTTATAATCTATAGGATTCGTAAGAGATCAAACGGATGCTTTCAAAAAGATTCGAAAGCAGACAGTTGATAAGGATTTCCTCGAAGTCTCTCGCCTCGAGAAACGCTTAACACGACTCACACAACTTTTGGCCAGTCTCCCGCCAGACCAAATACAGAACAGTTCGACGAAGCTGTTCTCTATCGCATGGCAGAGTGATCAAAGGAAAGCTCTAGAGCAGACAGTAGTCAGCTGGCAGGATGACGCCAGCGTCTCACGTTGTCCTTTCTGCCAGCAAGATTTTTCTGGATATTCATTCCGGAGGCACCACTGCAGAACTTGCGGACGGGTTGTCTGTGGTGACCTAAACACGGGCTGTTCCAGTGAAATTGGACTAAGTATTACACCTCGTGAGTCTGAATTTGCATCACTTGTAACATGAATATCACTCTAATGGTTTCCAGTTTCCAAATCGTCAGAAAAATCCACGGCAAAGAATCTTATTAGTGTCGATGTGAGGCTTTGCAAAGAATGCAAGAGTACCATCTTCGATCGGCGAGACTTCGAAGCAGATGTCTCGAAGAAACCTCCCGAGGTCAGGGCGTATGAGAACCTTGTCCAGTTCGAAAGAGGCATCCGCCTTCACTTACCCAGGTTTCAGAAGCTTCTCACTGGACTACAGTTTGTCTACCCACCTTCAATAACATGTCACATGTAACTTACTAGTCCATGAAATAGAGATCCAAGGCGGCCACCATCTTCTGCACAGATTGCCGATGCTTCGAAAGTCCGAAAGCGACTCATCGATTCATTTGCCAAGTACAATGTTGCGGCTCGGCGGATCCGTGACTTACCAACCGACTCTCCCACTCAACAACGGCTACAGAAAGCTATATACCAACAAGCCAGCAATTTCTTGCATCTTCACATGTTACCCTTGAAATCTCTTCCTAAAGTTCTCAAGCATGCCCCCGCAGGAGATCTCACGCCAAGTCGTACATCATCTCCAAGCACACCAATAAATGAATCATCGGCTGGTGCTCGACCGCAAGATTCTGCACTTGCTTCGATCAAATATAACAATCGGGTTGCCGCCAGTGGCAGCACCAGCAGCTTAGCCAGCGACGCTAGCAGCGCCGTATCAGCACTCGAGGCGGAAGAAAAATCCCTTCGAGAACGGCTGATCGTTCTTGAAGAGCAGAAATTCTTTGTTTCCGAGATGATCGCAGATGCGAACCGACGTCGCAAGTTCGACGAAGTGAGCAGTCTAGCGGTCAATGTCGAGGATCTCAGTCGTGAAATCGACCGAGTCAACGGAATGCTCGCTGGACTTGATTTTGAAGGCGTTTACACTGGCAATTTACAAGCCAATGCTTGATCTATACTTTCGTTTTTTACGTGCAATGGGCACAGATTCATTGCGATTCGGTTTCATCTGCTTGTCTGGACTGTATTTTCCTTGTTGATTGTTGACATTTTGACGGGCGTTTTGAGCACTTGAATTGAAATGTGCATAGCTTTGGGCGTTGAAGGTCATCCAGGGAATGAATTGCTAACCACTCTTGATTATACTCCAAAGTCTTTTTCATTACATCCATATGGTCTTTATGTAGCATCCAGATCAAGCCCACCCTGGACGGGCATAGTTCTTCGTGATGTATCACTATCTCAGCTTCCCTCGCGGCCTCCGGTGGGGGGTTCTTCCGCAACTCAGGAGGAGCCAAAGGACTCCGTATATGGAGCTACATTGCTTGCATTGAGGCTAATTTGCTGGGCGCGCAGCTTGCCCCCCAGCTAGCTCCGGTATGTATGCAGATCCAACGGCAATGAGCAACGGCAATTCCCGAACACGAGCGTAAGGTGCCCTAGTCGCGGACGGCAAACTTGATTTTGTTCCTGATAAGGCTAAGAGAGCCACATGGTCGAGCTACCAGTCCGTGGTCGGGAGCTCTCGAGAACAATTAATCTCTCGTCAGCCTGGCCATGAAAGGATTGATCTCCTAACATGGTCTGACATAAGTTGGCTTGGCATAGGAGGTTTTATCCAAGCGTGATTCAAGTCACAAGTTGTGAACGGCACACAGACCCCTAGAGTATGCCCAATGGTACATAATACAATTGTCTCTATGTTGGTCCATTTGTCGATTTTTGATCTGCGACCATGGAACATGGCATGCATATATGGAGAGATACTAAGATAGACCTCTCTAGCGGGGCAGGGATTAATGCAACATCGTATGGCTATTCCCACTTAAAATCCTACTAGAGCCTCCAGTACCATAGAACCATGGGAGCTTGGCAACAATAATGCCCGTGTGTTACTTTTTGGCTTGGGACTACGACAGCATGTCAAGTTGTCAAGTTGTCAAGCGACCTCTCCCAGACTCTCAGCCTAGCATACGTGGTTCCACCTTATTCTGGAGAGAAAGTGGAGACGAAACAAAAATGTCAGGTAATTTCCGACTTTCCGTCAATTCTGCAGATCACACCTCGTTTATAACGAGCGGAGCCCTGGTGGCTAACAAGTGATCGGCTGTCTCAGAGCACGCGCTCTTGTTTTCCCTGCTTTGTTCGGATCTCTCCTTATCAGGGCTTGCCGAGCCTCGAGGAGATGCGAGTCAGGAAGATCTCGATTGTGATGGTTGAAGTTTGTTCATCCAGTATCGAGATGTGTCTCATAGATCGATGAATCTATCCTTGGCCCCCGTCTTAGTCCTATTTACATACGGAGGTCCATCCAAAAAGTATTGCGCAGCGCACGTACCACCATTAAATTACATTAACGTACTACATAGTATAATTTACCGGCCTTCCTTATATTCGTTCCCCCCTTCTAATTCAATGATCTTCTTGATATGCGTGGGTATACGCTCAATCCAAGCCTGAATCTTTTCCTGCGGTAGCTCTTGCCAGGTTTTATTCCATATAGCAATAGCTTCCTGTCTAGACTTAGGCGCTCCCTTTCTAGTAGTCTTTCGTTTCATCCAAGGCCACGCAGGCTCAATAGCATTGAGATCAGGCGAATTTGGGCACCACACTAATCGCTGCACCTGAGCTGCATCAAATACTCGCTGTTGAATATAATGATTATGCGCTGGAGCTTTATCTTCCTGTACGATCGTTTTTGGCCGCGTTGTAGCGCATTCCTTAGCAAAAGGAATAAGCTTTGGTAGAAGAATCATCTTTTGATAGCGATACCAATCAATTCCACCCTTAGATCCTCGTGAAAGCTTTCCATTCTGCTTATTGAATCTCCAGGTAGGCTTTTTACCAGCAGGCTGTCGACGAAGATTGATACGCCGTACGCCAGTCTCTAGCTCCCACTGTTCGCGTAGAATTGGTTCGATCTCTTGATTAAGAGCTTCAATCTCTTGCTCTGCTTCACGTTTTTGTATAGCAGTTTCAGGGCACCAACAGTGACAAGGGCCTTTTTTATCGTAGGTAAAACAGCCCCAAAACATAAACTCAGAAGAGCCTTTCCAACGCTCACGAATACACGAGCGTAGAAATGCTTCATCCTTAGAACGCCAAACACGATAACCACCACGGCGATGTAGAAGAATAACCGAGGTTTCATCAGAGAAGATCACATTCTTCCAATCGTCAAGAGTCCAGTGCTCGTGAGCTAAGCACCAAGCTAATCGTTCAGCGCGCATCTTCTTCGTCAGTCCAGGCTTCCTCGTCGGTTTCGTCTTGCGTAAACCGGCCTTCCTGAGGATAGTCCAGACAGTAGAGGATGAAATTTCGATCCCTTCCTGGCTAAGTTCTCCAGCAAGATCAGCGCATGTTTTCTCTCGACCAAATCGATCAAGGCGCACCTTCGACAGAATAGTGTTAACCGTCTGAGGATCTTGCTTAGTTGGCCGACCAGAGCGAGCACCGTCTTGAACGTATTCGTCGGTGATCTTTGTATGGATTGGGTCAAAACCGCGCTCTATCGCGCGCGCGTAGATACGATTAACAGTAGCAATTGATAGATCTACTATCTTCGCGATCTCAGCAGACGTTTTCGTCGTATACGCCCTTAATGCGACGACAGTCACACGATCAGCAAGGGTTGATTGTTTTGGCATAATGGTAGATGTAGGCAGCAGTAGTAGTAGATAGGTAGTAGACAGAAGATGAAGGCTATTCTATTCAGGGGGATTGTGTGTATTCGCTTGGTATAACGCTAGTGGTAATATAATGGTGGTACGTGCGCTGCGCAATACTTTTTGGATGGACCTCCGTACAATGGCCATGACCCTCATGTTCACGAGCTTTGACCACTTTTGCCTCGGTTGTCAGCCAGGGCAGCAAGCCTATTCATCAAGTAGAGTTCCAAAGAGGCGAGTGCCTTTTTGTAAGGCTTTGTAAGGCGTCCATGGGAGAAGAGATGCCCAAAGCCCGCAGTAGTAGAGCAGTAGTCCAGTAGACTTTAGTGTATCGTCCTCTCGGAGACCCTCTGGCTCAGCCGCGAATCCAAACGTTTCCGACAGATGACATGCGCCCCTCTCCGGAGATCGCGGACCCAGAAATTACATCGTGAAACTATTGCTCTAGTCCAACACTCTGTTCACCTCCGCGCTACTGACTGTAGTATTGGCAACGGTCTCCTATTTTTTTTCTTCTTCTCATGGACTAAACTAGAACACTCCTAGAACCAGGCTAGCGGCGACCGGCTGGACTCTGCATGTGTCTGCCAAGTGATAGTCTCCACTCAATGCTACGCTGCGCACATCTCGTTGGTCAACAAGGTTGTCCGCCATCTGGGTTGAAGAACTTGTTCGAGTCATGTCGCCGAACTCCTGGGTCGTAATGGACCTTTAGCGAACAACAGGGGGGTCTGAGCGGCTCGAGTCGAGACTATTCTGGCCTCGCGAAAGTTGACGAGGTTTCCAAGGAATAATAGTTGTAATAATAATTAACCAAGGGTTGCCATCTATCGCACCCCAGACCGGAGTACGAGAGGGGCCAAATAGCGTCCACCGGATTGGATGTGTTCTGGGGAAAGTTTGACAGGGTTCTCTTCATTCTAACTTTCTCCTCCACATTTTATTGAATTCCATGGAAATGGCGTCCGACGTCTCGCGCCTCGTGGTCATGGCACTTTGGAAAGAGCCAGTTCTTGTGAAGTTGTGTCAAACAAGATGAAGTCAAAGATGTCTATGACAGTTTGTTAGTGGTGAGATACTGCACTCGTCCCCTCATCTTGACCTTTTTTTTCCCAAGCGTAAATAGCCATCTCCAGGCGTCTGCGTTAGGAAAACTAAACTTCGAAACCCCACAGGCAGCCCCCCTTCGGCTCGTAGTTCACACACTCAAGGGGCCCTAAAACTGCCGACACGGGCAATAAATGGATACTAAGTCCCATTATTATCCCAGTTATCCCATTAGTATTGTTGCAAGTGGCCCGTTGATCCCACTAGCTTGGTCGGAGTGCGTATATCACCCGTTCTGGAGCCTCAGGTAAATTTTCTTTTACCATTTTTGGATCTCTCATTAGGTTATTTATCAACCCGTGTTGCCCGAACACACGGAGAACGGCGTCGCATAGACCCGCTCGAATTGCGCGGGCCCTTCTTCTTGCCACTGACGACTGCGAATGTAATGCTTGGCTCCCGCCAGTCGATTTCCCTTCATTATTCTTCTTTTCTTTCTTCATTCTGTTCCCCTTAATCTTTACGGTGTACTCGTTCGGCATCCCCTTGTGAGAGGGTTGTGGATAGGAAGGGTTTCAACAATCTATACTATTCGATTTGTGTCTGGGAGAATCATGTATTGCGACTGATCTACGACATCAATTGGCTATCACGATGCAACCACTGGAGGGTCGCAGCAAGGCGATCTTTATCGTCACCACTATCTTTTTGGGAATTTCGTTTATTGCGGTTTGCCTGCGATGCTTTGTCCGACTCAAGCTCGTCAAGGCCTTTGGCTGGGATGATGCGCTGATGGTGTTCGCAATGGTAAATGCATACTATCGTCTTGAATTTGTCGTCGGATTTTCTAACATTGTCTTATTCAGGGTCTTAACGTTCTATTTGCGCTTTGTGGAATTACTGGCGCATTGTACGGAATAGGTCAAAAGTCGATGGAGCTTTTGTTGCGAGGAACCATGGAGACTGCCATGTTTGTAAGTTCTTCGAGATTGCACTGGACCATCAAAATGAGATAAATACTTACAGCCAACTTGAAGTGGTGGTGGCTCGGCCAAACTAGTTACGTCTGGACATGCGCCATCGCAAAGATATCTATCGCCGTCGCTCTCCTCCGCCTCACCGTCTCGCGCGCTCATACCTATATCCTATGGGGAGTTATCGCCGTGACTTCGGTCATCGGCCTCGTTTTCTGGTTTTTGTTGACCCTTCAATGCACACCCGTGTCATTCTTCTGGCAGCGGGTTCGACTGGAACTCGATCCGACCGCGGATGTCCATGGACACTGCCTGAATCTCGATATCATCATCGATATGGCGTATGCCTACAGTGTTACCGCTACATGCTGTGATTTTACCCTGGGAATTCTCCCCGTCTTCCTTGTCTGGAATCTCCAGATGAATGTTAGGACGAAGGCTGCCTTGGCTGGTATTCTGGGCATGGGATGTGTTGCCAGCGCTGCGGTTATCGTTCGCATTCCTTATCTCCACGACTACAAGGATGCCGACTTTTTGTGTAAGTTCGCATTATATATACACATCTTCCCTCGAAGAATTCACACTAACAATCCTTCCTTCCCACAGACGCAACCTCCAACATCTCCATCTGGTCCAACGTCGAGGCCAGCCTCGGTATCATAGCGGGCAGTCTCGTCACCCTCCGTCCTCTTTTCCGCTGGTTCCGTGACCCCAGTTACAGGGGATCTCAGAGCAAGCGAACCGGTGGCAGCGTGCCTCTCTCCAGTGTAAATGCCATTCGTTCCGATCCTGCTGGACCTCAGTACTGGCGCCCCGATCTGGACCCGGAAGACTCCCATGCTGTGATTACGACCATTCATACTTCGAATCGAGGAAGTCGCACGAGCAGCCAGGAGGATCTCAACCCGAAGCAGCAGAATCAGGGGACTTTTTTTCAGGGAGTGAACGTACAGAAAACCTTCTTCGTCTCGGAGAATGAAGACCAGCATTAGATTTCATATTCTTGATGGAATACTTAATTTTTAAATATACTTCAAATATTAACTGAACCTTGAACCTAATAATAGACTATTGATTTCAGGCAACTGGGTCGTACATAATGCAGAAGCGGGAGCAAAGCTTGGATGACCTCTCAAACACATCTACCCGGGGGCCGCAAATATATATCCGTCCAGGACATCCTAGCCACCCCAGTCACAATTGATGCCAATCCAAAACCAAGACATTAAAGTAAACAAGCATCTAGCCCCATATTCTCCAGTATTAATTAATCCTTATATCTATGAGGGGCACCCTAGCCAAGCTAAGGCAGCCACAAAATCCTTCGTGGATTTCTGTCCACCCCCTCCCTGATCCTGCAAAATCCAATCCCTGTCCTTTCTAACGGCTCCACCTTGCAACGGATTCATGTATTCATAAATCGCCTGGCTCTACAACCAGCCCTGCCGGGCTAGCTCAATCGGTAGAGCGTGAGACTCTTAATCTCAAGGTTGCGGGTTCGACCCCCGCGTTCGGCTATTCCTACAGATAACCTGAGATCATTTCTTTTTTGTTCATTCGTTTTTGGTCGATGTTAGGTGGATTGGTTTGATGTTTTTTTTTTTGGGACTGGGGAACTTTATTATTTGCTGGGATTCGGCTGCGACACGTGGGAATCTTATTTGGGATGGTTTATGTCCAAGGCAAACAATGAACGGTCGAATGCATAGGTACTATGTGTCGGGTAGCCCCGTATTTGTCAATTAACTCCTCAGGTTTACAAAAATCTTGGAACACTCGGATACTAGCTACATGTCTCTATATTCACCAGTAAAGCCACCTGGGCGATTGGGTTTGCCATTACAACAAAATAGAAACTCATGCGCTCGCAGAGACAGAGATTCGATATGTACAGGGTGGGTGTCACGCACAGGTCGTGTCACCACAGCCAGATCTCAGGGTATGAAACAGCTAATTTACTTCCACTGGGCCTCGGGTGTGGCCTGGAACTTCATCAAGATATCCACCACGTTCTCCAGGGCCTTGACCTCCTTCTCGAGAGCAGCGGTGACATCGGCCTGGTTGTCACCAAGCTTCGCGTAGAAGTCCTTGCGGTATGGCACACCAGACTTGATGGCAACCTCAGTACCCTTGCGGATCAGGTAGCCGTGGTGAGTGCTGAGACCACCCTGTGCTTTGTAGGCTCCCAAGAAGGAGGCGTTGAGCTCCTCGGAGGGGTTGTTGATGCTCAGACGGAGAGACGCGGCCGTGAACTGGAGACCCCTATTCATGAAAAGATGGAATTAGCGAAAGCCCAGATAGAAGGAGGATTGTGTGAATAGTGAAACCACCAATAGCACCGGAGAGAATTGCATGTTCGTCACTTACCGGACCAGCCAGAGGAGGCCCTCAGTGGCCTTGTGTTGCCCCGACTTCAGCTCATTGCGGACGAGATCCTGCAGGGTCTGGGACTCGGCAGGAGCCTTGGTGTATCGCTCTTGAACTTTCTGTTATGGAAGTAAGCAACTGCCTATTCAACCCAGTTCTCTCATCCCCCTGTCTCCTCGGATGTAGATAACCAACATACAGCGATGTTTCCAGACAGATCGCTCTTGACCGCAGCCAGACCAACACCACCAATCACGTCTATAGTTTCATCTGGCATCAGCATTGAGGTCTGCATGCGCGAGTCGGGTGACACAAACCGAACAAAGTGACCAAGGCACCAGCGGCCTCGAGGAATTCCACAGTAGAGATGGCGTTACCATTGGCGGTATCAATTGGCACCTCCTCGAAGGAGCGCTCGATCTTGCTGAACCAGGTGCCAGGGGCGTGGACTTCGTTGGTGCGAGGCATGGTTAAGATGCAAATATGGAACAATGGGAACAATTATAAGTGCAGGAAAGAAGAAGCAACAAAGGGGAAGGACCAGCCCACTTGGAGGCGGGGAATGCCAACAGCTGTCCCGTCCTCACCGCCGCGAGCCACGCAAGCCAATTAGAGAGGCGGGGCACTCTGAGCAAACAATGCAAATAGTACAAATAGCACAAACAGACTGGAGCTGATTTGCTCTGTTTGCACATTACATCATTGGTATCCTGATCTCCATTCGATCGATCGCAACTTACTATTGAGCCCTGTTATGCCCGGGACGATCATACCAAGATCCACTTGCCCCCCTTTCCCCGCCGAAGAGATTCTCTTTCTTCATGTCCAGTTCATGGCCATTCGATCCTACTTCTGGTAGGTAATACATCCAATGCCATGAGCGCCTCGGACCAGCCCGACGGGTCGGCACCCTTAGAAGAGAGCTCCAATGCATCGCAGAATGAGCAGTACCAGGGCTTGCAGGAAGGATCCCATACGGAGCAAAAGCTGGTAAGTTCATTTTGAATATGGAAACCCCACAAAATATTTTATACCAAAAACTAACTGGCCGAATCTACATTGTAGCGCCATGCCTCCGCTCATCATTTATACATGACCAGTCGGCGTTTCTTTATCGGACCAATTCCGGAGGGTTGGATTAACGGACACCGCAAGTCATGGTATCGGTCACGACTTCGGTTCAAGAACTACACATCGCAGACGCTCTCGTTCTCAGTCGACCCTGTGACCTCTCATTATACCCAACCAGAATTGGACCATGCGGAGACCCCTGCGCGAGCTTCGGACGAAGAGGTCGCCATTACACTGAGTAATACCAATGAGGAATCTGCGACAGAAGATGAAAGCGCCGAGGATGTCCAGGAGAGCGCCGAGGAGCCACAAGGAGAGCTACGCACCCTCTCTCATCCCACGGAGGAGACAGAGGCCATCGAATCGCTGTCTGCAGATGAATCGTTTTCTGCAGAGGACTCCGATGCAACACCTCGAGCAAGCGCACAAGTTGGTATCAGAAACAATGACGATATATATGGCAGCATAGATGCCTCTTCATCATTCGTGACAGCACGAGAGGATATTACAAGCAGCGTGGACACGGGCCGCACGTCGTCAACTATACAGCCCAATGGATCGACACCTACACTGCGGCCCAAACCCCAGAGATCGCAACACCTGACGATTGCCGGGCCTAGCACTGCGAGTCCCATCGCACCAAGTTCGTCTGCAGTGCCGAGTGAAGCTGATTCCACCACCCACTTGCTCAAATCCAGACCGAAAAATACGAAACGCATGAAGAGTAAAGCCTCGGGCGTATCTCGATTCACACTCGACCGCCAGGAGCCTCAGAATGAAGATGACTCGGAACCGGATGATTCGAGACGCGATGGAGTTGTACAGCGAAAGATCACCAAGAAGATGGCAAAATTCAACCTAGACGACAATGTCATGGACAAGCAACAGAGATTACGCTCCCGAATTGCAAAAACACAGGGCACGATTTCTGCAAACCGTCCACGTCGGCGTCAAGTACAGGATGGGGAGATCATCAAAGTTGAAAGAATGCTGGTTTCTGTTGAAGAGACCATGCAAGATACGTTGCCAGAGGATTACACAGAAAATGACTCCTTGAAAATGGAAACTCGGACCGTGGATAAGTGGCGAGAGTTTCTTGTCGTTTGTCGGAAAGGTTCAACTGATGATACTCCCTTTGCCTTGCAAATGTATCGGACTCGTGTGATTCCCGATGCACAGAGTCCCCACAACAAGTCAAAACCGTACCACGAAGTGCGGCTAAACCACAAAGACACCAAGGTCAACCTTTACTCGGCTCTCGACAAGACCATAGTGATTTGGCATCCCTGCAGACATGGCACCAAAATCTACATTGTCCGCCCAAAGTCCACAGTCCATGCCGCCGAGTGGTATACATTCATTAGGCAGATACTAGGCTGGCGGCGTCCAAGCAAGCTCCCCATCAACGTCCCTGATCTGGGTGTTTCACTGGTGTTCAAACATCCATTTGATCAACTAGAGGCACAGCTTGGTGTGAAGAGCAATGACAAACGGCACACTACAATCCTAAGTCGAGCCGCAGCTCACGAGAAGCTCGCTGCTGCTGCCATCATCAAAAGCTGCATTGAAATGCTCGAGGGTCGCCCCGAGTGGTCCGAAGTGCTCAAAACTTGGTCAAAAACAGAGAGGATGGGCCTTGCCTGGAAGCGGTACGATCGTCTGGAATGGATATTCGGTGCCAATGAGGAGAACATGTACGGATCCATCGCCATGCAGTCAACACACGAGCTTGAGCTTCGGCCACGATATCACTATCCTACTGCAACCAAAAGTGCGGGTGCCAAAGAAGTGGAACCTCCACCAATCGAGGGTTTTTTGATCCGACTTACATCACAAAAGGGGTTGCACCAACGGATGAACAAGATGTTCTTCAAACGACTGTATTTCTACTCTCAAGATCACTTTCTTCTATTTTGTCGACCGGCCAAAGCATATCCACCCACACCACCAAGACTAGCTCCGCAGGAAGAATCGAGTATTCCAACCGCTCGTCAGATCATGGCAGAGATGCCAATTTCCTGGGACATCGAGCCATACCCCGTTCAGGATGGCGAGATTACGTGGCTGACCAATGGAAACCCCGAATTTGTTCAGCGGCACGACGAGGAGGCTTATGCCCAACTGCAGAGAAATGTGCACAATATCGGCCAGGCTGATGGGTACATTGATCTTTGCAAAGTCCGTGCAGTTCGTAACATGCAGTATGGGAGCACCCCTGCGGATCCGAACATTTCAGAAGGACCTGCTGTGGATTTCCACACGGAGCCCAATGACACTCGCCGAGATGACGGTACAACTAAGGAGTTCGAACATGATCGGACATTTGAACTTGCGCTTGAGAATGGTCTCGTGATCCGCCTGCAAGCCTATGATGCCGCCACGAGAGACGAATGGGTCAAGCGGTTAGATGCACTGGTGAAGTACTGGAGAACACGCTGCTTCGACGACGCTACTGAGCTTCAAGCCATGCGACAGCGGAACTTGAAGCTCTTGGAAATCGACGAAGAAATGGAATCGATCATGGGCCAGTTTGCACAGAAGTGGGAAGTCAAAAAGGCCGAGACATCTCCTCATTTACACAATATGTGTGCGTTGTCTGGCTGTCGGCCAATTAAGGTAACGGAAGCAAACCTGCGCTCCAAAAAATGCATACTAACAGCATATTAGATGTCTGGTCAACTCTACCGCAAACCCCGTCGTCACTCCACTTTTGCCAAATGCCATGTGATCCTCACGTCAGGCAAACTCGTCATCTTCCGGAGCACACTTCGCCAGCGCAATGGCGCTGAAATCCCGCATATTCACCAAGACCACGATGCTACCATCGACCTAAGCGACTGCTACATCTACTCTGGTCTAGCAACCGAGGCTGATCTGCTCTATGCCAATCAGACATTCGACAGTAATAACCCAGGCTTGCGCGCCCTCCCACGAGTCTATCTTGCGTCAGATACATTCACTAGCCGCGACGAGGACTCGGCCATCACTTTCGTTGTTTGGCAACCTTTGCGCAAGAGCTACTTCCGTGCCGAAGAAAGAGGTGCCAAGGGCAAAGCCACCCGAACTTTGCGACATGTTTCTGCACTTGGTAAACATGGTCGAACGATTGTTTTCAAGGCTCGTAGCCGTGTCGAGAAGGACCGGTGGGTGTTGAGCATCTCGTCGGAGATTGATCGTTTGCAGCAGGAGAAGCAGGACGATATTCGGATTGTCTCTCTATGATACCCATTTTTGTCTTCTTGCCTCCTTTTCTCATTTTTTTTTGCCTTTCATCCCGAGCACGCACACGCATCTAGCATTTCGGGGGCTTTGTTGGTTTGTTTTTGGGCATGGTTCTTTGATTCATCTATACATAGTACACGCCGCGGATGAATATTAATAGTACAGTGGTATCTCAGGGAGAGTTCTTTATATACAATGTAGACAGCGTCCCGGTGCTATCTTGCAAGGATGTGCTCACCTCACAGTCGCCCTCGTTCATTCAAAGTCCCATTCAAAAGTCTGGCGGTCTCTCCAACTTAACAGCCTCCTTCACTACGCGGTCGCGAACTTCCTGCCGATAATTGGGTCCCAAGTGACTATCCGGCTCGTTCCCAGACTCCCACGTTGTCCAATCTAACCAACGCATTCTGGGGCCCAGCACACCCATGACCCGGCCGGTGATTAGGCTGATACTGACGGGGCCATAGGTATTGCTATCCATCGACCTGTCTGGATCCTGCGCATCGCCCTCCAACCAGACATGATTGTAAGGAACGATCTGCGTAGGTCTCAAGCACGGTTCACGGGTTGTAATGCGATCACCGGGGAGGCCGACGACGCGCTTGACGGCGACATGGGAGGGATTGGCGGGTGATCTAGATGGGGACGGGAGTATAAGGTTAGTCTCGAGATACAATTTGAGCGCGACGGCCTTGATCCGATCCGGGCGATATCGCGAAAACAGACAAAAGGCATATCATATCCATACCGAAATGTAACCACCATCCCCCTCTCCAACCTCCGATAATTCTTCCAAGGCAATAACCGATGCATCGACCACATATTCACCAGTATAATATCACTCTTCGTATGCATCTGATCATAATCCTCGTTCAAATACGGCGTCATCGACGGCCCACTAACCCACATTATTTGCATCACATGCTCCGAGAAGAAGAGACAGATAGGAACGGCTGGGGCGAGAGCGCGAACAGTACGACCCATGAGCCGAATTGGTCGTGGTAGAGCTGCGATGCGTTGGCGGAAATTGGAGAAGAAGGATTGGAAGGGCCTTTTGCGGGCTAGACTGGGACCCGCTGGTTCTGGTACTGAGGCTTGCGCTGGTAGAGGATCTGGGAGAGGGGTTGGCACTTTTGAGGGAAGTCTGCCTTTTTGAGCGAGAAATTTCGCTTCTTTTGGGTTGAGGCCGCGCATGTTTGAGCTTGGGGGTTTTCGGTCGGGTGGTTGCATTTTTGCGGGGGAGGGCGGAATAAGGGCGGATGGTTGGTGGAGGGTAGGATGGGATTAGTCTGAGGTCAGGGAATTGTAGCTAGGAGCGCATATTGATAGTGAGAGTGTTTTATACTGTAGAAGACCGCGGAGGTTGCTTGATAATTTGATTACTGGAAATTGATAAAGTGATAAAGACTGTTTGTACTGTTTGCTCTAGTGTAATGGCCTAAGGCCCAAATTTCATCTTGCGGGCATCCAATCATGATTCGTAGCTCATACTGTAGAGGCAATAAAGGGAATAAAAGGGAGTTCGCTTTTCATCAGAAAGAAATGAAAAGGAAAAAGATGCCAAGAGGGGGAAAACGTGAAAGCAAGGTCAGAAAGTGGTGCGCGTATCCCCAACTCCAAGCCGTTATCCTCATGGAGCGCTAGCTATGGAATCCAAGTCTTCCTTGGAGGCCACTTCGTGCTTGTAAGCCACATCTTCTATCGACTTCAAGTCTTCCTTGGGACTCAAAGCCTCCTTGTGAGACGGCTCTTCCATCGGGATTGGTTCCTCCTCAGGGGCCACGTCGCTTGTGGGAGCCATGTTGACATTGGACGTCACGTCTTCCATAGCTTCCGAGTCTTGTTTGGGTCCCGAGTCTTCCTTGAGAGACAGGCCATTCGTGGTGGCTGGTTCATCCATGGGGGCCTCGTCGTCTTTTCGAGACTCGTCTTCATTGGGGGCCGCGTCGTTTTTGGGAGCGCCCTCGTCTTTGGAGGTCACGTCGTCCACGGGAGCCATAGCTCCCTTGGGGGCCATTTCTGTCTCGGTGGCCGACTCTTCCTCTGAAGCCAAGTCCTTTTTCGTGGGTGGGAAGATTTTACTGCAAATCGCTGTTAGCTCACACGTTTCCACCAATGAAGGATGTGATAAAAGAACCAGGATACTCACGGAAGCACCATCTCATAAGCAATCTCATCCTTCCTCTCGTAGTTGCAGAAGATCACTCGTTTCAGCTTGTCCTTGTTCCCTGGCTGCTCCAGGAACTTCCGCACCTCATCAGCAGCAGCAAACGCAGCTCGTTTGCTGGGATAGCCATAGATACCGGTACTGATGGCCGCGAACGCGATGGACTTCAGATCATTCTCGACTGCAAGCTCAAGACTGCGGCGGTAGCAAGAGCGAAGTAGCATCTCGGGGCGCCGGGGATGCTTGTTGAACTCTTTTTGGTAGATTGGACCAACAGTGTGTACGACTTTTTCGCAAGGCAGTCTGTACGCAGAAGTGATCTTCGCATCACCAACATCACATCCATCCAAGGTAGCACATTCCCTGGTAAGCTGGCGGCCAGCAGCGCTGTGGATAGCACCATCTACGCCGCCACCGCCGAGCAGTGAGGTATTGGCGGCGTTCACGATGCAGTCAACCTCAAGCCTGGTGATGTCAACGCGGACGGTTGAGACGATGTCGTTGAAAGATTGCACTGGGGTCCGCTCAGTAGTCCTCTCTTCGAGGGCAAAATCCCGGTAGAGAGACGACACTGTTGGAATGTCGGATAATGTAAGAACTTCTAGAGTCATCTTGGAAGGTGAGCTCTTGAGTTCGATTTGGTGGAGTGAGAAGGGGAGAGGAGGGAAAGAGCGTTGGCTGGGGAGATGTTTGGATAAAGAGAGAATCTACTCACCTACAATGACGTATAAGCGCGACAGTCACGTGTTTGATAACATACGGTCGCACAGCTTCCTACCTCACTTCCACTTTACATGAAGCAATCAACCACAGGTATCTGCGGTCTGCAACCTGGAGATCCCTTTGAAGCAAAAGGGAATATCATGAGTCCATTGTCATGGCTTCACTTTGTTGCAGATCTACTATCAGTGCGGTTGAGTCCGGATGCCAAGCAACTAACACATTCATCCACTTAAAGAGGACAACCCCCAATTCACCACAGCAATCAGATCACACTCTTTGATGGCATGTATGGAGCTACCCCGAGAAAGGGACGGAACCCGATTGAAGTCTCCCTGGAATCCTCAAATGCGTACTGCACAAGCAATGCATCTAGACCACAGTCTATGCCTCTGTCAAACTACTCTAGATCGAGCACCTGCCCGCTGTCATAACGGCTACTTACCGCAATGTTCACGACTTTGCATATTTTTGAGACACCTCAAAAAATAGACATCAAGCGCCTTCATGCAAAGCTTAATGAAAAAGGAAGCATACGTTTCCTACGGCCCCCAAACGCCCCACGCCTGGACAGACAACCTCTGCAACGGGCCATCTTCCCCGGTGACAAGGGAACAAGGACCGCCGAGACTGAGATGCTATGATTCAGGCTGATGGAATCGATCGGACCGGAACTCCATAAGGAAACTTGCATTGCATATGCAATCTGCACGCGACCTAAAGAGATGTGCCCTTCTTGATCGCGCCCGCCGGTTCTTGATTGACTTCCGTTGTCTTTCTTGCTCTCCACTGCCAGCTTCAACCAACCAACCGTTGAGCTCACCCCTGTGGTACCAGTCTAATGGGCTCCATAGGCCCACCAATGGGTCAAAGGAGCAAAAGTACACTGGGTGGGACAGCCTGGACTGTCAGGCTAGGCTCGGGGTTTGGTGACCCTGGTCTTTAGCAAAACTTACTGGAGGCATTCAGAGACATGTCCAGCGTCGGACATGCCCCCTCCTCTCATCGGTTGGAACTGGGTAATGGCGGGTCATGGATGGAAGCAAGTACGCAGCGAACGAGAGCTTTGCCAATACACGACCTCGGTAACACATGAATACTAGAATGAGAGCAATGGAGCACAGTCATCAAGCTGTCTTCCACCGTGCAAATACATATGCAGTATCCTATACTGTCTTGGCTTGCCTGTCTGAAGAGAGGCCATGACGAGACCCTGGTACAGAAAGGGTATTCATCGTTGTAGACTCATCGCATGCACTAAAAGTACGAGGGGGTTTCCGGATGCGAGGCCGACACCGAGGCGAGACCGGCTTGATAGCCACCCGAAGATCATCCTTTGCGATCCCAGACCTGCCGTAGTGCTGGTTGTGCTGGCATCGTGGAGAATTTGGGGGTACCATACTGGAGGACTCTGTACTTCTGTGTCATTGCTGTGCGCACTGGGGCTTTTCAAATCAGCATCCACATTAACCAGCCACCGGGGAACGAACCTGGGTAGAACGAATGGAGCCAAGAGGTCGATATTTCTTGGCCTGGCTGACCCTTTTTTGCTTAGAAGTTGGCCAGTCAGGCACTGAGAAGCTTACTAGTCAACTATGTACTATGTACTAGTTTTACGATTCACATCGAAAGTCATTCAACTATTCCCAAAACAACTTCCACCCGAACGAGCCAAAAGAAGCCGAGGAAAAAGCCAGATCAAAAGAGTAAGAGACATCGGGGATCCTATTACGGGGAATACCAACAGCAGGACCCATTTTCCGCAAAGCTGACCAGGTGGAGCCCGCTCTTTTATTTCCCTTTCACATCACCAGCATTTTCTTTCTTGTCCTCTCGAGCCCTACCGAAAAAGGTTATCGTTGAGAGCGCATTAGTGGGGAAATCCAAAAAAGCGAGAGCCGTTTTGCTGTCATAAACTTGACGTTTGTGAAAACCATGGATCGGCGCTCTTTAGTCGCAAAACGCGTTGGTTGATTTGATTGAAGATTGCCGATCGTTCGGCTGTTGAGCTGTCGCCGGCGATCGCACGGATCGGTCTCATTTCGCAGATGGCCACTAGTTCCACGAGTCTCCTTCCTGTTGGAGCGAGCGATCTTGTCTGCGGAGACGGTCATTGGTTATGATGCGTTCCCAGAATCCCAGGAAACTCAAGCTCGATGCTGGGGCTTGCTGTTAGGAGATTTTGGAGACTTGGAAACTTCTTTTCTCCATTGGGGGCTCTTGTGGCGTCGGAGAGGTGGAGGATGGGGGATGGGATGGGAGCCACCGAGTCTAGGTAATTCTACATTCTAGAGATGGAGATGGAACTTGTTTAATTCGATTTCTTCCATTTCCTTGATGCTTCTCATTATTATGATCATTTTGAGCTGTTCCTCGGTTCCATGTGGAGTCAAACCTCGTCCCTGGCTCCGGAACGGACGCACCTTGTGTGGATACTCGTTGTATGTCGCCCATTGGTCGCGATTCAACGCTGCCATATTTAGCGACCGAGAAACCTAAAGTATGGAGGACAACGTACGGTAGAGCTAGAAGAGTAGGCATTCTAAAGAAAGTGCCTAATTCAAGTACTGTATGACAATAGATTCAAATTGCTATTTCTTGAGCTATCTAAAAATATGAACCGCATTGCAAAATTGACTTGTTAGATACTGTGCCATATGCATCTGTCCCGTTTAGTGATCCTAGAACTGGATTCTGGATTCCAAATCACTGACTCGATCCCGACACGCAGGTAGCTCCGCTGTCACAAAAACTCAGTTTCCAGGGCCTCTATATCACCCTAGTTTCTTATTCTTTGTTCTCTCTTTGAAACCAACGGCCCCCTCCTTTTCCTGCCGCAGCATTGGGATCCGTTTGGTTAGTGTTCAAAGCGGTCTAGACTGATCGCTAATGCAGATACCCTTGTAGTAGTACCTGTCAAACATGCCGCCGTAAACACGTAGCTGGGAACCCGCATCTGCAGCTTGCATATGGTAACTCTTAACATAACATTCACCGTCAAGATGGATGATCATATGCAATTCAATTCTTTATAGTTATTCTATCATCCCCTGCTCGCTGCTTAGTGGTGCTCTTGAATGCTAAAAAAAAGGTCGTGGACAACGGAGGTACACATTTGACAGACGCAGATTTGGAATACATCCCTGTCATACAAATGGTGGAAGTAGGAACAGAAGATCTCTGGGCATAGAGGGAGTTTACATAGCGTCCACTACGGTTCTAGACTGCAATAGTGCTTGGTGCCATTCAAGGAGCCCCGTAACAATACCGGCAAACCCTCCTAATGTGGACTTCGAGGCTAAACTGATTCGCCGGGATGTTGCGACTAGGAAGTCACCCCGGCATCACATCTACCAGGGTTATCAAAGAACAAAAGCAAAGACCAGTTTACAGCTAGGAGCCTGTACTTGCCATCAAATCCCCCCAATGAGAGTGCAATCCATGTATTCCGTACATCAAACGTCCATTCTCAGCGTTGATTCAGCTTTATGTCATTACCCCAGTCAATAATTTGGAATGCATGAACACTGCAAAAAGCTGCATGGGACCCTTGAGAAGAAAAAAGCACCATCAATGACTACCGGAAGGATCCCGGTCCATAAGACACGCACTGCGGATCATGACCGAGGCTATACTCGGGGTTTTCTAGGTCTATTTTCGGCCGGGACTAGAAAACAACATGTAATCCGCTATATGTACTCCGTACTTTGTGGACAAAAGTCTAAGAGATAGCTTCGCTCTATGGCGGACATCCGAGCCGCCTGTCAGATGCAGGCTCCAGCGGCAAAGGAAGCACACTACTCAGTATGGAACAGTTGATTGGTGACTTACACATCTCGAATCCAGCACATTACCTACACATTGCAAGGTATATCACCAGATTTTTCTCTTTCGCTTCTTTCTAGTCTAGGTGTATTTTGCGTTACCTTTTACCCACTAGCTTACTCCAGTGGCTTGCGAGAAACTGATCTACCGTCGCCACAGACATGAAATTCGTGACTTCATTCGCCATATCGTTTTGTTTCCGTCGGACCGAGGGATGCAGTAAAAATCTTGCTTGCTTGGTCCACCGCTTTGATAGGTCTCCTCTTTTCCCCCTCTCCTTTCAGACGTCAGCGAAAGTCGAAAATCGGCCCGAAAAGGACACGGATGCTTGAATCATGCAAGCAAACCCCGACTTCACAGTACAAATACCGTAACGACAGCGAGAACCGCGATCCAATTCATCGCCACCGCCATATCATTGTACATCTATACTCCGTAGAATCCACTGGCTCCATATCCATTGCTAGACACGGGAGTGCAGAAGTCAATCGTGGGAAAAAAGCACGATACTTACTAGTGGCGATGGAGTGGGTAGGTAGCAATACCACTTGTTTGTACCGGACAAACCAGACAGAAAGAAACAAGGCCGATTCAATAGTCGCCTTTAAGGTAGCCCGCCCTCGTCTGTCGTGCCGCAATTTATTTCTGCGCGAACTGGATATGTTGATATTCTAGAAGACGGGCCCTAGAAGACCTGGAGCAATAGTCGCATCCACCCGGACTCCACTCGCGGCGGATCTCATTTAGCAGTTAAATTGAGTCCCGTCGCGAGGTTATGTAGTCACTAGTCCAACAGAAAGCTCCTCGGTTACCGCTTCTTATCTCCGTTGCCTTTCTTTGCTTGCTTGTCGATCAGGATGTGCAATGGGCGGGAATTTTGTGGGTTCTGACTGTCCGGCCAAAGAAGGACGAAGGGTGTATTTTGCTGTTAAGCTCAACGGTGTTTAGGTGGATCTGCGATATGTTTTCGAGGAAAATTTTTCTGCTTCTTTGGAAGTAGTACGATTGGCTGTTGGTGATTTAGATTGATCTTGAAGGATTCAAAAGGATCCAAGTGGCTGTAAAT